AAAAAAAATAATAATATTAAAATTGCAAGGGAAAAAAAGGAAACATACAATCTGGGATTCTTCTTCGGCCCAGGCTTCCCTTTCAGTTTCGGCCTGGTATTGAGATCCCCGCCTTGTCCTAGACCTCTTTTGCTCCCAGGTTTGGGACCCGGGATCGCCTTCCGTGTCTGTAGGTCGGATTGAGTCGTAGGAGTGGAGGTTGCGTCTGAGGCATGATCAGCAAAGGACACGGGGGCCACAACAGTAGGGGTAATCTACAGGCGGACGCGGAGGCGGAATTTGTGGACTTTTTTTTTTGGGGGGGGGGGGGGGGGGGGGGGGTAACGGTTGGAGTATGGGACAGCCGGCTTTCACCAGTTGTTATTTCTTAACGGGAGGAATGAATATCTGTGACCTTGTACTGGAAATATATGTAGGGATGTCTGGATATATCCTTGGCATGATATGATGATGATGAAGATATCTGTAAAATACAGTATAGAGCCAGCCTGCATTCAAAAATCGATTATCAGCAGATGGGAGTAAGATCATGAATCATGGAGATGGAACTGGAGCCAAGATCGGCCATCAACGTTCAATCCAAGCATCCAGTCCATGTTACGATAAGGTATACGCTGTAGAATTCAATTCGGCTGTCAATAATATCCTAGGCGAGGGCTAGGAGCAAGGATGGGGGGGGTAACCGTTATATCATCCTTCGAACTGCACCTATCCAGGACCCTACGCAAAAAGGGTGTGGGAAGCACCGGCCACCACCAGCTGGTTTGGCTTTGCCAGTATAATCCCCCTCATTCTTATTCAGAGAGAGTGGTGACAGAACAAACGGACACTTCCCAGCGGCAAAAATACCACCAAGCCAGGTTCCAGTAACGGGTTGAACCACACTAAGATTAGCGTGATCCACAAGCGCCCGCCCGCTGATGTCCCGGCGGAAGTCCCCGGGCAATCATGCCTGGGGTTTAGCGCCGTCCAGCGTTCATCCCTGCCCCTGCCCTTTTTTTTTTGCCAGCGCCCGTTTGCTACTCGACCAAGGAAGGACTTCTTGGAGCCCTGAGCCATCCTTGCCTTACTTACACAGCTCCTGTTATTGGTACATTATTTTCGTTTAGTAGGAGTGTGCGTATGAGCCTCTCGCCATAGATAGTGTTTTCGTTTTTTGCTTCTTTTGGGAGGAGGGCTTTCCAAATCCGCCTCATGCATTCGTGGATGATTCGGGGATCGCCCGCGGCTAAACTTTCAAAGATGTTATTAAGATAAGCGCCCCGAGCCTTTTTTTCTTCTTCCCTTGGATGAAGGAGAATAGTAGTACCACGGGCGGAACCGATTGTATAAGTTTCTCAGAACAGATTTTAGATATACATATATATATATATCATGTACAGCACATGATTTTTCCTTCTCAGCTGTTGAATGGTGTCTCGTACCTGCTGACATCTACTGCGTATTGGTTAGTTAGTCTCTCTCACGGGCGTTTGTTGGCGGATATATGTATCCTCCTGTTCATCCTCCAGCACACATGGCATTTCAAACGTACGTTAAAAAAAAACGACACGCTAGAAAAAGAGAAAGAAGCTCCGGGCTTTGATGAACGAAAATCCTAGCTAGTACTCTGTTGGATCTTCTCTGGAGGATTATGAAGCCTGCCTACCCTACCATACTTTGTCTTGAGCGCGCATCTTCAAGATCTTGGGAACCGCTTCCACGCAAAGGGGGTGGAGGGGGAAAAGTTTCAGCCAAACCCCCTTCCCTCCCTCCCTCCCTCCCCACCCCCAAAGGTACTTAGACCGAGATGGATTGTTCACAAACGAATATCGAATTCCGGATTTACGGAAGTTGCGCTGGACAGTTCTCCTCAAACCTCCCCACTCTTGTACTAAAAGATGTAAAAGAAGGGAAAAGAGAGAGAGAGAGAGAGAGGAGGGGATGATTCAACTAGAGACTCTGTTTGGTGGATGTACACCTAGAGGTACTGCACCAGGCAGTAAAAGTAAACTGTTTTTATCCATTAACTTTTTGTAGAACAGAAAAAAAAACAACCCTCTTTTTTTTTTTTGGCGAAATTTATGGAGATGCGTTGTTCAAACAAAACGAATTCGTGAACTGGTCAATGTGACACGGAGTTGTCAGCCTTGGGGAGGTAGTAAGGAATCAGTCATGCTACTGGCGTGGAAGAGGGCAGGGTGGAGAGAAAACAGAGAGAGACAGTTCGTTACAAGTTACTCTGTACTACTCCGTAACTACTGTTACTGCGGACGGGCAGTTTGTCAAAGACCAAGCTCGCTCTGAAACAAAGAGGCGCGGAATGCCAAACAAAGCAACTGGGAGCGAACGAACTGGCGCCAAAATAAAAAGGAATCAAATAGTCAAAATTAAGAAAATAAAAGAAAAGAAAGAAAAGAAAATGAATGAATAAGAAAAAGTAAAAAAAACCGCCAGTGGCAAAGCTGTGGCACATCTTAAGCTTCCTTGTGTTCAAAGACCTTCAGCTTCCCATTGTCCGGTCGTTCACGATTCTTGGAGGGGGAAATCGGAGCTGTCCGAGGCGAACCAACGACAAACAGCCAGCGGTTCCACGCTGGCAAGATCAGCAAAAGTTGTGGCCATAGATTTTTGATGAAACCTAAAACATCCAGCAGGGCCCGAGTCACAAACACAGCAGCAGCAGCAATTCAAAGCAGATCCCCTGAGCTGAGCTCAAAGAATCAAAGAAGCCGTGTCTCAGCAAGGAAAAACTAGCCAGAAGTTGTGCCGAGGATTAGGGTTAGCTGTGAGCTGACTGGACCTCGATTGTCGTTGAGTCTCGGCTACGGGGAGTCAGAAAAATGGAGAAGAGAGTTTCCTTTCAGCCCGTGCCGAGATCGCCTGACGCTGGGCCTGGGGCTGCGGAGGGCGGAGGGGCAGCAAATGGGAGCGAGGATATGCTCAGGGCCCTCCAGGGAGAGTCGCCGCCTGTCGCCAGGCGAGGACCCGTAACCCGTAACCAGTAACCAGTAACTACGGCGGCACAGATTGGTTGTCAGGTTTGCCTTGTTATGGTAGAAATGGAGTGGAGAGCTCACAGTGACAAACAAAAGGTGGTTGTTTTGATAGTCTCTTGAAGAGTTCTAGAGTTAGTTAACTAACCATGCTGATATGCCCACTAGTTATGTGAATGTTTGTTTGTTCATCATTTGATCCACTCATGTAGTTTCCAGGAAACAATATCTCCCGGATGCACAACGCCAGAGGTAATGGCACTACCAGTTCTGCACGCTGTCGACGGCGTATCCAAAAGGCTCCAGACAGCACCATGATTCCAAGGCTAAAGAATAACCCTTCAACCCAGGCCCAAAAAAATACCGTAAGTCCATGGATGCTGCCCAGGGAGCCCTGGAATCCTGGAGGGAGATAATCAAGACAGGGGCGAGTCAGGAACAAACACCCCAGCCCGAGCCACGACAATGGCACCGTCTGGCTTGTCGGCCCAAGCAGAGCGAAGATGGAGATGGAGATGGGAGATGGAGATGAAGATGAAGAGCAATCATAGCAATCATAATAATTATCATAACTATCGACACTCATTCCCTTCCACCAGACCTCTCTCTTCCTGAGGTCGTCATCCCCGTCCCCACCATCCCACTTATCATCCCCATCATCCTCATCATCCCCACCATCCCCATCATCATCATTACCACCGTCATCACCAGTTCCTGTTCCTGTATCGACCCACGCCATTTGTCCTTGCTGAGTCACCACGCCCCGGCTGGCCAGGCGCCCCCGGGCCCCCGCACTATTACCGCAAGAGGCTAGACACCGTCCAGCCCCGGGTGCCAGTGTCAGCCCATGGGCCGAGGAGGGCGTATTGTCACGTACGGGCCCGTATTATTGTTGTCCTTCCCCGTTCCAAACCTCTCCTCCTCTCCTCCTCTCCTCCTCTCCTCCTCTCCTCCTCTCCTACGGTCTGTCCTCTCTCTCTCTCTGTGCTTCTCTCGCTTCTCTCTCTCCCCCCCTCCCACTAGGCTCGTTCTTCCTCAGCACATCTCCCCAAATGCATGAATCACTCACCGGCTCTCGTCTTGCTTTCACTCGATGCTGGCCATGATATTTTTGTGCCTCCTTTTCTTTCGCTGGTCATCTCTCGATTTCCACTCGCCTTCTCTTCGCCGTTCGATTCCACGCCATCTCTAGCTTGTGCTGGGGAGGAAGCATTGCTCGACTGCTACAAAGCCCCTTGACGCTCCTGCCCGTCCTTTTGGCTTACCTGGCAGCACCCTTCAATTCCAATCTTCTGGACCCTCCCTCGCTGTCAATCCCCCACCCGGAATGGCATCACTCACCATTCCTGAGGGAGGGCTACTATGCCTTCAGAACGTAGACACACCTGGGGAAACCTCTACCGATCCCTGCAGCAAACCCAGCCAGATCATGCGGCTGAATCTGGCTCAATCCACACTCGACGAACTTGTCCAGAGCCTACGAAACGATCAGAAGGCTCGTATCCGTCTGGGAAAACACCAATCGTTGCACTACGGGAACAAGTCCCAGACGTTTTTCTCGTCACCGGAGAACCACCGCTCAGAAATCTACTCCTACTCCCCTTCCTCCAACGGAAAAGCATATTTCACGGGTGTGCTTAGCCATAAGCTGGAGGTGGAGAAAGCTCGGGAGGCCACTGCCGCTACGGATGAGGCATTGGCTACTCTCGAGCAAAGACTGAGTGCTTTTGAGAAAGGGAAGGAATCAAGGAAAACTCCGCTGATCACGACCATTGATCAGATGAGAGCTCTCGGCGCGGGGGACAACCGCAGCGCAACCGGGAAAGAAGCCGCTTCGTTGGCCCGCATGCCAAGAAGCAAGATAGATGTTGAGAAAGAGCGTTTTTTTCAGCAAGCCGCCAACAGATCCAATCCCACTAGCCCAGCCCTTCTTGGTGCCCGCTCCCCCGCGTTCACTTCCGCAGTCACTCCGAAATCTGCCTCTGTTCCCCAAAACAAAGATAAACTTCGCCTCGACGCTCTCCGTGTGCCTCTAACCCATCTGCTCGCTGTCCGGGCAGTCTCTGTCAGATTCTTAGCGCAAAAAACCAGATCGTCCCAGGAGGACTGTTTGGCCCTCGTGCAGAAATATGGTATCGAGAATAGGCTTGATCGGGAGAAGTACAGTCTAAAAGACAAGGCATACAAAGATCTTGATATCTGGGGGTTTCCCTACCCTTCACAGGATGAACGGCAAGAAGCGATTGAGAACGCCATATCAGCATTTGACCGAATGCGGATTTCGCGAACGGATAAGCTTTGGCAGATGCTGCTTCCGAAGGCCGAGAGGGGAAAGGGTAAGGTCTTGTCTCGGTTAAACCTACACACCGGACCGATAGCCAGATCAGCGACCCCACGACTTAACGTTCAATCCCCTGAAGATGTATCGAAGGAAGGATATGGAACCGGTAACGAATCAGAACGGACGAACGGTTGCTTTACCCCGAACCAGCAAAATGCTACTAGTAAATCTGCGCGACCAGGAGGAAATTCAACGCAGAAGAAGGAATCTTCGATTAAAAATGGCCAGACGAAACGGGCAAGCACTAAAGCAAGAAATACCACGTTGACGGGGAGGGTAACGAAGAAGACTGATAAGAAGATGGAGAAGAGATCTTCAGCAAAATCAGAGTCGAAGTACAAATCTGCAGAATTTGTGCATGATTCAGATGAAGATGCGGAAATGATGGATTCCCCGCCTTTGGGATCTTCCACTGGCAAAACCATTGAAACGGTAGAAACACAGAACCAGCCGAGAGCCGGCACAACGTCTTCGAAGAGCTTCCCATCCAAGCCCGCTGAAGCGGAAAAGCCAGCCAAAGTGAAGTCTCAGTCCATGAAAACGGTTTCCTCCGTTACAGCAACTTCTCGTGCCGCCAATAACAGATCTCCACAAAAACCGTCTCCACTTGGCTCATCCCCCCCCACGAATGCAACCGATCTAGAAAACGGAATACGATCCTCGAATACCACACAGTCATCCAGCTCCTCCTCCCCTCTCATGGTCCAACATTCAAGAGCGAAGGCTTCCTCTACACTCTCTCGAACCCAGACTCCAAATGCCGTTGATGGTGGCCAAAAGCCAGCAGCGAATACCCTGAAACGCAAAGCGGAGACTGAGCGACCGCCCTCCGGCCACATTGATCATGAGCGAAACGGCATACGAAATCCAAAATCCCGGCCCCAACATCTCCAAACTGCCACGACAAACGGCCGCTCCATGGAGCCGAAGCGGCGTCGCCTTTCCAGCCCCTCGAGTGGTAGCACGACCGGCAGTACCTCACCTCCCCGGAGCCTGGAGATACTTCGCCAGCGATTACGCGAAAAAGCACAGCAATTCAAGCGGTATTATGCCTCCTATCGACTTCTGCACCAGGAGCTGACCAGCCACCCGGACCCACCACTGGGCGAGATTCAGAAACTGGAACGACAGCATGCGCGGTTGCGGAAGATGAAACAGGACATCTGGGAAGAGGATCGGCGGTTAAGAATGGGGTAACCGGCCTGTTTTATGTCAAAGAAATAGACTCCGTTTATTATTGCTTTTACATCTTGTGCTTTATTGACTATCATGCACATACATTATTATTTAGCCAAACATTATCGAACCTGGGGTGCACTGGTCCCCACTCTACGAATATTCCATTATTATGCTGGAATGGTATTCTTATTCCCGTTTGTTGTTGTTGTTATTGTTTTTGTTACTGTTACCGTTACTGTTGCTGTTATATTATTGTTTGTATTTGGCGGATCTGGTTCGCTGCTTGCCCCTAATGTTCACGCCATCGTCAAACTTGGAGCCTTACCTACCTACATGTTGGGTGAAATACATGACATGAGTTTTATTTTCTGGAGCATCAATTGGATAACTATGTGTTAGGATTTGATATTTACTCGTTCACCCCTTTTTATTTTTTCATATAGCCAGGAGGGCCGCTCTATATTTGTTGCAATGTGTTTTGTTCTTCTATACAAAACAGTCCGCTGCCTTTGCACATACCTGAAGATAAACAGCCGAGTTAGATTAGACAAAAAATAAAAAATAAAATAAAAAATTGTCAATGCTCATCAAGCCCTGGATTGAGGCCCCGACTAAAATAGCAAGCGAGACTCCATCCGGTATTTGCCGTTCATCAACGGAGGAGTAAATTGACCCCACACCCACAAGGTCCGTCGATGTGGATCCATTCTCTCTCCTCCCCCCCGCATTTTGCTGTTTGCTGAGCCTTAAAAGTCGATCACACAATCTGAGACGGAGAGGCCCGATATATGCATCCACGCCTCTTGTCCACTGCCAACCCGGGCGTACTATATGATTATTACCATCCCCATCATCATCACCACCATCATCATCACCACCATCATCATCGTCATCATCATCATCATCATCATTGCTCCCTCTCCTCGTTTACGAGGGAGTGAGTCGTAGCACTGTGTCACCCCACCCAACCCCGCTCCGCCCCGGCCCCGTCCCAGTCGCGAGCTTATGTATGTATGTGGTTCGTATTTCTCCCAGTATTGTTATTGTCCGCGCCGTAGACGTGATGATGGTAGGTTAGTTTACTCCGTTAACCAATGGTTTTAAACACCTGGTTTTGCCTGGTCAATTGACGTACGCCTTCCCCCAGCGAACGCTTTGATTTTGATTTTGATTTTGATTTTGATTTTTATTTTGATTTTTTGGTTTTTTTCCTCCTTTTGGCTGGCCATAACGCTCTCTCTGAAATCGCATCTGAATTCAATAACTACAATATGTGGAAAACGGCTCATTTCTTTGATTTCATTATATATATATATATATATATATATATACATACATACATTCCCCCGCCCCGTTTTCTCCCGTTCTCAACGCTCCTACATAGATTATAAAATAAAACGTAGATCAATCTCCACGTCCATGAACCCCCCTACTTAGGAAGTAAAAACTTGGCGGAGAAAAGAGATATATGAGGTCAGGAACCACGGACAGAGGTCTATTTCTTCAATTCAAATCGTAAAGGGCGGGCCCGGGCCCGGGCCCGGGTTCTTGGCTGAAACAAAGTCGATCCGGGATAGGTGCTTTTCAAGCAAGTTGAATCGAGGAGAGGAGGGGGAGGAAGAAGAAGAAGAAATCTTCACATCGTGTCTAGAGCTTTTCATGGTGAAGGAGAGGGCAGGGTTTGGATACAGGAGTTTGTGCGCGGTACTGTACGTACAGTATAATACATGGTGGCAGCACTTCTCGATCCGAGGAGTGATTGGATGGGTTTTTCTTTCTTTCTTTCTTTCTTTCTTTTTTCCCTCCCTTGGTTGTATACGCAGTATGTATATGAGGGAGATTAATCAGGCTTTTGGAAGCATGTTCTGGCTCCACGGGATTAACTGAGCAGGGTGAGAGAGAGGAAGATTGAGCAATGCTCCTCCGGTATGTTTGTTGTATGAGAGTGGTGTAATTGATCGCTGATATTCGGTTTGACAATGGGGAAAGACATGGCGTGGTGAAACATTCTGTTAGCACTTTGATGGTAACTCTGATCTATATCACAGTGCACTGATGTCAATCCTTGCCAGCTGGACTAGCCATCTTCGATCTAGTTAACGAGCGTGACTGAGTGGACATCAAATAGATAACCTGGATGCCAGCATGCAGACTGAGTGAGAGCGAGACGCCAGATTCAACCCCTACTAGCAGTAAACAAAGCTGTACCTAAGGTTTTCGTCATTGCTTGCCGAAAGTGGCCGAGCTCGCTTCCCGTTTTGGTGGTTCCCTGGTGCCTCCATCTGCTCAACCTCTGCCAAACCAGTCCCTTCTCGACATCTCTAACCACTCGGCAGGTTAAATGCGAATTCGCAATATCTCCGTCGCTTGGTTTGGCATTTGCGGACCGAAGAGGAACGAAGGAGAGGAAACGAACCCCGTTATTGAGGTCCGAACCTCAGAGCCTCCCCACCTTTTGCTGCTCATCTAGCATCTACAATTACGCCGGCAAGCAGGAGTTGAGGTTGAGCTTTCAGTCTAGTTGCCTAGCTTTGGTGCGTGCTGGGCCTTGATAGAGGCGAACGTATACCGCGGTGGGGGGCATATCGAGGGGTTTCGTGAACGGAATAAGACTACCCCGGTAGTACTATGTCTTCCTACCAAGGTATAAGTCGCTCTAGAAGCGGGAAGGGGAAAAGAGAACGCGGCCCTACCGTGTTGGTGAGTTATCAAATACTCCGTTTCTCTTATTGACTAACTCCCTAGCTGCCTAATTGGCATTTCTTGATTTTGCGGACTACCTATTCCATCCCGTGCAGCTTAAATACAATTGGCATACGATTTAACTAGTGCATCTGGCAACAGGTTACGGACTCTCGCGATTCCGCATACAACCCCAGACCTGGCAATACCCAAAATACCCACTCCTCCCGCTTCATAACCGTTGATAACGTTCTCCAATACACCTCGGATATCCCCTCCATGCAACAGCGACATCCGCCACCCGGCTTCCGGGGGCGACCTCGCTTGAGGCTTGGAGGGCCAGGGGCTCTAGCGGGTGCGACTGCATCGACTGATCTTGGGGGATCCAGTGGCATGGACTCGAGGATGAGAGCGGTGGGGAGACTGGCAGCGGTACCACATTTACCACCTCGGTCAACCAAAACAAGCGAAAAATTGGTTTTACTTCCGGAAACAGTGACTGAGCAGGACGAGGGCGGGGAGGATGAAGGATTTGCCGGCGCTGTAGATGAAGAGCGGGGGCCGCGGATGCGACAACCTGTATCCAAAGGAGCACGCCGGATTATTCCTAATAGACAACAAATGTCCCGCAAAACGCTTGGAGATTTCGATCAAGATAACGAAGCTTCGCCACTTCTAGCGGAGGAGGAGCGTCTAAAACGCCGCCGTGTGCCGCCTGAAAGAGCTAAGAGCTATGCGGAACGTTTGCCTAAAGCCCACCGCGCACAGAAGCTCCCTCGTGTGACGGCCTATTGCACGGCGCAGGGTTACAAGATCAGTTCTACTGCGGCGTTCGTGAAGGAATACCACGGCGCGAGGACGAAGTTGTATGACGACTGCTTGTATACTGCATATCATTTGCCACTGTTGCCGGGAAAGGAAGGATATAGAATTCGGAGTAGTCCAATTCTGAAAAGTGCTGGGGGTAAAGCCGTTTTGGATGAGGAGATTGAGAGGAATGAGCGGAGGGATTACCATGATGAATACTATGCGGAGGAGGATGAACATTCCGTCAAAGCCACTGGGTTTGACGATGCAGGAGCTGAAGAGCGGACAACCCAACGTGAAGGTGATGACGGTGAAAGACTATCAGAGACAAACGGTGTAACAACCACCAATGATGAAGAACAGGGACAGAGAAGCCTGCCTGACAGTGCGAACAAGGATGGTAACACACACAATATTCCCACAACGATTTCCGCAGCCAGAATCCCACCCAATGCATTGTCATTTTCGGAAATGTTCATCTTCAGCTATGGAGTTGTTGTCCTCTGGAACTTCACGGAAAGGGAAGAAAAAGATGTCCTAGCCGATCTTGCGTTCGCGTCGTCGGAAAGTGGGGGAGCTCCTATCGCCCTTGCAACAGCGCCGTTGCCTGAGGAGGACTTTGAAACGGAAGAATTTCATTTCGAATACTCTGATCAGATATCTCGACCCCGTGTCTACAACGATATGATCACATTGCGCAGTGGAGACCATATGATCAAGCTTGCCATTAGCCACGGGATAGCGCAGAGCACAAAGCTGAGCTTCTTCGAGGAGGTTATGGCGAGACAGATGGCTGAGGCCAAGGATGTGCCTCGAAGGTTGGCATTGACAGGCCACCTAGGAATGAAAAGGGAGGAGGTATTCCGCATACTAGGAAAGCTTTTTAAGAGCAGAGTTGAGGTGAATTTGTGTAAGTTTTTGCTGCTTTTCCACAAGATTCGCGGGATGGAATTTCTAATGAAGGAACCTAACAAATCAATAGCATCCAACATGCTCGATGTGCCCTCCTTTTTCTGGGATAGCGAACCCACTCTTCATCCCCTGTATATTGCCGTGCGGGAATACCTAGAGATCAAGCGCCGCATTCAAGTCCTGAACGAGCGGTGCAGAGTTTTTCTCGACCTGGCCGAAATCCTGTCGGATTCTATTGCGGATAATCAAATGTCGCGTAAGTTTCTTCCACCACCTTTTATTTGTCATTTACATACCATTTCCCACGCAACACACATCTTCTCTTGACTTCAAAATGCATTTGCTTAAAACCCATAACCTTATAGGCCAGACATGGATCATCATCGTGCTTATCGGCATCTCAATAATCGTCACCATTTCTGAGGTTATCTTGCGCTTTGGTATGTTATCTACACGGTCATCCACGACAGCTCAACCTTCCCACATGTTACAAACGGCTGCGAGTCTGCAAGGCCGTCCGAATATTGCCAGTGTCAATAAAACGCATTTGAAGATTTTACCTCACATGTGATGAGGCGGCTATGGGTGACTGGCTATGTTTTGCTTCCTTCATCGCTTACGTCGACTGTCGGATTCGTGTCCAATCATATCCTCCATACCAAAAATAGATGGATGACGGACCACCAAGGCGGTCCTCTACTCTCAAACAGAACCCTGACTCACTTTTTGCATGAATACCGAGCAAAGCATCCTTACCAGCTACGCACCCCTTCGTTTTACATGTATATACGCATATTCTTCGACATCTGAGCTTAAGGTGTCCATGTATCAATCCTACCCAAGCTAAGTTAATTTAAGATATGAAGGTAAATTTTATCCTTTTCATCTCTTATCCACGGCATATGATCGTCTTGCGAGCACTTGTCTCTTTCCGTTATTAATTTTATGAGGGCTTTGCATGCCTGCTTGTGCATATATCACGAGCGATATAGTCCAGTGGAAAATGTTTAAACCTTGCTTTTTGATGCTGCAAACTTTTGTTTATTTTTTGATTTCCTTAAACACAAATTTCAAGTACCCCGCTCCCTATTTCTGAAAATAGGCAGTTAAGCTTGCATCTAAGCATTTTAGGCCCCCATTTCTCTGCACTAGCTTCACGTACCCATGCTCATTCCAAACCATCAGCCCTGAAAGAGCCTGATCTACTCATTGCAGGGATTGGCCGATTAAAAATAATGGATAAGCCGGGCAGCTCACCTCAGCTCGGACTTAGAGTATGGGCGCGGACACAGCCAGCATGTGGGGTCTGAGTCTATGAGGACCGCGATAGGTGCTCTAAGCGGCTCGGCTTCTCTTACCACCTTTCTCTATCAGGTTGCTCCGCCTGCTGGGAGGTGTATATTATATATACGAACGGCAAATCTCCCCTATTATCTCCAATTCAAGTTTGCTGTATCTCAAAGTTTCCTTTGGCTATTATTCACTTGTGCAAGGACCATCTTAAAATATCTAGAGAGAAAAATGGCCACATCTGTCTTTCCAGTGCCAGGCGTTGTGCATGGCAAACGCATTTTAGCGACTATCATCGAGACGCGAGCCAAAGCTGGCACCAACACTGAGCCCTGGGTCTCTGTCCCAATCGACGACAACAACATTTCTGCGGGGTTCCGAGATATCACTTTCCAGGAACTGAACAATGCGGCAAACCATGCAGCTCGATGGCTAAGCCAAGCTCTTCCCGCGACTTCCCAACCCTTTCAACACTTTGCCTATGCCGGCCCTAAGGATCTGCGATACCCGCTCTTCGCACTTGCAGCGGCGAAACTCCAGAAAGTGGTATGTTATTTTGAGAGAACATGTTCAGGAAACAATTAGGGGTAGCTGGAGAAAAAGCTAACCGAGAATACAGATGGTTTTCCCATCGCCGTTGCTCACGCGGGAGGCTCAGCTGCGGCTTCTGGAACAGACGAACTGTGAACTGTATCTGCGGCCGTCGGAAATGGTTGAGCAAATAAGTAATGTTCTACGAGAGACGCCTCATATCCAGAAAATAACCGTCCCTGGGATTGAGGATTTTTTTCGGAATGACGAAGCAGCCCCAGTGATTTATAGTAAGACTTGGGATGAAGGGAAAGGCGACCCTTGGCTGGTGTTTCACACCTCGGGAACAACGGGTATATCACTTTATCCACTGTCATCTCATATTCTCGAATGATCATAGTCTAACGAGACGGTTTTCACCAGGAAATCCCAAGGCGATTAGATATACCCAACAAATGATGACCACCTTCGACACCGCGGCCTCACTGCCAGAGCTTGAATTAAATGTAGCTCATCATTGGACCCGACAAAGACTCTACACGCCACTGCCCGCGCTTCATGTAAGTTATGTTTTCTGAACAGCTTTCCTATTTTATTCTGAATATGGAGGTATACTCACAACCACAGTTTATAGGCATGATGGCGACGCTCAGCCTGACCACTTGCATCCATACAACGTGCGTTATCGGGCCTCCCATTACCCCGACCGCCGAACTCGTGACCGATATCCTCCGCTATGGGAATGTAGCTGGGGCCCTTATAACCCCTGCTCTTATTGACGCCCTTGTTCTCTCCCAGGAGGGCCTTCAAGCTCTCCGTGAATTAAAGTATATCCATTTCGTTGGCGCTTCCCTCTCAACCCAAACAGGAAACCTCCTTGCGCCTTACACCCATGTGGTTCCGGCTATCGGCAGTACCGAGTCAGGCGGGTATTTTACCGTTATCCACGAAAACAAAGATAGATGGGAGTATGTCTCCTTTCAGAAGGACGCGGGAGCGGAATTACACCACCGCATGAATGGGATCCACGAACTTGTTTTCGTCCGCGGACCCCAATACCGCTTGCAGCAGATCTTCCAACTCTATAAGGATCGCCAAACATTCGAGACGAATGATCTGTTTGTCGAGCATCCGGAACATAAGGGAATGTGGAAAATCATCGGCCGCAGTGACGACTGCATTTACCTAGCACACGGGGAGGGAATCCATGCTTCGCTCCTGGAAATAGAGATTGTCGCGCACCCAAGCGTCAAGTCTGCACTTATTGGCGGCCTTGGGCGTTCGGTACCCGTTCTTCTAGTGGAGCTAGTCCCTGATGCGGATGCGGAAGATGTTGATGCCGTGAAAAGGAGTCTCGAGCCCTTTATCGCAAAAGCCAATGAACATTGTCATGACGTGGTGAAGCTCTCATCCGAGCGGTTGATCATTGCCAAGAAGGAAAAGCCATTTGTCACGACGATCAAGGGGAATCCGTTGAGGTTACAGACTTTGAGCATGTATGAGGCGGAAATTGAAGCTTTGTTTAAGTAGCATTATTTCCCCTTTTTCTACCAGCAGATGTCTTACCTGGGCCAAAGTGCTGCATATCCCTGTATGTTCTGCACGATTTTACGCATAACGGCAGATACTCACAATCTACAGACGCAACCTTTTGCTCCTCTTCAGCTGGCTTAAGATATATACCATATGACTGGTACGGTTTGTACGGTTTTCCTGGGTCGTGGCTTTCGAGGATCTTTTTTTATGACTAGAGATATATATATATAGATAGAGATTTAAGGTATCCTAAGGTAGCCGTAATGCAAATTCCGCGTATTGCGAATAGGCAAAATCCGCTCACCACGCTCACTTTCTTTCATGCTTGAGAAAGCGCGCTCTTCTTACTACCCGCCATCATCTTCAGTCATTAACTATCAAGTATGCTTATTCATAGCAGCCGTATATTGAATTTTTCGACTGTAAGATTCAATACCTCGGCTGAGTGACTTATCAGAATACAGAATACCCACAACGTCCACTGTTTAATCATGTGAACGCGGCGACCCTCTACTTCACCTAGTGTCCGATTCGAAGTATTTTCAGATTGCTTATTAGATTGGTTCTTCTCAAGCGAAATTGCGTCTTAGCGAGTGAGGTTGCGCCTTTCGCTAAGTGAATAGACGTTTTGGTCCCTCCAATCCATCATAATGATAATATGGCTTCAACATGTCTCAGCTTGCTACAGTAAGCATATACGTTGCAGAAGGGCGAATGCTCGCAGCAGAAGGCGGAATGGAAGCTTGACGGTGGGAGGCTGTAGGTAAGATGTCCCTGTAGCTGCTAGCAACCTATGGTCCCTTTATCACCCCTGCTGACTGCTGCTTTGCACATAGGACTGAATGTATCTTTGAAATCCATCGACAGATTGTTGAGAAAGCGTATTGAGGATCGATCGCTCATAAGTGATTGATTATCTAATTGATAGTTCGTGTAAGCTGTAATATGGTTATCGCAGTAATCTTCGATTAATACATATTACGACAATATTGCAGGATAATTTCTATTATTGAAGATCTCCTCAATGGACCTGATATTTCGATTTATCAAAGGGTTAAATAAAGTATGTCCCATTCCATACTTTTCACGAGATAGCAGTTTGAAATAAGCCAAGGTTGGCGCATCTCCATACATCCCCAAAGTTTGGCTCTCTTTGTATTACCAAATCTTCAACCAGCTTTTATTTTTTTACCCTTTCCCACCCCATCCTATTTATTATTATTATTATTATTTTTTTTTTTCATTCACAACGAGAGAAGATGGAAGGCATGAATGAGAACGGCCTTGTCATAGCTTCTCGTTACTAGTCGGCATAGCCCTTGGCTCTTTGACAAATTGGCTGTTTCCCTCCATCTTCTGCGTTAGGGAAGACATTACGCCAGTCACAACTATATATTGACTGGGTTTGCAGAATGCTTAGTACCTCACACAACGATCCCTTTTTTTGACACTGACGGGCTTTCTTCAGTGGGGAATTCATCAGAGTTGTAATTAATGGTCGCATGCCTTTCCATCCAGAGCAAACTCAGCCAGGAGGGTAGAACAAGGTGCGAGGAAGATGAAAAGCTAACATCATATAAGACTCTAAGCACGTGTGAAAGCGGGAAGTGACCGAGCATCCAAGCTGCATATCTGACAGATCAGGGTTTTTGATTTAAACTCATAGCGGAGAGATGGGAGATAGAAACACATCAAGAACGATAAACTCCCCCGTTCCAGTTCCCATGTTACTCCTGTGGCCTGAACGGTTGAAGAATTGGTAGCTTGTGGCGTCTCCCACCTCATCCTACGCAGCGAACACGGCCATATTCCAAATCAAGGACTGGAGAGGCTAAAATGGATCTGAAACGAGGACCATTCCCGATCTGTCGGCTAGCACAGCCACTAAACTTAAATGGAAGCTCTGGAAGGGTTCTGGAAGGGTAATGGAAGGCTGACTGGAAGGATGATGGAAGGATTATGGAAGGGTCGTGGAAACACAATGGACAGGGCGTGGCCAATAATAGCCAATTAAAGACGTCTTCCAAAAGACTAAATTGCACGACCGGGGTTCTGACGACAGCAACTGGTTGGAACTTGACGCAATTCCGTAGTGGAGGCTGCACGTTCGAAACGAATCTGGCAGGATTGGCCTTCGTATTATTCTTGATGTGCGGAGATAGGGTGCTGACTCCGTATTTTCCAGGAAGGGGAGAGGTGGAAACATGTACGGATAGCGCTGACACTTCAACCCTGCCAGGCGAACAAGGAACTTTCGGCAATTGGAGCAGGAAAGGGTTTGATTGGCAGAATTCTCAATTAAGTTTAACTCTCTCCAAAATATGGCGTCATGGCCACAAAACCTTGGTGGCCTTGACACATACACATTATTGTTAGCTACTAAATATTATTATTATGATTGTTGTTGTTGTTATGACTGTTGCTATAAGTATGAAACGTGAGGGCTGAAACATCGGCAAAAGACTTGGGTGCATCAAATAGAATAACAGGCGATAATACAACCTCCCATCGTTTTTCGTGCATGTTACGCCGTCGACGCAGGAGGTGGTGAGATGAGACAATGATGACAAGGTCATTGTAAATAAAGTTAGCAGGAGAGGCAAGCACAGGCGAAGAAGCTTCGGGCGCTTTTTGACCATGGACAAGCGTGAAGATGATGCTGTTGCAAGCAGCGCGCCAACTACACAGTAGAATCTGCTTTTCCTGTTCTCGAAGCTCACCACCGTTAGTTAATATTTATCGTTACAAATAAGATGGAAGGGGCTTCATGCTGAGGAGGAACCGCATCTCGAAGCCTAATTCCCCATTGATGCTTTTCTTTTCCTTTCCCTCAAACCCTGAGGGACTCTTCACTCTCGCGAAAGAAATCAGTGGTCTTTATGTAAAGTGTTGGAAAGTTCCAAGTAATCATCTATGCAAGTATCGCCGCAACACTTTCCACCGATTCTGTTTTTGGATAAATTGATAAAAATAACCGGCCAGCCTTGCAGCGCCTTGCCACGGATGCCAGAAGGGTCGGCTTCTGAGCCAGTCTTCCGGTTACCTCTTCTCCAAAGCGCCACATCGTCAATCCCTTCGATTGGGCTGGCTTGACAGATTCCAATTTGCCGACTTGGTGATGCAAGCCGAGGAAGTCGGGCATAGCAAAATGGTTACGGGTTGGGAACGGTGTGTGACACCAGAAAACCAACTTCAGGATGGCCCGCCAGCCAGCTGGTCTGATTCAAACCACATATCTGTTGTTTACGCAGGATATTATCACTTTTCCATGCTACGATGAATAGCTGGTGTTTTGCCGTAACTTTGTCTGTTTTATTACTTCATTCTATTTGTTTTTGTATTACACCAGGCTTTACACCAGGCCAATCTGGTTTTGAAATGGACAAAGTTTCAAGTTACTGGTGAATGCATGGGTGAAATAATCACTAGGTACTCTGTATCTATGTTATCTAGCGGATTAAAGGAGTCAGAAATGGGGGACGAGCTACGCGGGAAATATACCACATGGACACGCCAAAAGTTTAATTCTCCCCTTCTGGAAAATGTTTGTGTGCATGAACTCCCATGCGTGGCGGTGACATTTCGTCTCTTGATCGCTTTGGACTCTTCCTGTTTCGGGTTAAAGGGTAGGGTAGGAGACAAGTTTTTCCTCTTCTTCTGCTTCGGGCGCGGACCGCTGAAGCAAAGATCAAGCAAGGGACACTAAGAAAAGGGGAAACCTTGAAAAGGGGGGAGGCCACCAAAGGCCAGGAAACAAAATCCCCTACGTTTTGACCAGGATCTCACCCCCGAAACCCCCGCCAAAATTCCTGTCCCAAACAAGGAAGTTCTAAAATAAGAAAAATAAGGCTGTTCACAGACAACGAAGGGACATGCTCACCAGCGGGCCTAAACGCCCCGGTTCCACCAGTGCGAGCCATGGGTTGGATCATGCTGGGCCATGGGAGCATGAAAAACGTCGCTAACTCGAGAGAGCATGGCAGGAGGCTAGAGTCCTGCGAGTTCCCCATCCCCATTTTTCTTCAGTCTTTCTAGAAGTTGAGGTTTGGGGCACTGCGCCATCATTTACATGTCTGTGTCAGTGGCTTTTTCTTTGCCATTTGGATCCACAGAATTTGTGTTGCACATGGGAAGGTCTTTGCACCCTAGTGCCGATGGTGCAGCTCGCTCTAAATTATTTAACGTATAAAGGCTAAAAACGAGCTTTCGCGTGACTGGAGTGTAAAAATTTTAAACTTCTGGAAATTATGGCTTCAAAGAATAATTTTTAGTTCGCAGTTTCTTTCTTCTGCTTTTGTAGTGTAAAGTCCTTCCAAATAATGGATCCTTTGGGATGATAGTATGTCCGAGCCTCACCGAAGTCGACTGAGGTCGTCCAAACCGACGAGGATTATGGCTTGTAACTTCAGTGTGCCCTGGAGGGTACCCTCAAACCCAAACCCTCCGAAACACCAAAAGGTCTGTAAGTGCACTTCCTGGGGGGAGAAGGGTGGCGTCCTGAAATTCGCCATACCTTCAGGGTGCGACACGCATTTCATCTGCCGTTAGTGTCCTATACACAGGGATCATCATAACGCCAGGGTGTTATTATGGGAATGCCCCCAGCAAAACAGGAAAAGAGGAGGGAATCGGAGATTCGGAGGGAAGTCCCTTTGTCACAACTTTCTAGATTCCACAGACCTTCGGACCATGAAGCTAGAATGCATGGATCCAGGTAATTTTTGGCTGCGTTGTGAGCTTCCACAACAGCCCGCAACCCTGTTGAATGATGCATTCATTTGGGAGTCCCTTTTCGCAACTTCGATTAAAATTGGTTTTCTTGTTTGGAGGAGGGCTGCTTTGATCAACATGGCGGACTGACTCCACTTTGTCTGCTGTTGACGTCCTCTTGCCTGCAGGGGCATCGATCCTCCTTTCGAGGCGGATGCGCCACGATTTGACTTTTGAGACAATAGAGCGCGCCAAGTAGCCCCCTAGTTTTGAATGGTTGCAGGTCTTTTCTTCGAGAAGATTGCCTAAAGTAATTAGCGACGCACTAGAGGAAGTAGGGGGGAAAAGCCCCTTAGGCAGATGGATCCTCCGTATTGCGAACAGAGATGATTTTCATGCGGGTTCAAATTCTCAGATCGAACCAGCAGTTCGAAAATCGGCCACATTGGTCAGTCGGTCGATATTTGCCTGCAATGCTGAGGGCTTGAGCTGTCCTCTTGCAGCCCCCGGCTGCCTGGTGTGCCACCACCCTCCCAATCTTGATGCCACTAGTCGGTTGGGCTGAATGCTGGCCCCCTCGTTTTATGTCTCGTTTAGGGATCCGCACGTCTGCATTTCAAGACGTAGGCGGGCTTGAATGCCACGAGAGCGTGTGATTACTGTATTTCCACAACAATACTCCGTATAGCATAGGGGGTTGGGGTGTGCATCCACACCCCGCCCAGCCTGACATCTTTTCCAGGGAAACCCAACGGGGTTTTATCTCTAGATTATGGCCCAGGCTTAACGCACGGGATGGGCAGTATATGAATCATCAGCATGTTTTCAACCACCCTGCGATCACCATGCTTGTAGGGCCTCATAGGATTCATGGCACAAAAGTTAAGTTGATCAGAGAAGAGCATAAAAGAGAAGATTAACCATCACAAGACCGCCGACCCACGGGCCACCGAGACGCGACTGGTTTGAAAAATCGTTCGCTGGCGCCATGTCTCCGGTGCAGGGTCCGCCAGCAGTCTTCCAGAAACTTTTGGGGGCTTTCTTTTCACCCTGGGGCCGTTTTGGCGCGCGGCCGTGGTCGACTTGCTGGTGCGTTGCTGTTGGCTCGTTGGCTGCGGTTCGCACCCGGGGGAGCTCGCTGGCGATTTCGTTAAGGCTAGTCGAGTCGCCGCCGCCCGCCGCCCGCCGCCCTTTAAGAATAGTAGTGGTATGTTGCTGGAGACGACACTTTTTCTCAACCAGCAACAAAACACCTTTTGACTTCTCGCCACCATCGCCCTACCTCCACGTCCCGTACCAACTGGCCAACAAACTCCTTTGCCAACTACATCTATTCCCTGCCCTGCAGCTGCTTCCCCTCACCTCCACATCCTCCTCGACCTCCTGCAAGTCCAACGGTTGCAGCAGCCTTCCCGTCTTGCTTCGGCTTCCTTTTTGTCGCTGGTGAGTTGCTCAATCCCTGGCTTGACCATTTTAGCCCTTGTCATTGTGGGACTTGGAATGGATTGTTTCTCTGTTCCTCATTCCTGTGGTAGCCCGCCCTGAGTTGTTTTCGCGTTGATCTGTCTGTCGCTGTTGGGAATAAGTGGTCACAGTCTACGGCCTGCGATAGATATTGAATGCCTGATGGTGGTGTGGCTATGTCCACCGTAACATCAATTGTCTGATTGGCATTCGTGAAATCCGTTGCTAACCTTGTCGCCAATGGTTTTTAAAAGTGCGCCCAAGTGATCTGATTTCGCTGATTGTTGCCCTCTTAAACCTCTTGTATTATCTGCCTTCGAATCTCGACCGCCCTTTCGCCTTCCATCAGCGACATACCACACCACTACAAGAGGTTACCAAGTTGTGGATATCGGGAATTTTGTGATCTTTTCTTTTGTCAGAACGCCCAGTTTCTTTCTCTCGTGAACGGGTTTCTCCGGATCGCTCCAACAGGGCCTCTGTCCTGCCTGCCCGGTGACACCTTTTGCATCCTTTCCCCCGCATATCTACCCACGGAGTTTTCTTTGGAGACACAAAACGGTCTTTGAAGACGCCCGGTTAGCCTGCTCAGCAACCCGTCTGTGCTGCTACTGCGTCGCGTGGTTCCTACCTCGGCTTGTAGCTGCCCGGAAAAAAAATCTTGAGCCCAAGTACTATCTGCGGATATCCGTCCTCCCCAAGCGTGTGTGACCTGCGTTGAGCTACAGTTTGATTGCGACCCTTGCGCTGTCCCCGTATCTCTGCCATAGGGTTGTGGCATTTTGGACGGAGGGGTTTCTTCTGTGGATTTGTGTGGCCATTTGCGGGAGACTCCTTGCGCACGCTGCGAGCTACCGTTACCTTTCAGAAGACATTTTTCTGATCCTTAAGCCAAGCCTTACATCAACCTAGAAAGTACATGACGACTCGAGAGATATTTATATGAATCCAAGCGCCTTCCGTGCGTTACAAAAGTCTCCGACGCAAGCTTTCTGAGCAAGCTCGCGATTGATTGATATCCATTCACGTTACCAGCTTCGCGTTTGTCTCCCGAGAGATAGTTCTGAGATATCACTGTTAGATTGTTTCGCGCGATCAAGGATTTAATACTTGTGATAGAAGGTGTGTTTTTATTGATTTTCCGCGCTGCTATATAATTTTTATTACTGTTTATCCCATTCATGTCAGACATACAATACTTCTCCACCTAAATTTATCTATTTTAGGATTATCTGAACCTTCTCCATTGTATTTTCTTGGAAACGATCTGTTGCTTTCTGATTTAACTATGTACTAACTTAACATCTCCGTGCACAGGAAGAGAATCATTGAGGAAATAAATTCTCCAAAACGAGAGATTTGTTCTTAACAATCAAGGAGGCTTTGCAAAACTATTGTCGACAGACAGCCTCTAGTCGTCGCGACAGCTTCAGTCTTTATTTTCTTTTCAGTTGAATGGTCACTGGCGCTGGCTATGGATATCCCAACGATTTTAAACGAGAAGGGGACTGCTGCTGCTGCTGCCGCTAAAGCTCAGCTTCAGCAGCAATTGGCTCAGGGTACTCACATAAAATCCCAATCGCCGTCCGAAATGGGCTCTGAAAACGGAACGTCACAAAATGGAGACCAGCCGAATATCTATAATCCTACCTCGCAACCTCAGCCTCTATCAACTATCCCCCAATATCATTCTCCGCCGCAGAGCTCAGTTGTAAATTCAGCTGCCCGTTCCGACTACATTCAGAACGACCAGGGGAAGATCGAATATCTTCAGAATGACAGTAGCGGACGCACAAGAGCAAATGGAGAACCTGCGCCCAAAACTTTCCATTGCTCTACCTGCGGCAAAGGGTTTGCGCGGAGGAGTGATCTCGCCAGGCACGGTAAGATTAATATCACCTCACGGGGCGACAGTTGGCGACAGTTGGCGTCTAACATCTCTCTTCTTTTTTTTTTTTTTTTTAGAACGGATTCATAGTGGAATCAGACCTCACGTATGCGACTGGCCGGGTTGCGGGAAGCAATTCATCCAGCGTTCTGCATTGACTGTCCATACTCGAGTCCATACTGGCGAGAAACCACACATGTGCGACCGATGTGGCAAGGTAAGAGAAATCGCTTTTCAGAAATATTTGTTCTTCAGCGATACTAAGGGATTGTTATATGTAAACAGCCTTTTAGTGATTCGAGCTCCCTTGCAAGACATCGCAGAATACATTCCGGAAAACGACCTTACAAATGCCCGTATGCAAATTGTCAAAAAACTTTTACGAGGCGGACTACTTTGACGAGGCATCAGAATCACCATACTGGTACGATCGAAGAGGCTGCAGCTCAAACTGAAGCAAACCTGCGTCAAAACAAAGAGAGAAGTATTCGTCCCCTTGAAGGAGTTTATTCAGAACCGGGATCCGCCCAGTCGACACCTTCATGTCAACGTCTTTCTGCATCTCCCGGGAATGAATTACCACCAATGCATCTACACCGCCAAATGGGCGAATACTATATGGGCAATAATACCTCGATACCTCCACATCTACGAAGTGACTTCCAACAAGCCAGTCCCCGCGCATCTCCATCCACGTCATCGCCACCGCTTTCTACCTACAATAGCGTGCCCCACATTCGACCTTCCTTGACCTCCCACCCAAGTGGATACCGACCACCTCAACCTCTTGAACCTCCTGCCAACAGTGATCCTCGCCCCAATAGCGTAGCTGGAAGTCCACACATTTCGAGCATGGGGTGGGCATCTCCGACACTTAACAGCATCAGTTCGCCAGGGTCAGCCTCAGCAACTGAGTATTCATACCCAGAGCCATCACTACCTCCTTACTCAGCGCACATACCGCCCCACATGTTTTTCCCCAATTCAACAATACGACGGCCGCAAAGCACTGAACCAGAGAACTACGAAATGAAACCTAAATTGAACGGGGATTCATGGACTACGCCTGTTTGATCGCGACTATTGAGAAGTGCACCGATTGTTCTTCCTTCCACGCCACCGGTTTATTCCAATGCGATTAATTATTTTACTTCGTGCCTTGCTTTCCCCGGAGTTTTAATAGATACTCTGCCGTGATCTCACGAACATGAAAACGGGTTTATTGTTCGATAGTGCTTGTATGAATACCATACCTTATTCCACCATACATACCTTTTTATTAATCACTAGTACCTCCGTTGTTGCTTGCCATATCTGGGGGCCCATTATTTTCTTTTTTCCTCTTTCCCTCTCCAAATTTCGTCATATAAGTTAATTTTCCACGCTAGGTTCTCCCACTCATCATCAATATTTTTTAACTTTTTCTTTCTTCTTTTGATAGAACATTTACAGAGCTCTGCAGGCGCTGTGGGAATGGAACATTGCGAATGGTGTAAGCAGCAATCGGAGTACGGAAGGAGCTTTTCGGGTTTCCAGTTTACCTTTGGCTGTTTTTGGGATTTGATATAACTCGGGTTGTATTGTATTCATTCGTTTCGTTCGAGTTGACACGGTTGCATGGACAAAAACTAAGGCTATAGGGCTATTTAGTTATATATGTATCTCATTACCCCCATCTTTTTGATATATTAGTTTTTTTTGACCAACATAGATTTTCCTTGTTATATATTGTTTTATTGTAGTTGTTGCGCTTGATTTTTTTAGGTTGTGGTAGCTATCTGTTCGTATTTTCTTCCTGAGGACTTTTCTGTTATAGTAGTCCCTGCTTCCTTGAGAATAGTATCGAAGTATAAGGAAGTACAGTACATGAAAAAATATATTAGTATTGGGTATCTAGAATATGATAATAAGCCACGATATTTCTTCGTTGATTTGCCCATGCAGGGAAATGATATAATAGACAGGATACGTCATGTAATCCAAAGCCCATGGAGAAAGATAATAATTTACATCAAATATCAAACGAATAGAGTCAAGTGGTATCCTGTGGATGGAATAATAAGTAACTTACAAACGACAACCCCTCTGCACCGCCCAAAAATAATTGCCCAACTTCTCCGTTCCAGGAATCATTCTCCACCCCAACCCGGGAAAATACATGGCACCCACACACTTCCACCTCATTCCATCATCAATTCCGCCCATGCCAACCCCGCTCCCATCACTCTCCCTCAACCCTTCCCCAACCCACCTCTCCACCTCGTCGTCATCCACAAACTTCCCCCACTCATGCGTGCCCCTGGGAACTACACCAATCGGCCACGGCGCCTCCGCGATGACCTGATTAACAATAAAAGAAGGTACGGTGCGCGCGATCGTTGAGCCGATTAGCCAGCCGCCCGGGTGCAGGAGTTGTAGGCATTGTTTTAGGAAAGAGCGTGGAGAGGACGTCTGTGGGTTGACGTGTTCGAGGACTTCGAAGAGGGTAATCATGTCGAATTTTTGGTGCGGTTGGGATGGTGGTTTGGGGGGCGGTGATGAAGGAGAAGGCGAAGGCGAAGAGGAAGGCTGAGATGAGGATTGAGGTGGGGATGGAGATTGAGAGGGAAATGGAGTTGGAAGGAGCGCTTCCAGCGTTGTGTTCTCGTATTTAAATCGACCTGATTGGAGATGGGAGTAGACGAGGGGATCGGCGCGGGCGTGGGAGGTTGCGATTTTTATCATTACCGGAGATGGGTCGATGGCTAGGATTGAGGAGGCCAGGGTTGCGGGTGATAGGTTTGAAGCGGGGTCTGTATTTGTACTTTGGCTTGCATCAGGTTGAGGTGGGATTGTGCGTGCGAGTGATTCTGCGAAAATGCCGCCGCCACAGCCTATGTCTAGGTATCGAAGGCCAGAGGAAGAGGCCCGGGTTGTGTTCGCATTTGCATTTGTGCTGGTGTTTGCATAACCCTCATCACAAGAAGAGGAGGGGGGGCAGGCTGAGCGTGGATTCGATTCGGAAAGGCAAGCCGCGATAAATTCATGGCGGAGTGGATTCATGAGGTGGAGGATGCGCGAAGGGCCCAGTGGGTCCCACCAACTGCTAGCGAGAGAGGAGAAGTGGGTGAGTTCGTCTGAAGATATGGAGGAGGATGAGGAATGGTGTCGGACCCTGTCGATCTGCGTGGTCGTCGTACTCCTCAGACCATGGCGGACAAGGAGGGTAATGTTCCGTGCAGTAGCCGCAGAAGTGCGGCACTGGCTGAGGATCATTATTTGCGGCTCTGCAAAACAGTTTGCTATTCAACAGGAAATGGGAAGCGTCCCTGGGAACTCAATTAGCTCGAGATATCCATATGAGGAGGATGAATGGGTGAAGCTTAAGGAAGCTTCGTTGCGAATCCAGAGCGTGGGGTATACGAGCCATTGGTCCATAAACGAGACCTAGAGGGGAGCGATATTGTATACCTTGAGAAGCGTAATGCTACCCTTGAGTTTCCAAGGAAGTATAGAGCTTTGCCTTGTTCAATTGCTGCTCTCCATCGTTTCTCGTCCACTCCGAAGTTGACATCGCTGATTGAGGATGGTTGATGTCGAGATGCAAACATGACAAACTCATGACAATTGACAATTAGCATCGTTCCCAGACGTTGGAGATAGACAGACAACCTTTCAACAACCCTTCTCAAGGCTACTCTCTGATGTGCACTTGCAAGCCCGTGCTGCCACACATAGTCACCCCAACCATTGACACTCCGACGTTGATCTTAGCAGCCTCCATTCCGTGCAAACAACACCCACCTCAACTGTTGACTTGCGTTGAAGTTTGGAACCTATTGATTGTGAAGATAGCTGGCTGGTGTAGGCTAGCGTCTACCTGTGTAATATGTCGTGTATAACTTACTTTGTATTGTTTATGTTGGCAGTTATCAGTGAACTACCAGATACCGTCGTAGTGGGACGGAAATTGTCCTGTTTCTTTCTTTCCCTTGTGCTGAGTTTAAAAAAAAAAAAAAAAAAATTGGCTGGGAAGACGGGCTTGGGTAACATGAAATTCCAACTCACATGGCGATCAACAATCCATAATCAATGATCTTACGTGTATTTTTTATATTATTTTGTATGTGTTAGGTAGGCAACTAGATGAACCGATATCTGACAAATTGTCTAAGATACTTAAGAGAGAGCATATTATCTAGATACATATATTGGCTTCAAAAATAACCATTGAAATCAAACACCATTTTTTAAACCCATCATAATCCGGATCATCAGTCCAGCAATTAGTTCCCCCTGACCTGTATTGAAACAGCTCTCGACAACAAATTTCCGCCATTTCGGAAGTCGATCCTCTAAAAAAAAAAGAAAAAAGAAAAAACCATAAGAAACAGTTTAACGTACCCATAAAAGGAGAAAATAAAAGCAGCAACAAGCTAAACATGTCTCCTATCAGGAAAAACCAACTCAAGTATAGACAAGACAGATATCATAATCACATCCCTTTCTGCATCCTCATACCCCCTCCTCGACCCTCCGGGGCGCCGAGATGTGTACATTCGTGCTCCGCTTGCGGCCACCGTTAGCTTCCTTCCCAGCAACACTGGACATCTCACTCTCTCGACCAATGCTCCTCTCGCTTGCCTTGGTCAGCGTACGAGCAAAAGTGAAGAATCCCTGCCTGAGTCCCAACTCGTGGCTTGGCCAGCGTCGTCGCAAGCCCAAGCTAGCTGCACCGCCATAGTCCTCTCCCTCAGTGAACCAGCCGGTCCTTCGTTTAACCATTTTCCACGCCTCCACCGCAAGCACGAATACGAATATTGATCCGAATGCCAGGCCCCATTCCCAGGTTATACCACTATGCTTGAAAACCTTTGTGTTGAGACCAGGGATGTAGACTGCGGGAAAAACTGAGACGAAGCCGATAACCACAGCCCAGAAGAGGAACTTGTTCTCCCATACGTCGCAGAGGAATGGGAAGGAAGCAAAACGTTCTCCAGTACGATCACGCCGCGGGTCTAGGTTGAACATGCTATTGCGAAGGTGTTTGAATTCCCAGGCGGAGATAAGAATGAGCCATGTGAGTTCGGCAAAGACAGTGGCACGGGCCCGAAACACAACATCGCAGGAATCGCTGGCAATACGGTTACAATCGTGTCCCAGGGAATCCACTCCATTCCCTACACCGTATATTATGATGACGAAGGTGAGAAGCGTACAGGCTCCCATGATGACACCGTAGATTATCATGTCAGTAATGATCTGCCAAGTGAAGACGCCCTTTTTAGTATCATGCGGTGGCCGATGCATTATAGTGGCACCGGCCTTCTCACGACCGAGACCAAAGGCAGGGAACGAAGACGTCAACATGTTAATCCAAAGAATCTCCAACGGTGAGAGTGGAAAAACAGAAATCCCCGATCTATCCTGGAAACCAAGTCCGACGATAAGGAGTACAACTTCGCCTACATTGGAAGTGAGGAGATGGAGAATGAATTTCTGAATATTCTCAAACATGCGTCTACCTTCCTCAATTGCATTGACAATGCTAGCGAAATTATCATCCGTGAGCACAATGTCGGCGGCAGATTTCGCCACATCTGATCCAGCCAAGCCCATAGCGATACCAACATCTGCAGCTTTGAGCGATGGAGCGTCGTTGACACCGTCTCCAGTCATGGCACAGTATCGGCGGCGACGATGGAGAGCAGCGATCATTCGAGTTTTTGTGTCCGGGGCGCAACGTGCAATTACCAAAGGGAGAGACGGCAAAGCATCGATTTCTTCGTCAGTCATGCCGTCAAACTCTGCCGCTGTTTTCACTAACGATCGGGCCTCTTCTGCTGATAGCGTTCCGGCATTGCGCGGAAGGATACCAACTTCCTTTGCAATAGCTGAAGCAGTTGATGGATGATCTCCAGTAAGCATGTGAACACGAATTCCCGCCATGGTACATTCTAGGACCGAAGTTAGTAACTTTCTATTTTTAAGTGAGATAAAGACAAACACAGTTTAGCAAAACATACCTTTAACGGCGTCCTTAGTTTCCAATCGAGGGGGGTCATATAAACCAGCCAGGCCCAAAAGCGTCAAGTCTTTCTCGATTTCCTCTCGTGGAATTTGCTGCGAATGAGGGTCGAATCCAGTAGGGCCAGGCTTTTGCGCGACTGCAAGCACACGTAGACCCTGTTCGGCAAGGAAGTTCATCTGCTCGAGGATATCCTGCTTGATTTTAGGCGTCATGGCCTCTTGATGATCTCCCACCCCAACAGTGGTGCAAAGGTCGATAATCCTTTCGACAGCACCTTTCGAGAAAACAACAGTTTCAGGATCATCAGCATGGCGGTAGATAACTGACATACGCTTCACACTACTATCGAAGGGGTACTCGGCTAGTTGCTTCCAACCATGTTGTGTTTCAAGCGTCTTTTTTCCAAGACCAAATCGGAGAGAAAACACTTGGAGGGCAACCTCAGTAGGATCACCAATGGTTTGCCAGGTGTCAGATTCTGGATCGTGGCGAACGGTGGCTAAATTACACAGCGCCGCGGATGTAACGAACGCCTCAAGTTCGGGAATCATCTCAGGAAGCACATTCTCCTCCGGATCGTCCTTTTCAGGGGGCGTTTCGTTTCGTTCCTCAATGCGACGTTGGTCGCGCTGCTCTTTTTCAGCGGGGATATCGAATTTCAGGCCAACGGTAGAACGGAGCACGTCTTGCTCGGCGCGTTTACGCTCCCGCTCCTGCTCAGCTTCCTGTTTCGATGTTGGAGGCTGCCCCAAGGTGATCGTCCCCCGAGTGGGATTATTAGCATCATCGGATTTGTGGAGACTATATACACCAGCGCCGGGAATCCAGGCCTTGCGGGCAACCATTTGACCTTGAGTAAGAGTTCCTGTTTTGTCAGAGCAGATGTTGGTGACGCCACCCAGAGCCTCCAGTGCGCTCAGTTGCCGAACAACTACTTTCCGCCTTCTCATCTGGGTCATGCCAACAACCATGGTGATTGTGAGGACAGCGATAAGGGACTCGGGAATGATAGCGATGCCTAAAGAAAAGGGCAAAGATGAAATGTCAGTAAACCATTCTGCAGTCAAAACGCGCAACCTGGGTTTCAGCACATACCAGTGGAAATTGCGTAGATAGCCACCTCATTTGTAACATTGAAACGATTAACACCAAAGACGATAATAGCAAGCAAGAGAGCACATCCGAATAGTACGTAGGCCAATTTGCTGAGTTTGATCTGCAACGGTGTTCCCTCCGTGAGGCCCAGGAATTTGCCAATTCTGTCCCAGATGCGAAGAGCTCCACCCTTGAATGGCTGGAAATTTCCATACTTCTTTCGAGACATAGAGCGACCAGCTTTGCGCTGTTTCCCCTGCATAGATTGAGCGATCTTTCCGATTTCGGTATTCATGCCAGTGAAAACGATGATGCCTCGACCACGGCCTTTGGTAACGGTTGAGGACGAGTAAGCCATGTTTAGGCGGTCCCCCACACCAGTCTCCAGCTCAGTTCCGATAGCACTAAAATCAATGTCCTTAGCTACTGGAACAGCTTCACCTGTCAGGATCTTCTCATCGCACTCAAGATTCATGGCCTCGATCAGTCGAATATCGGCTGGAACAGTATCTCCCATTTTGATCTGAACAATATCGCCTGGTACGACTTCGCCAGATGGGACGGTTATCTCATGGCCGTTTCTAATCACGTTGGCAGATGGCGAGGAGAGGGAGCGGAGAGCGTCCATCTTCTTCTCTGCCTTGAATTCTTGATAGAAGCCAATCACGACATTCAGCACGATAACAGCCGTGATCACCCCTCCTTCAATATAATCAGAGACACCGTATGAAAGGGCCATGGCTAAAACGAGGACCTGGTCCAAAAACATACAATTACTATATAGTTCCAAGAATGGTGGTATATATGTTGTGTTTCCGGGAGGGAAGGGAATAAAAATAAAAATAAAAGTAAAAAGGAGAGATAAGGCAGGGAAATTGGCTCAGCATTAGAAAGGGTTAAGGATATTGTAGATAACATAAAAAAGCCAGCCATTTACTCTCCAGTCGATTGGCGAACTACGTTCTGTGGCCCTCCACACGCCGATCTAAAAGTTCATGGCAAAGATACCACACAACCATCAGATGGCGGAGAGGAGACTTATATGAAACGAGTTGAAACGCAGCTGCCGTGAAAACAACGATAGGGCAGAGATGGATAAGCCTTTGTGGGGTAGTGCGGGAATGTGACAGAGCGAAGTTTCAGGGACAGATAGGAACGAAAGAGACGTACCAGGATCATCGCATTTGATATTTGTTTCCCCAATAGAGCATACCACCTTGGGCCCCCATCCCCGTGCAAGCGGTTGGGTCCATACTCTTCCTGGCGTTTCACGACGTCGACATCGGGTAAGCCAGTTTCCGTGTTTGTTTTAAGGATCTGGCCCACTTCATCGACCGACAGTAGAAAGGGGTGCTTCTCATACCCCTGTTTGCCATTGTCCTTGTCGTCTCCCATCACGCAGAGACCCGCCTATGCTGTTATGTAACTTATTTCTTATTTTCTATCTCCTCTCCCTTCTTGAACACCGAGGTAAAAGTAGAATAGGTATAAGGCGTTGACAGTGTCTGCTATAAACAGCTCAGAAGGGCGAGGGAAGGAGTTATGAAGAGGAATGAGCAGAGCGGTAGAGCGGTTCCTAACCGTGGCCAAGAGAGGTAGAATCCAAAATGATCTAAAAAAGGGACGTAGTGTGATCCAGAGCTTGAATAATCAAAACGACGGTGGACAGTAGGCCTATTCGGATATGTAGGTCTATGTGAACTGCGCCGAAACAGTGATGGTCAGTATTATTGGAGGAGCTGTACAAATGTCGAATGGAATGACCGACCAGAGAAAATAGCTTCTAACGACACCACTAAACGATATCAGACGGTATTGTATAGGTCAGATAACGGTATGAATAGAGCCGCAGTCCGATGACACTATCTCAATCTTCACGGCTCCGTGTCAAAAAGGACGGGGTTTGGGTTTCCACTTTGACGTCAATCTAATCTAGACAAAAGTTAAAAATTGTGATATGGGTCTTCTTGCAAGAAGGAAGGCGTACCTGACGATAACGCTGGAGGCAAACAAAAGGGCAAGATCCGGCCACGAAGTGGGAACATCGATGGCTTTATAAATCATCGGCTGGGATTCCTGATCTGACAGGAGGATATTGAAACCGAAAACCGCTCCGCCCCTCCCCATCCGGGCCATCCCCTCCACCCCCAAAAATAGCGTAAGGTTCTTGGCTTCAGACGGACCCGTAGATACGCAACCGTCCTGCCAGTGGGAAGTCTGGGCTCTTGGCGAAGGAGGGTCCGCAGAATTCGCCAACAGCTGCTCAATCACAGCGCTTCATGGGATTTATTTTCTTCTTCCCCCCACACTTCTCTCGCAAGAGTCTCCTCATTCTCTTACTCAACCAGATCGCGGTTTGTCAGTTTTGGACACTCCATCCCACATACAACTCTGAAAGCGGCGCGGAATGGCGAGGTATTGATTGGTCCATGGTTGCGGCCACACTGGCAACCTTGGCATCTGGGCCGCCTATCCTTCTACGCGACAATGACGGTCCAGGTTTATGCCATGTTTTCGCAGGCACACAATCTGCTTGAGGTGGATTGTTTGGGGCGTTCGTCGGAATACTATTATCCATCATCCTTGCATCTCGAAGTCGTTCAGAAGGCAGTTAGTGCCTTGGCGGTTGTCGCATTTCACATGTTGCTTGCTCCCTTGCTGGACTTGGGGGTCGCCACGCTGGGGCGGGCAGATGAGATAAGTCGACATGAGATAGCGGTACCGAGATGGGGGTTGCGTATGTTGCCACGGGAAACAATCACCATATATCATCATCCATTGTGTTCATCCTCTTTCTTCTCCCCACGCTGTAAGAGATCCCGCCAACTCTCCCCGGAGCGACATCTATCGCCATCTCACCCTTGTCAGCTTCCCTCTTTCTCCTCGGCGGACGATGTTCCACCGCAGCCAAGAGCCAAGCGTATTTCCCATTGGATAGCGGGGAGGAAACCTCGCCACGTGATGCACTGATGTTGCTGCCAATAACGCCCCGCCAGATCCCAGAAACCAATCACGATGCGGCCTGGCGCGAGATGGGGCGAGTTTGACGTCGTTGTGCATGAGAGGAGCGGCCTGAGCAGCGGAAACATCTTGGCATGCCAAGAGGTCTTCTGCTTTCGCTGACAACGACCGGGGGCCTTGGGGACAGCGGCCTGGCGCTCTGGATCTCCGGGAGGAGGGCGAGGAGGACGAAGGAGGACGAGGAGGGCCAGGCCTTACGAAGGAACCAAGGCATGCATTGCGTGCTTCCCACATGAAGAGAAGCACCTGGAAGCTCAAGGAAACTAGAAGCCAGAGGAAGTGCTCTGTTTCCACGTTTTGGCCATCAAATCTTTGAAGAGATGGGTTCAGCCATGCAGCTAATACGGAGTGGCTCATGCAGGCCTATAGCCTGGTGAATGGAGGATTTTGTGTGCAAATCCTCTGATGTTGATTTAATTCTGAATCTCGCAATTTCCGATACCCATGCACGCATTGCGAGTTTTACCTAACTAATGAAACAAACAATCCAAAAATCTGATCCACGCATACCCTGACACAAAGAGAGCGTGCCTCCAACCCAACAAAGTAAGAGAAAATAGTGAGAGAAAAAGTGGATAAAATTCATCAATCGCATGTCCAGGAGCAACACAGCGGACTGAGCATACACCGCAACTCCCTCGCTGGCCCGTTTGTCGCCTGTAACTATCATGCATCAACATACCAATATGCAACAGTACGTGGGGTATCGACATCCAGCCCGTCCCAACCTTACACATTCTTCCTATCCAACATGTATAACTTTCCGACAATCTTCCCTGTCGCTGCCACCTCCAGGGGGGGAACCTAGAGGAAAACGCTTGCTGATACTTCCAACCAACCAACCCGACTACTTACCGAATAACTCAACAAATACGTAGATAAGGATTAAGATAAAGATAAATAAGACAAATTAAAATTAAAATCATATTAACTATCAATATATAGAAGTCGCGTGACAGACTCCTATAATACAGTTAAGAATCTCAAACCCAGCCCTTTTTCCTCAATTCCTGGCATCCTCTTATCTTGGCTCAGAGCAAAAAGAAAAATAACAAAGTAAAAAAGAGCGCTGAGAACAGTTCTGGACCTCATCGATTCGGTAATCCACCAGCTCACTAGTATGATATATCTCTATCCGGGCCGTGTGTAGCGTGGGGTGTTTCTGTATTTAAGAAGGCGAGCTTATTTGTGCTGTACGGAGCACATGGACGGTGCAGCACACCCATCTCTCTCTAGTTTCTTCTCTTTCCTTCTTTCCAAGGCGGTCCCGTGTTAAATAACATTTACCCAAAACCCCGTTAAAGGAGCCCTAAAATGGACCAAGACCGAGGCCGGAGAAGGGGTTGGAAGATCTGTTTTATTTATGTCCCGGAAGGTAAGGCCGGAGGGGAGGTGTTTCTTCTGCTTTTCATTTGTTCCGGTCTTGCTGTTTTTATATCCGCTGGAGGGGATAACCCCCATACTACGCAACGAAGAGCCTGGGGTCATCAACAAGGGGTAGGTAGGTAAGATTTTCTTGAAGGCAGCATAGGAATTTCAGTCTATCTTATATTTACAACCCTGGCTACTTACGTGGAGCTTGACTCCTGCAGGTTCAACCCTATCTCATAAACCTAGGGCGAAGTAAAATAAGTAAAAAATATCCATGCACAATCCGCATGCAGACCCAATTGGGACTCAAAGGACCCCAAAATCTAAAACTCGATCATTCGTGGAGGTGGAAGGTTTGTTGAGTGTAGTTATCTTACAGGCTTGCATTCAGCATTAGGGATGACAAACAATCTTTCTATTTCTGAATTTAATTTAATTTTTTTTTTTTTTTTAAAACAATGCAGGATCTATCTTACAGGGTGTACTGTTACTACCGTAAATACAAAGTTCCAGAGCCGCGCTTGTCTCCATCATGATTCATTTACTCATATGTAGTGAGTGTACAAGCACAAATTCTATGGGATTCCTGGAACAAGCGAAGGGAAAACAGCCAAAGAAGCTCTTCTTCCCCCCCACAAAAAGATAGAAGAAAAACAAAGATAAGGACAAAGCCAAACTCACCCACCTGGGGATAAGCTGGATGTAGCGCGGGGTTCCTGCATCTTCCCGTAATTATCGGACGTACCGGGATCGAGTTGGATAGAAAAAATCCAACGGTAAGATTCGACATAGAAATCTCGAACGGTGAGGAAGTGGGGGCTGGGGATGAGAGCCCTCGTGCATGATTTGCCACGAATACCTAGGGGATAAGTAAATAAAGATATATCTGGGTTTCCGTAGGTTCATTTTTCTCCATTTTTTTTTCACTTTGTGTGTTTCCATGTTCATGGCCCATGTCCCCTTCTCCACGGATTGTTGAGGGCAGGTTTATTCCGGGTGGGGGGAGAGAAGAGAAAGAGCAAAAAAAGAGCCTTTCGTCCCTCATCCAAAACCCAATTTTGTCACGTACGTCTTTTGTATGGACACAAACAGCGGATCGGTTGAAAAAAGAGTGCAAAAGGAAAGCATTTTCTGCTTCCCAAAGTCGACCCTACTTCCTTCCCTTCCCCTTCCCTTTCTTTCTCCTCCCACCCGCTCCCGCCCCTTCCTCCGGCTCCGGAACACTAACTGTCCCCTCAACCACATCCTCCCCCTGATCCCTCAGCCTCTCCGCACCACTAATAAAAAAGCTCAAATCGCGATTCTGTTCCCGCAAATCCTCATTCGCAACCGTCAACTTCTGCACCTCCCCATTCAAAAACTCCACCTTCTCCAGCAGACTGCCATTCAAAGCCTTCTCCTCGCGCCACTCCTTCTCCATCCGATGCGCCATGGTCTCAAACTTCTCCGCCCGCCGCTCCGCACGACCCTTGTCGCGCTCAAGATTCGGGATCGTCTCCTTGAGAAGCGTGTCATACTGCGCCTGTATCGCAGCGAGGTTCTTCGTTGCCGATTCCGCAGCCTCTTGGGCAGCGGTGGCAGCTGCGTTCGCGACTGATGCTTTGTCAGCCGCGCGCTCGACGACTTCTTCAAAATAGGTCCGTTGACTTTCCAACTGGCTCGTGAGCAGGTGTGTATATTCCACACTCATGTTCTCCAGCTTCTCACGGGGGACCGCGTCGGCCCAGTCCGGCGGGTCAAGCGCACTCTCTCCCGCCGCGGGCAACTCGACAAGTTTGCCGTCGGACTTGTTTTGAATGATCCGGTGCACGTAGCCGTCGCCCACGTAGTCCCAGACACGTTGAGAAGCAAGGTCCATGGCAAATGCGTGAGAAGTGTCCTTGAAGTGTGCAAAGGCATGAGCTTCGTCATAGCGGCCGCAGCCAATGTTGCCGCATATCAAACATAGCCACAGATTCACCTCGGAATGACACACACGACACTCTGCGGGGCCCTGATCGAAATCAAAGGCATGAGCTGCCCTCTTGCCGAATTCGTCCTGCGTATACCGGCAAACAGGACATCCGCTGCCTTTCCACTTTTGCAGGCATGTACAGTGGAAAACATGCTGGCAAATGATCGTAAGCAAGCCTGTCGTCTCATCCATGCGCTCTAGGCAGACGGGGCATGTCGGTAACTCTATCAGCGAGGGCGTTGGAGGCGCCAATGGTTTCGTAGACAGTGACGTTGAAGAAAGCGTACTCGATTGAGGAGGGGGGGATGCTGAGGATACTAGGCCCTGATTCGTTGTTGCGGGCGTAAAGGGGTCATTATTCATATCTGGAAACTTGCTCTCTGTCCCCGGTGCTTCGACCTGAATCTCGACGGTTTTCACAAATACGACATGACACGTTTCGGGCTGTAAAAATAACATAGCAAAATAATGCAAACATCAGCAACAAATCCAGAGCAAGGATCGAGCCCCTATCGAACAGGAAAAAAAGAGAAAAAAGGGCAGACAGCTCACCTCCATTGAATTGAACACCTTCCCGTTCCAAGCTCGCTGCCACTCCTTCGCCCTTTTCCCGCTCCGAAACTTCATTAAAACCATATACCGATTCGCCCGCGCCGTCCTTATCATCCGAAAGTGGCTAACCTCGTCCCTCGTCTGGTCGCCCACAAACCCTAAAAAGTCCGACGGAGACATATACGACGGGACCGCGAGTATGCACAAAGTGGTACAATCCTCCGTGGAATGGGCGGCCGCGTCTGTTACTGCTGAAGATCCGGATCCTCTAGACCCAGCGTTTTCGTCATCAGCAAGGCCATATTTCCTGCCAACATTGTTGCTGGAATGGCTGTCAAGCATCGCACTCCGTGTGAGCGCCGACCCCTTCAGAAATGACGGGTCATCGTCGTCCCTGTAAAGGGTAGAAGTTTCCACTGCATCACGGTATAAATGTACGATCCCCCACGCGCTATCTGAAACTTTCTGGTCGAGCGGGACATATCTGCCCTTTGTAGCTAGGCCCCCGATGACGTTTGTGCCAATGCCCTTGGCTATCGGGTTATTATTATTATTGCTGCTGCTGTTGTTGTTTCCTTTGGTAGCTGGTTGTTGAGGCTGCTGGGGTTGGTGGCTGGTGGTCGTGGCTGTTTGTTGTTGACTCCGGGTCTGGGATTGTTTCTGGTTCTGGTTTTGTTCTGGAACAACCATGTCGATGCACTCGATGGAGATTTGATCGAGGCGTTTGTCGTTTGCAAGCCTGGAAGTGGGCGTAATAGGTTGAGTTTTTTTGGATGCGGTGTTGGCAAGAGTCTCATGGACTTGCTGAGGGTGATGAGCGCCAACTATCTCGGACTGAGGAGAGGGAGGCGTAGCCGGAGCTGTAGTTGTCGTTGTAGTCGTGTTTGTAGTTGCAAAAGATGTAGATGTACAAGTTCCCAACGAAGCTTGACATTGATGGGGTCCGCTCGAGCTCGAATCTTTGCCTTCTTTATTCAAGAAAGCAACGAACCACAAGATTCACCTAGTTAGTCGACAAGTTCATATCCTACCAAACACCATGTTGGGAATCCACAATGAAAAAATATATAACAATAACACCCAACCAGTAAATAACCAGGATTCCTCTTCAGCGAAATAAAGAGAAAACAGGGAAACAGAAAATGGTGAAACTCACCACCACCTCCAACAAGATCCCTATCAATCTCCCCTCCGCCGCTATTCCCGTTGCTGTTTCCGCCCCTAAAATTCTTCCTCCTCAGATGGCGATTGCTATTTCTATTATTCTGGTTATTATGGCAATCCCAATCGTCACCACCCCTTGCCCCCTTGCCAGCAGAGCCCCTAGCTCTCCTCTTATGACCGTTCCGGAAGGGCTGTAACGCGTCACAGAACCCCCGAAGCGTGATGTCGATGTCGTTTTTGTCTGATCCGTCGAGCAGGAGGCGTAGCTGAGAAGGATGTCGATGTGGATGTGGATGCGACGAGGATGGCGAGAATGGCGAAAAGGTATCAGGGTTATCGTTCTCGTATTGAATGGCAACCGGGCCGTGCTCGTCGGCCGCTAGAGTCGGAGTACTATTGTTGTTACTATTATTATTACCGCCACCAGCTATCAGCAATTCCAGGAGAATATGGTAGAAGTATGAGGGCATCCCGAGTCAACTCATGTGAGCGGGTGAAAAATATGGATATTAGCGGTTTCCTTCGTCGGAATATCACGCCATCACAGCAGGCGATGAGTTGGCTTGCAGTTTATATTATTAACAAAAACGTAGCTGCAATAGCGGGTGGCATAGGCCGTTGGTTTCATTTGAGGGAGTTGCCTTCATTGTCAATATTTTGTTGTTGTTCTATTCTCAATCCTTGAGCGATGTCGCAGAGCACCTGGCAGCTTATTTCCATAGTCACGTGGCATATGACGCAACCTTGGAAACTTTCCGACATTCCCAATCAGGCTTCGGAACTACACCGGGACGAAGGTCTACGGTTACTGCCTGGTGTATTCGCACTTCTATACTCTACGAGAGGAAAGGAGAATAGAAAAATGAAACGAGAGAAGAGAGGTTGTTTGGATTGTTACGAGGAGTCGACAAAAAGGACGTAGTTTATGTGATGTAGATAGCTAAGTGTAAATGAATGCATGGCGTGTCGTAATTTGTTCATAAAAAGAATCCATCCCCAATGACCAATGACGCCAAGCCGGTAGTTTTATTTCTCCCAGCGTAGAAAAAGAAGAAACAAGAGAAGGAAAAAAAAAATGCAGAACACAATGCCAGGAATAAACGTATTTAGTGGCCACCCCGCAATCTCAACACCAAATGGAGAGTGCTTTCCTTTTGAATATTATAATCGGAAAGGGTTCGGCCATCTTCCAGCTGTTTACCAGCAAAGATAAGGCGCTGCTGGTCTGGTGGGATACCCTCTTTATCTTGGATTTTGCTCTTCACGTTGTCGATGGTGTCGGAACTCTCAACTTCGAGTGTAATGGTTTTTCCGGTAAGAGTTTTCACGAAGATCTGCATACCGCCACGAAGTCGGAGGACGAGGTGAAGTGTAGATTCTTTTTGGATATTGTAATCCGAGAGTGTTCGGCCGTCCTCAAGTTGCTTTCCGGCAAATATGAGCCGTTGCTGGTCTGGTGGGATACCTTCTTTATCTTGGATTTTGCTTTTAACGTTGTCGATGGTATCTGAGCTTTCCACTTCCAGGGTGATGGTTTTACCAGTCAGAGTCTTAACGAAGATTTGCATTCCACCACGCAGACGAAGGACGAGATGGAGGGTCGATTCCTTTTGGATGTTATAATCGGACAAGGTGCGGCCATCCTCAAGTTGCTTTCCAGCGAAGATCAGACGTTGCTGGTCTGGGGGGATGCCTTCTTTATCTTGAATTTTGCTCTTTACATTATCGATGGTATCAGAAGATTCCACCTCCAAGGTAATAGTCTTTCCTGTGAGGGTTTTGACAACTGTTTATACGAATTTGTTAGTCCGTTTATATTTTATTTTATTTTTCGTTCTCGCGAGCAAAACAGATAGACATATCTGGGATAACATACAGATCTGCATTCCTCCACGGAGACGGAGAACCAGGTGAAGGGTGGACTCCTTTTGGATGTTATAATCTGACAGCGTACGGCCGTCTTCCAACTGTTTGCCAGCGAAAATAAGACGCTGCTGGTCAGGAGGGATGCCTTCCTTGTCCTGAATTTTAGACTTGACGGCATCGATAGTATCAGCCGACTCAACGTCAAGAGTGATAGTCTTTCCGGTGACTAAAACAAGAACGAAGAAGTGGTATGTTAGCCCAGTTACATAAAGCTGGTTTGGAAGAAAATTCCGCCTTGGAAAGGATATACGTACGGGTTTTCACGAAAATCTGCATGGTGGCGGGTTTGAAGTTGAGGAGAGATGATGGTGAGTCAGTGGCAGAATGGAAGAGTGGGGGTTGTATCGTATTGCAAGGGATCCTAAGGGTACAGAGTTGATCGATGAGATAGTTAGAAACAAGTTGAGGGGAAAAGCAGAGACAGGGATGCCAGTGACGCGGGCGAAGGAGACAGGGTGATGATGATGATGGTGATGGGAAGGAGGGAGTGAGGAGGAAGGAGACGGGGCCCTGGGGTTTAAGTATAACCATGGATGTCAGCAGACTGCCAAAAGAGGCTGGGTTGGAGGCGAAGTTGGTTCTGATTAGTCACGGCCACTCTGTGTGCTGCCTGGTTGGTGACGTTTTGGAATCTTGGCGAAGTTGGTGGAACCAACACTGACTCGAACATCTCGAGCTGGAACACCATCACCTCTTTTCCCATACGCAGGCAGACACCGTCCTGACCATCAAACACCCCAGAAGAGGCTTTTGGCAACCGATCATGCTAGACACACAGACGGACAGTCCCGACCAGTTCCTCGCGTCAACCGCATCCATGCCCTTCCAGCCATAATAACTTAAATATTCTTCCCATTCCTTAATCCAGAGAGAGAAAAGGAAACACTTCCACCGTCTCCTACGACTCAGAATGAAAAGGCCAAGGAAGTTCCAAGCAACTATGTCCGATATGATACCTTCGAAGATTTTTGACAATGAACAAAAACCCCTAAAAAAAAATAAAAATGAAAAAAAACCCCATGGAAAAACAAGAACGATCAACGGGTCGAGGGAGGAGGGACCCTGAGGGAGGGTGTAAGCCGAGTGATGGAACTTTAATCTATATACAGAATACCCAGAATACTTCGAAGGATTCTAGTTAGTGGAGGACCAACTCATCTGGAAAGAGAAAGAATGTGAGTGCAAATTCCGAGAGTGTTTTCATCTATGGAATTGGTTCTTGAATCTCGATTTAGGAGGTATCTGACGAGGAGATTCTATTATGCAGCTTTGATACCTAGTTAATTAAATTAGTGTTTTAGCAATCAATCTCTATCACTATTTAGTTAGCAAGCTTCATCAATATTTGAAACTGATATCAGGTCTGTTGTAAATTCTGAAAGTTTAATTGCTACCATAGAAGATAGTATCGTAATTACAATAAAGAGCTTGATATCATGAATGGCTACAATAAAGCGATCTATGATTCAACAGGTTCTTAAACGTTCTTTGCCATTCCGGTAATTTACCAAGGTGCACATTGAATAAACTTCATTTATTATTTCATGTTGGATTTATATATTTTGAAGCACAAAATGGTGTTTCGAGAGCAGTTGTGATCCACCACAAGGTCCCAAGATCTTGGGTCCGGGCGCGTCCATGGATAGGAAGCTTAAGGGGCCAATAATAGGTGGCGAAGCTCGAAAACATTATTGTCCCGAACTCTCAAAGTGGAAATAAAGCATGTCAGAATCAAGTGAAATTAAAATGCAGCAAATGCAATTCGAGTAGAAGATGGCGATCATCAGCATCAGAATGAACAATGAAACGACGAAAATACAGAACAGAACAGAACAGAACAGAATAGGTAGAGTGAGCATGAGTAGGAAGATAAAAGATATTATTCATCATACGGATCAAATTGGGTTGGGGTTGGTTAAGCTTGGTTATATCATTGTCATTTGTTTGTGATGCCCTGGGCGGCATCAAACGATGTCATAAAACCAATGTAGATTTTACTCGCGATCATCGTAGCCATCGTTGTCGTCATCGTCATCGTCGGTTTCATTTTTCTTCGTTTCGTCCTTGCTGCGCAGGAATAAAAGGCGAGCGAGAAAAGAAGGCAAGAAGAAAAACGTGTACACATGTCTTATGCAAATAAATAAAAGAATAAAGTAAGAAGTCAAGCTAAATATCAAAAACATAAGGTATATCACTTAAGAAAAAGGGATATCTGGATTCCAAAGCATTAACGAGGTTATGTTAAAAGACAAACAAAGGTAATCTCACAAAATATGACAAAATGTTAGACACACGAGGGGTAAAAAGGAAAAGGTAAAAATTAAAACAAATGGAAAATCGAGAACTAAACGAGTGAAAGGTCCAGCCAAAGGGTTTCATGCGGAGCCGTGTTGGGCGTGGTTGTACGTCATTCGTCTCATTCATTTATAGAATTCATGGGTAATGTATCTCATACCAGTCGTAGCAGATGCTATACATTGCTTTCGTAAAATTGTACTTTTTTCGCGCATGGTTGGGTGGAAGGCCGTCAGAACAAAAAAGCAGATTATATCATAAAAACAAAGATCCTTGGAGGTTCTCATGCGTAAAAAGGGGTACTAATAGATAAACGACATCCAGATAAGAAATGGCATGTCCAATTTTAGTTCGCACGAATAACCAGTCTCGAGACAAATTTATTTGATAAACAGTCGAAATCGTTGCGATCGAATGTTGGCTTGCTGCGAGTTCGAAGATAGGATTCTGTAGAATTTAATTGGTTAGATTGTGTGCACGTAAAACTTGCCAGCACATAATCTTGGAGCTTACCATATTTGGTAACATGCTGGCGAACCTCCGTCATAGTATCGCAGACATCAACATTCGAGCCAAGGAGGTGATGATGCTTGCTGGAATCCCATTCGGTGAATGCCGGAAGTTTCTGTGAAATTGCTTGGAAGAGGCCGACGATAACACCGACAGGGGTTGTTTCCATATCAGTGCAGAATTTGTCCGCGGCCGCGGCATCCTAATCACATTAAGGTTAAATTAACAGAGCCCAAACGAAATATATATAAATTTAATCAAAGGCAGGCTTACAGGAACACGATAATGGCAATCAAACTGCATCTCCTCCCACACTGCAAGCAGTATGGAGGCGAGGAGGAAGATGGTTGGCCAGTTTTTCAGCTTGTCACCACTGTAAACACTGGAATAAAGAGCTGATAGTTCCTCCAGAACATCTTTTTGCAATTCTCGCCACATAGTAGCCAAGCCATACTTGATTTGGAAATTAATCATGACTGGCGCCATTATTTTGCCATTGTACCTTGATGTCTCATCGTCAACCTTGCCAGTAAAGTCCTCAATTTCACCGACACCTTCGGCCATGGTAATATGCGTGGTGAGGTTGTAGGCAAGTATGAGCTTCAGTGCCTTCCGGATAACTAGGAGCTTAGTTCGAGAGTAATACCGGAAGGTACTCTTCAGCATCTGCGTCAGGAACGGAGTGCCAGTGAAGTATCCCTCGACAAATTTCTCGAAACTCCCCTCACAGTCAATATGTTTGTCAAGGTAATCCGAAAGCATCGCGGGCGTAATCCCTTCCATCCCAGCTGATAATTTTGCGGTAGCGAGTTCGAAGCTGTTAGGACTGCGTTGCATGGATTCCACCCAATCAACGTTGAAGCACTCTTCATCACGGACATAAACTTCCCGAGCAGTGACAGGAATCACCTGACCGTACCCATGGGTGATGAAGAGTATTCTCTCAACATCAGAGAAACCTTTGATGTTGCCCACAGAGAAGCCTAGAGTAACATGACGTTCATAATCGGCCTTCCAGTCTTTCATGAAGTAGCCGATTTCTTTGATGTCAATGCGAGTGCAAGGAACTTGCCAAAGCCTGGCATGTGATGGCTGACAACCCGCACACGGCTCTCCTTTGTCACACTATATCAAGAGTTAGGTATCTGAAACATGAATGAATGAAAGAAGGTGGGATGGGAGTGGGGTGTTGTTATTAACATACAGTCTTCTTGAGGAACTTGCATCGCAAACAAGCTCTCAATTTTCGTATTTCACTGGCTTGTTTCCGCTGGTCCGGCTTAAGCGGGCCCTTTCGTTTCCCCACGCGTTTCTCAGTCTCCGGTTTTCCAGACTGAGATTGCTTTCGCACTTTGGTTTCTGAGGTCTTTGCCGCAATAGGGCTCTTGCGGGATGGTTTTCTACTTGGAGGAGAAGACGACGCCTGTGACGTCGGGGACCTGGAAGGCGACGAAGATTTCTTGACCGGAATGGGTCTGACGATGGCAACAGGGCTCACGGCAACGGGAGAGGACGATCCATGGGAGGCCAGGTCACATGACAGCCTTCGATTTATGGCGTTGTACTCCGCCTCGAGATTCGATTCTGAACTTGGCGAATTTATCGGATGAGAAAAGTCCGTAAAACTGCCAAACGAGTTCCTTGGGTTGTGAGGATCCAGATCGGAGTATGACGACTCGGACAGGCTTCTATTATGCAGGGTCTCGTTTGGGTTGATGAAGATGGCCTGTTCGTGGTATGGCGAGTCGAGTGACCTACGATTCTCGATGGCTGTCCAGCCATTATCGCTGCTCGAACTGGTCAAGGAACGGACTTCCAAATACGTATCTGTGGGAGAGCTACTGCCCTGGATACTCTGGGAAGTGTAAGATACATCTGGAAGGCCATCCATTGTCGGAAAGGACATGAGATCCGCGTGGAAATCCTGGAAGGTAAAGGGTATCATATCGACTGGTGGTGCAGAGAGAGGAACGTGGTAGGGCCCGTCGAGTAGGCTGGGACCCAGCTGAGCCTGGGTAACAGCTGGCATGAGATCGATTGGCGAAGCCTGGAGCGGGATCGAATAAGAGGAAGTGAATTGGGGAGCTGAAGAGGCCTCAGCTTGCGAATACGGGAGATGGAGGGGTTGTATACTATTTTGAAACTCCCAGTCGCTGATGAGATCGTGGTCGTGCGCTACAGCGGTGTCAAAGTGGTGACCGCTGGTTTGCAGAGGCGAGATATGTCTCCTACCATCGACGCGATGATGCTGGTGCTGGTGCTGGTGCTGGTGCTGGTGCTGATGATGGTGGTGTTGTTGGTGGTGCTGGGTCGGGCGATGGCCCACCGCCACGGACCACGTAGGGGCAGACATGTATCCTCGAGAATCATAATCGAGGCTGACGATGCCATCGTTGGTTAGATCTACATCACCCATTGTAATTGTGGTTGTAGCATAGATATACGGGAAGGGCGGAAGAGTTCTATTGATTCCCACAGAAGACTACTTGGGCACAGCGGAGAGGAGAGGAGAGGAGAGGACAAGAGAGAAGATCTTGTGCCAGGAGATGCACAGGAAGGTGGAGAGCCACGGAGGTAGAGATAGAGATACAGAGGAAATGGAGAGGAGATGGAGTTCCTAAGAGAGAGGATATGAGTGGTGAGATGGCGAGGAGAGGAATGGAGTGGTCCGTTGAGCAGTGCAGTGCAGCAGGGCTGGGGCCGTGTGCTTTACTTGTGCTGTTCCTGCCCGGTGGTTGAGGTGGTTGAGTGTGGGGAGCCAAAGCAGCGGTGAGCCAGCCCGGCCGCTGGTTGGGCAGTGTCCGCCGGAGCTTGGGCCGTGGCGGCAGCGCCCCAGCCCCCATCGCACCAGGCCGGCGCTGCTGCTCTTGGGGCCACGGCCTCCCTGGGCCTGCAGCTGCATGCCACTGCGCCGTGCCAGCCAGTTTTCTGCCCCGGGGAACGGCCTGGATACCGTCAGCGCTCTCCGTGCACCACCATTTATGCCATAGGCCCACGGCTACTACCCTCGTGGACGAGGCTGGGGCCAACCTCGGGCGAAGCACAGCAAAGAACCGTGACCGCATCAGACTTGCTGATTATTCGACGGAGTTTTCCTCCAAGGCCTAGAGTTGCTCCTTCGACGGCGAGGCTAATTGCCACTCGACGGACGCATATCCCCAGCGACAAGCTTGGTCCATCGCCGGAACCAGCAACGGTCCACTTCCGCCAGCCAGATCACGAGTATCAAAACCCACCGCATCAGCATCTTCCGGGCCTATTGATTGGGCTTCTGCTTTTTTGCCTTTCTCTCTTTGGAATGACCATTTATTTGGCAGCTAACTACGCAGCGGTATTGTGGATAAGGGAACCCGCGATGGACTCTTGCGCCGCTCCCACTACGAACCAAATCTCTCCTGTGACCATAAGTCCAAGAGTCCCCAGATGGATACGTTTACGTTTCTTCCAAGAAAGCGGACGTGCCAAAGAAATTCAAAGTTAACGAGGTTAAAGAAATAAGCATGGTGATTCCCATGGATCGATCCCGCTAAAGAAAAATTTAAATAATTAATTAAATTAAATCGAATCGAAGTTGAAAAAAAAAAAAGAAAAGAAAAGAAAAGAAAAGAAGAGAAAAAGAAAAGAAAATAAAAATAAAAAAGCGCCCCCGTCGTCGGCGGGTGTGATCCCGTGGTTGATCAGGGTTGGCATCTGCTCGCTTTCCAACGTGGGCTGGCAACCGGATCCTTGATTCAGAGCCCGTGATTCAATTGTTACCCGACGACGATCTAGCACACGCCCAAAGTGAAGAGAAATAAACATTAACAAGTGCAAAATCAAAAGAAAATAAAAGTAAAAATAAGAGTTAACAAAAATTACATTTCTCCGTTCCCTCTCCCTCCTCACAAAAACAAGGCAAAATGGGACTCATTTGTGAAACTGCACAAGCAATGGCCCGGAATATTAGTTGGATGTTCTCATTGCCCAGTCACATTGTATTTTTATCTTGTTACACATATAATGTACCGTGTTGTGTGCTCTGCCGAGGCTAGGGAGATGTGGTGTTGCAATGCATACGCCGCGTATGTGGATATTGATCAATTTCCATTTCGTCACGGTCTTTTTTGACATCAGCTTTCTTCGCTTAACCTACTGTGCATGCCTACGTTTGCTGGAGGAAGATGTTATCACTGGCAATGTTCCATCCAGCAACAAACCGCAAATCACGCAAAAGAAAATGAAAATCAAAGCACTAACTACTGGTGGCTATGGGATCAAGCAAGGGGAAAAGGGATTCGCCAAAGAGCGAGTGCCGCATCGCGCATCAAGTCAAAACAAGGCAAAACAAGACAAAACAAGGCAAAGGTCGATGGCACACAAACCACAAAGAAGAAGCTTTCATCGAAAAATCAACAGCAACGATGACAACGACAAAAATTCGAGGATTCCCCGCTGACAAGAGAGCCAGAGCCGAAGTCATCGCCTCTCCATCTGCAGCGACCCATCGCGGGACGACGGGTGATGGGCACGCGCAGATAGCGTTATTGGTCATCAACACTGGAGATCTTCCCTCTTGTCAACTTAATTAAATATAGTTAAGCGTCGCGAAAATGCGCCAACTGTTGGTCAACTAAGATAGACTAGTTCGTTACTCACGACTTTGACATCATGATGAGCCTTCTGCCCGCCCCATCCGATAAAATGCGCGGATCTAACATTCTCAACGTCAGCATACTTTGTGCGAAAAAGTCAGCTAGTGAGGTAACTAACTGAAGCGACTCAACTTAGCGAGTTCCAACAACAATTGGAGAGTTGCGGTTCGTGGCCGGGGGCTTGTTGTCTGATGCGTTGTCAACCATGTCAACTGAGCATTCCCCCTCCTATAAAAATGATAATAGAATGGTCGGAAAATAATAAAAATAAGTTAACCAGTCGGAGGAGAGAAGCCCGGTCCCTGCCCCATTCCACTCTTCGTTTTTATTATCTCTCCGTCTTACAAAGGCAAATTTATCTTGTTCTTTGCTGCCCCTCCGTCAGCCCTGTTTCTCTGCCGGGTAATATTTCCCTGATAAGGCTCGAACCTTGGGAGTCTCTTTTTACAGTACTACAGTCCACAATTGACACCTCTTTTTTTTTCTTGGTTCAATTACCTTCACTGTCGGTTCGGTTTCAAATGGAATTAGCGCTGCGTGCGAGTTTCTGTACTCCAGAAGGGACCGGGATCGCGAAGCCACAGACTCACAGGCAATTGTCTCCAATCCCTCGGCACGAGGGATTGGATTCTTGAAGCTTCTGTTGACTAACTTTATTGAATTGCAGTAATGAGACCAGGCGGGGGGGGGGGAGAAAGGGGACACATCTGCACCTTCCACCAACCCAACCATCACGTGCGAAATTCTCTCCCAGGTCCTCATGATTCCTTCAACGTTGCAGCTGGAGAGAGGCAGGAAGAACGCGGGGTCCGTGGTGGGGCAGCAGATACGAGTTCTGCACGCCAAGTGGCAAGCAGTCGTCTCGTCGCCCTTTCTCGGCTTGCCAGTTGATCCATCGCACATTCGCACCAATCCCCCTCCACAGTCTGATTTTGATTCTTGTTTCCTCACGGGCTGGGGTCCGATCTGGGGTATCGATCTCACGGGGCTTGCGGAAACTTATGCTCGATCCAGTGATTTTCCTGCCACACTCCTGAAATTTATGCGAGTGCTCGTTGCTGAAGACAGGCTGGAATCGAACAACAAGGTAATCCTCATGACCAACACAGCATCACAAGGCTACCTTGTTCTTCTATGCAACAGCATATATTGTGATTTGTGAACCAGCACCTATCCATCAATGAAAATCTTAGTTATTGCATGCATCCGTTTCAAGTTGGTTCCCAGCCACCTACCTCAATTCTGCCTCAACGGACTCATTATTTGTTGTTATTCAACTCTCATGTGTCGCAGGAATAAAAATTACCTCAATCTGGCCTTATCACACTTTCTAAGCGAAGTTAAAAGACCAAGTGCATGATTTTTTTAGAGATCCTGCCAGCGTACAGTGTTGAATCGTAGGCTGCCTATTGGCCTATCTCGTTTGATCGGATTCCAAATAAACACCAAGCGAGCAAGGCATGATGAGGTACAAGAACTTGTACCATGGTCGTTGCCTCGATTTTTTTTTTCTGAGTTACCTTACTCTTTTTTGTTCGCTTCTTTGCTTTCTTTCCTTTTTCCCTCCCCCTTGACCGCATTAGCACTCGCATGTTGTCCTTTCCATGCCGAATATCTTTTTACACACCGCTTGCGATTCATTGAGCCGGTGTTTGGCAACTAACCCACTTAGCCCCTTTTTCCATAAATGGAAACCTTGGAAGAGCCCTGGAAACTGGGTGTTGGTCGCGCAGATTGGTTGCCGAGAACGGAAATATCCACTTTTGCCAAAAGCGTCGATGCATTTTCCTGTCCTTCTTAGAAAGTATTGCTGGGAGTGGATTGACTGCGCCCTTTTTCTGCCTCGTCTCTTTCACTCTAATATTTCCATCCTTATTTTATGTTATTTTACATTATTTATTTTGAGTTCACTTTGCACCTTTGCCCCTTTTCGCCCAAACAGCGCCCTCAATCTCACAGCCCATCCATCTGTTGTGGATAGATCTACAGCACGTACATACAGCTCCGGCTGTACAGCGCGATGTATCAAATGCATCATTATATCACTACATATTCTCACATGCAAACGAGCTACGCGCTTTTCAATGAAGTCATGCCAAGCAGAGTAGGAGAAAAAAGGTTTCATTGATCCCGCAGAATAAAGGATAAATAGAAAGTCACACCGTTCAATTACCGGTGCAAAAATGTCCTCTGAATGGATATTGCGGTACAGTTCAAGATTCTCCAACCAAATCAAGAGAGCCCTTGCATAGTGCGTCCTAATTGCGTGCATCAAAGGCTAAATCGGAATTTAAGGGAGAGTTGGGTCGGTGTGGTCAAAATAAAGTTAAAAGAGTGCATTGGCAACCCACATCAAGGTTGGAGATAAGTAAAATGCGGAGCAATTACTTTGGTTTGAGATGGATCTAATATGCAAGAAATACTCTACGCCCCGCCGGTCCGGGGAAAGCGGGAATCGAACATATGTGCTGTATACTGCTATGCCATGGAGAGAGAGCGCGGCATTTCTTTCCCTCTATCTCTCTTCTCTCCTTTTGCCGGGCTGGATCCTCTTGAGATGTATTTTTTTCTTTTTCTTTTTTATTGCTTTTCCCCTTTGCCCCTCCTTTTTCCTTTCCCCTTACCGCCATTACCCTTTCTCCACGTAAATAAATGATATCACACAGTGGGGGTTAGAGTCGCAGCGCCACCGGTCTGTCGACTGATCTGGTCGATATGATGATGTTCCAAAACCTACTAGATCGAAGCGGAAAACAGGAAAACGAAAACGGTCTAGCAACCAGGGATTCGAATCGTGGACATACCATACCATTTATCTTCCATGATCCCATGTGGAAATGGAAATCCAGACACCCGATGCCACGAGCCCTTCTCCGCCACAAGATAAGCGGGTACCAAGGGGCAGGGTGGGGAGGTTGGACAACGATGCAGGGCTCGCTGGTGAGTTAATATTTGGAACGGTCAAGGATCTCCTTGCTACTGTATTTCAATTTCATATATCGCCCCGGCCGTCCATCGATGGGACAGGTTATGAGAGCCTTTGAACATGAACGTGATTTATTTCTTTTTGGACTGGTTGACCCACCTACTCTTTCCCCTTGATTGCAAAATTTTGATTTTCTTCCGCCACCTGGGCCAGCCTGATCGGATGGATATACTCTAAATATATCCCAGAGGAGCGGGATAGCAGGGGTGCGATGGACCTGTTTTATTATTGATTCCAAGAAGAAGTCTCTGCATGTGTGCTATCTTCATACTTTCTGCGATGGGAAGAACGCCGCTGCTCGAGCTTTTGGAGACAGACCATGAATATGTGGTGAACCTGCCTTCTCCTTATTCTTCTCCTTTTGTCCCTTACTCCAAGACATTAGCCGATTCCCGAATTGAAATTTGATACGTTTCCGTCAAACGGACAGATAAAGGCTGGAAGGGTGGTGAGACTGAAAAGCAAAAGGAAGTGGGAAGGGGAAGTCTAACCGCAATATCAAAGTGCCCTCATGGCAACCGCCCGTCTTTCTCTGGCCGGGAATGACACGGCAATGGCATGTGTTGAACTCAGAGAACCCCCATTTTTGGGACAATCGCTCGAGGAACAATTTGGTGACAAATCCGCCTCCCATTCTCGCTCTCCCTCCTTAGCGACCATTTCCTTTCAAATCAAACTGGGGACGAATTAAAACAAAAAAAAACAATATTCTTCGTCGCCGCTCAATCGTTCCCTCTATTTGGAGGGTCGAATATCTGGAGTGGACCTTGTGTATCGATTGAGGTATGTGGATCGTGTTTTAAGAACACGCCACGGCGTTTCTCTGTACGGTGGATCTTCTGTCTTCTGCAAAAGCGGTTTGGGACTCTGCCTTGAATACACATATCCACCACCTATGGCTACCCATCCCCTACGCGTGAAGACACACCTGTCGCCGAAAGAAGAAGTGAGCAGTTCTCGCATATCGCACATGCGCGGTCCTGCAAATGAACTTCACATCTCTTATCCTTCGTTTCGTATCCTTCTTTCTTTTATTTTCTTGTTAATACCTTTTCGTTTAGCTGATCCGATTTGTGTAGGATAAGACCGTAGCCTAAGGGTATTGCTGATTCCGGAGAGCGTGCAGCATTCGTGCAGCTTGATATTCACCTTTGCCGATTAATCAGGATCAGTGTTGGCCCGTCAATGACATGAAAGCATCTGCTTTGGTTCCTCGTGCATTGTGTATCACACATCATTCTTGTATGAGTAGAAATGGCACTCGCACCTCTCTGACGCTCACAAGCGATGCCCTGGGCAGTGGTAATTTTTTTTTTTACCCGGACTCTCCAATGCCGGCAACTCAATTCATCCATTTCGAACAAGATCCCCCGTAGGATTTCATGAGTGGTATTGCTGTGGTCCTTTGGCAAAGTATGTTCAAAGTTTCATAAATTCCACTAAATTTTGACGGAAGGAGAGGTTATATGGTTAAATGCAAGGTAAATTATCCGTCCAATTCGTTGAAGGGATATGTGCCTTGTTATCGTCTCATATGATAAAATCCGTCGTGGAGGAGCGCATACGGGATCAGCAGCTTGCAGAAAGGGATTTAATATAATGAGATATAGCTTTTCCCTCGTTATTTGTATTTCGCAATAGATGTAAATAAAGTAAAATATTGAAATTCTTGATTAAAAACCAGGAATAGAACAGGTTTCTGAAAGGATGATGCTCTCGCCACACATGAGTCTTCAGCAGATGAAATGAATAAAATTGATATGGTTAGACGGCATGGAAGTCATACATTTCCGTTTTACATTTCAGAAGCCTATCGCTTTTGTATCGAAGAGTCAATGTCAGAACAGAGATGTGTGATTCCACAGTTGGCGTGTGGTGTGGGTGAGGGGGGAGCGGCCGGATCAAAGTTTTGGGCAACAATGGCGGACAACAATAAATCTTCGCAAAACAAAGGAACTATCAAAGCACAATATCAACAAAAACGCCTCAATGAAAGCACAAAGGCTTACGACAAATACATCAACGCATTTCTAAAAGTGCAAAAGCCATAATAATACATGGAGCCCCCAATGCGTGCAAGAAGGGCATGATCAGAGGGAAATACCGACGTAAAGTCCGCTTCCCAACCACCACCTCAAATAACAAAGAATCCTCCCCAAGAGCAGCATCCTCTCCCGCCCACCCCAGAACAACCAGACGCAGGCTGCATGGCAGTAGTGCAGCTCCTAGCAACTTAGAGGAACGGCACAAGCAACAGGCGTTGAAAACCGATTCGTCTCCCCACACCACCAGGGAGCCTTCAGCAGCAGCATCATTGTATCCTCATTCGCACGGCAAGCGGAGAAAAAGGAAGAATAAGGATAACATGGCTGCCCCACAAAGCCTTCACGGTCAATATCAAAAGAGCATTCCAGACTTATTCACACAGCTACCCTTAATCCGTGACCAGCTAGTTACGGAGACTTCGAAAACGCAGGATGCAACGATTGACCAGTGTCTCCCGTTCCTGAAGGGGCTTGCCAGCTCCCAGACTGGCCCATTCAATCAATTTGGCGTGCCACGTCTGGATCGGGACGCCCATATTTCGTTCCTCTATGACTCTCTCGAGTCTTACCCTGAGCGGTTTGTCGGACTTGATTCAAGTCGTCCGTGGATGGTCTACTGGGCATTAACCGGATTGTATCTATTAGGGGAAGATGTTACGAAGTTTCGGGAACGGTAGGTTTGGATTCTATTTGTTTATGTCTGATTATAATAATATTCCATCCTATATTATTTTATGTCCTTTCATTTTTGGATGTGCTGCACGTCAGATCCATTTGGTACGGAACGGGGATTGGCGTCGAACACTGGCGGATCTTCGATGCACGAAGAGCGATAACATTGTAGAAAATATATTTCACATCTCGCGTTTCGTGTTACCATCTCACTGACTTTCTACTCTGAATACCCAGCGTCATAGCTACTGCTGCCCCGATGCAAAACTCCACGGGGGGTTTTGGCGGAGGACACGGCCAAATGTCGCATTGTGCTTCTTCTTATGCACTTGTACTTTCTCTGGCCCTAGTGGGCGGGCAGGATGCATTCAAATTGATCAATCGGACGGCAATGTAAGTCCTTCCAACATGTCTTACATGCCGCTTTGTGCCGCAGCATTTTTCATCCGCAGGATACTAATCTGATAGATAAGGTGGCAATGGCTTGGGAAATTGAAGCAAGCAGATGGCGGCTTTCAGGTAACCCTTGGCGGTGAGGAGGATGTGCGGTAGGACTCCCCGAACCACGTTTGAAACGGAACATTATTTACTAAAAAACTGCAGAGGCGCATACTGTGCAATGGTTATGATTGCCTTGTTGGATCTTCCGCTCCAACTACCTCTCGATTCGCCCGCCAGACATGCTGGCTTTGACACTTTCGTAAGCGGGTTGCCAGAATATCTGTCTAGATGTAAGAAAAGAAGCAAATAAATGACATGTGGCATCATCTGGGAGGTAGAGCTGACCATTATCTCGTCTAGGTCAAACTTTCGAAGGTGGGATTTCTGGAAGTCCGGGGACGGAAGCCCATGGTGCATATGCCTTTTGTGCTTTGGCATGTCTATGCATCCTTGGCGACCCTAAGGAGATGATCAAAAGGTTCGTGAGTACATCTGCTATCTATTCCGGAAGCAATGCTAATCTGTCTCTAGATATATGGATCTTCCGCTCTTAATATCATGGCTCTCAGCTACACAGCGTGCTCCGGAAGGTGGATTCGCGGGGAGGACTAACAAGCTGGTTGATGGGTGCTACAGTCATTGGGTTGGCGGTTGCTGGCCCTTGGTCCAAGCTGCCGTCAATGGCATTCAGTCAACATCCACGCCATCATATTCGGGATCTGGCAGCCTTTTCCATCGCGAAGGATTGACAAGATATATCCTCAGTTGTTGTCAAGGGCCCCATGGCGGGCTACGGGATAAACCTGGCAAGTAAGTGCATCTTCCCGCCGGTGGGGCATGTACATCACCCGCTTATGTACAGGGACAAATTTGGGGAGTTTATAAAAGAAACTATCGGCGTGGCTGATCCCCCCTTTTTTTTTAGAAACCCCGATTCCTATCATACCTGTTATATCCTGGCTGGTTTAAGCACCGCACAACACCACCACTTCCATACAGGCATAGCCTCGGCGGGGGAACCTAATAATCCATTTCCATCCGCATTTTCCTGGTCGCATGCACCTGCAACCGCATCAACAGAACAAGGCCAGTCATCTATTGTTTTCAATGAGGAGGATCGACTAGAAGTCGTCCATCCTCTATTCGTCATTCCGCATCGTGCAGCGGGGAAGTTGCGAGAATGGTGTCAGAAGCATCCGCTCCAAATTTGAACATCGAAAAAAAAGTCCGCATTTGCCAACAAGGCATAATGGCGTTTTGGCCTGGGACGAGGGAGGGCAACTTGTAGGCCTAGTTGAAGTATAGGAGTATGAAAAGTCGGGAGGGTTTTCGTGTATATACCTGAATGCACCTGAAACAACTATAGGCTAGCAAAGCTACAACGAATCATGTAAGGCCAAAACCAGTTGTCTTTTCAATCTCTCGTACTACCTGGTTCGATATTTATGCTCCTCTCCTACTGGATCAGATATCTTGGCGCCATTGTAACTGTAGCTGGAGGGTGAGTGTCACCCGGGTCACGTTTTCCGGAGTCAGAAGCAACCTCTTTGCTTGCATTCCTCCTTGCGTCTCGGTAGCACGGTTTGATCATCTTGAGGACAAACAGTGTTACATCGAGAAGAAGCGTTGAGGGCTGAGCTAAACAAACTCTTTTCTATTTCTTCTTGTATCACTGGTTTGTTGGGACTGCAGCAAAGGAGTGCGCATCTGGGGATTCGACCTTCCAGTTCGAACGAGTCATCTCGCTCCTGATTCCCCGAGATATTCCCCTCAGATCGTGACGCGTGTGAACGAAACGGCGAGAGGGTAAGACGGGAAGGAACCGAAGAATGGAAGTTGATTTCTTCATGTCGCATTGTTGATCCACACGAATACTTCCTGCAACTCCAGGTAGGATTATCCACGTAGCGAATCATTTCTTCAGCAAGCCGATGAGGAGGCGCCGGGGTTATCCTGCTCGTTCCTCGATACCCTGTCCAGTGTTCTCTGGACAACAGAAGATTACCGCTGCCGTCTGTCACGAGCGAAACACTCTGAAGCGAAATATTTTGCGGAGGTTTAATATCAGTGGAATCTTTCCACCTTCCAGGGCGGGGAGCCAATGACGCTGCTGATTTGTTGAAGGCCAACATGAATGTGCATAGGCGGATACGTTAGTTTGTATGGAGCTTTGGTCGGTGATTTACGCTGCGGGCCCGCTCAACGTCTTTTTTCGTTGAACTATCACTTACATACGCAGGCAGTTATGGGATTCTGAGGAGATCTTCAATTATAACTATCCTATGATTCCAGCCATTTTAAGGGTCTCGCTGCGAGAAATAATTTTTCGTATTTGAAAAGCGGCGAAATCCACGCCGGACCCTCGTGGTTTGCATCTTCCATTTCTGGAACATGTTGCAGGCGTTTTCTCCACTGGTGGAGGAAGCCATCGATTGCCAACTCATCATTGCATCTTGAATGCCTGTAACTAGTTGAACAACAACGCACAGGCAGCGCCAGTTCCCTTGCCTCAAACACTGGCTTTTGGACCCGTTTCGTATCGGTTATCGCACTGATTCCAGGGTGTTTCCTCCCTTAACTTCACGATAGGTTTGGGCATTTTACTACCACTCAGCCGAACTCTTAGCAGAGTTGTTTCTCTCTCACCTCTTCTTTCTGCCATATGAGTGGCCGTACCATTCCTATGATGACCCGACAAGTCGGTCATTCCTGACGCAAACCTTCTGGCTATGACTCCCCTGCGAATGGCAAAACAAGGGGGGATGGATGGAGCAATGGATGAAAAGCTGTGGGGCCGGAGCTTCCTGGGGAAAGGCAACTATTAATCTACTGCAGACATTTATGCCATCCTGCCTTTCGCGCCAGGGTTCAACTTCGAACTCAGCGCGTTTTGCGCAACGCGAATCCAACCATTGCGAATATAAATTGCATTAGCGGAAGTTGCCAATGTTCCAGGACGTTTAGAGAGGTTGATTCTGCTCCAGCTCTGCGGGGTCTGTACCATCTCTACCAGTACTTTGGTGAAGGAGACACCTCGTAAGACCAAAGGTTGCGCATCCAGTCTGGCATTCTCTCTGCAGCACTGTGGGCCTAGGGTACAGCTGTTCAAGCGTCTTGTCTAAGCCGGACGGGCCAATCCTCGTCGCTTAGATCGACGGCGAATTAAACCATGATAGGCTCAACAAACAAGTTCTGGAGCTTCCCCATTACCCTTCACTGGCAGAAAGCCATGCCAACACATCAAAGCAAGAAAAATCAAAAAAACTCAGATAGAAAACGATAATTTCCTTCCCACAGCGTCCCCCTTTCCTATCCGGCGCTTTCAAATCCCTCGATTGAATAAACCTTGATTGCAAGGGTAAACACTGATTTTCAGCCCCACCCATATATTTTACGCTGCATTAAATCACGCTCGCTTCGCTGTCTACAATGGCTGGTTTTCTCATTCGGGGCATCGGCCAGAGCAACCTTTTTTTATTTATTTTTTCGGTATCTCACATTTTCAAGAATTGCCTGCTATTCTTTTATTAATCCAGAGGTACCTCCCAGTTTATTTGCCAATCTGCCAACAGCCTGTTTGTCCACCACACTTGGAGAGTCTTAGACGGTTGGAATTTAGTGGCGTTGTTGGGCATCAAGCTTCTCATTCTCCTTAAAGTTCATTCTGCAACTTAACGACCTCCCTTGGGCACCTTCAGCCTGAATTGTCGGGTACCAAATTCGATAATCTGTCCAGCCGAGCAGCATAGATCCTGCTGGGTCGGGATTTTCACGATCGAAATGTATTACATTCTGTACCTTGCGAGTATGTTGCCCTAAATATCCCTGGGATAGATTGTGGCAGCTTGAGCCAAAATGGAAAAGGCAACAAAAAATAGCCCAACATATCAATTTTTTTTATTTATTTTCACGAATCATTATGCCATGTCCCGTGGATAATTTAGCGATGCTTACTTTTTTCTTTTTCTTTGGCCATGTGCCTGTGTGTTCAGTCAGAGGCCAACTGGAAATCCCCAAGTATCCGTGTTGTCTTTCCCCTTTCGCATTCACCATTATTAATTCAGAGTTATTTATGGGCATGATAAACTTTTATACCCCAGTATTTTCAACATTGGCATCCGCGAGGATCGAAAGATCGTCATTGTTAGCTACTTGTTTTCTTTTTCTTTAAAAATTAAAAAATGGCAGGCGTCAGGCCGAAATTCACACGTCAAGCCAACATATGACGTTCCACAGCCAATAACATATTTTCTGTCACAGGTCTTTGCCGCCGCCGTCGCTGGCCAGAACCCCTCTACGAATCATATCCCTGTGCGGCCGGATACGGCTGCATTGTGCGCGTCAATAATCGCGAGTATCAGACGGATGTATATTGCGAAACGGAATCCCTCGCCAGAGAAAGCGCGGCTATGCGCGCCTATCTGATCTGCCGGAATTTCTCTGTCAACGATGGGATGTATCCTGCAGGTCACGACCATGGAGGGATTGTACAGGGCATTCCAGTTGCTATTGGCACAGGACGACGTGGTCGTTTTCGCGATGATACTGATGCGTCAACCAGTAGTGGAAGCCGAAGTGGGGGTAGCAGCCCTGAGAGCCACGAGGGAGGTCGACTAGGTCGTGGGCGCCAACCTGCCGCTCCAACGAGAACACTCGCATACGGCCACCAGGGCCTCTAATTTTGTTTCAAACCTATCGATCCCAGTTGACCAAGGTCTGCTCTTCGACACCCTTGACGAGTATCATGATTCGTCAATAAGAAAGCGGCCCGACTATAGAAAGCATAAACCTCGCACCCGCCTTGATGAAACCCAATCCCCCCAGAATTTCTTCCGAGAGACGACAAAAGAGGAAGAGATGGAAAAAAGAAAAGAAAAGTAAAGTAAAGAACAAGAAGAATCGGCCTGCACAGAACTTAACGACTTTATGACTTTATGGTTTCCAACCAAATGATTATGGTGAAGATACGCTGGACAGGTAATACAGAACTGTCTACAATGATTCCCAATCACGCGAGCACACGAATATAACCACACCCGATGACCCGAAAATAACGACATGAAACGATTCCCCATAGATTCTCTTTTGCTTCGTTCTGATATTTCTATATATATCTTCACTGAAGCTGCACTGTACAACACCGATGGAATATCACCACTTCAGTCGGCTATCTTGTTTATGTATCTCTCCTGTCCGCTCAACGTCTCATAATGGTTTCTTCCGCGTGAATGCACGTGGAGTTATATGTTGTTACGGCCTTACTGAGCAGTGGCTCATTCTTTTAGTTTTTAATTGGGAGGCAAGGACCAGGTTCCATGAGAGATTTCAAGGGGAGTTGCTACTTAGCGACGAAAATAAAACGTGAAGGAAAGCTCTCTCTGAAATGAAATCCGTTAGGTTTCAAGCTACAATGACTTATGTTTTACTCGATTCACGGTTACCCATCTGGTTTTTTTATTTTATTTTTTTGCTTATGACAACAAAACTACGTCTCCACTCATGGAGAGGGTCTAGTTAGGGATGAAATTTGCCAGTTCAATGATTTCCAGCAAGCGAGCTAACGAGCATACCGGATTGTGATCGAACGATTCTTTTCACTAAAGCCATTTCTATGTGGCATGTTTACCTCGCGATTTTTGTTGAAATGCATCGGGCAAAGTCTGGGAGTAGAGCTGTTAGATTTTGATTTTATTTTTTTTCTTTCGTTTTGTCCTCTACTTACATTTTTCTTGCCTGGCTGAACCGGCTCTCCTGGTAAAGGGGATATTACGAATAATTTAAGGGAACGATTTTGATTATGCTCATAATACCGATAATGTTAGACATATTTTTGAATAAATAACGGGGACAAAAAGAAAATAAATTTCTCACGATTGACTGTGGTTTCTAGATGAGTGTAAAGGTTTGGACCCATTCACAGGGGTGCAAATAACTGCCTACAGATGTTAGCAACAAAACCCTTACATCGGGTCTTTCACCTGGGGGAGCGGGGGAGGATATTTGATTTCCGATGCTTTTATAGTTAGGCGTCCAACATCATTATAAAAAGAGGCAATAGGAACTACCTTTACTCGACATCCCAAGATTTAAATTACCTTTCCCTTTATGAGTTCTATACAAAACACATTCCTCACGAGTCAAGACCAATTGGATGGATTGGCATAATTGTGCAACATCCAATTGATGCATCGCTATATGTCTCAACTGCCTTAATTGCACTGGCTCTTTATGCGTCTTGTCTCTCCCAAGAACATGACAAGCATGACGATTGCTAAAAGAGATGTGGAAAGAGCAATTCACATTTACGTACTCTATATCAACTCTGAAACATGGGGATGGGACATCAGTACGATTTCATTGACCCCTGCTTGGCTTCTCGCGTGATTGGGGGGTGCCCCCTTCAGAAACCACTGGTGATGTGAAGTTGAACTGATTGAAAGGTACTAAAGCCGCTTGCGAAACTGAGCCGTGAGGTTGGGTTTAGAATCAACCCGACACGAGAGAGAACCATCCAGGGGATGTCATACGCTCCCTTCGTGGACGTCGGCCCAGGGGGAAGGTCCACTTAGCGCCGTCCGTTGCCACCAAAACTGACCACCTCCGTTATCCACAGGAGAAACAACCTCGATGACAGTGAAAGTCGTCATTCAAGTACGCGCGCCAAACGGGGTTTGGTATGGATTTATATTTCGTATCTTTGACGAAATCTTCTTTCTCTGTTATTCGAGTATCTTATGATGTCTTCAGGTCCCAGGAATTGACGTCATTCCATGCCTCCTATCAGGTCACCGACTAGGGATGCCCTTGCTAATCCATACAAAATTTCCTGGAAGTCAGCCAGCATCTCGGGTCCGCATTCGATCGCATGGACTCTACGAGTGGGCTGAGTTGTGATGACACGGCTATAATCGTAGCATCATGGTACTCCCTCTTCTCGTATGATATTACTATTAATCTGGATATCCGATAAGTTCCTTCGACTACATGATGATTGAAGCAGAGTGGCATGGGAAGGAATACCAAACACATGTAGGGATTTAGGTATTTCTGGGATTTTTAGTTGATTGATACTAACAAGTGGTCAAGATATTGAGAAAGCACATTGTGTCTTTCATACCCCGCTATCTCTCACTGCCCACTGAGGAACCTCTAGTCTTCTTGTCCGATGAAATACAAAACGCCAACGAGAAAAGAGATTCTTTCAAAGGTAAAATGGCAAATCCCAAAAGCGGATAAAGGGGACAGAAGATAACAGGAATATTTCCACAATGAGACTGGGGAAGAACCGGCTGACGAAGTGGAAATTTTTATCGGATGAGCCATTGGGAGAACTCTGACGCAAAGATTGATCGATCAATTACATCACCAACTCTTGTCCAAAGGCTCGGAAGATATGTGCTTCATCCGGGGAATTGAAGTTACTCCTTCACCATAATTTGATAATTGGCAAACATAAAGAGTGAGATTGATATACTCTTGGGACGTCATACCAACGGTAGATCTTCCCCAATGCCACGCCTATAGATGAGCCTTCAGCTCACGAGAGCCTGAAAAACCCTCTACTAGTTTTCGAATCATATGTTAGCTAACCGAACCTAAGCCCTCGCTCTATAACTAAAAGCTTTAACGCACCTGATTTTTGGTTTTTTATTTATAGGCCAGCACTTGGAGGCAAATTACACTGAAGGAAACGAGACGATTGACAGATCAACTTTTGATTATTTCAAATGCCCCAGTGGGGAGAGAAAGAAAACGCCTTAATATAAAAATAAAACCTCTGCCGCCAGATATGATTGTCTAGGCTGGACCCACCAATTATGGTGAGAGGAAAAATACACTCAGAAAATTGGAGGATGGCTAACAAACTGAATAAATAAGCTTCCGGGCAAAGATTCAAGGAAAATTAAGCCAACAGATTTACGAATGAAATCCAGATTGCCGCCGGGAAACTGCGAATATGTCGCCCAGCAACCAAAGCATTCGAAGTCGAAACCGTTGTGCAATTTAAATGGCATACATCAGTGCGTGCCGTTCCGGACGGGATCATAATATCCCCCATTTTGTCTTTCACTGCCAGTGGTAGCACTTCGGCCATTCTTCGGCTGTCCCTGACCTAATGGCAAAATTGTCTATCAGTTTTTGAATGCGGGAAACAATATGTCAACAAGGTGAACGGGGATTGGGTACCACCCGAATTCCCAGACCCTCCGTCTTCGCCTTTCCGGCGATTACGATTATTTCGAACGTCTCGAGAACGGAACACGCTGTACAACAGCCACCCTGTTACCCAGTTGGGCCCATATTCTCCGTCTGTAATACCGCGGTCGAACCACGCTCGTGTGACCGGTTTGGAGTTTCGCCAAATTTCTAGAATTCCCCATCGTTGTCTCTCTGGTCGGATGTGGTGCCAAAAAAACGGTGGTCGGATTGAAGGGTCGTTTCTCAGGTTTTCAAGTAGGTTTGAATTGTCCTGGTTCAATATGTTGTACACAACAATGGCTTCATCCTATGGATGTTGATTAGTAGAGACTCCCGAGGCCACAATCCTGTGCGTCTCGGAACGATCTTTCCTAGTCATGAAAATCCTCTGACAAGTTGTGGAAAACTTACTCTCATTGCTCGATAAAAAGGTTCATGTTGAGGGTTATTCGCATCGAGACCCAACGCATGCATAAAGTCCTCCTTGGACACGCGAGGGCCAACAGCCATCCTTTTAGATGATCAAGCGCTTCCGGGAAACAAAATGACCATGGACTTTTAATCGTTTAACGTGGCGGGATTTCTTCGTGGACTTCCTTAGGCTCACTCAAACTTTTTCTGTGATGGCTGTTTTGGAAGGAGAATATGCGGTTTACACTGGATTATAAGTATGCTTTATACCTGTCGTTCGAGAACCGCCTGGGTAGCAAACATCCTGCAGCCTCCCCGGAGCTTACCTCTTCCCGCTCAAAAAAGAAGAATAAAATGGAAAGAAAAGCAAAAAAAGACCCTGAAAGAAGGGTCGGACGCGAATCAATCCCTCTAATGTTGTGTGGTCTACGGTAAGTCCTTCTGATTGATGCATTAAAGAGTAATGTCATGTGCGACTGGGTTTACCCTTATGTCCAAGTAGCTAGGGCCAAAATCCCCTATCGAAGGGCGGTGCGTAAGTTCGACTCATTATTGCCAAATTTTTGAATTTTCGGTTTCCTCCTGCAGGTGCCCGCGCCACGGCAGTGCCTAACCATTGTCACGGATTCAAGTGAGCCCTCTTGAAGAACCGAGAAGATGGGAATAGCATTGGATGGGTATGTTATTACCAGCTCATACATTTTTTGGAGCCTCAGGCTGTTCGTCCCGTTCTGAAATGTAGAGTCTTGAACCTGTGTTGTTAAGGCTACATTCGTCAATGAAATTATCGAATAATAACAACCTGTTATCTAAAGGACTTCCCAATGGAACTCGCCCTTGTGTTAGCTTTCTCCAATGCGTCACCCTTGCTATTGATTCCGTTTTTGTGAGACACACGAATTCCCATCATCGATAATCGCATAAAAGCTGCTGCTCATTTGGACACCTTTAAATCGTATTGGTACATTGGGAAATCCCCGGTTTGAAAGTAACGAAACAAATAGCCTTGCTTGCGATCGAAAACCCTTGAATCTTGATGATAATGGACCCTGTTGGCTTCCAGTTCAGGATTCCCCTTTTTCTAAGTACCACTGGGAACAATTGCATCGATTTGTACAATTCTTCCTTTGTTGTCCAACAATTTACATGGTAATACTGCCGTTTCATCACTCACATTTTTGTACCCATGGACTGAAAACCTGGCTTGCCGTCATTTATACACCACACAAACTTCAATTCTGGTCCATACTAGATATTCGTTACGAATTTAAATGCAAGGATCGATATCTGATGCATATGCCACCCAGCGGGTGTTCCCCCGCCTACTGGGCATCCGGTGGCTTGTGTTTTAATTCCAGCAATTCCAGCCGTCATTCCAGGGTTCATGTATGCACAGTACGGATATCATGTTACTGATTGTCGACGCCCTGCATCAAAGTTCGCTATTTCATACCGTCTTTTGCAGTTTATGCTCTCCTGGTCAGCCAGTAAAAACATGATGAAATGGAAAAGGAAGCAAAATGGAATGTGAACGTATTTTAAGTTCCACGTTGACTAGATTGTTCTTCATTCCCAGGAGGCCTATGCAAACCTCGATTTTTGATTCAACAAAAGAACGGAGCCCAATGAGCGGCGAGGAACGTTAATTGCGGCGTCAAGCATGCAGTGTAGATCGACAATACACAACAATAATTAACTGGAAATGGCCTCTATTTAAGCTTCAGGGTCCAGCGCCGATCCGAAAAAAAAGCAAATCTAACAAACAAGATAAAGGATACCAAACAGCTTGTGGAGAACTGAGAGATTTTAACACGTGATATTTGAGCCCTACCTGCGCATCTATCTATCCAATCTGCCCCATGAAGCGGATCCTAAATATGTTATGTCGTCAACAAAGGAAGCTGGTCTTAAACCTTTCAGTCTTTCGACCAAGAGCTGATAGTTCGTACGATGCATCATCACTGTGTTTTGCGGCTGGCTGAAAAGAGCACTTAATGTGCTGGTTCAACACAATCCCCCCCAAGTTTCAGAGCTTTGCCCCTTGCCATTCCCAAGAAGAAAAGCCGCAAATACCTCTTTGCGCTCATTGCATCAATTTTTCTTCACATCTCAATTACACACTTCAAATTCTGTGGTGTGACCTGTCAAACTTTATATCGATGCCGCTGCAAGCGAGAATAAGGGGTTTTAAGAAAAAAGGGAGAATGCTGAGAAAATCTTGAATTTCCCTTGACCTGTTTATCTCCGGTCACATACGGATACATACGAAAAGAGTGAGTGGAAAGGGGAAACGAAGTGGTCGGTTGCAGATCCCGATGTTGACTGTTGTTTTAACTGCCTTCTTGGCCACTTGGAACCTTGACCAATCATTCGTTATTTTTTATTGGATTTGATGCCCTGGGAAATTCTTTCGAAGGGTTGCCGTTCTCTTACTTTTGTCGATTGGCTCTACCAACCTCCACATGTTCTTTCCTCTACCTTTACGCAAGCGCGCCGGTCTGAGCGCTTCGGTATCGAGCATCTTGCATTCCAGATTATGTACTAAGCCATGCAAGTTTATACTTTTGTATCCCGCCACTCCCACCTTGGAGAATCCTGCAACTGCATTTCACCAGAAGACGAAATAGCAAGTTTCTTTTCGTGAGGATCGACAATGATATCTTTCCTAGGAGTCAGGAATGCAAACCAAATTGCTTGCGCTGCCTGTCAATGAACTTCCTTACCCGTTTATAAGATTAATTTACTCAGGAAATTGCTTCTCTGCAACTTCCATTTTCACATTTTTAAAATTCTGCATTCTAACGCCTGATCAGGTTCTGTCTGTACGCGAGCTTTGCTGTACTCTTTAGCGGAGTTTTTCAAGTTTTTGTATTCCCTTACATCAACTAATATAGACCAGGCTCTTTCAAAGGTATGACAACTGGATGGCATCCTAACGGCTGCCCTGCTTGCGGTCCTACTTGCTATTCCTACCTATCGGTAGACTCCCTTCTGGCTGCTGTACGTATATGTGTTCCTCGACCTGCAGCCGTTGGCGGGTGTAACCTGGAAAATCGCACGCAGAGTCTCGGCTGCAGCAAAGGAAGGAGGTAAGGAAGGAGGTAAGGAATAGTGGAGGAAAGCTCAAGTCTCATTTCAAATACCCCAAAATTTTGTTAAGCAGCGTGAACGAACGAGTTATGCCTAAGCTTTTGTTATCCATTGAAGTTTATACTGGTGTGTTCGCGTTCGCTCACTGTATTCTCATTGTCAATAGTCATATCTTCGTCTGGACTATTACACTACTCTTTCAGACGACAAAGGAAGGGTTTCTTTAGTCTATCCAATTTTGGACAGGGAGATATTCTATATTCCCTATAGCAATGGTTTGTCTATAAGCTTCCAAATGGATATAGAGCTCCATTCTTATGGGTATGCCGCAGTACGCCTCTATGTGCGACAAGCCCAAATCAAATATCCGATTGTTTGACAAGCATTTTATACTTATGGACGTTTTTTGCTGGATTTTTTGTTTACTACCAGGTGCTGGATTGGAGGGAATAAAAATTGAAAAGTCCCACTTGACCTCATCGATTGTCTTCCTTGTTCGTATCTGAAACCATTATATGAATGTTGTGGCATAAGTATAACAAAACTATTCATCTGTCTCCTTATTGAGGAACGTACATTAATATCAGAATAAGGGGCCGGACAAGGCGACGAACTAGCCCGTTAAGTCCACCCTTGCGGTGAATTTGTTGCGTTCTGTGCCTGATATGATTTTTTTTTTTTTCAAGATCTCATTTTATCCCGTTGGCATGGCTTTTACCAACTCAATTGGCACATAACAGGGCACATAACAGTCCACTCGCTTGCCTCCACCTTCTAATTAGAGAGCATGGGTATGGGTGCCATCGGCCAGTATAATACATATAGATATATATATATATATATATTAATCGAACGTACCAGTTTGAGATATGTATACCTTGTGCGTTAAGATATGCAAAGCTATTCAAGTCCCGAAGCATCAAAAAAGCCTCCAACCCGTATTCTCCCAGAATAGCGTTCCTTTTTTTTTTTTTTTTTTTTTTTTTTTTGCCCGCCAACGGCAATCCTAACATGCGGACGCTGAGCGCGTCAGCCATTTGAACCAGGTGCCACAGATACCAGGTGTTCATATGCTAGTATAAAGCCATCGTCGGGCAACGAAATCGGCTCGGGCAGCACAGCCTCGGTCGAATGTAACTCCCGTTGCTATCTGCATATGATCTCGAATTGAGATATGGCTGTGTCCAGTAAAGAGGGGTACACAGTCAGATTTTCTAATTTAAAGCCAGAAGAGATATCACAAGACTGAAGGTAGCCAGCGGGAGAACACATCGGTTATTGATCTCTTGTGGATCTATGGGCCCTGTTGCTGTGAGATGCAAGTGTTGATTTGAGGTGGCGGAAATTTTGTGTCCCACGTTTGGCAAAATCGAATTAGGGGGGATATACCATCTCTCTTTTCCCTCCTATCAAAGTGAAGGTCGCTTTCAGATTATACCGGCTTAATTTTTGGTTTATCTTCTAGTTCAGGAGAGAGTTTCATCGGCAGAATCCGCCCGATCCAGAGACATCCTGCGATCAGTCAATGGCCATCGCACTCCGAGCCTCCAACCTCAGACGACCAGGAATCCGTTAGAGACCCGGTAAAAATCCCCGAAAATCGTGACGTCGAGGGTCTAGGCTAGTTTGGCCTCAACCCACTGCACAGAAAAGAGTAACTCAATAACCCAAATATTGACAAGGAGATAGTTTCAATATTTCATCGTTCGTAGGGCCTAAGGGGGTATGGTGAAGCACCGCCACCGTCGGGTATCTAACATGGATCTTTCCGGTCTATCACATAAGTGCGGCTTTGATATGCCAACATACTCTGCAGTCTGGAGGCCCAATATCTGTTTGTCAAGTAGGGGATTTGCAAGGCTATGTAACAGAGATCATCAGATGGAGTATCCGATTTTCCAGCTTCTGAGCCGTCATAGTCGTTTTATCAGAGACCCTGATATGTTGAAATTCTTTCATCTGTCCGCATGGCAGACGCAATTGAATCTATGGCGGCGATCCATATCTTCCCCTCTACCCCATTAACAATGGAAAATGCACCAAGACATATCAAAGAAAATAGCAAATTTCCCAAAACCAGGGAGTTTCTCGATGTTTTGAATGTTAAATAGGAGGTATCAACATTCATTTTTTAAAGAGGGGGTAAATGAAACCCAACTGCTCTCTCAAGGGGGATTAAAGATAGCCAGGTCCAAAATATCAAGGAGTAGTTAAGTGCGCAAACAAGAAGCTTGGTCTGTGCTTAGAGATACACTCTGGGACTCGGGAGATGGCACCCGTGGGACAGTTTCTTCTGCTTGTCAACTAGCATGCTGCTTGCAACCACTGATAGATTCGATCACTGCTATGACATTCCTATACCATCGAGGAGACAGGAGCGGAGAGAGGAGACTTTGATATGTCGGATCTCTGGGGCAACTGAATACCAGGCTCTTGATACAAGAGGTTGGCTGCGGCCAGCAGGCCTATTCAACAGTGGAGAAGAGATTTAGATGACCGGGTCCTGTGCTGTCATAAAGCCAGCATTGGGAGGGAAACGGTCATTTTTAAAGGTCATGATGCCACAATTATCTATCGCCTCTGAGGCTTGTACTTGATCAATGGCTTGAAATAAATCTTGCATTGCAGCTGCAGCATTTCCTTGTGGTCTCCTCGTGGTACCTGTTTTCGCCTTGCGAGTGCTCTTTCTCCTCCACGAAATTGAGCATTGGAGCGGATAGATATTAATATTGATACTGATAGCCTTGCTTCCAATATATCAAGCGATATTCGCCAGAATGATAATATTTCTCTTCCCGGCCATATTTAAGCTCGGGAACGTGTAACTGACTTAAGGGGATTCAAGGACCAAAGCCGAAGCTTGCATGCGCTACTCCGTAGAAGTGCTAATTGTTACTTACCAACCTTGAATCGGATATGTCCTTCCTCCAACGCGGAGTGGAAGTATTTGAGGCCCTTGGTATTGAGATTTCCAGAGAAATATTTCACACCACTTTCTGCTCTGACACGCTAACCTCACAACTGTGGATTGGGACAACCGCGGCATCCAATGGCAACCTGGGCAGTGGGCACTGCCTGCTCTGGAAGTGAAACGCGGGCCGGGCAAGGGCTGGCGCGTAATATTTATCTCGAGGCACAGCCGAAACCAACCCAACCCCTGAGCCACCAGCCTAGCAGGGAGCCAGGCAAGGGCAATCCGGAGTGTAACCTCGCCAGAGCAACATTCAACAATCCATGCGTTCGCCGGCGACCTGAAAACACGCAAACTTTCCTATTCTTCATTTTCTTTGCTGCTCTTCTTCACTTCAACCCCTCTCTTCCAGATATCGCCATCAACGGGTGCTGGCCGTCCCTTCACTTCACTTCTTGATCTGGCGAATTTCTATTCTAGTTGACTAGTTTATTCCCCGACCGCGTCTACTTTTTCACCAACCAACTGCGATCTGGGCAAGAGTACAAAAAGGTACTGTACAATGCGCTGGTTTCAGGGCACCCTCATCTGCACTATTGGCGCTGCACTGGGGCAAAACGGGGTGGGCGCAAATGTTCTGCGGTCAAATATGCAGAGTAATCTAGGTTCGTCGTTGTAGCCCCATCTGATCCCTTTCTATTTATATATAAGAGAAGGCGCGTGCTTTGGCAGACACGATCAAAAAAGAAAGAGACGAAGATGCTTATACCACGTTCCCACGCATGTATATAGTCACAGCCCGTGCGCCAGCGGATGCGCCTTCAGATGGAAACGGCGTATATCCGCCCGAATGCCACGTAGAGCGTGACTCGAAGTATCCATTCTGTCTGCCTAAGAATGGATCTGAAGTGCTTACGGAGCAAATATACTACGGTATGCAAAAGAAGACCCTCTCCGTGATGTAGAGAAAATTTTCCAAGTGGAGTCGGGGAGGGCTACACCTGCGGGAAGACACAAGACTATTGTTTAACCATTTAATAAATATAAATAGTTACCTGGGACTCGGACCTTTTCCCGGGAAACTCCACCATCACCATCGGGCTAAATTATGCCAACTCGAGCGAGAATGAAGGCGTCTCCGCCTACACATCCGACCGCACAGAAAACAGCTATGGCTTCGTCACGATACAAATGGACAAGGTCTGGCTGCACGGCGAATCGCGCAATAACCTATCCATATATCTTGTCGAGTACGACCCTGCATCAAAGGAGAGAGCAAAGACAGTTGCGGGGCCCATAATTTCCCTCACCAATAAGCCTGGCAAGCACTACCCACCGCCACCGCCCACAGCCGTCCCCAACAAGCTGGGCCTCATGATTGGATTGCCGGTTGCTCTGGGTGTGATTTTCGTCGTTTTGCTTGGGCTGTATTTTGGCATGAAAAAGAACAGACGTATCGGGTTAGGGAATATTATGGGATCCAGGAGCAAAGGGTATGGCGGCGGGAAATCCAGGATTGAAAGGTTAGGCGGCGGGCGAGGGAGACGACGTGATCGTGGTGCTGCTGGTGCCGCAAGCGTCAGGCTGGGTGAATTGGACGACGGCGAACAATACACATACACGGATGACCCACGGGGTGGGAGGATCAGGAGTGATGCTGAAATTTTCAATGAGTCTGAGAGAGCCAGAGGGAATGTGTTTAAGGAGGAATTGACGCGGATGAAGAGCTGGAGGTGAAAATATACACCTTCCTGCCTTTGGCTCTCTTTTTGAATCCTACCCTTCGGGGCCTACCGGGTTCAATTAGCCCCAGTTGTTCCACAGTTGCCCATCCCTTTTGCTTCGGTTTGGTTTTTCCTCTGTGCTATTTGGAACATCCCTAAATGAGTGCACAGTACATGTACAGTACTTTTGATGTATGACTAGACGACACGTTCTTTCTCACATGGGAATTATTCATGGACTGACAATTAGTTGCTTTGGTGTATTTCTCGTCATTCCCGCATGTAACTTCGTTGTGGGGTTGAGGAATCGGCGGTGCACGGTGGCGTGCGTTTATTCTTTCGTGATCCATAGATTGATTGTGATAAGCCATTATTGGATGTAAAAGGCGAGGTAAAGACGAAAGAAAATCCTCATTTACAAGCCAACAATCCCACTCGGAGCACAAGGACATCTTGCGGGACTTTCCGATGCTGGGTATATTCCTACTCCTTGGTGACATCGAAGTCAATAGACGTACTTGCTGGTACGAGATTAGCGACAGAAAAAGTCAAGCGGGTGGACCAAAGATGTCGAAAGTTTGACAGGCGGTAATGGTTTGGTAACTTGCTTGGGAATTGCCATACAAAATCTTTGCATCTCCGCCACATTTCCCCAGTTTTGCCTCCGTAATTACCGTATTTTTGATGTTTCGTTCCTTTTGCTTTTTTTTTTTCCCCTTCAGACGAGTCATCGAAATCGAGTTGTTCTGTCCCTCACAACCGTCTCCCCGTCGATTTCTGCTTCTCATCCACGTCAAACCTGCTCTCCATACTTTCTTTCTACTTAATCTTAGACCCCTTCCCTCGCTACAATTCCTAGATCTTTAGAATCTACCCAGGACTGTATTGGCCGCTATTATTCCGTCCATCTCCCTCCCCTCCGCACGCATCAAACCCCGCCAAATCCGTCGCCATGTGCACCTGTTCAGGAGCGTCGGACACAAACGGCCACACAAATGGCGGCCACACCAACGGCCACACTAATGGCCAGACCAATCGCCAGGTCAATGGAACTGGTAAGGCCCTCCCTTCCAAAGAAGAAAAAGGGGAATTGTATACCTCTAAACGCGGACATATCTTGCTGACCTCGTCAAGGAATGGTATCCAAGGACGGCTTCACTGCCGTGCAGACACGCCAAAACCCGCACCCACACGCCTCACGGAATCCATACGGCCACAATGCCGGAATCACAGACTTCCTGAGCAATGTATCGAGATTTAAGATTATCGAGAGCACTCTACGTGAGGGCGAGCAGTTTGCGAATGCCTTCTTTGATACGGAGAAGAAGATTGAGATTGCGAAGGCCTTGGATGATTTTGGTGTAGACTATGTGAGTCATTCATTCTCCTTTAAAAATTTTAAGGCCTTCTTTTTTTTTTTTTTTTTTTTTTTTTCGGATGCTACACTCCCCGGTTGTCACGGTAGTCTTATTCTTATTATGACTATATCATACTAATCGCAATTGATGCGGTAGATCGAACTTACCAGTCCATGTGCTTCGGAGCAATCGAGGAAGGACTGCGAAGCCATTTGCAAGCTTGGATTGAAGGCAAAGGTATGTGGCATACATAAATACTCCGCAGAACAGCTACTTGGGTCTGCGAATCTAGAACTAATCCTCGTATCCATGGTAGATTCTCACGCATATCCGATGCCATATGGATGATGCCCGCGTAGCTGTCGAGACTGGCGTTGATGGAGTGTAAGCATCCCATCCCATCCCCCTTCAAAATACGCTCTTGTACGCAAGCATCCCTCTGACATTACATCAATAGCGACGTTGTCATTGGCACTTCATCATATCTCCGTGAACACTCCCACGGAAAGGATATGACCTACATCAAGGATACTGCGATTGAAGTCATCGAATTCGTCAAGTCCAAGGGCATTGAGATCAGATTCTCGAGTGAAGACTCATTCCGATCAGACCTCGTCGATCTCCTTTCCATCTACTCCGCCGTGGACCAAGTGGGCGTCAACCGCGTCGGCATCGCAGATACCGTCGGCTGCGCCTCACCCCGACAAGTCTACGAACTTGTCCGCGTCTTACGCGGCGTTGTCAATTGCGACATCGAAATCCATCTCCACAACGACACGGGCTGCGCCATCGCCAACGCCTACTGCGCCCTTGAAGCCGGCGCCACGCACGTCGACACTTCCGTCCTCGGAATCGGCGAGCGCAATGGCATCACACCGCTCGGCGGCCTCATGGCGCGCATGATTGCCGCAGACCGAGACTACGTCAAGAGCAAGTACAAGCTCGAGAAGATCAAGGATATCGAGGACCTGGTCGCCGAAGCGGTGCAGGTCAACATCCCCTTCAACAACTACATCACGGGCTTCTGCGCTTTCACGCACAAGGCCGGTATCCACGCCAAGGCCATCCTCAACAACCCCAGCACATACGAGATCATCAACCCAGCCGACTTTGGTATGACCCGCTACGTGCACTTCGCCTCGCGCCTGACGGGCTGGAACGCCATCAAGTCGCGCGCGCAGCAGCTGAATATCGAGATGACCGATGCGCAGTACAAGGAGTGCACGGCCAGCATTAAGCTGCTGGCAGATATCAGGCCCATCGCGGTTGATGATGCGGATAGTATCATCCGTGCCTTCCATAGGAATCTCAAGTCCGGCGAGAATAAGCCGCTGTTAGACCTTTCTGCTGCGGAGAAGGAGGCGTTGGCGGAGATGGAGATGGAGATGGACGGGAAGGAGGGGTGAGGTTTTCCTTGTGTAAGAAAAAAGGGAGTGGAGAGAATTATGGTTTATTCAGGTACCAGAAAAGAAGGGAATATCGCAATCACCGTCAAAATCATGAAAAGTAGATAGAAAGGAGCTTGTTTGGTTTGTTCTGCTGGTTTGGGTTAGGGGGCGGGTTGGAAAGATAATATCCACCACGTTTATGATTTTTTGATACATCTCTTGATGATCATTTTGCATTTCCATTCGCATTTCCAATTCATTTCTCTTTTCCTCTTCCGGACCTCCTTTTTTTATTTTGGGCCCCCTTTTCGGGCCCCCCTGAAACACACGAACGAAGTGTAGTTCTGTGTGGGGGGGAGAGTGGCACAATAGGGGTAAAAAGCAAATATATTAAAAAGAACAGAGCGACCGCTGCTCTCATCCTTCAAAAAGTTCAAATTCCTTTTCTTTTTTCAACTAACTAATTCAATCCAGAAAGGGGCTCGCTGTGTTTCTGTTTTCTTTATTATTAGTTTTTATTGTTGTTCCTTGTTTTAAATCTTTTTTTCTTCTTTCGGTTGTCTTCAACTTCGCAAGACATGGATGGTATCTCCTGCTTCCTATTATTTTTTCTTTCCGGTTTTTTTTTTTTTTTCTTTTTAAAAAAATGGTCACGTTTTTCTCCTTCTCTCCTCGTTCTTCTTTCATTTCTGCCTTGTCATCACAGGCTCAAAAGGAAAGAAAGTGGGTGCGTGCGTGTGTGAGAGGGCAATTTTTTGGGCTGAAAGATATATATGTACCTTCAATAAGGGGAGACCATGTCTTCTTCTTCATTCACAGAGCAACAAGTTCAACTTCCACCGTTCAAGCACCATGACATCTAAAGAATAGTTTTGGACTTGGAAAAGAACATTAGCCTGCTATCTAGGTTTCCTTTCCCGCAAGATTAAAAAAAAAAAGCATGGAGAGTGATGGAATATCAAATAGGAATTGAGAGGTGTGCCTCCTACTACGGTTTCTGCTGTACAAAAACGCCTGATCATAGAGTTAACCAGTAAAATTTCGGATATTCTCAAGTGACGGCGAAGAGATTTTTTGTTTGTTTGTTTGTTCGTTCGTAGCTAGCTAGCTAGAGCCAACACTGGAGAAAAGTTCTCTTAAGAGCGGAATTGATTGGCGAAGCACCGGGTGTTTTAATCAATAACTATAAAAAAAAAATCTGTAATGGCTTGGAGAGAATGCAATAGAAGGTTTCTTTGTTCATATCTGGATCTGGACAACGGATAAGTTTTGAAATGCAACTCATGTAGTTTGACCATAGTCTTACGAATGAATTAAATACTGCGGTTATGCGTGCCACTGTAGATGTGTTCAACCTGGAGTGATAGTACTCCGTGCAGAAGGCGTGGAAAGGAAGAGTTTTGCAACCAATATGTGAGATTCAATTTCCTAATCCCCCAACTCTATACGTTGAGCAAGGGTGGATATAGATATAGATATATATATCGATCTATCATCATAGGGATTCACTCCTTCCCACCATCGGAGGAACAACCTCGGCACGCCAAGCCTGCTCCGGAGGCTGGAAACGGCTAGCCGAGGCCAGCCTCCCTGCAGCAGGAAGGCCGCAGCTCCAGCCACCCGGAGCCTATGTAAGCGGTCGGTCGACCATTGGCTGACGTCATCCGGGTTTTCTGCACAGTGACGGAATCGATCCACGCCAACCTCCGCCTTGTCAGCGAGTGAAGGGGTTCAAGAGGAGGAAATGGGGGGAGGAGAGGGGGGTTTGACGTCTTAGACTTCACTTCTTCATCCTTGATGTTTCTTCCTTTCCCCATTTTTTATGATATCCTTATTCTACTCTCTCCCCCGTTTTTATTTTCTCTCCGGGCAATTTTTGCTTCAGCGGAGGGGGAAGAAGCAGCTAGCTACCCAAAGGTGACACGCAAATACGCTTCACCCCGCGACACAAAACAGGACCAGTGCGTGGGTGGTGGTGCGGGGGTGTGCGTGTTAGACCTCTCTGAACTCTCCTATCCGATGCCGTTTGTCACTATTGCCATGCACAATAATCCTGGGCCATTCAAACCATTGGCAACCAACCATTTTTCAAACTGTGCTTGGGAAAACCTCTAGCGCGGAATGGAAGATATCAAACCCCCCGCCGGCCGGACTACTGATGAGATGACTACATAGCCAAGAGAGACGAAGAAACCCAAAACAACCAAACCCCCCAAACCGCCATCCCACCCCAGCAGGCGGACTGGCAAATCAGAATCACACAACCACAACAGGAAAAAAAAAAAAAACATTAGGTGCGAGCGAGGAAAGAAAAGGAATAGAGGATGCGGTGAGGGAAACGGTCTTTCTCACTTCGTCCCCTCCCCTCCCCTCCCATCCCATCGCATCGCATCCCCACCAAAGAAAAAGGAAAGAGCTCATGCAAGTCCAATTCGGGCGGAGATTTATGATTATTAGCCCAGCCCAGCCCAACCCGACCAACCCCAAACCAGATCCAAATGAAACCGGGGTTGTGGGATCCTGCGGAATGGGAAACAATATCATATCAGAACCAGAAGAGTGGGCATGGGATATATCATATGAGGGACTTAACCGCAGGAGAGAAACTTGAAGAGAGAGGAGCGGCTGGAGCTGACTGGGCTGGCTTTCCCCCTCCCCCGCCCCCTTTGTGATGGATGGCGGATGAGAATTAGATTTTTTTTTAAGAAAAAAAAAGAAGAAGAAGAAACTCCATCTCCTGCATTGATTACATGCATCTATTTATTATTTATCACGTCACGGCGGGCAGTCTGCGCTTTTGCTTTCCTTGATGATAGGTCCATCGCAGCATTAGTTTTTGGCGATGTTCTTATCACCTGAAAGCGCTGATGGGTGGAGAAAAAAGGGGGGGAAGAAGGTGATCAAATCATGTTAGGACGAAAAATAATATATAAAAAGAAAAACAAAAAGCACAGAGAGATAGAGAGAGACAGAGACAAAAGGTGTTTGCTCTAAGAAACTGGCGGCGATGGACTCATGTGCAATCCTGCCCATGGTGCTAGGCGGGGAAGATAAACTGGCTGTTTGTTGCGCAGCCAGAATATTCCCAGAAGAAGAAAAAAAACGCCCATAAGCCACTCCGGACAATGTCAAGCCACTCTTGTTGTGTTTTTCCGCGGCGGACCTGAACTGGGCGGATGTCCTTGTGCATATTCATGAACACTCTCATCAATAATGTCATTGTCAATTCGTCATATTCTCTCAGACAGCATTAGACTATTGATCATGTTATCACTTCTCCCGCAAAATGGCCCTACATAACATGCGTAGATGTGGCCCATATGGGGGAGGTGGGTTGAGGTACAGCAAGAGAAAGAGGGAAAACATAAGGGCTGTGGCTGTTGGCAGGGGCAGATTTTTTTTTATATACGACTAGCGACGTCTCGCATTTAGTACTAGGCCAGATCATGCAATGATGATGCCATCAAGCAACCTAGAGGAAACAGGGGCAAGGGGGTACCACCAGCGCTACATGACGACATAGACGTGAGAACTCCACTACCTTCGTTGCTGGTGCGGAGCATGTACAGCACATCCAGCGTACATGGAAGGCAGGTACTCCGAAGTATTTCCTCTCACCTCAGGCCTACTCTCGAGTCCTTGCTGATTTGGTACAACTCCACCAAGTGAGGAAATAGTTTCTTAAATTCACTTCTTTCTCTCCATTGTTTCATGCTCTGGCCCATTCCATATAATATTTTGGGCCCATGGACCGGGGAGGAGGATGAGGATGCTTAGAATTTTCCTGAGCAACCAACCAGAAGCAGCCGGAATGCGGAAGGTTGGCTATTTTTCACCCTATGGCTTTCTCCCTCCCCTTTTTGCCTTTTGAACAAAAAAAAGAAAAGAAAAGCATAAGGGCCGAAAAAGCAATAAAATAAAATAAAATAAAATAAAAAGCAAAAAATAATGATAGGGGATTTTTTCTTCGGGGATTTAGCGGGGGCTGCCCCGTTTTCAGCCAATATAAAACAACAGTGTGCATGTGTGTGAGTGAGTGTGTGTGTCTTTTCTCTGGGCAATTCAGGGACTTCTTTCGGAAACTGTCTACCTGCCTGCCTATCTATCTTTCTGAGTATGTATGTACTAGTATGCATACCTAGAACCCGTTGGCTTCTTGATCAGGCGACATTTCCTCCTCCACATTTCATCACAGCTATCAGAGGGAAAGACCACCAATCATAAATAACATCTGCGGAAGTAAAAACGAAAAAGGCAAAAGGTCCCAAGTAAAAGTTGAGAGCGAAAATAAAGTGAAAATCAAGTGAAGATCCAATACCAGTACTCAGTACTCGCACTAACGAGTGGCCTCGGGCCAAAGTTGCACAGAGAGTTGTGGCCCACGCTGGTGCGTTGTTCCCCGATGGAAGAAGGTCCAGGGACGGTGTGCTGGGGATAATTTTATTCATTTATCTAGCACTAACTAGTAACTACTATTCATGGAGAGAGCCAGTCAGCCAATATATTAAATATTTCTCCAACCACCGAATTTTGTCTGCCCCTTGTTCGTTTGACTATCTCTGTTCTAGATGTTCAGAACAGAACAGAACAAGAATAAAATAAATAAATAAATAAACAATCTCTCTCAGGCCTGGTCCCCCATCTCTTCAGGATATGCATATCTCATTTTTATTGTGATTTCACCCCCTACTTTTCTTTTCAATCAATAAACCCTCAGCGCAACGTCCATTTCTTGTGCCCCACTATGCCAACCATACAGCACCTGGCCGAGAACGTGGATGGACGCAGTCAGCAGCGATGAGCTGGTGATCGGCGCTGTGCATGCATGCTCTGTTACGTCAGTGGGTCGGGGGGTGGATGGCTATGGCATGCCATCATGAATCATGGAGTGCGTTCATGATTGGGTTCTGGAGTGCTCCATACAAGGCGCTTGTTTCTCTTCGTGTGTGGGAAGGAGGAGAGGAGAGGAGAGGGTTTCAATTAAAACTGTCGATGATGACGATGATTAAAAAAAGCATTGAATGAACGAGTGAAGAGAACGCCTTTTTATTTATTTATTTATTTTTTACTTTATTTTTATTTTTATTTATTTTTAATTTTTAATTTTTTTTTGGAATTGCCCAACCACAGATCCCATGGGCCCTTCATGATCAGGGTGTTGGGTCCGTGCTACTGGTGGGGTTGAAGGGTGTGACAAGGGTGTTCACAATACTAGAGAAAAAAGAAAAAAGATTCAATGTGTGTTTTCGTCGAAGACAACGGATCCAATAATTATCATAAGAGTATCATAATGTGCACTTTTTCAGTTGGTTAAGTTACCCTTAAAGAGAGCGCTCGGGCTTAGTATGATTGAGTAACAATAATAACAAAGTTCCAGGGCCCGCCCGTCCTTATTTAGCCCTGGGATCCCTGGGGGGCTAAGGCCCGATATCGTTGCTGCCCCTTATTTACTAGCACTGCTACTGGTACCAAACCTCCCCAGAGGGCCTGGCCAGGCCTTACCCCAACGCACTAGTTCTCGCACAAGCCAATTTATTATTGCGCCTGGTGTTTCATGAAATCACAGAGCTTGACTCTATGGTTCTCCGACAGATCCAGATGGGTGGGAAATCAATAAAAAGCAAGTAGCAAATCATTTGATTTCAGACAAAAAGGAATTATATCAGCGAAGTTTCGAACCCAGCGTGACGGTGGCCGCGCCCAGCAGCAATCACTCACTTTTGGTGGTTCGAACTTCTGGCGGCGGTGTTTCCCACATCCCTGAAAGGGTTCATCGCGCCGTTTCTGGCTTCCACCTCTCACCTTTCAGCTCCCACCGCCATGTGTTGATTTGTCTTTGTTCGTTTGTTCGTCCCAATAATAGTGTTACATCCCTCGCCCTGAAACGAGGAGAACCAACAACCCGGTTCGAGTCTACGGAGAACAACAGCAGCAACCCCCATACAATCCAGACCGAAAGAACGGAAACAGAGGGAGCTCGGGTGGAAGTGGATATCTGGAGGCACGCCGCAACAACTAGCATCGCATTGCATGGTTTCGAAAAGAAATACATATTGCATTATCCTTAGAGGCTCTGGCCTGGGGTGCTAGATACGCCACCCAAACACCCCTCGTCCTCGTTCGTTGCGGGAGGCTGCCAGTCAACTCGCAACGATTTCCCTAAAATCCCCGTAACGGTGTCTTCTCTGCTCTCTGTCTCCACTCTCTTTCCTCTCTTCTCTGCCTCTGACGTGCTTGTTTTTGAATGTTCTGTGGATTTGGTCCGGACTAAATAATAATAATAATAAAAAAAGAAGGGTGCAAAAAGGGTAGGTTCGTACATACTTCTCTCCTCACTTTTGCCCCGATTTGTTGTCAGTTTATATTCATGTTTTCCCCCTTTCTCTGTAATTAACTGCAGGTGCTGTCCTTGGATATCACCTTGATTTTCTTTTTTAATTTTCTTTTCTTTTTAATTTTTTTTCAATTGTTTTTTCTCTGATTTCCGTGTTCAAACCCGCGCCTGACAAGACTTCACAAGAGCGGCGGGCCTTGAGCTTCTTCTCTCTGCCCAGATTGCTTAGCTTGGAGCCTGTTCTGTCCCGCAAATCCCCCGCCCGCCGTCTAAACTGCTTTTTCCTCCTTCCCCCTGTCCTTAACTACCACACACTCTTATATAATAAATAGTATAGCTAGTTATATCAAAATCATCATCGCCATCGCCATCGCCATCTCCTTCTTCATACTTCAGGGTTCGTCATAAAAACCTTCACCCGCCGCCCTTCTCTACCAATGCTCTACTTCCACCACCTCAACCCCACGAACCAGCCATCATTGCTTAGATTCCTTCGCCCAACAAACGAGGAACCCACCTTCATTGCGGGTTGTCGAATGCGGACTCACTTTATTTCTCCATAATATAGTGTCATATTTTTTTTTATTTCCTCCCTGGCATCAATTCGATTTGCTGCTCCGCTTGGTGCTGCTCTGGCCTTGCTTGAAACTTGAGACGATTTGCTGTTAGTTCCCCTGTTCCTTTCTCATCATCGTCATCATCTTCTTCTTTTCCTTTTTTGCCTATTTCTTGCTTCAATTTCCCCTGCGTCTCCTATCTTCCATTCCTTGCTTCATAGGGCTGTTATATGAAATGAAGGACATCGGTGCATGCGCCATGGTTTTGCAGCTTCAATCCAAGCGGTGACGCCAAAGCGAAAGTGCAATCCAACTACGAAGAAAAACCTCCTGTGCAAGGAATAGAGATCGAACAGAACAAGATATTCTGGGATGTAATTAGAGCGCGTGATCATCTGTATAAAGCGGTTGGAAAGTTTGAGACAGCGCGGATAGCTCGTGCTGCTAGGGGTTCTGTTGTCGGCGATCGATCGTTGTGGGCAGCCAGAGTTCGGCGCCGCGATTCTAGAACTTGCCCTCCCCTCTCCCTTGCCCCTCTCGGGCTGTGGTTTTCGCCACGAAAATTCCATCACCTCAGGCGCTTCCTTTTTTCGTTCTCAGCCGAACTTATTCTCCATCGCTGACAACCCTATCTTACCCCCAAAGAAATAGAAACGATACACTTTCAACGCCAACTTCCACTTCGACGAATTCGGCTCTCTGCCTTGCATACTACATATATATCTTCCTGCCGCGTATTGTTCGACGGAGCTAGTTTTCGTCCTCCCACTATTTTCACTTGCCGATAGAACTCCGAGAACGTGCACGCCCTCACGCAACCTACCTGTCCACACGAAGCAACGTCGATTCAATACCAAATCAATACCATTATACCTGCATTTTCTACAGTCGCAATATAATTTTGCTTTCAATTTCCCCTCCGTGAGGGCATCTTGATCGTGGGTTCTCAAATAGGTCACTGCTCAAGGAGACCTTTTCGATTCTTTCATTATTATTTTTTTTTATGTATATCAGGCGAAGTCCTTGATAAAACGAATAAATGCCATATCTGGCCTACCAAACCCACTCGTCCGTTCGACTAAACCCCCTCTCATCCTCAAACATGGCGCCTTCAGCAACGACACATGTGGTATGTCAGATCGAGTCCTAGAGGCCTCATTCCTCTTCCCCCTCCCATCTCACATATTTTGCCCTTTTGAGACCGCGCATTTCCGCTAACAAGTGCCCACATATACGGTCGCAGCAATCGCAGCCGCCGCCACAGCCAACCACCAACGACAAAGCCCCTGACCTGGCCTCATTGGGTGACCATGTCGAAGAAACAACCTTCGAACAAATCCTCGAGATGGACGACGAAGATCCGTCGCGTGAATTCAGCAAGGGCTTGGTATACGGGTTTTTCGATCAGGCAGAGACTACATTTGTGAAGATGGAGAGCGCAATGTAAGTCGATCCATTGCAAGACCCTTTTCCATTTTTCCGCCCCCTCCTTTCTTTCACCCCACCCAGGGCGGAGGGTCATGATGACGTCATATCCCCCCAATGCCCACCAACCAACCAACCACCTTCCAGCTATATTCTTGATATGACAAAACGCTTTTTGCATTGTTTTTAAATTTTCATAAAACGGTGATGATGACGATATTATTATTATTTATTATTATTATATTTCCATTTAATCAAAAACTAATCTCTAACTTTCCCTTCTTCCGTGCGAAAAACAGCGAGACAAAAGACCTCAATGAAATCACTCAACTAGGCCACTTCCTCAAAGGCTCGTCGGCGACGCTAGGACTCACAAAAGTGAAGGAAGCGTGCGAAAAGATTCAAAATCTCGGCGCGGGCAAGGACGAGTCGGGCACGGTCAACGAGCCCAACGCGGCCATCTCGCTAGCGAATATCAAGAAGACTCTGATTGAGACAAAGGACGACTACAAGGATGCCGTCGTGCGGCTGAAGCGTTTTTATGGCGAGAAGGTTTGAAAGAAAAAAAGAAAAAGAAAAGAAAAGAAAAGAAAGATGATATGATATTTATTTTTATCAATAATAATGATGAGGGAGGAAGGGAGGTGCATGAATGGGGGAGGAACGGGGCGACAGAAGGTTGGAGTTATAAAGGGGAAGTTAGCGTGTGAGCGGGGGAGGAGGGAAGAAGGATGGAAGATGCAAGGGTGTGTTGAGATGTGTTGAGATCTAGGGAGCTCTGGGTGTTTAATTGAGAAGAAGACGCGGAGGTCTGGAGGGGAGAACATAATCACATAATGGACTAATAATTTGTCTTGATTTGTGTGATGTCTTGATTCTGATGAGCCTTTTTTTCAATCGTTTGCTAACGCCATTGTTTATTTAGTCGTCTCTGTTTTCTTCGTTCGTCTTTTCTCGCTTTTTCCTTACCTTCTATCCAGCGGGTTTCAAGAGGATTTTCCAGTTTCTTTTCCAGTTTCTTGTTCTTTTTCCTTTGCTATCTCCCTCCACATTTCCTAATTAAAAACAGAAGAAAAAAAATAAGCATCTATCTACTGCGTATTTTCATGTAACTTTCTAGCCCCCCACTTCTCCCTCCATTTCCTCCCTCCATTCCAGTACTCCCTTAACTCTTTCTTCCTTCTCTACTTCCCTCACTTCTCCATCCCTCTTTTCTTTCCCCCTCTTCCTCTTCTCCTTCTCCTTCCGCCCCATTTTCAATTCATCATCTGCTTCTTGATACCACGCACGCACGCACGCATGCACGCACGTACACACGCCCCCACATCCTTTCATATCAATACCGATACCGATACCACGCGACTTTCCAGTTTTTCTCTCCTCTCCTCTCCCACTCTTGCTTCCACGTACATTGTCAATCGACTGGACCCCCCACATCCCTTCCCCAAAAAAGAAAGAAAGAAAGAAAGATCCCATCTATTTACCTGTCACTGTTCACAAGTCCACAAACTCACTCAAATGAGAGATGGAATTGCATGCATTAGCACCAGTAGCTCTTACGTCTAATGGCTTGTTTGCTTCTCCTCCTCCTTCTCCTCTCTCTGCCTCAGTCCTCTGTCGTTTCTTGTGTTTCCCACCTAGCGTCTCTCTCTCTCTCTCTCTCTCTCTCTCTCTCCTTTTTTTTTTATCTCTATCCTTCTTATAATACTTTACAGATTTTTTGTTTTCCTTTTTTGGTTTTAAAAGAGGACAAGAGGGAAATGTATCTTGACTTGAGGGAGCTGTAAATATGAAATATGAATTAACCATGAACAAAAGAATGAGTTTGTTGGCCATTTAATTTGACACTGTCATTCTTGATTGTTGCTAATCTGGCTAGTAAGTTATACAGCTGGCTTACTGACAGAGGCGAGGTCTTTCAATATATATATATATATATATGGAATTGATACATGGACAAGACAGACTTATGGAAAAAGCTTGGGGATTCAAATGAGTTCCAAAGGATCGCGCCCATGTTTGCATCTCCAACCTATAACAATGGCTTAGGACAAGATCCCCAGGACCCATTTATAAGGTAATAATAAATACCCCTTTCTCCTGATTGTAAGATCTGTCTATCATCACTGGTTCATGGCAGAAGCAGGACCTTTTCAAGTATGTCAAGGAATTCCCATGACTGGTTTGTTTTCCTCTGCCAATGCCCTACGGCAGATCCGTACTCCATTCCAATAGAACCCTTTCACTCTGAACTCCCCGATATAATGCCACAGTAACCTTCACGCATGGAGATCTCCATTGGAGTGATATTATCATATCAGAATCAGAACCACAGCAGATTGATTGTTGCAATAGTTGACTGGGAACAGTCAGGCTGGATGCTAGAATACTGGGAGGTTTGAAAGGGCACATTTCACTTCAGCATGGAAGAGTGAGTGGGCTACCAAATACTTGCCAATAATACTGCAGCAGTATGTGAGCAAAGCGGAGGCTTGGTTATGATATACATCATCATCAATGGGTGGTCCTTACAATATTATATACTTGTAAAGGCAACTCCCAATAATTCTAACTTTTCCCTGTATTTAGAATCTCTGTGAAGTATAGGGCACAAGTTATGCTGATTACAGGCACGTACCTCCTATTCCGCGGTCCTAGAATCTGATGTTATTGGTATTAAAAATTGCACCACCCCAAACCAACAGCACCCGGAACCCAGTACATGGGCGAGTCAGGCACCTCAACCGTGTACGCAGCAGAGCTTCAAGGGTCCTGAACTTGCGCTGCAAATGGTATACTGGACTCCCACAAGGCAAGTACCCCTCCCGGAAAAGTGCGCCATCCGGGCGATTCAGAACCCCAAATACTCGTCAGAACCAGTACAACCTGGTCGAAGTCCTTAAAGCGCTCGTCGGACTTCGGGAGCTGGAGCTGGAGTGGAGACTGGAGTTCAGGTGGATCCCTGCGCATGTGTGTTGGGCAACGAAGAAGCGCACTGATTGGCAAAGACAGCCGCCTGGCCCTCGCTAAGCGCCCCATAGCCAGAATCCACTAACATCCGCCACGAAATCCAACATCCGGGCAGGGTATGAAACGCGACTGGGAAAAATTCTGGGAGAACACAAAAAACATGGCAAAGATCTCTTCAGGCTTGGAGTTCAACCAGGGAAAGCAATTCTTGGCACACACAGAAGAACACACAGAGTGATCAGCTCCGCGATCACACAGCTATGCACGGGAAAGGTTGACCTGCATGAATGTGGACATGGATTGCAGACCGTACGGCACATCCCCGTGGAATGCTGAAACTGAGCTGAAGAACAACATCAAGCGCATACTTTGCAACCCATCAATGGCAGTATAAGCAGCAAAATGGATCTCAAGGACAGGGCTTCTGAATCAATTCCGGGGCAGTTCCACCCACAGTGCTCCAATATCATATATCTAGTAGATAGAAGTTGAGGAGGGCCAAGCAAGACCTGACAAGGCAGAGATACAGAACTGGGAGGAAGGCTACAAGTATGGAAGCTCGTGGGCAAGGAGTTGTTTCTACAAAGCAACCTGTTTGTCTGTGGACCTCTGCAGGAATTGCCCGCTTCTGAAGGGTGACTGTATCTGTATTTTAGTCATGCGTTGCATAGCTGCCAAGGGCAGCTGGGTTAGTCTATGAACAAATCAATCTATCAATGGCTGTAGATCATATTACGGAGCTCACTAGAGAGATTAAGAAATTCCATCGGCATCTCACAGATTGTAGGTTGCTGGTGTTCAGTGTCTGAACAATTTCAAGCTGCAGGCAGAGCTTCAGTTAGCTTCGATCATTTTACTTAGAGCAAATTTCGGTGAACACTCGTTAAATCATGTTGAAACACTGGAAGTTGTTTAGCTGGATTTCGGTTAGGCTATTTCCCAAGGAGCACAGGGCACTTGAACAAGCCAAGATGCGATTCAGCCTTGGAAATCAACATACACCACGTGACCTATAACCGAGGGCCGCTGCCTAACCCGATGCAGCCTAGCGGCAGTTACGCGACTTCTGCCTGTCGCCAACGCGGCTTCCCCAAAAAGTCTGTTCTGCTCCCTTTCCAAGTTTTCCCTCGCTCCTTCCCAATTTGTTCGTCCCCAACGCCATTTTCGACTCTTCCGTCGTTCCTGCTCCCGACTGAGCTCCCTTGCTTGCTTGGGTGTTCCGAGATCCCTACAATAGTGAACGAGTTGCCTGCGGAATAAACACCTCATAGCCTCCTTATGTTATAGTTGTCCTTTAGCCAAGGGGAAAAACAAAGGGCCAACCGACAAAAGGGCCTTGACTTAGCTCCCTTTTCCGGCAAAACCGAAGGACAACGAAGAACAACGAAGAAAGACGAGAAAGGAGGGAAAAAAGGAGAGGGGTATATTTCTGTCACTGCATTTGTTTTTATCGTCCCTTACACATTTCCCGCACAATGCGTCTGTCATCAACAATCCTCCTCCTGCCAGCACTGGCTGCGGCGCAAGATCAGGTCCCGCTGAAGGCGCAGGTTCAAGGCTGGTTCGATAAAGTTAAATCCCTCCTCCCCACCGCTACCCCTGTCGTGAGCTCCGCTGCCGATTCTGCTGTCACAGCTGCCACCGGTGCTGGTGCGGGCTCCAAGGGCGCTGCGGCTAAGATCGTCAACAAGGAGGTTACCTTCCTCACTCTCGGGAATTGGGAGTCATTACTGGCTCCCAAGGATGATGGCCCGGCTCGCGAGTGGCTGATTTACGTCACCGGTGGGAATAGAATGTGCGCCGGGCAGTGTAAGCAGGCGGATAAGGCTTGGGAGGTATGTGTGCTATTTATTCCGTTATAATGGGGAGATTATCAATATACATACATATATATATATATATATATATATATATATCAAAACCACTAACAAACCCCCACAGGACACCATCCCACTCTTCTCCGCCGACCAGACCTCTCCATCCCTCGCGAAACTGAACTGCGAAAAGCAGGGCCTCCTCTGCTCCATCTTATCTGCCGGGGCGCCCGCCGTCTTGCATTGGCAGGTCCCCGCGCGCGAACCGGGTCAGCCGAAACCAAACACCGACGTCCACTTCGTCCGCGTGAACGCGACGACCGTTGACACAGAGACGATGTACAAGGTACACTCCGAGAAGACCTGGGAGGGCAGGCCGGCGTATGACAGCACGTTCCACCCGATAGATGGAACGCTTGCGAAGTACGGCCTGAGTGTGCCACTGGCCCATGTTCTTTACTATGTGGGCATGGTTCCCAGCTGGCTTATCATGGTGGGCATTAGCTTTCTCAGCAGGACTTTTATGTAAGTTTATTTATTTTATCTATTTAATTTTTTCCCACCCCCAACTTCGATTGTCAGCTGCTGATGATGGTATGTTTGGATAGGAGCCGGCGATTCGCGGGCCCACGGCCTCAAGTTACCCCCGCCGCAGGTGCTAGGCAGTAAGAATGATGTATAGATGTGTACGTGTATTGAGTTATTTTTGTATCTGCTTGGAAGCTCTGTATTACTGTTTCTATCTATTTCCATCTCTGTTTTCTATTACCACTCGTACTATTTTACCATTATCACTATTTTATTAACAGCTTCCTCTTCCTCTTCCTCTTCCTCTTTCCTTTTCCTGGTTTCCCGCGCTTCTTTCTTTATATTATGTGAGGATAACTCACTAGAGAAGGGGATATATAAATGAGTTGTATATAGCAAGGGAGGGTTTTCTTCCTTTTCATACGGGACATTGACTGATGGTTCACATGTCGTGAGAGAGATTTTTGAGGCGGAAATGCACAATTTAATGATCTTCTACAGGTCTTTTTCTTATCTTTTTTGTTTCTTTTCTTTCGGTTGTTTGATGTTGCTTGGTTTTCACGGGAATAAGAGCAAACCATTCCTCAGCTGCGTAGATTTTGGTAGTTTATCGAGAAAGCTGAACAATAAAAAAGGAACATCGAACTTCAATGGATATGGATTAAATGATACCAGCCAATTCAGTAGCTTCTTGAAAAATTACAACTTATTGTTTTCTTTTTTGTTTTTCAATGCGTTCAGACGCCGCCCGAGAAGCCACCACCAGAAACGCCAAAAAGCTTGCAAACAGTCAAGCTTCCAAGCTTCAAGTTATTTGCTCCATTAAATATTTTCAACCCCAACCTCACTCGCCCTTCTTTCCCTTCCCTCCACCCCCTCCTTTTTGTACCCCGGCAGCGCACCCTACGAATACCAACCAACAGCCGCCTGAATTGGGATTTATTTCCCTTTTTTTTTTTTTTTTCATTTATCCCATAATGACCTCCCTACCCGCATCGGAGCGCGTTCCCCCAAGCACCACCGCACTGGTCATCGCAACCGCCATCCTAGCCGGAGTCGTGGGCTTCTTTATTGGGCAGGGAGCGTCGTTGGGGATTTTTGGATCGGGGTCCGGGTCTCGATCTGCGGCTGCGTCTGCGTCTGCGTCTGCGAGAGGAGGGGGTAGAAGGGATGGTAAGGAGGAGAGGAGCGATGAGGATGAGGATGAGGAGGGGAGCGAGGCGGAGGAGGAGGATGTGGAGGAGAGTGATGGACGGGGAGAGCTAGCTGCGTTCGAGGGGAATACGGAGGAGGTCAAGCTTGTGCTTGTTGTGAGGACGGATCTGGGGATGGGGAAAGGTTTGTTTGTCTGCTTATCTATCTTCTTGGATTTCTTTTTTCTGTTTCGTTTTCTTCTTTGCTTTTGCGCCTTTCCTTTCCTTTTTTTTTTTTTTTTTTCCCTTTTATTTTCCATTTCTCTTATGAATCAATGCTGCTGCTCCCGCGTTGCAATACTTAACCGGAAAAACATTTATTAATAAAAAAAAAATTAAAAATTATTTTCTAACAGGGAAAATCGCCGCTCAATGCTCCCACGCAACTCTTGCCTGCTACAAGTACTACCTCGCGCGCGCACCGGACTCACCTATCCTCAAACGCTGGGAGCGCGGCGGGCAAGCCAAAGTCGCGCTGCAAGTTAGGAGCGAGGAGGAACTGCTGGTGCTTCAGGCGCAGGCTGTTAGTTTGGGGCTTTGCGCGCAGGTTATTCAGGACGCGGGCCGGACGCAGGTTGCCAGCGGCAGCCGGACTGTGTTGGGGGTTTTGGGGCCTAAGGGGATTGTGGATGGGGTTACGGGGTCATTGAAGCTGCTGTAACATTTTATTTTATTTTTCATCCTATTTTCTCCAATTTTCCTTGTGAGTGCTTTGCTCTGTTTAGATAGGAATATGGCGTGGGGCTGTCTGGTGTACAGGAGTTTTCACATTCGTGTTATTTGATGACTGCTATGGGTTTCTTTCATTGATTGTTTACGACACACCTCGCACATGGGATACCTTTGCAGTTATAGACAGAATTGAAAAAAAATAGAGAATGGTATGGAGGGGCCGATTGCAGGCTCTGTTGAATACGCTTCAAGCTCTGTCGAATATCATAACTGATGGCATGTTTTGGGCTAATCTCTCTTTCTTCACATCCTCCTCCCAAACGAGATGAGCTAGCCAGAAATAAACAGTCGAATTAATAATTATATGTTGGCAGGTCATGGTTTTTCCCTAACCTCATCAGCCGACGGCCACAATCCCTTCCCCAAGTAATTGGAAAAGGGACCAAGATCGGTAAAGGGAGGTGGAATATGACGCCCTCAGAAGGAACCCAGCCACCTTACCGAATTCACCAGTCCGTCGAAACGGGGAGGGAGCTCAAGGCAGAGTGTTAAATTCCATTTCGCACAAGGCAAAAAGGAAAAACTGGGCCGCTGAGGTTCTCTCTGAGATCTGTCGACCGGAAATTGACACCATTTGAGGGGTAATCCTTGATGGCTCCATGAATCGTCGAGCTGTCCAGCAATAACAACCGAAACACAACCAGAGCACGAATACTCTAGTTGGATCAGGACTGCTGGACACAGATCTGGGTTTGTTGTGATGAGGGAGAAAAAAGGAGAAGAGAAATGGAAGTTCTCAAGATATTTTTTTCTTTTTGTAGCTTGTGGAGTGAGGGACGCTAGACCCGTTTTGGTTCGGACCGGATTTTGGTGAAGTTCCGGAGTTGGGAGAACTTTGTATCGTATAAGAGATGTACGGTTTGTTGTCAAAGTTGACAAGCTGTATTAGATATCTCTTTGTGCCACGTTTTGTCCGTATATCCCACCAAAAAAAAAAGCGTATCTTTCGATTTTCTTTAAGCAGTTATGGCAGATGCTCTGTCTATTGAGCAGAATAATAAGATCCGAGTCGCTCTTGGCCTGAAACCTCTTCCAGTCCCCGGCGCCACTGATAACAACAACGATGGGCCCGTTTTCAAGCCATCAAGAGATGGCAACGATTCGGATTCCTCGGGTGACGAACCAGCAAGCACGTTAGAATCGCGGCAGGCACAGGGATACGACAACTGGAAGAAATACCAAGATGAAGCTGAGGCGAAGAAGAAGCGCCAGGAGAAACTGGACGCTATTAAGCGGGCCCGTGAAAAAGCTCAGAAACTGGTGAAGCTCGAAGGCAAGGGGCTTGGCGAGCTCGATTCCGAGGAGGCTGCTTTGGATACCAAAACTTGGCTGAAGCAGCAGAAGAAGCGGCAGCGGAAGGTCGAGAAGGAGCGCGCAAAGAGGCTCGCAGAGGAACTTGCCGAGAGGGAGCGGATTGCGGAATATACTGCTAAGGATCTGGCGGGCGTGAGGGTTGGGCATGAGCTAGGTGATTTCGAAGCGGGAGGGGAGCAGATTCTTACGCTTAAGGATACCACGATCGATGAAAATGAGGAGGAAGGCGATGAGTTGGAGAATATCGATTTACGAGACCGGGAGCGGCTCAACGAGAGATTGGCTTTGAAGAAAAAGAAGCCGGTGTATGATCCTAATGATTTCGATGGATCTGGTTCCGGTTCTATTCTGGAGCAATATGACGAGGAGATCGACGGGAAGAAGAGGAAACGGTTTACATTGGATGCTAAAGTTATAAATGAGGAAGAGCGGATGGCCAAGCGGCAGGATGTGTCGTCGAAGTTAAAGGCGCAGCCTGTCAACCTCGATATCATGCCCGAAACTACAGCGACGCCATCAGACTACCAGGAAGCGACAGACATTAAAATCAAGAAACCGAAAAAGAAGAAGACGAAATCTACGAGGCGAAAAGCGGTGGATGAGGATGATATCTTCCCAACTATAGAAACTACAGATATTCCTAACGGTGGTACTGGTGTGCAATCCAATGGAGATAATATGGAAGTGGATTCAGTAGCTCCCAGTAATGGACTTTCGACCCGCGCCCCGAGGCAATCAGATAGGGACGTATCTTTCGTTGACGATGAGGATTTGCAAGCATCGCTAGCGGCGCAGAGACGAACTGCATTCAAGAAAAGGAAGAAGGTTCGCCCGGAGGATATCGCAAGACAATTGCGAGATGAGTCGGAACAAGCGCAGAATGGGATGGATTTGGACAATGCGAATGGTGAGGATGACGGTCCTGGTCTGGTTATCGATGAGACATCTGAATTTGTCGCAAACCTGCAGCGCCCCACACTCCCTGATCGTCGCCAGCGCTCAGTCTCACGGCCGAAAGAAGCATCTCCTGAAGTGAAAGAAGAAAGGCACGAAGATGTGGATATGGATATGGAGCGGTCGTATAATGATATTGAAGATGAAGAGGATCTCCAAGAACGCTTGAAGAGAAGCGATACCACGCCAGCTGCTGATATTACCGCTACTGGATTAGAAGAGGAATCGACACTTGACAAGGGTCTCGGTGCTACACTCGCCATGCTTAAGCAACGTGGACTGGTAAAGGAATCAAATGCGGGCGAGCTGAACACCCTCCACCGTGAGCGCCAACGATTCCTACAAGAGAAGCAACGGCGCGAAGCGGAAGCAGAGCGACGCGCTCGACTCCAGCGAGAACGCGACCGTGCCTCGGGCAAGCTGGACCGCATGACCGCTCGGGACCGGGAGGAGTACGCACGGCAGGAAAACAAGCAGCGCGACCAGCTAGAGTCGCGCCAGATGGCCGAGATCTTCAACCGCGAGTATAAGCCGGACGTACAGCTGAAGTATGTGGATGATTTTGGTCGGTTGATGGACCAGAAAGAGGCGTTTAAGCACCTTTCGCACCAGTTCCATGGCAAGGGAAGCGGGAAGATGAAGACGGAAAAGCACCTGAAGAAGATTGAAGAGGAGAAGAAGCGGGAGGCGATGAGTACGTTGGATAGTAGCCAGCATACGGGAATGAATAATGCGATGGGGGCAACAGCGAGGAGGAATCGGCAGGCTGGGGTTCGGCTTGGGTGAGGGGTGTTCCGGTAGACCGATCATGCATGTGTATATAGGTATATTATTACCATCGAGTCGTTATTTATTACGGCGTGATTGTCTAAGATTGCGTCTTTGCTTAAACAAGGAGGTTAGTTACAATGAAAAACATGATGAAGCTGGAGATTGGCAATTCTGCTTGCCCGGCTAGAGTGATATTATTCCCTTATATCCTGCTCTTCACAATTGAGATCGATGGTCATGTTTGTCTTCTTCCTTTCTCCCTCTCACTGGCCACTGTTGCTACTTCTACCGTATCTGAAGTCGCAAGCGGCCTACTTTGGAGGGCATATCTGAATGTAACTGACTCCGGGCACCAGGGCATGGATGTGAAAAGAGACTCTTGTAAAGCTGGCTGCGAATGGGCACAATAATTTATATATCTCTATATAAACATATCATCATTATTCTTCTCCGCCCCTTAGCCGAAACAGCCGTGGAAGATATCATGTTTTTTATCTCAAAAACAAACAGCCGAACTTAAGCCTACCCCTGACATATCGTCGCCAATCACAGCACCCATGCCGTGCATCACAGTATGCAGTATGGAGTACGCAGTGCAGTGCATGTGGATTCTGCAAGCATCAAGCCAGGGATCAATCAACCGCTGCATACACCCCTGGCCATTGGTAGAAGGATTCGGCATTCGATAAGGCGAAGGGGATTTTTGTGCTTTCGGTGAGAAAGAAGCCAAAGGAAAAAGCAATTCTTGAAAGTTGAACTGTAACTGGCTGGCTGAAGATACAAAAGAGTGTTGGCTTTTTTTTTTTTTTTTCACTCCAAATATCGAAGTTCCTTATTATAGAGACAATTGCCATCGTTTGTTTCCACAAGCCAATATAATAATAGTAAATTTTCTCTGACTCACTCCGTATCAACTCCCACCCGTTTTGATATTTCTTGCGGAGTTCTTCGTGGATAATAGATCACTCAATACATTTTCCTCAGCCCGTGTGTCATCTTCCTGCAGTCCGATATCGCCATGTTGTCCACCCTGAGAGTCGCCGGCCAAAAGGCTGCGACTCGTGATGTTGCCCTGCGGATGTTCGCTGCTGGTGCTCGTCCAGCTTCCACCTGGTCCAATGTGCCCCAGGGCCCTCCGGTATGGTGAAATTTTGCCGGTTGGCACCAAGCAAGTCTTCGCTGACCGTGCGTGTCGCTGCTAGGATGCGATTTTGGGCATCACGGAGGCCTTCAAAGCGGACACATTCAAGGACAAGATCAACCTCGGCGTCGGGGCCTACCGTACGTATACTGTATTTCCATTTCGTTTTTGATCCTCCTGTGGATGTTAGATGCTCTACTGGAATCCATTGACTAATCCGAATTCTTTTTTTCCCTTTGCCTAGGTGATGATCAGGGGAAGCCATACGTCCTCCCCTCCGTCCGCGCCGCCGAAGAAAAAGTGATCAATTCGAACCCTGACAAGGAGTACGCTGGCATCACTGGTGTGCCCTCCTTCACCAAAGCCGCCGCCTCTCTTGCATTTGGGCCCTCTAGTCCCGCCATCAAAGAAGACCGTATCGCCATCACCCAAACCATCTCCGGCACCGGCGCTCTACGGATAGGCGGGGCCTTCCTCGAACGTTTCTACCCGCACGGCAAAAAGATCTACATCCCCACCCCCAGCTGGGCGAACCATGCCGCTGTCTTCAAGGACTCCGGTCTGCAGGTCGAGAAGTATCGCTATTACAACAAGGACACCATCGGCCTCGACTTCGAGGGCATGATTGCCGATATCCAAGCTGCGCCTGCCAACAGTGTCTTCTTGCTGCACGCCTGCGCACATAACCCCACGGGCATTGACCCGACCCAAGCGCAGTGGCGCCAGATTAGCGATGTGATGAAGGCCAAGGGGCACTTTGCTTTTTTCGATATGGCCTACCAGGGCTTTGCGAGTGGGGATACAGACCGCGATGCGTATGCGCTCCGTCATTTCCTGGCTGAGGGGCATGGAGTTGTGCTTTGCCAAAGCTTTGCGAAGAATATGGTAAGCCTCGGAGCACACATGCCCCAAGAAGAGGGATCCTATCTATCTTTCCCTGGAGGCCGGGGTCCTGGTGGAGAGGTCCGGCTAAAATTTTTTAAAGCTGTTGCTAAAGTCATCTCTGTTCTCCTGTTAGGGACTATACGGCGAACGAGTCGGCACATTCTCCGTCGTCTGCGAGTCTGCTGAGGAGAAGAAGCGTGTTGATTCGCAGATCAAGATCCTCGTCCGCCCCCTGTACTCCAATCCGCCCATCCATGGCGCCCGCATTGCCTCGACGATCCTCAATGATCCTAAGCTCAACCAGCAGTGGCTTGGAGAAGTGAAGGGCATGGCTGATCGCATTATCAAAATGCGTGCACTCCTTAAGGAGAACCTCGAGGCGCTGGGCAGCAAGCATGATTGGAGCCATATTACTAGCCAGGTATGTTGTTCCCACTCTTTTCTTTTCTTTTCTTTTTTGCTGGTTGTATGCTATAAGCGGCTGCAAGGCTGACAATCGCACTATTAAACCAAACGGTATAGATCGGAATGTTCGCATACACAGGCTTGAAACCCGAGCAGATGGAAAAGCTTGCTAAGGAGGTACGTTTCCATACGTGGATATCATATCCGTCTCTCAGATCATCTTCCCCCACAGAGCCCCTTCTTCTCTCTGGGAAGCACAACTAACGTATCCCCGCTGTTCCCCCTTATATAGCACTCCGTCTATGCTACCAAGGACGGCCGAATCTCCGTTGCTGGCATCACCAGCGCCAATGTCAAGAGACTGGCCGAGTCCATCTACAAGGTCACCGGATAGAAACGAGGCTTTAAATTAAACATGATGATAATTTATACATTGTTTCCTGCTGTTGTTTCTGAAATATTTTTGACTGGCCTTGCTTCCAACGGTGTGTACCGTCGCATAAACCTACCCCTCTCAACTGTCCTTTTACTTTCTCTTTCCTTGTTTTATTCATTGCGATTTTGCTTTTCCCCTTTTGTGTGTATTTGTCTGTCGTTTATTATCTCTCTCCCTTTTTTATTTTTGGTTTATCTGCTAGGCCTTGCTTCGTGACGATGTATTAGTACGTTTTGTGTGAAATTCCAGTGTCGACTGCGTATCTTCCAGCAAATTCTTGTCTTTACTCTCATTTGCTTGCTAGAACTTGAACATACGGGACAATGCGAGTACGAATGCGAAAGCGCGTAACACAATTACAAGTTCCGGTTTCATCATGAATTATAACAACCTATATGGGACACATTACATTGCAATCCTGTATATGAACTGGCCACACTGATATGTGCAGTCACCCACTGTGGCATAGAAACACCAGAAATACCGATCTCATTATCCTTTGAATAGCAGCCGTTGTTGTATTTCGGTATGGACAGTTACCATTTATGTTACCGTACTGGCAAATCCCGCCGATGCTGGCTTCTGATTGGCCATATCGGTACCGGCAGGACTTCCACGGTTGAAACAGCGTGGGGACGAGAGGTACCGTGCGGATACCTCTATCTACGGCGTCCTATGGCTGGCCAACAGGGTACCAATGTTGTATTTTTTGCATGTGCAAATACTCCGCAAACCTCGGATTGGACTTCATCATTTCCCCATAGAGTAATAAAATAAAACCATCGTCTCTGTGCTGTTTGCTGCTGTTGAATGATCACACAGAGTCCTCTCATAGCAGAGGCCTTCCCAAAATGCCCTCCTCTGCGGTTTTTCCTGTCGCCCTTCAGAACAAATTGAGGTCCACCAGCAGGTCCACCTCGATCATCTTTTCCTCTGCAAGCCTCAACCTGTACGTATTTATATCCTCTTGAATGATTCCTTCAATTCCACAACTAACGCGCCATCAGAGTTCGCAATCTTGTCTTCTTTCTCTTTATTCTTCGCTTAGTCCGCAGATCCTTCTACACCGTCCGCGGCCATGGCCTCATTGGCACCGTTTACAATGCCTGCTCCTATATGCGCCTCATATTCTACTCTCTCTACCTCCGCACTCCCGGCGTCCGCAGAAAGGTAGACAAACAAGTGTCAACCGCCCTAACAAAGTTGGAAGCCAAGCTCGTTCCGCAGACCCCTGGCATCCTTAAAAACCCTAGCCTGCCTAAACAGGGCTGGAGTCATGGTCACATTCGCGCGGAACTAGATAAACTTGCTGGTATGGAGCATACCAAGTGGGAGGAGGGAAGAGTGAGCGGTGCTGTTTACCATGGCGGGGAGGATTTGATTGGACTGCAGACGACTGCTTTCCACCGGTTTGCCGTTTCTAATCCAATCCATCCTGATGTCTTTCCTGGTGTGAGGAAAATGGAGGCGGAGGTGGTGGCTATGGTGAGTCTTGGAGATGGTTTTTACATTGTCGTTCACTTCTAAGTCTTGATGTATGCGCGTAGGTGCTTGGACTGTTCAATGCGCCGGAAGGCGCTGCAGGTGTGACGACTGGTGGAGGCACTGAGTCGATTCTCATGGCCTGTTTGTCTGCGAGACAGAAAGCTTACGTCGAGCGACGAGTTACGGAGCCAGAGATGTAAGCTCTTCAATTTAACTATTTTCAAAGATCCTCGCGGATTCTTTTTCCTGCTGGGAAAACTAAATCTATTCTAGGATCATTCCCTACACGGCTCATGCGGCTTTCAACAAAGCGAGCCATTATTTTGGAATCAAGCTTCACATGGTCCCTTGTTCCGCTCCCGACTACAAAGTCGACATTCGCGCAGTCCGCCGCCTCATCAACCCAAACACAATCCTCCTCGTTGGCTCGGCGCCAAACTTCCCGCATGGCATAGTCGATGACATCCCAGCCCTCTCCCGCCTCGCCCTCAAGCACAAAATCCCTCTTCACGTCGACTGCTGCCTGGGCTCCTTTGTCATCGCCTTCCTTAAACGCGCCGGCTACCCCTCCCCTTACGAGGAACAAGGCGGCTTCGACTTCCGCCTTCCAGGCGTCACTAGCATCAGCGCTGACACGCACAAATACGGCTTCGCCTCCAAGGGCAGCTCCGTCGTCCTCTATCGCAACCGCGCCCTGCGCAGCTACCAATACTTCATCCTCCCCACCTGGTCTGGCGGCGTCTATGCCTCGCCTTCCATGGCTGGCTCGCGGCCCGGCGCCCTCATCGCCGCCTGCTGGGTCAGCCTCATGGCCTTGGGCGAATCCGGGTACATCGACTGCTGCCACCAGATCATGGCTGCGGCCCGCACGTTCGAACAGGCAATCCGCGAACATCCAGCCCTCTCCACCGCGCTCGCCGTCATAGGCAAGCCCAGTGTCAGCGTCGTCGCGTGGCAATCTGCGACGCCGGAAATCGACATCTACGACATTGCCGACGCGCTATCGGCTAAAGGCTGGCATCTCAATGCGCTCCAAACCCCGCCCGCGATCCATGTGGCGTTCACAGTGCCCACGGCGGCGGCTGTGGAGAAGCTTATTGCGGATCTTGTCGCTGTTGTTGAGCAGGAAAAAGCGAAGGTGGCGGAGCGGAAGAAGCTGGGGCTGAAGGTTGAGAAGGAGAGGGGTGATGCGTCGGCACTGTATGGGGTTGCGGGCAGTATTCCGGACAAGAGCATTGTGAGTAGGCTTGCGGAGGGGTTTTTGGATACGTTGTATCTTGCTTGATTCTTTGAAAAAGAGGAAGAAAAGCAACGAAAGCAAAAATTGTAGGCGGCGTGGGCCATCGCGGAGTTAATTAAGGTATGTGGTGCCAAAGAATGGGGGGGAAGAAACATGAATTGAAGGTTTCAGGGGTTGTATATCAGAGTTGGCGTTTATTTTCTTTTTGTATTTATGTACTCTGTTAACCCCTCCTCTCACTGCTTGAAGAGATCTACGCATGTGCGTCCTATTTCCTGACCTGATGGCTGTGTGTTCATTTTTTTCTGAAAAATATGAAGTTTGTATATATTCCTACGGAGTAATAGTTCGGGTGTTTTTTTATTTTTTCACTTGTTAATTTTCACCCTATAACGGTTTCAATAAAATATACCGCTGTCTCCTTTCTCATAGTGGGAGGTCAGAATTACGCTGGTCTTATCAGGGGGTATGTTTGCCGTGGGGGTATAATAGAAATACAAAATATTTGGTCAAGAATATACATGTATTGGTAATCTTAGCAGCATATCAAACAGTTCGATATCTTGAATTACGTAGCAATGGGAGAATGAAAAGCGGTAGTTCGATCTAATAGTATACAAACATGTACATACATGTACTGTACATACAAAAAGCTGGGGCGGGGTGAGAGTTGGATTGAGGGGATTCGTGAATGTTAGCACTTGCGGCATCCGAAAGGCATGGGAGGAAAATTTCCTGCTTCCGTAAGATCGGGAGCGGGAGTGAGAAGTCTTCATATATGAATGATAGATCGTGGCCGGGATGGAGGAACACGAGATGGGATTTTTCCGCTCTCATGCCCGCGGCCTCGTCAGGTAAAGTAGGTGGTTGTCGTTGTTGTGGACTCGCTCGCATCGCTAATATGGAGCGTTCCTAACCCATTGACCAGCTCCCAAAACGAAACAAACAGAATATCTATACATATAAAAGAAAGGGGAAATAAAACAAACAGCCCTTCCCAAATCACGCCTCTCTCTTCATCTTAAACACCTCCTCTGCGGTCTTCTCCATGTAATATCCCGGATCCGGCTTCCGCTCTAAATGCACCTCCAGCTTCGTCAACGGCTTCTCAACCTCCCGCACCGATACCAGTTCTTTCACCTTCATGATCTGTCCAGCCACGTCAGGTGTTACGGGGTAGAAGACGGTTTGCATGCGCTTTTTGAGACCGAGGGCCATTAAGACACCTGTTGTTCGTCGGGGAAGGCCGATGGCGGAGCGAATGAGGGTGATGCGGAAGTAGGTCATTTCTTATGGTGTGAGAGCGGAGTGGGGGAATTTTTTTTCGAAAAAGCATGCAGGAAGTTGAGCAGGCGGGCGTATGGTTGTTTGTGTGTGGGCGCGCGTGCTGCTGTGTGTATATGGATTTTGTGTTACTCGTAGGTCTGTCACATAGCAACCGTTATGGTTCTGGCCGAGGACCAGGAGGTAAAAAAGGCGGGTTTGCTTGTCGGTGTGTTGCCCCCCCTCTTACCCTGAGTCAAAGCGCTGTCCTTCAATTTCTCCTCCTTTCACACGCAACAGAGTACGTCGCTCCAACTTTGATTCTCCAGTGTGAAGTTGGCGTGTCCGTTTCGCTCACTTGCAAGTCGCTGCAACTTAGCTTTCCCCAGAGAACCCAGTTCGCTTCTTGTTCGTTTCACAGCTATTTCACGCCTTTCTATCCCCAAGCCTAGTCAAACTCAAGGACTTTGTTCCACAGGTATGACACAAGCGGGATTCCAAGTCCTTCGCTACCAGCACTGATAAATCAACCCAAGCAACCCCAGACAGAGCGAGATTATCCGAACCCGGTTGCTTTTTACAACAGATACACTGCTGCGATGATTCAAACAAATGCGGGATTTCTTTTTCACCTTGTGTATTTCACAATTCCCCGGCAGAATTGATCTGTTTCAACGTGCGTGAGTCCCTCTCTTACCAATTGCCTTGTTGATATTAAAACCAACGCTGTCTCGGGCCACAAAACGAAATATTCCCCGAATCGTCGGACAATCGTTACTCCGAGGCCATGCCGGGCCGCCAAAAATTACCGCCAAATGTGGCTGGTGACTTGGCCTCATCCGGCAGGTTTTTCCGCGCCAGCATGTGTCAGGACGCCACATTTACTGTGGCGCAGCGGGCCGCCGCAATCGAGCAACATATCAAGAGTAATAAGGGCAAAGAGCCAACTGTCCCGGCTAAACAGGGCAGTGAAAAACTGCAGGATGGGGCGACTGAGAACGAAACGCCCTTGACGGGAGCAAATGCGGAACCGGAGAATATATCGTCAAATGTCTCGTCGATTGATTCTGAAACTCCGACGCTAGAGTCCTTGACCCCTGATATCGGGGCTAACCAACCTCTTCGTACGACTCCTGCTACTACTATTACCACTCCTATCCCCAGTGCAACCTCCTCCTCTACATTGCCGGTTCTCAGTCTACAATCCTCTCCGTCAAAGTCTACACTGTCACGCTTAGTAGCCATTGCGACTGTGAAACGCTGGCCAAGTCCGTCCTTTGAACCACCCGCCGCAATTGATGCCTCCAACTCGAACCCTGTGTCGTCCGCCCTTGCATTTGCAAATGCGCCGTCCCCTACAGACACAAAACCCATAGCCGATTCGACGCCATATTCGCTTTCTTTATTACGGCCGAGGCCTGAACCCGATCCCCCTGCGTTGTTTCCTGCACCGAGTCAAGCCCCAGGACGCAACTCCACGCCAAAACTGCCCCATAAACCGAACATGGTGTTTCAGAAACCAAAAGCGATGGTAGATGACAGTAACATCGATGGCGGGGTTGCTATGCCCCGCCTAGAAGATCTTCTGCGTCACCCGGAAGATTTAGATAAGATTCCGGCTCTGAAGGCCGAATATTCGAGAAAAAAGGCGGCGGTGGATGCACAGCTTCGGGAAGGATTGAGGGACCAACTTGAAACCGTGCAACGGAGCATAAGCCAGCTTACCGAGGGTCAACGGCATGTTTTGAAAACCAGAGATGAACTGCAGGGTATAGATAAACTATGTGCAGAGTCTCAAGGAACTGTTGGGGATTTCTCGCAAATAGACAAGTTGGCTAGGATACAGCGGAATTTCGAAGCTACGATAATGATGAAGAAGGGGCTGGAGAGCTTCCATAACGATCTTACCGAAGTCGAGCGGCTGTTGAGAGAGGATGACCAGGATCTTGAAAATCAACCGAATTTGCTCAATGCTCATATGGCCATTACCAGGCTAAGGGATTTCAGAGACGAAGCCATGGATCAAATTCGGAAAGCGCGGGATAGCAGTAACGAGGCAACTTTGGTTGAATGGTTTCAGAGGCTTGATTCTGTGATAGAGTGGTTCGATGATCACGTTGGAACTGCAATTATGAACCTTATCCCATTGGTACAGACAGACAACCGGAGTATGGTAGTCCGGCTGGCTCTGATTGTTATGAACGAAGAGAAGAACGATTCCAAGGTTCGGGCTTTGCAGGAAGCCCAAAAGGACCACAAGGCACTGGCGAGCCGGTTCAAGTCTATGAACCTTGGCCCTAAGACCGTCAGGGGCTATAAAGAGAACTTTCTCAAGAGTATCGAGCTTTATGCGCAGACTCAGTTTGAGAAGTCTAAGGAGACTTTCCTTGACGATCCAGAGAAGCTAGAGAAGAGCTTTAAGTGGTTCTTCAACGATTTGTTTACTGTGAAACAGGGCATGCAGTCTCTTATGCCGAAGAAGTGGAAGATATACAAGGTCTACACAAATATCTATCACCGAATGATGCATGACTGGCTCATCGAGTTCGTCGATGATCCTGAGCTCCCCACGGCTAATATGCTTGCAATCATACATTGGTCTGAGAAGTACTATAAGAAAATGGCGAAGCTGGGTTGGAAACAATCAGACCTTGTTCCCAACGTTCTGGATGACCGTGAGGGTGAGCTTGTCCGGGATTGGCGGAACCTCATTATCAAAACGTTGGATGAGTGGATGGAGCGGATGTTTGCAACTGACAAGAAATCATTCCTTGAACGAGATATGGATGCTTTGGATACTAATTCGGAAGGATACTTCCGTACAAAGACGCTTGGAGATATGTGGCGAATGATCCACGAGCAGCTCATGGCCGCAAGCTATTCTGATCGAACAGATGTCACGGAGGGGGTTATAGACGCCATGTTCCGCGCTCTGAAGACTCGACAAACCACCTGGCAAACCGTCCTTGACGAAGAATGCGCACGCTACAAAAACCCCACTACAGATCAGTCCGAGGGACTGCAGCAGCTTCAAGACTGGCTCATCGCAGTTGCCAACGACCAAATTGCCTGTATCGACGACCATGACGAAGCCTCGGGCCAACTGGGCTACCTCTCGCGCTTCAACCGTGACTTCGAACCGCTTGTCACGCCCAAATACCTCTCATCTCGTGCCACTATGGAGCTCGACAGCCTGCGTGATGGCTATGTTGATCTCAGCACACATTGCATAAGCCTCTTCATCGACCTAATCTTCACAGTTGACTTCCGCACCACGCTGCCGGACTTCTTCACGCCGAAATGGTATGGCGAGTTTGCTGTCAAGCGCATGATCTCTACCTTTGAAGACTACATGTCCGACTATAGCGCCGTGCTTCACTCAAGTCTCACGGATATTCTCATTGAGGAGCTTTCCGACGAGCTGCTCGTGCGCTACTTGTCCGCTATCCGCAACAAGGGCGCCAAGCTGCGCCGCCAAGACCCCTTCACGGATAAGTTTAAAGACGACGTCTTGACCGTGTTCGGGTTTTTCCAGAAATTCCCAGACGCGTTTGCTGCTACGATTAAGGATCGATGGCGGGTGGTTGATTGGCTTGTTAGGCTACTGGAGGCCGAAAAGGCGGCGGGAGTTGTGGCTGTCTATGAGGCTTTTAAAACCGAATATTGGGATTTGCAGCTGTCGTGGGTAGAGGCGGTATTGAGGAGTCGAGATGATTTCGAGAGGTCGATGGTCAGCGCTGTGAAGGCTAAAGCTGCGGAATTATACGTGGAACGTGGGGTGGAAACGATTATGGGCAAAGTACGATGATTTTTGTGTCCCTTGTTGGGAGGAATATTCCCACTTTTTATCACTCTTATCATTCATACTCTCTAATTCAAGGGGCAACGTGGCTCTTTTCGGCTGCACAAAGTACAATTTCTGTGGAATTCTTTCCTCCTTATCCTTTGCAAGTCCTTTCTTAAGCTGTCTTCAGGTATATATACCAAGGGATTGGATAGGCGCTCTTTGGGGAGCATTTTTCAATAACATCTTTTTCTCTTTGCCTCTCACTGTTTATAAACAATTGATTATACCATATGTTCTAGCCGATATCATCGCTTCATATCACTCCACCCTATTCCATCCACATATGTATTGACATATATATACATTGCTTTTAAGTTTTCGCCCAAATGGCATAGTTCCCGCCACATATCACCGTATAACAAGATCCATACTGCTTAATGTAGCTTAACACCCCCATCATCCGACCGATCCCCATTATCTCCATCTCCATCCCCTGCCACCCGCGGCGCAAATACCAAACTTTCCTCCGCAATACTAACATAGGCCTCACCCAGCAACTGCCCACCGTTCGCACCATCATCAGATACCGGCTTTGCGCCCATCTCGCAAATACAAACACGATCAATGGGAATATTCCTCGCCCAGACAAAGGGCCCCTTCTCCCTTCTCTCCCTCTTACTCTCTTTCTGCTTTTCCAGCACTTCATCCTCCTCCTTGTCCTCCCCCTCCCCCTCCCCTTCAACTTCCAACGATAAGGCATGGTTCTTACCGTATGCACGCTCCTGATCCCAGCTATCTAAGTCGGTGTTCGGGAATTCATAATCGCCAAATTCCATCAGAAGCGGCCGCGCGTCGAACTTGAACGGTTCCTTGCGCTTCCCATCCCGCTGCTTGCGACGGGGTAGATAGACCGTATTGGCGATAGTGGCGTGTAGGAGGAGCGGACGTGGTTTTCGGGCATTTCGATCCGACGGCAATGAGGGTGCTTCGGCTTGAGTGGACAAGGAGGCTGCACCGATGTTGCTGTTCTTATCATCGTTGTCGCCATGGCCTCCCTCGAGGCCTTCAGAATCCGATCCATCTGCATGTACCTTATTACCACTGATCCTACCGGCTTGGTTCTTGGACCTAGGAGAGTTTTTGATCATCTCCTGCTCTATAAAACCAGCCTCGATAAATTTATTCCGCAAACTGACGCAGAATTGGTAGAGGCGGGATGTGTTATCGACGGGCTGCGCGTGAAGAATTGTGGCAGCCCTCGCTTTGGGAAGCGCATGTAGGGATTTTAAATCAATTATAAGCGGCTGTGGTGCCGTATCAGCAGCGATGGCATTTGATATACCACTTTCGCCGGCCGTTACAGCCCTCGCCTGAGCCTCCACATCTCGCAACATCGATTCAAGATCCAATGAGTGAAAGAATGCCAGCGCTCCCTCTAGGCGCTCTTTGGTAGGCAGACTCATGACCCCAAGGGTCAGGTGCAAAGTGCCTAGTGGCCTCAGCGCTCCATTAGGGAAAAGGGGTGTGTGAGGGAGCTGAGCTGAAGCTGCTACAAGAGCGGAGACAGGGGGAGGTACGAGTGGGATGGAATCCCGGAATTCTGCCAGGGATGAGACTAGCTGTGGAATGGAGATTGAGTTTACCAATGGCAGGCAGAGGAAATGGGTTAAACGTGGTCTGCTAGTGATGTTCCGCATCTGCTGAGGTGGTTTCGCCCCGCCCCCGAGTGTGCTTTTGGGTGCCATGATACAGCTGTGGAGATGGAAGGCGGAACAGCGATTGAAGAGGCAGGAGATGCTGTTTAGTATATTCTTAAAGTCTCCTGATAGGTGACGCTTGCTCATGTATGTAGATCTGGTAAATCGAGTTTCTGAGTCGCCTCTGTATATACATGTAGTATATGGGATTAGAGCCGCCCCTGTGTATTGAAAAGGGCGATGTAAGTTCGGCCACGCGGGTCTCTGGGGTAGTTTCTAAGAGATAACAATTAGGGAAGAGACAGGGAGCAGTCCCAAAGAAATGTACAGATTTACATACATATTCCGTGCGAATTTATATGGAGCTTGACTGTCCCTTCCCTTTCTCAGCTGCGTGGTCCTCGTTGTACGGGACTAACTACGATTGAATAAATAGTAGATGCTACAGGAATGGGAAATTCAAATAGAATAAATCTTCCCACAAACACACGCACTTAACATGTGGTAATTCCAAAAGGTGATGAAGATAGCTGCTCTTGTTGCTGTTGTTGCTGTTGTTGCTGCTGATGTCAAGTCGATGGAAGTTTGTGGCGTCATGACCGCGCATCTCGAACATCACACCACTCCGACACATATCAGACCACTCCGCTCATTGCATCCATCCGCCACGGTACAATTTTCACATCCACCCCGCGCTCACCCTTACATGAGCTTACTACTATAAAAACAAGACAAGATACTCCAATTCCTCTCAATTCTCTCCCCATCGCCATCTTGATCCTCCATCACAATGCTCCCCCGGACAACCTCTCGCGCTACCTCCTCTCTTCTCCGCACCCCAGCGGCCACTATCGCTCTCACTCCGCTCTCCGCTATCGTGGCCTCCGTCACTCCCCGCACCCAATTGCGTTCTTCAAACTTTAGACAACTACGACACGAAAGCTCAGCGAGAGCCTTCTACCGCCAACTACACACCACGCCTTCACTCCGCAAAGGCATCACCCCCCACTCTTCCAACCCCACTCCTCCCAATCCCGAGTCGTCAAATTCAAATATCGCTGGTGGAGCGAACCATGTCACACAGCCAACACCGTTGACAGAGGAGCAGTACCGTGAATATGTGGAGGATTATTTTAACGTGCTCCTGACGAAGGTGGAGCAAATGCAGGAAAACGGGTCCGATGTTGAGGCAGAGTATAGCGTATGTATTTATTCCAACCCGTATATATGTGTGATCCGTTGCATTTTGGGATCCAACATAGCTTATAAACTTAGCATATATCATTCCTATGCCATGTCTTCTCTTTCCCTCCTCTATTTTCTCCCTGGACTGTTCCCAAAACTAAAAATGTTTCAAATTTGTCCAGGCCGGCGTACTTAACATCACAGTCCCAGACGCTGGCGTCTACGTGCTTAACAAGCAGCCTCCCAACAAGCAAATATGGCTCAGCTCGCCCGTCTCAGGGCCCAAACGCTACGATTGGGTTGACCAGGGAGACCACATGGATGAGAAGGAAGGCACACGCGAATTCATCAAGGGCCAGTGGATATATCTGCGCGACGGCTCGAATTTGACCACTCTGCTGAACAAGGAGCTTGGTCTAAGCATGGAGTATGATATCTATGGGGAGAAGGAGGTTTAGGGCTTTGCGATTTGTGGAACTGGTTGCCTGACTTCAGCTGATGTTATGTGGTTGCTGTACTTGTGTTATGATATGAGGCACGAGGGAGGAATAGGCTCCTGGCAATGGAGATGGAGATGGAGTTAGCCATCCATATCGTTGAATTTACGCATGCTGTGGAACCGTGTCCCTGGAAGCGGATTGATTTTGTATTATTTACATACTGTATAGAGCGAGCTATTTCTGTATAGGGTGAATCGAGCGAGAATCAACATTGAAATTCAAAGGGACGATTGATGAAGTGTAACCTGCCCCACACTCCTCGAAATTTAAAAAAAAAAGCCCAACTATCATGGTATATGTCCTAGGAGCTAACTGCCATGGGTTTTTTTATTTGCGTTCCTGCCTCCATGTTCTCTCCCTCAGATACGAACATAACCGGTTTTCGTATGACTAGAAAGAGCGCGGAGAGTATTCTCATAATATATCATGAAGGCCGTAGCGTTGTAAGGCGAATGCTATTACACGCTTCCAATGTAGGAAGAATCGTTCAACCCGGCACCATTTTTCGTCTTCCGCTGCAACATGGGATTTCGTGTGACAGTCACAGAAAAAGAGAACAGGTAACCTGTGTCAGATCAGGTGTTGTTCAAGAACTATCCGTATTTCGTGAGATATCTCTCTTCCGTTGCATGAAGGCTGGATAGTAGGAGCACGCCATTTACCGGACATAGCATAGGATCCCAATGAATCCTATCGTATGTCGACTTCTAGCCTTTTCTTTCGCTATCATCTCCTATCCCTTCTGTCTTCCCTTCCATGATTCCAAGGTTGAGTTTCCCTGCTGGAAATCGGTATAGAATGGGCTCTGTTATGTAATCCCCCCTCTCTCCCCCCCAGCGTAAACGAATATACATGGGTGTGCATTCCGCCCTTTTCAACATTCTCTCCTCATTACCGCTCACGCTTTACGCAGTAATCGCGATAGCACCAGCGCTCGCATCGCTTTCTTTAGGCAGATCATCCTATTGCAATTTCCAAAAACAACACACCGTTAGCGAATAAAGAAATAAATAAAAATAAAACAGCAAACCAAACATTTTCTGCACCCCTCGGCCCCCTCCCTCCCCCTCTTACTCCCCTCTTCTTAATTTCCCAAACAATTTAATCTATTCCATCCTTTCCCCGTTTGGTCGACTTACCAAATCATAAATAACCCTAACCATCAAACTGCAACTGGGACACACCGCGATCTCCTCTCCATCGCGCAGGTCGGCAACGCCGATCTCGAACCGGTCGCCGCAGGGACATGGGTAGTGGTAGATCTGTAATGTGGCGTCGTAGGTCATGTCTTCGATTTCAATTTCGTCGTAGATTGAGAGGGAGTCGGCGTCCGTCATAGTTTTCGGACTATGACTGTGTTGTTTGTCGGTTGAATTTGTTCGAGTGAGGGGAGCGGGGTAGGGAGTAACTTGTATTTGAGGCCTTTTTCCTTGTGTACGGAGGCTGTATTTCGTCTGTTGAGAAGGAAGCAAGGAGAGAAGGTAGTCGTATTTCTAGATGGCTTAAATGCGAATAGAGGCGATCTTTTCTTAGAATAAAAAAACTAGTCATCAGAGTTAGTTGGCAATCAGTCATGGACTTTCAATCTATCTGGATATATTTTGCCGTTGCCAAGAAAATATTTTCTGCCGCGGAAGCGGTGAACAAGCCAAACTCTGCACCACATGGCCAATAAGAAGAAACAAATAGAGAGGTGTATCAAACAGTTCACCCCAAAACTCCAACCCTGAAAAGTGGCCCATTATCAGGCTTCAGGTTCCCAACCTCCTAATCTCCATCTTAACACCCTCAACCTCCTTGACCAGAGCTCCATACCTCCTTGCAATCTCCACCATTGCTCCTGGCTTCCCTGAACCATCACCACCACCACCCTCGTCACCTTTACCTTCCACAACACCTGCAGCTTCTCGTTTTCCCATTTCCCCCATATCCGCCCGCTCGTACGCCTCGAGCTCTAACAACGCCTGTTTCCTCCTCTCCTCCAACCGCAGACGCGTATCGCCCAGATGATCGCGGTAACGCGTCAGCGCAGCTGTGGTTTCCGGCGTGTAGATTGCAGAGAGCATTTCGTGTCTCATGATACTACATATAATAAAAACAAATTTAGCTTTTCCACCCCTTGAACATGTGCGGTTTTAATGCAAAATGAAGAAGAACAAAGTAAAAAAGAAATAGCATACCAAACCTTCCCTTCAACCCCCTCCAACACGACTGCCACATGGTCCGCTCTCGCTTTCACCCCGCGCGCTAAAACGCCGTGCTTGGCCCGCTCAAGGATATGTATCACGCGCTCCATCACTTCCGCATGGGCCGCCAATACAGCTGCGGCCGTGACTGTCATTTTGTTCCGGGCTGTGGGGAGGTCGTGCGATTGGATTGTACGGAGGGTGCGCAAGCGGCTGGAGAGTTGGGATGGGAGGGATATATCGGTTGGGGAGGGTTTGAGGGAGAGGGGGCGGAGACGGTTACTGGGGCGTGGTTGGGTATTTTTGCTCTTGTTGGTTGCGATGCGGGCGGAGGAGGAAAAGGAGGTGGTGTTTGTGGCGGTTTGGTAGTTGTGTCTGTCATTGTTGCTGCTGTTGTTGACAGGGGGTGAGGCGTTGGCGAGGGTTTTTAGATGAGTGAGGTCCGCGGCGAGGATGGCGGTGATGCTAGGGATGAGGGAGGGAATTGCCGAGTGGAACTTTTTCAGATCTGGGGAGAGAAGAGAGAGGAGCTCGGAGGTCTCGTCCGGGGAGATTTGTTTATTTCCGTTCTCTTTATTGTTATTATTGGGGGAGTGTTGAAGGTAGAGAACGATGACAGAAACAAGGTTTCGGAGCTTGAAGTATCAGAAGCCTCAAAAGTGTCAGTCAATGATATAATGTATATATTGGTATTCTCTATGCAAAGGAAAAGATAGCATTGCCATCCCCTTATCCATAAATCTTTCCGAAATAGAGGACTCACCTCGTCATCTAAACTCCCGTTCCCATCCCCTACCGCAACCTGCGCAACCACCCTGGTCAATATCCGCGCTTTCACCGCCCTTCCCAAGTACTTCTTGAGATCCTGTTTTCGAAATCAGTCTATCGTCATCAATGTATACACGCATCTCTCAGAAAATAAGACCCTCCTCATCAGGCCGCCCGACATAAAACTTACAGCCTGCACTGCTCTCCGGGACGGATCGGTGGCATTGGCGCGTGTGGAGCCATCGGGGTTTAAGATGGCCGTTGTCAACTGTTGATGGAGGGCCTTGAACTGGGGATTGTTGCTTAGGATGGCCGGATCGCAGGGCGATATCATGGTCGGCTATGGGATGGCTGGAAGGAGTTGAGTTTTTGCAAGTGATGAATGTTTTGAATCCTGCGTGGAAGTTGTGTCGTTCTCAACGCGCTAGACTCCCTGCTTCATTCAACCTACGTCGCTCAACCACCGCCTCTTTGCGGGAAATGAATTACAGGCTCATAGAACAATATTATTTTTTCAATTCTTATCTGACGAAACATGCCTTCCCGTACATCCTTTAATCACTGGAAAAAAAAGATCTTACGGGATGGGCGGAACAAACCATCTCAGTTCCACTCATGGTAAATAAAAAAATAGAACGACCACGAAGGAGGCGAAATCCGGGGGCTTGTGCTGTGCCCGCGTATTCTGTGTCTCCTTATATTATGGTTCTCATCATCATGTCTCTTGTTGCTGGATGATGGTTTGATGGTAAATACGGAGAACAATGGATAGAAAGAAAAGCAAAGGAATGATCGGATATCAACAATTTCCAATGTGGCTTGCTTCTGAACAAAGCCTAGTTATAACTAACAATCAGCACCTGCAGCGCAATTCAATTCGCCAGGCAAGAGATTGTTCATTTCCAAATCAGGACTTGTTCGTTCGAGTACTGGATGCAAGGCAAGTATCCGTTCATCCACCTCCAAGGCTGTTGGTTCTGAACATTCGCCGTACTGCTTACTTCGTACTTGTTTTCCATGGCTCCTCCCGATTCTTAAACCCTATATCAAGCCCGTTTTATCGTTTCCAATTTCTTTTTCTCCACATTATCAGATGACTTATTGCATATCGCAAGTTTCATGATTCATTCCGTCACTTCAATAATGGCATCATGCCATACGCAACATCCGAACACGGTCTGCCCTTTACCTTCTCGAAAAAGGGCCCTCTCTCATTCGACATTGCCAACAACGAATCACCCGACCCAGGATGTACGCGCTGGGTTCAAAATTAAAGCCCCTAGACGGTCGACGCCGGACTAGCTCCTCGTCCATCTCCACCCTGTCAACTCACCTGATCTTTTGCTTGATTTCGCCGAAAGAATGAATTGCCATGCCATTCAGCCCAGGCTCCATGCCTAGCTGCATTTTCTCAAGGGCCCCCTCACCTCCTATCCCACCCAATCACCGTTCCAATTCCATCCACGTCAACAGACCAAGTTCCAACGTCCACCCCGCAGGGATCAAATCAGATCATATCATCGTCAGATTATGAAAAAAGCAAAACATAACAAGGATTCAATCGAGAAGAGACCTGATCGCGTGCTCACGCTTTCATGCGCGAGAAAAGTAAGTGACTTTATATGTATTAATAATGATGACTTGGGGAGAAGGGGCTGCCAATGGAAATAACTCAGCCAACTATTGAATCTGAATCTGCCTTGCTCTTCAATCAATGCCTCACGGTTTTCTTCAAGCCAGCGGCAAGCCCCGCTCAAGGACCGGCACCGCATGCCTTCAAATATGCCTTGCTTGGCTTTCGCGTGGGGAGCGCATAATGATTCATTGACTTCAGCCTGCGGGGAGGAGGGAGCGTTAGAATCGTTATTGGTGTTAAGTGGAAGGAAGCTGAAGGAGATACAAGGGATTTTCTTGGTGTTATCACACCAATAACCCACCTTTCAGGTCCTTTTACGGAACCCCCCCCGAATGCCCGGGATCCATGTATGTATGCTGTTTCATGGAGTATGGCAAGGTTCTTACTTGCATTGATATCTTGATTGCTAAGTAGCAGGCGCTGATGCAGGGTTGAGGAGGTATATATTTATGGGAAAAATACTAGTTTATTCAGAGAGGACCCTCCAGCAGGGAATGAATGGTGTGTTTGTGCATATACTTGTTTTTAAGTCGGGCGATAGATGATTTATAGTGAAATGTATATATGTTTAGAGAGAGAGGGCGAGAGAAGGAGGGGGAAAGGAGGAAGACAAGCTGGGTAATCTCTTTTTCGAATTCATCAATACCAAAGATGCTTTCAGTATTCAGAACACGTTTGATGCTAGTTCCTCCCATTCCTCGTTTTTTATCGATATAACAGATCCCTCCCACTTCTAGTTGTAGAAAATGTCAGGGTATGGATATCGACTCCTTCCCGAATCCCATACTCCGTATACAGATCGGTAGATAATCAGTTTTGGTCTGGAAAGGTATCACGCCCTCACGTTCTTTTCGACATTGCATATTCCTTTCCACCAATCCGCCCCTCGAGGTTTAGTTCGTCTCGTTAGAGAGAAATAACTATGGCTGCGTAGTCACCAACTTAATACCCTTCAAGAACGGCGGCGTGACCTTTTCAATACGGGATATCGAGACAAACGCCATTCAACATGCACATACCAAGTACACCTAGTATGGTATGTATGTACTACGTATGTACGGGGTAGGAATTACCACCGCGCAGCGCCTAGTAATAAATATATGCGCAAGCTGCTGCAGCTGTCGATCTTGCAGACGAAACTAGTAGTTCTACAAAGCCAGTGAAAGCATCCCAAAAGCAACTCGGATGGCCGAAATCTCACCAATCAAAGATCGGCTGGATCGGTTGAGGCTCCGCTTTTCTATCTCTCTTCTTTTTTTCCCCCTGGCAAAAACAGAAGTGAAGTAAACAAGCTCGCCCCTGTCAATAGAAGGGTGAATATCATGATTAGTATTTACCTTACATACGAGTGCTACCGGCACCACGTTCCCGTAAATGGCAAATAAGTCCGTGGAAGGGGGACGAAGGGATCGGAGAGTTTCCCCCTTTCTTTTGTTTTTACGCCGTAGATCCCACGCTTGGCTGGGCAATATCCACTAACGGATTACTACGAAGCGCTCTCCCTCTGGAATCAGTGGGTTGCTGGACAGAGCCAGTTGAACGCATGTCACACGGCAAAAGCGCCGATGAGCGGGAGGAACCCCTCATAAAGACCCATCAGACACTGAAACTCGCACAGACCGTTTTCAGTCAGTGCCTGGCCATCTCCCGGAGGCGGCCTTGCAAATAAATATACATATACTTATTTATCTATGCAGTTATACGCAACACAGGATCGACGACTAGATATAGATATAACCTCAACAATGCTACAGAACCTTCCCCGCGGACCAATGGCAAGATCACTTCTGCTGTATGTCCTGGGAGGAATCATTATTGTTTGTGATGGATGACCCAATTGTGTGCAAATCCCGTGGTGCTTTTTTCATTTTCGAACTTCCATTCCATTATTTGACTTTTTATCCGACCCCATCCTCTCTCCGATTCCTGTCCTTGAGCTTGATATCCATATCTGATCGACTTGATCAATGCACGCTCCGGCCATCTTTCCATAGACGGGGCATCGTACGAGTACAGTACATTTGCATGCGGATTAGTTAGAAAAAGGTGGGACATCTTTTTTTTTTTTTGGAGCTTCAAAATTGCCATGATTCTTCGGCAAGGGGTAACCAGCTAAGCCATGAAAGCGATTTTCGCTTTACCGAGGAATAAGTTAATGAAGAAAGAAGTGGGATATTATCACCGATGGTTTCCTTATAAAATACACGTTGCTACATCCTGAACCCAGTCGGGCAAGCCTGATAACCCGTCCATTGCTTCAATCCATGTTTCTTCCCACTCTCCTTTCAATTTCCCTGCTATTGAAGATAGACAAGAGAGCTCGGGGTTTTCATGTGAGATCATCTGAGTCTTCGGAACATGTGCAATGACATTATTCTGTTGGATCTTACTCTGGAGAATCAAGCAGGAAGTTAGAGAGAGGTGTTGATATTTAAAATACTTGGACATGGAGCAGGAATGAGGAGCAGGAACCAGCCTCATTATTTCTTTCTTTCTTGTTTTCCCTCACCACATGGGCGGTTGGTTGGGAATTGTTGGTCAGCATTATTGAGCATAACTAAATTGAATGGAACGCTTCCTTTTAAGTGCCATTCGCATGTCTTTCCAATCTCGGGGTTGGTGCGTGTAACAGATTAAGCAACTCATCGGGCGGGGTGCTTCGTCTCCCAACCCAAAACTTTTGCGATGACGGGGATGAGAAGTTCCAACTCTTTCTTGTTGTTCAAGGTTCATTACCAAGCCTGCCTGCGAGAAGCAGTTCATACAGTTTCAAAAAAAAAAAAAGAAAAGGGTTCGGTCTGACAGCCGTGGGACCGACAGGTTCGAGAACCTTTTTTACCCGTTCTGTGACGCCTTTGTGACCCTTCATGTTTCCCGTTGAGAACAAAAACAAATCCCGTTGTATATTTCTGTTTCAGCAACCCAAGAAAAAAATGGCGAGATCAGCGGTGTTATAGTTGTTATAGTTTTCCCATGGTTCTCGGTTTAACTCTAATCAGAAGCGTCCAGGGAGAGTAGATACTAGCACGCCCAGAGAGCGCAATGTGTGTCTATAATTATATATACATGTAAAAAATCAAAACAGAAACAACCAAAAATAAGGAAGTTAAAAAAAAAAGTCAAAATAATCCATCCTTGTGACACAGAAGGTTCGGACGAAGACATGGTTGGTTTGGAAGATACTGGACTGCAGTCTGCTGCGGTGGTGGAGGAGCGCTCCTCGCGAAGCAGCCATTCGCAGCAAGAAAATAAACAAACAAATCAGAGAGGCATCTCATCTTGAGCGAGTTGCGCGATATATCCTGGCCAACGAGCAGCAGATAATTTCAGCCAACAAAAACCTGTCTGCTGTCTGCTGCCCTCTGCTCTCCTTGACGACGCCGCCCAAACAAAAGCAACCCGTCATTCAGCCAAGGATGTAGTCTCCTCTCGCTTCTTCTCTTCTTCTTTCTTCTCTTTTCTTTTGATGCGTTCAGAGTGTCTTCAGTTGAACTTTGATGAAGTTGAAAATGTGGTTACATAAAGCTGTGAACATGGATGGGAAGATAGTTAAGTGGGCCCCAACTTTATCAGCACCCTCCCTGGAGCACCAACTTAAACACACTCAACGACATCACTAATACTGCCTGCAACCAGGGGTAAGTAGTTACAGAGTAACTCAAAGGCTAAATAAAAGAAACGCGGTTGTAAAAACATACAAGGCCCGGTTGTAAAAATGGAGGATGCTGTCATGCAAAACGTCGTTGCTAAACCCATGCGCAACCGCACGCATCTGGCAGTGGAACCAGGGGTATCATGATTCATAGATTCCAGGGTTAAATAGTGCGGTGGAGTCACAGCTCCTTAGCAGGGCCGAGTTATCCACTCGCATGCTCCATCCATAATCTCATCCCAGCCTCTTCCTTTTTTTTCTCCCTCTCTCTTTTTGGGCTTAGGTTTCTTTGCTCTTTCCTTTCTTCTTCCTGGTCGAGAGAGCTTGACACCCAAGAGCTGTAAAGCTGCGAAGACGGGCGGCATTTAGCATTACCACAGTTAAATAATAGGCGACATGTGCGGATATATAGGTGGCTTTTTATAGATATATCGAAACCCTCAAGGTATGGGTGGCGACAACAGCATCCAAAGTTACGTTGTGATGTATTGTGGGTGTATTGCATGTGTATTGCGCAAACAGTCAGGGGAGCTTGGGAGCTGTTGTGGGGCTTGTGCTCGCTGTTCCTAGCCGTACCGAGCATCCTGCGCGGCGTAACTTTGGGTAGTTCACGCTGCCCCGGTTCCACAAATGATGCGCGGCCGGTCTTGGTAAGATACCGTACGATACGCCATCCACCGTTCTGATCCAGCCATGAGCACCGTATCAAACGGAGCCACCCAGCGCCACGAACGGCTGCCAATTGGCCCAGCCGCCGTTCTGTGGAGGTGTCAGGTGTTCCCCTTTTCCGCTGCCCACGGCGCCCAGAGCCCAAACAATACGCGCTGGTACGCAGTCGATACGGGACAGTACGAGACAGTACAGGACAGTACGGGCGGGCCCCCCTGTGGGAACTCTCGCTTACCTTGCCGTTTTCCTTTGCTTCGACTCATTTTCCTGCTTCCTTCGTCTTCCTCTTCCTCTTTTCTTCTTCTCTTCTTCTTCTCTTCCTCTCTCTCTCTCTCCTCTATCTACTTCGGCTTCATCTTTCCACCTTCTCGGCTCCTTTTCCATTGTGATACCCTGTGTTCTCTTTGCTTGTGCTGCTTGAGCTCATCTTTACCCTAGTTCTCATATCTATTTCTCTTTCTCCTTTCCTTTTTCCTGAGATACCCCAAGATACCCTGTATTGCCACCGATTTATATATCTTAACACCCCCTTATTTAATTTATCACCATATCCAACACGCATCGAATCCGTTGTTGTCTTGTATAAGCTCAACTCTCTGCATCTTCTCATATCTACTACATTTTAATATTTGTCCCAGCCACAGTTCTCATCGTCGTCATGTCGGACGTTCAGAAAACAGAGGAGGTCCCTGCTGCCACCCCAGCTCCCGCTACCGAATCAGCCAAGGACGGTTCTGCTGATGCTGCCCCCGCTGCTGAAACGCCCGCTGAGACCCCTGCTCCTGGAACAAGCAAAGCGGCCGCTGATGATTCTGCCGCTGCGGAAGATGCACCCAAGGAAGAATCTAATCCTGAGATCAAACCAGCTTCTGAAGGATTCCTTGGCTACAAGGCCCCTGGATTAGTCAAGTAAGTCTCTCTGGCATTGAGCATACACTGCATCATATATACATTATACACAGTAGATCATTAGAACGGAAGAAAGCTGACAATTGGTAATTGTGAAAAGGAGTCTCCGTTTCTCCAAGCGATTCTGCTGGTTCAGTGACGATGCTGTTGAGATTAAGCAGCTCACCGCCTATTTCCAGAACGAGAAGCTGAGCGTCGCTCATCCTACTGCTGCATGGGCCAGCCAGACCGGCAAGGGCCTGCTCTTCTTCGCTAAGCGTGCCGAGGACAAGGCTGCCCCTACTGGAATCATAAACTTAGCTGATATCTCAGACATTGCCAAGGAGTCTGCCAATGAGTTCCACTTCAAGTTGGGTGGGCACAAACATACTTTCCAGGCAGCTAACGGTGATGAGCGCACCTCCTGGATCGTGGCCCTCGAGGCCAAGGCTGCTGAGGCAAAGAATGAGAAGGAAACCATCACGTCTAGTGATGGCTACAAGGCTGAGCTGGAGAAGATGAGTAAGTGATGGCCAATGTTTTCTCTGTTGCTTTTCTACTGGTGTAATTACGTGCTAAATTTGTAACACAGCCAAACCTCCAGTCGTCGCCGCTGCTGCCCCTAAGAAGAGTCTCGAGAAGAAGGAGTCTGCTTCCAAGGAGGGTGACGAGGAATCGAAGGAGGAAGAAAAGAAGGAAGAGAAGTCAGAGCAAAAGGAAAAGAGCCGATCTCAGTCCCGGAAGCGGGCTAGCATTTTCGGAAGCTTCCTGGCTAAGAAGGATGAAGAGAAAAAGGAGGACAAGAAAGAGGAGAAAGCTGATGCCAAGGATAGTAAAAGTGATGAAGCAGAGGCCGCTGCCCCTGCTGCTGAGACCCCTGCTCCCGCTGAGCCTACTACTGAGGGTAAGCATGAACCGTTTAGAAGAACATTCAGATTATGGAACTAATTGGTTTTAGCCCCCGCTGCCGCTGAAGAGCCCAAGGATGAGGAGAAGAAGGAAGCAAAACCTGAGCCAACTGTCGCCTCTAAAGCCAAGCGTGCCTCCATCTTCGGAAGTATTTTCCAGAAAGTCAGCAACCAGGAAAAGGCTGAGAAGGACGCCCCTCCCAAGAACACTGAGACTCCTGTCTCTAGCACTGCTCCTCAACTCGGAGACCCTGTCGATCCTTCTACTTCGGAGCCCATAAAACCCGAGAGCGTGACTGCTGCGGGAGAAGATTCTCAACCCGCCAAGGAGGCTGAGGAACCAGTTACGTCGCCTGCTTCCACCAAGAGTGGTTTCCTTCAGTTCATCAAGAAAGAAATGAAACATGACGTACGTTCGCCATCTTCCCTGTGCAAATATTTAATTTCCGTTTATTTACGACTAACATGCACTTGGTTCATAGGACAAGAAGGAGGACAAGAAGGAGGCCGCCAAGCCTGAAGATAAGGCAGAAAAAAAAATGGAGGAGCCTGTCGCAGAACCTTCAACAACAACAGAAAGCACCACTACCCCCCCTGCTGCCAAGGAGAAGCGTCGCACCTCTTTCTTCGGCAACCTTGGCTCCAAGAAGGAAAAGAAGTCCGAGGCTGTCACGGATGGCGAGCAAGCTGCTGACGAGGACAAGGCCAAGTCCCCGACATCGTCTCCCCTCCCCAAATTTGGAGGCGTATTCCGCCGCGCCAGCAAGGCTGCCAAGAAGGAAAAGGAGCCTGCTGCTCCTTCAGAATCCGAGCCCATTCCCGAGGCCGCTGAGAAGCCTGAGGAGAACAGCAATGACTCCACAACCGAACCCGCTGCAACTGTGAACGGCGCTGAGGCAGAGGGGAAGACTGATGCGGCTGCTCCAACAGCATCTTCTTCTCAACCCGTCCAAGCTGCCGCATGAAGTGCAGGCGCCAGGACGAGCTTCGTTGAGATCGAGAAGTGGTGGGACCAGCGGTACTTGTCTAGTCCTGGCGTGTCAACTGCCTAATTGGATGATCGTAGTCCCTGCCTCCCTTCCAATGACAACCACGGCAAAGAAAGAAAAATAACCCGGCGGGTTCCTCTCCCTCAGTTTTTCTTTTTTAACAAAAAGGAATATGAAAAGCAACGAACGTGAAAAATGTCTCTATATGATAGTGGGTGTGATGTGGAAAATGTCGTGCGCACCGCAAGTTGTAACCCTCCCCTCCGGCCAGCACCCGCCACTCTTAAGTCTCCGGTCTATTGACAATGTTTTATTTAATAAAGCTTGTTCGATATATAATTGTCGCTCATTTCCATCTATTATTATTACTATTATTAGTTCTTTCTCCGGTGTGCACGCTACTGTAATATTTTGTTTTCTGGAAAAAAACCATACGAAAGAAACCAAAAAAATATTTGCGAGGTGGACGTGAATGATACCCCGATACCCAAGTCGTCTTTCTTCTCTCAGTTTTTGTCCATGTCTTGTTTTTCGTGTGTTCATTACGTTTTTCACATTTTTCAAAATCCTTTTGCTCTTTTTGAATTGAACCCACCTCTGCCCCATCCTCCCCAATTGTTGTTTTGTGGTGGGTGCTTTAATATATTGGTTATCTTCGAATTTATAACGCATCCAAACCTAATAGTTATCATCTGTAATTCCCAACAATCAATTGATATATTTCAAAATACGAGTTGTCCGTGCTGTTTTGCCTCTTGGGAAACATTTGCTACCGGGGAATGGACATAGCGTTTGGTTTCGAAAACCTGCCTGTTCCGTGCAATCAACGGGTAGTTAACTATGCATACTTGATTATTGAAACCTACAATAGCAGCATCCCGCTGATTTAGAACGAATCTCCGGGGTTTTTTCCTAATACGGCTGGAGGAAGCTTGAATGAAGCTGGCGCAACAAATAACTCATACAACTTACTAGCAATGTTAGTAACACTCCCCACAATTTTTATAATTGCAAATAGTGTTTATTAAATTAGTCACTGTACACTGTTTATGTTGGGCACTAGTTGCCCAGGTGGCCCTCCACCGCACGTGATTACCCCTATATAGTTAGCTAGCGATCGCACAATGAGAAGATTAACCATCCCACAGGTTATGGCCCGGATAGCAGATTTTTAAGAAAAACAACACATTTTGATTAGAATACACTGCAACCAAAGTTATATTGGATGAGTTAGACATTATTCCCCTGAAAAGAGAGCTCTTTGCCTATAAAAGTGGTGTAATTGACAGAATTACTGTCGAGACTGCTGCAGAGATTTCATTACTATCTTGAAGGGATCAAAAACTTATTTATTTATTTTCATTCAGAACCCCCTAAGATCAATTATGAGTGGTTCTCAATTACCTGCAACCCCCATATCAGAACATAAGAAGACACTACATTCACAATCAAGGGTCCCCCAGTCCATCCCCTCTGTTACTGAACAAGAATCCATCTCAGAAGCAGAGGGTGATCAAATCAAATACACAATGGCAGAGGATGATATGACAATCTCTGGCTCAGCACACAATACTGGTAAGATGTCAGAACACAAGGAATTCAAGGACAGCACACTCAGTTCTATATCAATATCTACATCAAATTCTAACAGCATGGTGATCATGGCAGCAGCAGATCTCATTGCACTCTGCAAGCAACTGATATCAGCACATGTGCTGCCATCTCCTTTATCATCTTCTCCTCCACCTCCATCTTCTTCAAACCCTATACCAGAAGAAGATCTGAACATGCTGGCTCACAAATACCAGAAGAAAGCACAGGCCTCATTGAATACAAAGTCCATCATCACATTCAATGGCACCAACTATCAGACATGGAAGATGGCATTCTTCTTGGATGCAGAGGTGATCAGTGGTGCAGATATTCTCAATAAGAATCAACAGAAATCATCTGAAGGTTTATCAACACTCAAGCAACAATATTGAGTGATATGTTCAAAGCTACTCTTTCATCATATGTTACAATCTCTGGTAGGTTCTGTCTGTTTGACCATGGAATTCATTCAATCTGACAACACAGCAGCTCTATAACATAAGATAAGCACAGTATATACAATGTCTCTAGAGGAGGAAAGGATTAATATTCTCAAAGAACTTACCCACTTGCATGTCAAGAACAGTGATTATCTGGCATATATGTATTGATATCACTATCTGTCTGCTTGCATGCAACAACTAACAGAGAATCACAGTGAGAACTACCTCCATAATTTCTTTATTATCAGCCTCCAAGATTATCAGAGAATCTACATCAAATCACATCTTGATACATTCTACAGAACAGATCAGAGCCTGATTGTCAATCTAGATATCAATGATCTCACAAAACAAATTGCTCACTGAATGAGTAAGTCAGAGGGTTCTGAACACCTCAAAGCTCCAAAGATCAACACAGCCATCAATGATAATGATGATAACACCACAATCACCACCACAATCTCACAGTGCAGACAGATACTGCAAGGTCTCAGAGTATATAAAGGCTAATTGCTATCATCTGAACCCTGACAAAGCACCTGAGTGGTGGAGAAAGGAGAATAAGGATAATAAGAGCACTGACAACACTGAGGGTGTCAAAAAGAAGGGAAAGAATAAGAAGAAGAACAAAAATGACAACAAATCTACTGACATCAGAGCATCAGATCTCCTTGTCTCACAATCTAGTGTCAACACAGCATTTACTTTATCTGTGTTGTCTGCTATAACATTCAAACCTTGATATCTCAACACCTGCACAAGCTTTAATATGACAGGTGAAAGACACTCATTGATGCACATAAAGTCATTTGAGAGGGATTTAGAGATAACCACTGCAGACAGTGGTGTAGAACAGATTGAGGAGATAGATGATATTCTTCTAGAATCAGAAGAGGGGGATATCTCAGTGGGTCATGTCCACTGAATTCTCAATCTCACTGTCAACCTTCTATTCTTTGCAAAGCTAGAAGATCAAGGTTTCAGATATCAACTATCTGACACCATCTCTTCTTATTTTACAATAAGAGCTCCAAACAGCACCAACTTCACTGCTGTTTGCATGTTCAAAGAATTGGTTTATAAGATAATAGAATGAGAATCTCAAATAGATATTCATCATCTGTTCCAGACCATCCATTTTATAGCCAAATCTTACAATTATAGAAATGCAATGTTGACAACTGTGGGGAAATCTAGCAATCAATCTAGCAATCACAACTTTCTGATAAGAACACTTATGAAATGACACATCACTCTAGAGTATATTCATACTGATATGATCATCACACTAGTGAAGGATTCATCATTCAGCATTCACATCAAAGGATCTAAAACAGGCTTCTTCTGTAATAGCTGTGTCAAAGCAGGCATGATACACAAGTTCTCACAAACTCTCATGCCATGAGTGTTGCAAGCAATGCAACATGTTTATATTGACCTTGCTGGTGGCAGTTGTACACTGAATGATATGTTCAATTACTCTATAGAATCTTGTCAAAAGATCAAATATTATATGCTTATCACTGATGACACCATCCATTATAGATGAATCTATTTTTTACACACTAAGAACCAAGCTATTGAATTTTACACTCACTGGGTTCAATTCATAAAAAATCTCAGCTTCACATCATCAGTGCTAGTTAGAATCAATATTGATGATGTCTTTCAATCAAACAAGATGACAACAATGATGATCAAAGATGGCACTATCTGAGAATCTACTACATTTCAATCCTCTCATCAAGATGATGTTTCTGAGAGAGGTATCTGCACAATAATGACACACACTAGAGCAGTGTTTATAGACATGAATATATCAAAGAAGTTCTGAGCAGATGTTCTTGAAACAGTAGTTGCAATTACCAACAACACACTGACATCTACTACTCTGTATAATGAGAAATACTGGTCTATCAACAACATCAATGAAGCATCTGTGTGATGCCTCTATACTGTCTCATTCTCAGCACTAATCAACACCCCACCCCAACTTTGCCATTTTAGAGAGCTAGGTGTTGATGTTTACACACATCTTCATGGATTTCAAAGATCTACTGATAAGCTGTCTGCCAGGGCAGAAATATTTAAACTTATAGAATTCTGTGGCAACTCAATCTACCATCTCTGAAGTTCTACAACTGATAAAATAATTGTCATCAGTGATGTTGTTTTCTCTGTAAAGGAATCTACAACCCTGCAGATTGATACTAATTATATAATATTCAAAGCTGCAAGTTCAGCAACTTATCTTGTTGATGATGCTGCTGTTCTCAAATTAGCTGATATCAAATGAGTAAGATCAGTGAAAGTGTTCACCATCTATATCCCTTCTCCCCTCATCAGTTCTGTTTCAAAAGAATATAAGAATATCATTAGTAGATCTGGAGGGGTTGGTGAATATTGGCAAAAGTCAATGAAACACAAGATTGCAGATTTGAAATGAAGAAACATTTGAATAATAATCTTATATTCTGACATCTCTTCTGATGAGCCAGTGGCCTCCAGCTGCTGAGTTTATATCAAAAAAGATCACCCTCAGAATCTCAACACAGATTCTGATGGTATATTATGAAAATCTCAATAGATAGTGTGCAGCAATTGATTAAAGAAGAGCACACACAAAGAAACATACACACTCATCATCAATGATGCTACTAATTGCATGATGTTTGTGATAGCAGTGAAGTGAGATTGGATCTTGCATCAGATTGATATAGTGATGATCTATCTGCACAGCTGACTTGGTAAAACAATTTATATACAGCAATTTACTGAATTTGAGATGAAGACTTCACACACAATGGTTTGTGCTGTCATAGGCTCTCTATACAGATTGGACCCCACTGCTAAGATTTGGTACAATTTTCTTACAGCATTACTTCACAAGAATGGCTTCAAATCTAGTCTCTACAACTCTGCTCTATGGCATCACACATCTCACAATCACCTTTATATGACAATCTATATGGACAACCTTTATATTATAGCAGAAGATTCAGCAGATGCCAATTGACTAGTTGACACCCTCATCAATAAATTAGAAATAAAAGATTTGAAAGAACCTTCAAAATACTTGGGCATGGAGGTTGAACATCACCTCAATGGTGCTATCAAATTGACATTGAGACACTATATCAATCATTTAGTGCAGGATTTCCACCTAGATGACACCATCCCTGTCTCTACATCAATACTTGAGGGGATGAAGATAGACAATATCTCTGTATCAGAATAAGAAGGAGGGTTCATCAAAGAACAATATCAATACAGAGTAGAGTGCTTGCAGTATCTGACAGTCAAATTATGCCCAGATATCACACAAGCAGCATCCCTACTAGCACAGAAGAATACTGCACCTACATCTAAGGCATGAAGAGCTCTCCTCCACATCATACAATATCTAAAAGAAACAAGTGATCTAGGCATCTTATATGAAGGCCTCAAGAATGAGATTGATGAATTCTTCAATACATCATATCTGTCAATAGATTATACAGATTCAGATTGAGCAGAATCATTAAACAGTAAATATAAATCTATCTCAGACTTTATATTCAAGTTAGCAGGTGCATCAATTTCATGGCATTCATTCAAACAATCTTGTGTTTCTTTAAGTTCAAATGAGGCAGAATACATGGCACTCAGCAAAGCAGTACATGAAGCAACATGGTTGCACAATATGATGATGGAATTAGAATTTATTACAGCAAAGAACCCCTTGTCTATCAGAGCAGATAATAAAGATTCAATCAATCTAGCTATCATTGCCACAATCACAGCACACAGCAAGCATATCAACACTCACTTCCACTATTCTCACATGCAACTGAACAAAGGCATTATTTCAATTAACCACATTCCCACTGAGGATATGATAGCAGACAGATTAACCAAACCTCTGGGCACAGTGGCATTTAGACATTTCATTAAATTACTAGGACTTTTCACTGACAACAGCAAGAATGATTAAATTTCTGTATGTAGCATGTTTTTGGGATGATCTAGGTTAAGATAGCTAGCATGGAATATTCGTAGGAACACATCACGCACGTTGGCGCGTGGGGGGGTGTTGGGCACTAGTTGCCCAGGTGGCCCTCCACCGCACGTGATTACCCCTATATAGTTAGCTAGCGATCGCACAATGAGAAGATTAACCATCCCACAGTTTATATTATCTCCTCATCTGGGGGCGAGGCACAATTAGCGCGAGACGTTCTGCCGCCCTTTTCTGATTTCTGATTGGTGCGTAACTTCCACGACAAACTGATGGTTGGTTAAAAAAGGCGGCGAGGAAAAGGGCGCTAATTGTGCCTCGCCCCCAGACGAGGAGATAAATCTAGTCCCAGCTCATGTTTTCCTTATAAATTAATGATTCTGGTCCCATTTGGTCCCATTTTGTAAAAATGGGACCATGATTTACCCTATATATAATATAGATTGGCAGCAATAGATAGATTGGCAGCAGTGATAGATTAGCAGCGATAGATAGGTTGGCAGCAGTGGGTAGGTTGGCAGCAGCACTAAGCAAGATAGGGGTAATATCTCCACCAATCATATCATCAGATTGATGTATTATATAATCATCAGAATGGGACCAAACTTCAAAATCATGATCAGTCCCAGATCATGTTCTTGTTTTTGATAGTCAGTCACTTTACATGGAATATCAAGATTTATTAGTCCCATTTCACTCATGTTTTGATAATTCTAGTCACTTTACACTCCCATTCTGGTCCTGATCTCACTAAAATAATGCCAAGAAATGGACTGGGACCAAACCAAACCAAACCAAATGTGTAATTCATGGTCCCACCGGCCACTCTAAACAATAAACAATATAAATGGATCTCTTTTCTCCAGCTTCTGATATGACTTCCCGTCGCAAATCACTTCTATGGCCAATCAGGGGCCATAATCCCTTCCTGGTAAGTAGGTAATATCCTATATTGACTTCAACTACTGATGTAAATAAAACTGGCGGTAGAACAACCTGAGCGGGTGGAAAACCACGGACCAAGTTCCCTTCGAAGGAGTTTACGTCTTTTTAAGAAACGCCAAATTGAGGGAGAAATTCCATCAGCTACTCACCAGGTTGGCAAAAGACAATAGTAATGATCACCTTGCTGCAAAACAAAACTAACACATGCCTTATTGGCAGTCCAACACTCAGCGAATAGAACAGCCATCCCAGTATTCGGTCGATCGTGCTGCTAAAAGCCGGCAAACAAGGTCTCTGCAGCCGGGTGGATTTCCGATAATTGGGGAATGTTACAGCGATCCAGCTCCTTCGGTTTGTTTACCTATCATCGTTATGCAACGGCCAGAGGTTCTCACACTATCATACGAAAAGTTACCCCAATATCGTTCCTGCAGAAGATCGTTCCGATACGAGTGCGTTCCTCAGGACTCCCCGCGCTCCACGAAGCGACAGCGACATATTGAAGATCCAAACGTTGAGTACTGGCTCAGCCACAGATGTCAAGTATCAACAGCACCTTTAATACGAGACCCGATGGAGTATTTGCACGCGCGGCCGACAACTTTTTCCCTTCGCCGGACAAATTCAAGCACCGGCTTGGATGAACCAAGTGAAACTAGTTCACGTCCTAGGAACAAATACGACCGTAGGAACTTTGAGACTTTTCTTCGAACCAAGGGCAGCTTCATGGACGATTATTCTGATGGTCTCAAAAACGAAAGCCTACATTTATGTCAAGAATTGCTACAAAATGACCTTATTATAGTCCCTCGAAATACAGCGTTTGATGACAGCATATTTTCATCAGTATGCTCAAAATTAGAAAGCAAAAATGAGACTAGGGTTGTACGAATTATAAGTGAACTTATTGTTCCTTCAGCTGATATCGCAATTTGTCGTGGCCATGTCAAATTTAAACACCTAGCTGTTAGCATAAGTGAGGCCTGGAGTAACTCGGTCTCTCTTGATGCAGACCCCATCACCACTGATCCGCCTTTGCAGTCTCAGCAACTTTTAAAACTTCTCTCTCGGTAACGGTATCTAATGGCAACGCTGCTAGAATAACGCTGTATCTTATAGATTGTATTTTAATCAGAGCATAATACATATTCATTCTACTGTATACATACTGTGTGTGTGTCTGTGTGTGTGTGTGTGGATATACGTAGATATAACATATATTGATATATAACTTCTTGCTTTCCGGTATTGGTATACATATATGTTTCTCGTGGGGATGGACTGGGGCTTGAAGCTGCGAAAAGACGAAAAATCATGGGGAAATAAGATGAATCAAACAGCAAATGGAGCAGGAGGAGGAGGAGAAGAAGAAGAAGCAGAAGAAGCAGAAGAAGAAGAAGAAGAAGGACTAAAAGGGGAAAGAAAAAGGTTGGATGATCTATCTATCAACAAGTATCCTTTACATGTATTGTCTGCTTTGCTTTGCTTTGCTTCCCAAAAGAGAACGGAGAAAAGGGAAGAGGAGAAAAGGGAAAAAGGGAAAAGAGAGAAAGAAAACCCGTCTAATATAAATTATTTGGTCTTTGAGACATATGCTAGATCTTTTCGCTTTTCAGCTTTCACAGTGAGTTTCTCCCTGTCTGGGCCTCCTTTTCTTTCCTGTACAGTACGTGAGAAACAAGGTGGAAATGGATATGAAATGAAATGAAAAAGGTGATTTATTTCAGGTTCTAGGTCGTGAGCCCCTGTATCCTTTTTTTTCCTTCTCCCTCTAACTCTGTTTTTTGTTTCCTCAGACAGAGGACAGACGGGAGTGCTGGGCTAGGGAAAAGAAGGGAAAAAGTAGGCGCTTGAGAATGCTTTCTTTGGTTTATGATTGTCACGGTATTGTAAGAAGTATCCCGTCGGCTTTTGGACCCGGCTTTTCCAATTCTTTTCTGCTTTTTGCTCTTTTCTTTGTTTGCTTTCTGCAGGGCTATGTTATTGTAATGTACTAAAATCCCTGCCCTAGATGCTCGAAGTGTTTGGGGATAGCTCAAAGTGTCAACCAACAGCCAGTGTTAGATCGTATGTTATCCAACACTCATGGTTACCGTATTGTATGATTTCATTTCCGCGCTTCGAGGCCGCGTTGGATTGCTAGTTAATTTCGTAGGTTGGTTAGCTAACTGAGAATTGAACCTTGATTAATCAATCTTACCATCGCAGGAAGTCTTCGCGTCTCCGAACAACATTCTTGTCTTGGGCATGTAGAACATGGGATTAGGTACGTCGGCTATAAATAGACAATCACAAAGTTGATTAGTTCAGACAGGCCACTCATAAATTTCAGCGGTTTCGAGCGATTTTTCTACTTATTAAGAGCAGAAAGGAAAGATCATCTTCAGAGGAAATAGATATCAAATAGAGGGTGAACTTACCGTATCCACTAGCCATGCCTCTTTTCATGACGATGACCTCCTTGCTCTTCCACACGTTTAGAACGGGCATACCAGCGATAGGGGAGCCAGGTTCTAGTGCGATTGGATTGACAGTGTCATTGGCACCAATGACCAGCGTTACGTCAGTGTCATCGAAATCATCATTGATTTCATCCATTTCTAGTACGACTGGGAAAAGTAAAATATGTCAGTATACGGGCATTTTTCGAGAGTAAAAAATGTCACTTACTATCGTATGGTACGGAGGCTTCCGCTAACAAGACATTACACTGCCCAGGCATTCTGCCAGCCACCGGGTGGATTGCGAATCTGACCTTCACGCCCTTGGCTCGTAGCATTCGTGTGATCTCAGAAATTGCATACTGGGCTTTCGCGACAGCCATTCCGTAGCCGACAACCTGGCAGCCAGTCAGTCATGAGGAGGATGAAGTGTAGCAGGTAACAATTTCAGGTCATACAATTATAACACTTTCCGCATTGGCAAGAGAATCCACAGTCTCATCGATCGATGTTTTGGTAATTTGTCCTTCAATTTTGTGATCCGAGGCGGTTGGGGAAGATATACCACCAAATAGTACGTTGGTCAGAGATCTATTCATTGCGACACACTAGACAGTACCATATTAGCAAGGACGTGAGTAACAGAGCGCCGAAACGGAATAATTTACCATAATATATGACAAAATAGAACCGCTAACACCGATAAGTGATCCAACAGTAGTCAACAATGGGTTGTCGAGCATAAAGCCCTCCGCAACCAATGCAAATCCGGAATAAGCATTCAGAACAGTAATTACCACGGCTAAGGGCAAATAGTATTTCTAGTTAGCTGTCTTGGCATGAACGAAGTGCGCCTTCCTCTCGGAATTGGAATGAAGCTTACGCATATCAGCACCGCCGATAGCGGCAGTTGTTGTATAGCCTTTCAAAAAGCTGAGTATTGTACTAGCACCTAGACATAACGCTGCTGTCATAGGAGCACCGGGGGCCATTGTGACAAACGCTCCCATCAAAGCAGCGTTTCCTCCGAGGAGCGATGTGTTAATGACGTGCCGACCAGGTAAAATAGTAGGGCGTGACGATATCCGTCCCGCTAGTTTGAGGAAAGCAACGATTGAACCAGTAAACGTAACGCCACCTATGTATGGGTAATTAGCAATGCCTGCATGGAGGACATTTTGGGAAGTGGTGTATACCAATGACAACTCCCAAATATGCAGTGACAAGATGGAGGGTAGAAATATGCCCAAGATCTAGTAGAACACTTCCAATGCTGGTAAGAACGGCCGCCAATCCGACAACGGAATGTAATGCAGCAACAGTTTGTGGTAATCCAGTTGGTGTAATGCGACGGCCGATTAGTGCACCTAAATAATTAGAACTATGTTCTCCCTGATGTTTTATAAAGATCGGGTTTTACAAGAAAGGAGTTACTCACCAAGAATGCTTCCAAACCCAGCAACTCCAACGAATTGTGCAAGAACTTCAGGGGAGAAGCCAACAGCAGCCAGGGATGCAAGCATCCCAGAAAGTACACCCAAAATACCTAACATATTGCCTCGCCGCGCTGTCGCCTGAGACGCAAGGCCAGAAAGGGAACCTATAATCATTAGTTGATGATAACATCGCTGGAACAAATGAGTCTAAACATACTAATACACAGGATACTGCTAACTAGATATCCAGCTTGAACAAGGCCAGCCATACCAGTGCTTGCGGCAGCAATAAAGCCTCCGCCAAACAACAGACCGGGAATGGCGTATAGCCAGGGATATTCGGGGGGGTCCGTCGGGCCTGATACTCCGTGATATTATTAGATGTGAACCACACAGGGAGGAGAGAGACGAAAAAAATGGATGAGAGCGTACGTCTGAACATATCCAACATTCGCTTGGTGATAACGAAGCCACCCGACACGTTTACAAATGCTAACAGGACCGACAATGCGCCAAGAGCCTGCGGAATGGTCTCAGGAACAAACCCCCCTCCCATGACAAATAAACCACCGACGCCAACCATGCCTAGATTATGATATTCGTGAGCTACCGCTTTTCTTCTTCAAAGGGATCGAATAATTTTACCTGAAATGGCGTTCGTTACACTCATCAAGGGGGAGTGCAGAGCAGGAACTACTCCCCAGACCACACGATAGCCAATAAGTGAAGCAAGTCCAGCGGTAAAAACGTTGCTCATGAATAATGGGCCTGTGAATTTGCCGAGAGTTACTGCTAGGCCCATCCCACCAGCTACGGTGGCAACCTCCCGAGAGATCTTCTGGAACGGGGTCAGGGCTAGGGTGGCGCTCTCTTTGGAAAGATCAGCAGTTTTGGGAGCTGGAGCAGGCGGGGGAGCAGGTCGGGGAGCGGGAGGAAGGACTTCGCCATTCTCAGTAACAATCGAGCCACGGACAACCTCGTCTGTAGGGTCGACGCCGAACTTCTTTTCCTCGGGAGCCATGGAGAGAAGGAACTTCGTGATATTGTTGGAGTAAAGTGTGGACGATTGTGTTGGAAGTCGTGAAGGAAGATCCGTATATCCTGAAAGAGGTCAGTAAACATCGACGGCGTAAACCAAGCATGAGACAAACCAATAACAGTAACGCCGTTTTCAACAGTTAATTGTCCGGGAATAGTCAGTTCGCAATTCCCGCCAGCTTCAGCGGCTAGATCAACAATCACAGAGCCTGGTTTCATTGCTGCTACCATCTGTGTTCTGAATTTTAGTAATGCGCTGTGTAGAATGCCCCATATAATCAAATGCGTACCTCTTTCTTGATCAACTTGGGGGCGGGCTTTCCGGGAATCAAGGCGGTTGTGATCACAATATCTACTTCTTTACACTGTTCCATGAACAACTTCATTTCAGCCTCTAAGAACTCTTTCGACATTTCCTTTGCGTAGCCACCAGTACCTGAGCCTTCTTCTTGGATGTCGACTTCAATGAACTCAGCACCAAGCGACTGTACTTGCTCACGTGCGGCAGATCGTGTATCAAAACCTCGTACAATTGCCCCAAGACGACGGGCCTACATGCATAGTTAGATGGGTCACACGAGCCATTCATAATTGCGGAGGCAGACAGAATACGCACGGCACCGATAGCACTCAGACCAGCTACGCCAGCCCCAATAACGAGAACTTTACCAGGGGGAATCTATATCCCAAATTAGTTTTTAAATATACTTGAGTGTTTTGTACTGAGTCTGATCGGTTATATACCTTTCTACAGCATTTGAATTGCGGATCATTAGCATCTCCATCTCTCAAACATCCCTTGCTGTTGGAAGCAGGGACTGGAAACAGGATTTTCACCACTTACCCGGCTGCCGTAACCTGACCTGGAAGAAAACGGCCGAAATGATTCGAAGCTTCGAGGACGGCTTTGTAGCCCGCGATATTTGCCATCGAGCTAAGTAAATCGTGAGCACCAAAGCTTTTCTCATATTGGTTGGATGAGGGTTTCCCCTGATATACCTCAGAGCATCAAAAACCTGTGCGCGGGAGATGCGAGGGATCATATCCATCGCAAACGAAGTTACGCGGCGAGCAGCCAGTGAATTGACCAGTTCCTTATTCTGTGCGGGGTATAGAAACGAAATGAGAGTGCTCCCCTCGCGGAGAGCCGCCACCTCGTTGTTGTTGTTGGATCCTTTGAGCAAGGGCGCACGAACTTTCAGCAGGATGTCGCTATCCTGCCAAACGGCGGTCCGGTCCACCAGCGTCGCGCCCGCTTTCTCATATGCTTCATCTGTAAACTTTGCTTGAGCACCCGCACCACGCTCAATCAGAACACGCCCAAATCCCTTCTTGAGCAAGAGAGCGGCGTTCTGCGGCGTCAGGGCAACGCGACGCTCGTTTGGGAAGGTCTCGAAGGGGATTCCAACGGTCAGAGCCGAGTAAGGAACAGAGGTTATCAAATTCGGCGGGGTGGTGGGTTTCTTTTGTTCCTCGCATCGTCGGGACCCGGCAGAGAATCGACGGATTTGGGTGGCTGCCAACAGACACACCTCAGTTGTTAGTCGCGAACTCTGTATCTTGGATTTAAACCTGGAGTGAGTGAGGGTATCAGGGAAGCTCCAAAAGTGCAATTGAACCAACCAGAAATCACAGCGATCAAATGGTGAGAGAGCCTTGCCGACTCTGACCGGGCGCTCCCTCTGCAAGGCCGCAGAGCAGGACGCATGGTGAACGGCCAGCTCATGATTTCAGACCTGTAGCAAAGAATGTATTTCTTGAAGCAAGAAGGCAGGCATCTGCCAGGTACAACAACGGGTGGTGGCCAGTGTCCAGTTGCTCTGATATTGGTACTCAAGTTTCAGAGCTACAGTTGGGGTTGGTAAAAGGAGGAGGTTACTCTCGGGTGTGTCCCGTGCTAGACGAGGAGAGACATGTCACGTCACCTCACGAGGAATAACTATGCAGATTGCTGGGGTAATGACGAATGAGGGGAAGTAAGAACTAGCGGCGGCCATACGGAGAGGGTGGTATCGAAGGCTTGCGAGTGTTTGGGGCTGGTTTGGGGTAAATCGACAGTGACTGGGGATGGTTTGGTTGGTTAGCGGGCGACTGGGCCGAGCCGCCAACCAGGTGACCCTCAGGAACAGCTCCATTGGCATACTTAACCTCGTACTTTCGGCATTATGCTGCTGGGAAAGATATCTCAAATGCTCCTTGCAGATAGTAAATGTCTCCAATTATGCATGTTACTCTACATGTACATGTACAGCACAGAACCTGGTTTTCTGTGGAGACTTTGACCTCACGATTTATCAAATACTACCATTCTGCTACAGCGGGCAACATTAACTTGTCACGAAAATCTAGCTAGACAGGCTTCAAAATACTCGTACTAGTATTAATTAATGATGAAATTGCCCTATCCTGAGATCTCAAGAGTTGTGTCCGGTATCATCACACACGCTGACAACGTCCTCAGAGGATGTATCCTATGCCAAACGGAGGCGGATACTGGTATTGGGGATGCAAGTTAAAATATAACAAAAGTAGAAAGGAACAGAAATGGCAGTTGGAAATAATGCATGCGCCCTCCTGAGTGTTAACCTGGTTTGGTTCTACTCAGAAGCGCAGTTGTCGCTGGATATGATTCTCAATAGACCTCCTGTTTCACCAGCCCGTCGGCTGGGATGGTTGAAATTTTGGGCAGTTCTGGCCAGCAGCTCTATCACATACACTTCAGCAGAAAACAGTCCTAATATATTTGAGGATGGAAAATTACACACACAGCAAAAAGTCACTGAATTTTTATCCTGCTATACATACACGAAATAACCTTTACCTTACGTATCTTTCATCGATATCTCATATAGAGTACTAATCGATGTGTAAATATCGAACAGCCACAGGTGGAGCCGAGGCCTTGCATCCTCAAAGGAGAGTATGAAGTCTTCCAGCAGCCTGATAGCTGTTAGCATGCTCAGAATTCACTAAAATAGCACTCCGTACTCGGTAGGACTAATCTTCTCGAAGAGGTCTCTTGAGTGTCTGTGATGCTACCTTGAGTGTCAGATATAAACAGACTTTTAATCTCTTAAATACTACAGCCAGCTTCTGTAGGAATGTATAATCTGTATATGGTTAAATTCTCTGAGAACATTAGATCTTAAAAGTAACTACGTTGTAGGTGTCATGCCATTAGGTGCCACTGGGTGCTTGCATCCTCAGGAGTTTTAACTACTAGTAGTGCTAGGACATAGATGGAGGGTACAGGCTCCTGTAGCTACTGTCGGCTGCTGCTTGGACATGCAACTAAATTTTGATTTGTTATTACACAGCACACAGGTTGGACAGACTCCTAAATCAGTTAAAAGATCAAAAACTGTCTGTACAGATGTAATCTGCATTGATGTTAGCTAAACTCCTAAAGACTCTGTGGACATGACACCGCTATGCCATCTTTGTACAGCAGGTTGGGTGCTGGGGTGGATAAGTAATTAGATTGATGGATGTGAAATGTTGGTTCTTTGTAACTATCTGCTTAAAGAGGTGTAGTCACGTGTCATTCTAGCAAGCAATAGGGATGCCAACATAGATGATATATTTTATTCCTTCATCCTTCGCCGATTGCCCGGCCCGCTGGATCCATAATGAAGCGTGTTCCTTGGCACATGGCTTAACCTTAAAATCACAAACGGAAGTCAGGTACGGTGTGTGGAACAAAAGTCTAGATGGTGGCAATCTCAATACCTCAAAGAATTCTGATCCTCACAGCAGTCATCGGGCAACGCTTAATTTGAAAACCACAGTTTAGACATCGTGCCTCGAAACTCCCCACCTGTTTGCGAAGGGTTGCCGACTGGTAACATGCTTGACTTCAAGCTACCATCGAAATTTCTAGTTTGCGCAAGGACCTTTGTTCCACACCTCCGAACTAAGTACTCGTGGTTCAAACCATGCCTTGCGCAGCAGAATTGCCCCATCGTCCGTCTGTTGTTGCTTTGGCTGTGAGTTGCTTTACCAAGGTTATGGTGTTTCTCTTGACCATATTTGCTTGATATTCAATAGTTTCATTCAGATACCATAGCGCATCAACAGACAGGATGGAGTGGTTTGGAGAGCCATCAGAGGGTCCCATCTCCTTCAATAGGTCCCTGCTCACAGCACACATGTGGCCTATCTACTTACTATACGTCAAAGTCACAGAGCAGAGGATAGCGCTGTAATTTTGAATTATCATTTTCTTTAAACCTTGAAAACCAAATCGGCCTAGTGCGCAGCTTTTCGGAGCCTCGAAACAGCTTCAAATGTTGGGGTGGCAACAATTTGTAGCTTCTCAGCCTCTCTAGGCAACCCTTTGCCTGGTATCAGTGTCTGGTAGCCGTGTCTGGAATGATAAATTCTGCTGTAGCCTCCAACCTTCACTTGCCTGAAGAGACATCGAGTACTGCAGCAACGGACGGTTGCCATGATGACGGATGGATTTTGTGGGAATCACCGTACGGGATTGTTCTTGTCCTCCGCGATGTGATGTGGGCTCATTGCTGTTGGACAATTGGGTAATTTGTTGGGCTGATGCTGAGATGAAGGGAGTAATAAGACGAGGAGAGCTGGAGAGTAAGAAAGCAAGGGGCCAGGAGAATGAATTCACTCTTCAATGATGGTCATCTCTCAATATTTTCTCCGGCCTGCACACAATTCCCCTTCATCAAGCGTCCGGGTGATGGCCACCGATAAGCTCAACATATGATAGTATATCTCAAATGCATGTTCAGAGGATTTCCATTCGTTTCCTGGTTGGTATGTTCTTTGCAAACAGATGTCGCCAATCCTTCTTTCAATATGCTTTCACTTCCTTTCCCTTGATCTCACCAAAGAATTGGAAAACGGAAAGGGCGGGGAACGGGTCGGATTCATATTGTCGGAAGAGGTGTTCCAAAGGTTCCAAGATCATGGAGCTTCGTTCGAGAAGGCACCAACCGTAATCTCGGACACGGACACGAACACGCGAAATGAAATTGCCACGATCCATGTCAAGCCAGCATGTTGCATGTTGTCAAATCACATCAAATGGTAGTCGGGGTAGCTCGGCATCTAGACCAGACCACCCCACAGAGCAGGGCTCAATATTCACCCGAGGAGAGCAGAGCGCTCCCCCATCAGACCGAAACGCCGAAAAAAAAAGAAAAAAAAAAGCGGGCAAATTTGTCCTCTGAAAGTTTTCTTTCTCCGACGCCCTAACCTTGACACCCAGAAGATGCAGATGGCCAACGCCTGTGGGGAGTTTGAGAACAACAAATCAGGACCGGGACCACACCCTGCGCTGCATTCCCGAGTCCCCAGACAACTGGGAGAAAGATCATCTGAGCTTTTCGATTTCCGTTTTTTGGTTGAAGCCTTTCAACTTTGAAGATATTTCCCCATGCAGCATTCGTATCGGGTGAGTCAACACAGCCCACGCTAACCCCCGAACTGGCCCAGATTGGCGTAAGGTCCCGTGAGACCGCGTTGAAGCGCGATGCTCGTGTGGAGGCGGTACCGAGGTGGTACCTGCACCCGCACGCGGCATGAGGCAAAGCCAAAGTCCAGCCAGGTACCGGCTGAATGGCGCCCACTTAGCGGGGTATGTTAGCGCGTCGGCGAGGGCGAAGAGGTGGGCCATGGACCAATGGGAGGGAGACATGGACTATGACTCACACTCGTGATCCCTGTGCAGACGGTGGTTGGTCGCATTAGGATTAGCGAGTGAATCGGGGTATCTAAACGGGACTAGTGTCGATGGGGCCTGCGATGCTATTTCAGCCTCAACCACTAAGCTGTTTTGGGACATCCATGGACAGCCGCAACCAAGGCCCGCGCTTTAATAGATGCCTGATTCCCACTTTTGCCTTTTCTCCTTTCTCATCCCGAAAATTTTCTCCATCACTCCGACATCTTCAATCACACCAACCAGTCCACAAATCTCACAAGTCCAGAGCCACACCCAATCTCTAGCCAATATCTGAATCAAAAGTGTCAAGATTATGGCTGTCTTCTAAGCCTTTTGGCTCCCTTTCCCCGGTTTCTGGTCTCTCCCACAAGGACAGACACCATAGCTTCCACTCAGTTTCCTCATTCAACTCTCTCAACTCTCCCTTCAGAGCCTCCTTTTATAGGGCCTCTGAACTCCAGCATCGCGCAGCGTAGCTCAAGTTCTTCGTTCCCAACAGCCATTTCACCGTTCGACGTCACGTCGTTCACCACGGACAAATTACAGTCACCATGGCCTTCTCAACCCCCATCATCGCAGCCTCCGGCTCAAAACTCGACGCTCTATCCGCAGGACGACTTCGTGCTCTATCCGAGTCCTCGTGTCTCTTCCCGTCAGCAGGTTCCTCACACCTGGACCCAGCGTGCGAACCTGTCCAGCTCAGAAACCCCTAGACCCAATTCCCAGTCTTCTTCGGGTTTGGCCTTTACTTACACTCAACATCCTCAACGGCATTCGGGTCGCAACCACATCTACAGCGGCTCACTTATCCAGGATCCCCGAGTAGCTAAGGTTATCTCACAGTCTCAAGGGTTCTCTCATTCGTCGTCTAGCAACAAGTCCAGTCCATCTGGTGTGAAACCTCCGAGTTTCTACGCCGCTTCGGCTCCGTCAAACTCGCCTCAATCCAATCGTCCTCCACTTTTTAGTAACAACACGGAAAATATTTCTTATCGGAATTTGAATATGCAACAACCTCATCGCCGTATCATGTCTACGTCCAGTATACCTCAAGGTACGCGGTTAATACTCCGATTTGATATTCTATGTTTCTCCATTCGTTACTAACGATCCAGCAGATTTTGCCGAGCTGGCCGATTTCGCTGCTGATTTCACGGCAGCGGATTTCGTCTCGTCTCCCGCCACGCCTGACTTCACTTCGATCAATCATCCTACCAAGATGGGAAACCAGGTGACCGTCTCTCCAAAAGATCTGATGCTGGATGCTTCCTTCCCACCTTCAGCCACGTTCACGGACATCAGTACCCCTTCTTTTGATTCTCCAGGTTACTTCAGCCAAAACACTTCCCCTCTTTTTGTCGCGGATTCTGATCTTGCCCCTGGTCACGAGCACTGGGACTCACTATTTCCCACTGATCCCCATGGTTCAACCATCCTCGAAGACCCAAAAACCATTCAGAATCTGTCAAACTCCATTTCTGCATCCCATTCTTCCTCACCAGCACTCAAAGGCACCGATTCTTCACCTGAGGAATCTCCTCACCCAAATTGTCGTTCATCTATTCGTCCCTCATCTATTTCTGGTGTTAAGCCTCGCCATCGCGAGAAGCCTCTGCCGCCAATTGAATATGACCCCACGGATGCGACTGCTGCCAAGCGAGCCCGCAACACGGCAGCTGCCCGGAAGTCTCGTGCTCGAAAGCTAGAACTACATATGCAGATGGAACAGAAAATCGCGGAGCTGGAAGCGTCCCTGGAGGAATCTCGCAAGCGAGAGGCTTATTGGAAGTCGATCGCTGAAGCCAGGGAGTAAACATTGAACTAGATGTTCCAAACAAAAAATTTTTTTGCGTGCTAGATGGTGACTGTTCCGATTGTTTTCAAATTTTGATCATCGTCCTTCCGTGTTATTGTCTGATCGTCGTCCTTTTTGTTGGAATATGGGATGATGGGAGGTTTGAGAAAAACGCCATGATTAAGCGCACCTAGTCGTCAAATTGGTAAACTGGTGTGATGTACGAGATCTTTACTGACTCGGTTTCTCCCTGTGACACCTTTTTTGTCGACGGCCGCTTCCACCAATCCTTCCATGTATGTCTTGCCCGGCGTTGCCATAATATTTTCTTGCTTCGTTTTCGGGTCTTGACTTCCAACTTTCTCTACCTTGCTTCTATCTCTTGCGTCTGTGCAACTACTTCTGCTTTTTGTAACCTGCCTCCCGTTTTTGATTACTTTGTTACCTCCCGCGCGAAACATTCTATTTCTATATCTAATCGGCCGGTTCTGACTGTCTCCTCGCATATTTTTCCGATATTACTTCGGAAATAATAGTGGGATTGACTCGTGGCTCTTGATTATTTTTTCTTCTCTTTTTCAGTTTGTCCTGACTAGATGTTTGTTTTATATTGTTACTTTTCTTTGTGCTTCATGTACTTCACACTACGTTAGATAAACTAGATAAAACATAAAAAAAAGAAAGCAAATTTTTTTGCACTTTGTTTTTTCCTCTTCCTTTAAACCAACCATATTTTCATTTCTCTCGATGTGGATGAAGAACGATATCCTTGCCCCCCCGTTCGTCCGATGGACTTTGACAAAATATTGATTTGTAAACAAGCACGTCATATCCTCCCCCCTCCTCGCCCCCCTTTCCAAAAACAAAAAGAAAAAACAAAACCCACGATTCAAAACCAAATAATCCAGGAGATTGTGTGGGAATATCAAAATTCCCTGGGCTGCCCCGATGGATGATGGAAGGTTGGATACTACACTTGTGAACCATGGCACCTGCCATGTGTTTTCCGCAGCTGCGGGTTTTCAGTATTCTCTTACAAAGTATGAGTACTGGTAACTAACTAAATTCAGCACACTTCATGTTGGGGGTTATCGGTTATGTTTGGGAACGGGGAAGAGGAGGAGAGTAGAGTCTCTGATGGGGGGTTCGTTTTATCGTTTTCATTGCCATGGTGGTGGCAACAGCAGAATGATCCTTTTCTTGTTGTGGTCAATACTTGAGAAAAAGGTTCAACAAATAGTAATATTTATAGTTACTGGTACCTACTCTCCCGTAGAATGGGAAAGGCGCGGATGGCCTGAGCGTGAGACTTATTTCTCGGCCTTCCCTAACTACCTCAAAAAAGTTAATAATGGCTGCTTTTTGTTACTAGTAATTATAATAACAGAAGGATGGATATATTCAGGCCCCTTTCGTCTATCCTAGTCAGTAAAGGATGATCAAAATGAGTAAATCAAAGCCTTGTGAAGATGAAAGGATGGGTGAAAGGAGTGATATCCCGGAAGTTTCAATACAAACGCAAAAACCATAATCGCCCCAAGCAAACGTTTCACACGTTCGCAACATTCAACATTCAAACTAGAAAATTTTGCATAAGCGGTACATGTAGTGTACTAGTAGTGTCGGGCAAGCTTCCCGCATTGAATTTAATTAACTTTCTCTGACCAAGTAGTTTGGGAATCCCTTCCAGCGTACGTCTATTTGTCTAATACATACGGCTCACAAGGCATTCGCCGCCAGTGATTCCGAATTGCTTCTGCAATAGCCTTATATCCTTGCGGCTTAGGATGGAAGACACGCGCCAGACCACGTTGATTGGGATAGTGATCGGCAGAGATATCGCCGTCAACCTCGTTTTCGTCATCGCTTGAGCTCTGATATAGCATTTGTGAATAATCCGAAGATTGCGCATTGACCATCGCGATCCCACAAGCGGCTAGGTGGCCCCAATCGCTGGAGTACTGCGATTGTGGCGCGCAAGTGTCGACATCGACGTCCACGTCGTCATTCGTCAAGTTCGTTGAGCTGAAATCCACATCGAAGAACCAAGTATTGTCGCCATCGCTTATCGTTTTGTTACCCCGTTGACAAAAAAGATGATCTTTGAATTTGGGAGACCAGTCAACCCAAACGATCCGCTCATCACCTAAGTCCTTGATGAGATGGACAATCTTGTTGTTCAGTTCGAGGGAGATTTCGTTTAGCTGTTGGCGTAAATTCACCGTAAGCTTCGGCTGCCACATTTTCCAAAATCCGAAGGATCTGTTATTACAGTCATCAGAAAGGGCTTCGTCGAAGAACGGGCTATATCCTAATGTTAGGAGACGAAAATGAGGCCCGTTCCCTTTGGCTAATATGTTGATTATGGTCTTATGATATGCATCCGCAAATTCATCGCTGGAAATAAGCTTCTTTGATTTCTCCAGCTGCTCGCTGCAATTTCCCGATCGGGTGCCATAGAATCGATAAACGCATGCGTTAAGGATATCAAAGAAACCAGCATCATTGCCTCCAATTGACAACGTGACTAGATCCGAGGGTTTGAGGGCCTTTATCTGTCTATCGATTGATTTATGCTTGCTAAAGGAAGTGCCTGGTATACCCATCACTGCGCCCGAGCAGGCAAGAAACTGGAAAGCGTGGTTTTGACCCAGCACGCCTGAACGGATCAACTGCATAGGATAGCTGTCTTTAAACCGCCAACAGGAATTGTGAAGTTTTCTGCCGGCGTCGATTCCTGAGGCGTAACTGTCCCCCAACGCCGCGTAACGAATTACAGCAGTAGGAATCGTTTCGTTTTCGCCCACGAAGCCTATGATTGTATATTTTTCAAAGTTAGTTAGGCGATACTCAAGCTGATAGATAGCCTACACGTAACGCCGTTTTCTTTGCTCACTGTTGGAGTGACCTACATGAGGGCAATGCTCCTGCAAAATAAGAAGAAAGCTGAAAGGCCAATGAGAAATAGACAACATAGGACTTCACTGATGTTAAGAAATACATTATCGGAAGGGATGAGAGGTGGAAAATACATAGTATAGCTGCGTTCTGAGGATGGATAGCAAGTGGCAATGACTGGAACAGGTTGCAGTCAGCCCGCCCCTTTTGCATGCATTGGGGAACAAAATACCTGCTCCGCGAGCGTCAACGTGAGGGTGCGTTGCCTATTGGGATCAGGAAGGTTCTATCCCTTCCTTTATATGGGATTGGGCCCGTGTTGCCGCCAGCTCGTTCCTCCTCCAACATCTTTACGTGATGTGATTCATTCATTCCATGATACTTTTCCGGTAGGGAAACAGCCGCCCTGTTCAACTACAGCAGCTCTAGACTATGTACAGATGGGTTCTGCTTTGGGCTGCGGTCGTAGAAAGTACTGTATAAGAAAGCACCGGATCCATTGGAGCTTGTCTAAATATTAGCGGGGCTTGCGAGATTTTAATAAGGGGTTAGACTTATCTCACCTCGTTTGTCTTAGTCGCTTTTACCCCTTCCGCAAAAATGTCTAACTGCTAATCTAGCAATGGACAAAATACAAAGAGGCCAGATATAAACCGGGTTAGAGAAAACCTGAGCTTTGTCAATTCTGCATGGGAGGCCTTGTTCCCATTGCAGTCACCTGATTCCAATGGCGACTGCAAAATCGGACTGTCATCTCCTATTGGGAAGGCTATCAGTCTATTATGATAACTCCTTACTTGCATATATATGTTTATGTGTGTATGTCTACGCTGATCAAATCTGAGTGACCGAAACCGAGGCATGAATTTAGAAAATATACAGCAGCAGCAACCTGGCTGCGAAGACAGCGCGAACAATGAACCCGCTGCCTATATTCCAACCGTCGATTTCTCCTCCTGGAGATCGGGAAATGAGCCAGAGAAACGTATGAAAGTTGCCAAAGAGATCGTGTCGGCGTGTCAGAATGTTGGATTTGCATATATTACCAACCATGGCATTCCTGCAGAGCGCCTGGCGGAGGCATTTGCATGGTCAAAACGGTTTTTTGACCTCACGCCCGAGCAAAAGCTCCAAGCTCCACACCCGAATGGTTCTTCAATCCATCGGGGATATTCCTGGCCAGGCCTCGAAAAGGTATCACAGGAAATGGGTGATAAGGACATGCCGGAATTAATAATAAAGAAATTGCGAGCTATCCCCGATTATAAGGTATCTTGAGCCATACACAGTGTTATTTATTTTTTTTATACTGTCATCAAGATACTCGTTCGCAGTGCTGGAAAAAAGCGAGTTATAATACTCATATTTTTTTTTGGCTTTTACAGGAAAGCTATGATATGGGAAGTAATGAGGATTCTCACCAGCCGAACGTCTGGATTCCCGAAGATACGCTTCCCGGCTTCCGAAGCTTTATGATGGAGTTCTATTGGGAATGCTTTACCGTTGCTAGTGATATTCTTAGAGCAATATCCATTGGCATCGGTCTTGGAGACGAACACCACCTGCTCAAATTACACTCTGGTCATAATAACCAACTTCGACTCCTCCATTATCCTCCATTGCCGGCTGCAGCGTTGGAGAACGAACGGTATGCCCGTATGCCTGCTCATACCGATTGGAGTTCCATTACCATACTCTTCCAGGATGATTGTGGCGGCCTAGAGGTTGAAAATATCAAGCGGCCAGGCCAGTTCATTAGAGCCACGCCGATCGAAAACGCTCTTGTCATGAACGTTGGCGATCTCCTTCAAAGATGGAGTAATGGTAAGTTACTCTTTCACTCAGTAATGGATCCACATCACCTCTTATACCCCCCAGAAAATCTAAAAATAGTTCCGTTAAACTTAGAAAATGGAGAAGATGGTTTTCAAGCCCTCCATAATGAAGACGTGGAACTATGGTTCGCCTTGTAAGACCCTTACTTACTATGTATACCTTATCTGCTCATAGATAATCTTCGCTCCACATCTCACCGCGTTACTATGCCGCCTTTCACGGATACGTTCGATGGACCCAATCGCATGGTTAAGGAACGTTACTCGATCCCCTATTTTATCGCTCCGGACCCAACATCTGTGATAGAATGCCTTCCCAGCTGCATAAGCCCGAGTAATCCGCCTAAATATCTTCCCATTTCACAAAGCGAATATAACTTAATGCGAGCTAGGATGCACTACCCGAATACAGCTACTGAAGCTGGAAGCGGACAAGCTTACTGAGAATGGAAGTTTAGGTTGATCTGAGTTAGTGGCGGTTATGACATCAAAATATCAAGGGTTTATTTTTGGGATTTGCTATTGAAGAATTTATCACCATACTCATGTCAAATCCTTTTGAACTATCTGCTCTGTTGCGTGCTCATTTTTCAATTTTAGTTGTTGTTTCTTGGTCCATTAATGTTCTATAACATTCTCTGCCAGATAGGGATCAACCATATGTCTTTAGGATGAAGTGAATATTTTCATTTATGTATACTGTTATCACTTCCACTAATTATGGAATGTTGTATATTCTGGGGCCCTCCTTTATAAATGGATCATGACAACTTTGGTGTTAAGCCTTCTAGAATACTTGGGTCTAAGTTGTATCTAATGCACAAGCATGAGTGTATGTATGTACAGCATCGACACTCGACGCTACATCAGGGGGATAAATGACATTGATGAGGAAAATCCCCCAATGGCATTGAAACTGCATGTAAACAAAGACACAGGAGGGCAGCCTGCAAAATTGATACGCAACTTGAGAAATGCTGAACGGAAATGAATTGAAACAGTAGGACACTGAAACAAATTAAGCATCAAAAGCCAATGAATCAAAATGGTATTGGTAGAAGTACACGTACTTGTTTTACAGTGCAAAAAAAGTGAGGAGTGCCTAGTCATCTAGAGTCGAACCTTGAAATTTTGAGTGTAGCTGTAGTACTTTCAATATACAGGATTATTTATACCTTGCCAGTCGCGAACAAAGAGTGTTCGGGGTTCGTTCTCAACAAATTAAATAAAAGATTACAGAAGATATATAGCCCCACGAAACAAAACAAAATAAATATACTCCTTAATCCAATCTGTGTCCAAAAAAATAATGTCCAAACCGCGACCAGCACGAACGGTCCACCCCAAAAATGCATATATATATATATTTCCCGAACACCCTTCAGCACCCTATTGTTCGAACTTCATGTAACTTCAAATGAACATCCTTTTTCCTTTAAGGGGGGAATATAAAACATTGGCTTTTGATCCTCAAGGGAATCACCAGTTCTCCATCCAAACTCAGCTCTCATATCTAATTTGAATTGCGCCGTATTCCATGTGACGTCCATGGCAAATGGGCCGGTTCCCTCATCTGGAGGACTCGATCGCTCTGATTTTCGCACGGCTTCCTAGTTTCATGTTTATTCGGCGGAAAACTCGCGCCTGGAGTATGACGTAACGTTGGGACAATTCACCGAGCATGTCTAGTGGCTGGACGTTAAAGTCGAAGATGGCCTCACACTTGTCACAGTGCCGTAAGACATTGGCGCATTTGTGGCAGGATAGATTTTCTGGATGGTTCATGACTTTGCAGTAGACCATATCCCAAAGGTCAGGGTTTTCGGGGAACTTCAGGTGGTCGCACACTCTGATGGAGGAGTTTTTGAGCTGAGGACCGAAGAAATCGTCGCGGTCAAAGACTTTGTCGTGGTCAACACGGATGGTAATGTATTTCTCTCCTGCTGTTTCGGATGTGTCAGGAAACTCTACTTCTCTTTCAGAGACGAGTACAGTAAAAGTGTAACGTTCCGTCCGAACGTTCTGAAACCTGGTCGGCATTATGAGTGATAAATTCTTCGGACTCTTCGTCGACGTTTTTGAAGTTGGATATGTAGATTCCATTGCTCCTGCCGTTGTGCATGATCTGCCATTCGCAGGTGGTTTCGTCCACTTTTATGCGTCTTTCCGAGGCAAACCTAGAAGCACATCCAACAGAGCAGTTTCGCTTCCTCGGATGCAGTTCAAGACACCACGCACAGGCAACGTACTTGCGCGAGTCACCCTGCAAGCGCTGGAGGAATCTATACCGTTCGTATTCCATCGGAAATGGTTCGTGGCATGCACGGCTCCAAATTTCTGATATCTGAGGCACATCCATGGCTTGAAAGTCACTTTTATTGGAGAATTGATACGCCCCTAAAATTTGCATGTAAGTTGTGGTTCCTCTTGCCTATTCAGGTCGAAAATTAATCCACTTACTTTTGCAGGTAAGAGCGAGTGAGGCTTTGTCGGCCGGACCGAGGTTTCCCACAATTTCGAGAAGGAGCTCGGGTGGCATGCCGATAAGTGTGCTCCTGTTTCTTGATACGGTAATTTGCATGTTGCCCCTTTTGTCACCATAACGTTGCTTTGGTCGGGCTTGAAGACTTTTTGGATGGATACTAAGGAGCCCAGTTAGGTACACATGTCGAAAATGTTGGAATTCCTGAGAATAGTGCTGAGACGTCCAGAGGGTTGGAATAGGAGAGAAACATACTCTGTCATTCTTGGATGACGACCAGTCATGGATTTGCTGGAGTAGCAGTGGTCGGCAGCTTTGCCTTCTCTTATATGTTATATTAGCCAATGATGTGGGTAGGCATATGTAAATAAGGAGGCAGTATATACGTATATGTCATCTTTTGTGTGCACTCATACACGTACAGCTTAAAATCCTCGTGGGGTAGAGAAGGCTGTTTTGAAGGATGTAGAAGGTGGAAGCCTAGCACCCTATTTGTAACTCGATCTACGGATTGAACATGCTTAAAAGATGAAGTATGGAGAATAGTCCTAATATCTAGCGGATAGGGTATTGAGAATAGTTCATCTTTCGAGTTTGACAACGAGGTCCTCGTTGGACAGCCAGGACAGTAGATGTAAATGTTCTAGTAGTTGTAGGAAAAGTGACGTCAAAATAGACATCCCAGACAGACCGGAGAACCGAATCAACATATGGATTGTATATCTAAGGATAACAACATTTGTTAGAAAGGTTGCGATTTTCACCAGCATGAATTCTGCCCCAAAGGGCATGGGAATGACGTCAAACCATATTTTCGTGATCCTCTACTCATGATCGCGGTTAAAGGTTTTGGCAATGCTGGCTGACTTTTACACTCCAGGCCGAGGATGCAGCCTGTAAAATAACATCTATGATATGAATCGTGAAATGTAAGGGTTTCACTCAAAACACATAAGTTTAGCTGGGCTCTTGCGTGACAAACAAGATATTTGACAGGTGAGACACTTGTACAGAAAATGATGGATTCTCCATGAATCAACAGAGAAGGAAATTTTTTATAGAAAATATTAACTTAATCTCTGGGGATAGACAGCCAATGTAGGCTTACAAGCATCACAACTAGGGATGGGCTGGAATGGGGTATATTATTGACAGGCCAGCCAAGCATGGTATCAACTTCTGCCGAAGTTATTCTGCATATGGCCCATACAAAATATACACTGGAGTTGGGACTAATAATGTTCGTATTTGGAATAATCAAATAAATACATTATTTTGGGTTACTGTGTTGAGAGGATCCAAATGTCCTATCAATCTCCTATGATTCTTTAAAGCAATTAGTACTAAACCTATTTTATAAGGAGGAGGAGAGATTTCTGGTGAATACCTGTTAGCATTTTTGTTTTTCGAATGTTCCTGGTTGTTGGAATAAGCTTGATTAAGCTTTAGGCACTAACCAGGCTCGAACCAATAATGATCTGGTCCGACAGGATGAACATCACGTGGTCACAACAACTTTATTCGAAAAGTGCCCGCCTCTACTACTCCACGACAGAGAGACTGAACTGTTTGGTCAATAGTTAATTTAGTAAAAGAAGAGGGATGCCATAGTCTTGTTTCTAGAACCATTCCTTCATGCGACGTAAAGCTTTCCTCACGAGCGAGAGAGCCTGCGACCGCTTACGTGTGGACGTGGCATCTTTCTTTCAAGGTCATCTGGCCTAATGCGGGTCATCGGTATCGGTAAAGAGGGATTACTGAATTATATAACTGCTCTCGGTGTAGTTTCAGACATAGTTTACTTAAATAGAGCCTCCCTACGCCATTTTGCTTTGGAGCTCTGATCGGTCAAGCGTCGGAGATAGATCTGAGCATTTGATAGTCGTTGAGAGCTAATTCTTTGCATGATTCAGATTTGGCTGTTGTTAGGCGCTGCGCCAGCTCTCCCTCGGTCTCAGGCAGTTAGGTCTGCTTCGCTTGAAGCAACTTATCTCGTAGAAGAGGTTTATTGACTAAGTTCATTCGCGTGATCGAAGCAAATTGAATCGGATCGTTTTTCTACTTGGAGGCATCAGCGACGGTATTTCAGAAGATTTCTGAACACTATGGGCTCGTATTTAGTCTGTGTGCCTTCTAATTACCATACCCTTCTGCCGGCCGGCCCTTTAGCTCTGATCTGCGTGTCCAATCACTTGTTGGGAACCAATTCACCGTGGATTTCAGCACGTGAAAAGGGTGTGAATATTTGACCATGCTTTTGTGATTTGGTGTCTTTGACAGTTGGCACTAGTGGGCAATGGCTGGAAAGTTCTGAAGTAGTGGAAAAGAAGTGGTATTGCGCAACATGATCAGGACGCTCAATGAGTGGCTTGAATTTCCATAGATCATTCTCCATTCCTCTTCTTAATTTTATAATTTTTCATCTATTGTCATGGATTGTGATATTGATAATATTCCTTGTTCGGCGAAGGTTCTTGTTTCTGATTATCTGCATGTATAAGCCGCCAGTAGCAAGGAAGTCAGTAGAGAAGAGTATCTGGGATATTAACATGTTTCACTTTGGTTCTCAACACACTTGGTTTCAAACCGTTATGTTCACTCCATTGTGAAAAAGGTCTCAATAAATGATTGCAACATCAAATCCCGTTCATGTAGGTTTTTGCGAATCATCAGGAATTGAAATAGGGATCAACATGCTCAACCAGGGCTAGAATAAATAAGCTGAAGATTATCAAATACCTTGGTCATTCAGTTTTGATAATACCTGATGCACTTCATTCACAAGAAGTTTGAAATATGTATTCCAGAATGGCAGGCTAGCATCATGCTGGAGGGTATTCAAGTGAGGCTCATACACAGTTGAGTCTAAAGCCAATGTGTATTCGGGGGGCTCTGGCAAACGGCCTTGGCCGAGGAACAAGTCAAGAGGGTCAAGAAACATACAGCTTCAAACACGCGGCCTGTGGTCATAGTACACACCGAGTATCAATGGCAATTCTAATGCCTTCAACACTTTAATAAACTTGAGTTTTGTGGGCGATCTCATCCTCAATGTCGCCAAACCTTTTCACCCTTCCACATAGGGCGGTTCGGCAACATATATGGTTAAGGAACTAAATCTGAGTCCGTTCGTCTCGGCCCCCCACGCATAAAAATATTGGAACTGCGTAATGAATGAGCCCGCCAACTTCCGCAGTGGCAGATGGTGAAAGTTGCGATGTAGGGTGCCAAGCCCGGAGCTAACCTCTTTCCTCCAGCCTGGCTTTCCTTTCCGTTCCGGTCCGATCTTCGGCCCATTACGTCACGTGGACGTGGACACCAGCCAGTTTCATCATGAGCAGCAAGAAGTCCGTTGGAAGATTCGTTGAAGCTCGCTTTATTCGCACCAACTAAGAAAGGCGGCCAGAGAGTGCCTTATCAAATGACATCCTTATATGGCGCTCTGACTCAGCCTTCAGTTTTCCTATATATCACAATGGCTACTGGCACAAGAATATATAATTAATCACTGGTGATTCATCCAGTGACCATAGTTTGATTTGGCTTACCCTATGCTCGCGACAGCAGATATGTCTGATGGCTCCACAAACGGTGCCCGTCTGAAGATTTCGACTTGTAAGTTCCGCATAGTGCAGCCCCAAATTCAGCACTTCTGAAACCTTTGCTGACTGGGGATTAAGCCTCAAAGCCAAAATTCCATTTCGTTGCTGGCCTGGCTTCCGGGCTCTCTTCTGCCATTCTCCTCCAACCTGCAGACCTTCTGAAGACTAGAATCCAACAAGCACACCAAACCTCTGCGCTCCTTTTCACCATTCGCAAAATCCTTGCATCACCGCAGCCAATCCGAGGTCTCTGGCGAGGGACACTACCCTCAGCACTTCGAACGGGATTTGGCTCCGCTCTATACTTTTCTAGCTTAAATGCATTAAGGCAGTGTGTAGCAAACCAGGGCCCATTAGTCCCTCTCCATGGTGATCGCGATGACAAGCGCACGCGCACATCCGCGCTTCCGAAACTCTCTCATACAGCAAACCTCCTTACCGGAGCCATGGCAAGAACTGCGGCAGGGTTCATCATGATGCCTGTTACTGTCATAAAAGTTCGCTATGAATCAGACTATTACGCCTACCGTAGCATTTGGGGTGCTGGGCGGGATATTGTGCGTTCAGAAGGTTTCAGAGGCTTATTTTCCGGTTTTGGCGCAACGGCGATTCGTGATGCGCCGTATGCTGGTCTCTATGTTGTATTTTACGAGCAATCTAAGAAGAATCTTAATGCATTGAACTTCGGTGGATTGACGACGGCACGGCCGCTCTCCGACGAGCCGGCTTGCAAGGATAACTCGGAAAAGCAGCTTGTTACCTCGTCCATATCGGTTAATTTTGTCTCCGGTGCGCTGGCTGCAGGCTTGGCGACCAGCATCACGAACCCATTCGATGTGGTTAAGACACGGTTGCAGCTTATGCCGAACAAGTATCGCAATATGGCCCACGCGGTGCGGCTAATGCTCCGTGAAGACGGAGTGCGGAGCCTTTTCGGGGGCTTGGGTTTGCGCATGGGCCGCAAAGCAATTAGCTCCGCGCTTGCATGGACTGTATATGAAGAACTGATCCTAAAAGCCGAAAAGAGGTGGCCAGATCAGGATAATATCGAGCAATTAGCGCCATAACTTGACTACTGTCTTGTTCTACAAGATCAACGATTTCATGGCATTTCTTGGTATATGATTCATTTGGATATATTGCGTTTCCCTAATGGCTCTACTTTTGGATCATGGGTGAGTGAAACGGATGGCATTTGGGCGGTTAATACTCTTCTTGTTCTGGAAATTCCACTGTATCATAGGATAAGCATTCTAACCGGCGTTTTTGGAAGTGATGGTTTTAGATTAACATCGCTACTATTAATATTACTCTTCCTTTATCTAAAACACATGAACGAGACATAACCAGGGTGGCATGGTTTATCAAATCGCAAAGTCCAGTAGATGTTCGTGGTGACACAACAATCAGCCCATAGCTATAAAATCCAATCTCACTGTTTATTGACAAGGATACTGAGAAGCCGTGGAGTCTCACCATTATAGCACCGCCTGCTGGCTGTTACCAACGGTATATCTTACGTTGATACGGTTCACAATTTTCAGCGCTTCATGTACTCCCTCTTGTCTTTACCAAATCTAACATATCTATTCTATCTTTTGCCCCTTCTTTCAATTCGATCGGTGTAAGCTGTTAAATTGGCACCCTGCTGCTGATCCTGAGTGATTTCAATAAAGTCATTTACTCCGTAGTCCTCTACCAAGCTACGGATAAGCCCTACTGTCAATATTATTCATTTAACAGGGTTACTGAGGAGTAATCAATGTTGGCTTAAACTGTAACCAGTCGACGATATTTTATTACTCCAATATTGGTATTTGTACCGTGCAATGAATTTTAGAGCTTTTGGAATGTGCTTGAATTATCCTGCTGAGTTGAAAAAGATTATTAAATGTATCGCATAGAACTTGATTAAAAATGACTATTTTAAAATATTAGATGGGGATTGAACAGGACATATTAACTATTAACAATTAGTAGTATGGTTTTCTGGCCTTGGTCATACCAATCTTACCTAGGTACCCAAAGAGTGGCCAAGGAAATTAAAGTGTGTAATAAAGAAATCGATCATTATTATCTCATCACTGGAAAAGTTTCCATCGCTGAATACAAGAGACCTGTCAAATACCTCTCACGTCTCCCCGCCTCGCTCAACGCGGACTCAGTAAGTAACGTTACATGACTACACGAGTCCGGTGACACACGAAATTCATCGTGCTGATAGTTGTCCGCCATTGGCGATATCGATCTTGCCTCGACATAGTCTGAGGCTGAGGTTGGCGAATTTGTAGCGGAAGCCGGAGGACGCCCGTCATATGCCCAAAGACTGTGGGGGCTAAGTGAGGTTGTAGGAAGGTATAGGCCAAGGGTGGTATGTAAACACTCAAGAGTCCGTAAGAGGAGATGGAGGAGGAGACCCAGGCTCACATCGGAGGTGCTAGTTGGCTCGTATCGACCCAACTTGAAAGTTGGGAGAGGCAATGGCAAAGGAAACGGGGCATTTGGATGAGTATCGAGCTCTTTCTGGTGTTGCTGAAAATAGTGGTAAAGGGGTATTACGAGCGTCTCGTAAATCCCAAGAAGGCGGAGATAACAGGTAAGTGTAATGAGGGCAGTTGCTGGTTCTTGTTGCTGTCCGCCCAAGTGACTCTGTTGTGAATTAGATGAGCATCTCCGTCGTAATGGTGAGGCGTGGGGCATGTAAGGATAAATGTGAAGAGACGGGTACGCTGCCGTACTTGCTTCTTGGTATAGCTCTTGCATTATTTCGATGAGGTTTTCGCTTAGCAAGAAAATCGCGTCGACTGCAGCAGTGGGAGTGGTGGGAGTGGATGCGGCGGTCTTGGGAAAAGGGCTGCTGGGAGAGGACATTATATCATTTGGATGCACCGTGCCTTTGCAGTTTGTTGGAATGCTGAGAAGATCATCTAGTTCCAGATGGAGCTTTGAGAGCTTGTACATAGGCGTGTTTGTATCTCCCTTGCAGTTCCAGTCACTAGGCGAATTGGGATTTGATAAACATTCCGAGAAATTGGGTGCTGAAATTGGAACCGGGGAGGTAGTCCAAGATGAACTACGGAAGTCCGCCAGGTTGGCGACTTGGGGAATTCCCCCTGTAAGAGTATCTAGTTTTGATGAATTCAAAAGCCAATCGGAGTCATTTTCTGTTAGGAGCAAGGGATCATCCACCCCGCACGAGAGAGATGCACTCAGTTCATGGTAATTGAAGGGCGTCGGAGACTGGCTGATAGCGGAATCTCCCTGATAAAACTGTGGCACAATATGCAAGGGCGGCGATGGACTATCAGAAGTCATGTTCTGCACTGCTCTGTAGTCAGTTTATGTCCTAACCTATTTCCCTTGAAAGTATGTTTTGCCTACCTGGCCATTGTTGCCGCATGTCTGTGGGAGCGCTTACTGGGGTTGCGCTGATACCTGGATAGCGTCAGCTACAATCGTTCAGATGATCAAAAAAGAAGGGAATGAAGGGTGGAATTTACCAGACGAAGAAGCGCACGTCGCGTGAGGCTCTTTGCGCGTTCGTATTAGTGCAAGTGGCACAACTTTTGGCCTAGAGCGTTCCTCACCTATATCTTTGTGGTATTGGTGTGTGGGTGATTGGAAAATTCCAAGTGATTTTGGTCTTCCCAACTTCATCGATGCACTGAAAACACAGCGGATTCCAATGCGCTCACATCGGCTGCAGCGTTCTGAACCTGGAGCTCTGGCACACTTGCTTTTCAGAGTATGGCATCTGTCGCAGGAGGTTCTTTTCTTGCCAACCCTATTTCGGTGAATTGGTAACGGGCTCATGTTGGAAGGTTAAAAATGGTATTCCAAAGAAGCGAATCCAACCAAGTATTTGGTTTTGGGATCCCAAAATAAAAAGACATCGGAGAGGTTTGCCTGTGGCATTTGTACAATTTTACCCAGACACCTCTCTCCGTGGGAACCCATGCTACCCCTCAGAGAGAAACAGAAAAAGAGAGGAGGGCGCAATCCTTGTCGTCACTTGGCAAAGAGGAGTGTCAATTCAACCTAGTGGCTGTAGCAGTTCGGGACGCATTGATGGAAACTCCTATGGCTGCCCAGGATGGTGTTTGCAGCATTGCATCCACCTAAAACTATCGACGGATGTTGGGCACCTGCAGGTCCCTAAACTTAGTTAAGCGATAGCTGCTGTTGCGGTTGGCATCTCCAGAAGCATTGGCCAATACTGGGCCCGAGTCCTTGCCGGAAATCCGCACAGGCGTTCAGCATCTGGTTAGTCTTCCGCGGCTGCGCATGAAACCCACCAACTCCCCGAAGGTCGACAGAATCAACCGGCAAATATGCAGGCTAAGATACATTTTTAGAACACATCCATGCACGAATTGGCCGCCACCTGCATAATTTCTTACCTGAATAGATTGTCATCGTGATGTGAGCGACCCCACCATCAGTGCTCCATGCATATCCCTTCTTAAATCCTTGGCCGCTTTGCGTCTGATGATTCAACCAGTTTTGATGACAATTCTCAGATGAAGATGGTGCGATTATATGACCATCAGAGACTCACAACACTGTGTACTATAGCCGAATATGAATTGAAACAAGTCGTCCTTCAGTGCATTTTGGTGTAAGTTACCTTCGGGTGCGAAGTGTTCGGTCAAGCTTGGGGGACAGATGCAGATTTCCAGCACTGTGGCTGTGCCCACTGGATGACCGCCCTGGCTACTGGATCCAGCCTAATGACCCCAGATGGGATTAAAAGACACATTTGTTGTTCGAATCCAGTCTCGGGAAGCTAGTTGCCCCGCACTGATCAAGATTAAATAGAGTGGAGGGTTTATTTCGTTTGCTTTGATGTCCTCAGCCAGCTTTTGGCGTTTCGTCACAACTTCTCGCCCGGAAGACCAGGGTTCCGCGTTCAAATTGAAGTCTGCATGCATATGTCCTCAGGTGCAGAGACGTGTGATACGACTGAAGATAAAAGGCAGTCTAGGAACTGACACTGATAGAGGGAAAAGTTAATGTTCACATAGGTGAAAATCCTGTTGAGGTAAATTATACAGCGCAAACCAAGTTGGCCACAGCGTAGAGTCTATTAACCCTGACTAACGTTGGACAAATGAACAAGGAACAGATTTCTGCGCTGACCACCTCAGTTTATTGTAGTAGTTGTAGTTATCAGCGGATTTTCCCCTGCTAACAGCTTCAAAGCGCTTATGCAAGGGGGTTGGATATCCGCAAGAGAAAGGTAACAGACCAGAAGTTTCAGCCCAAGTGGCTGGGCCGTTCTAATATGTGATTTTAAGTAGTGCATGGAGGGAACCTGTGTACGAAATAAATGACCTGACTGGAATTATTTTTTAGGAGATTCCTCTAAAAGCGTTAACATATCCGCTTGCATGCCAACATCATAGGGGACTAAAAATGCAAGGAACAAAGGGCCTTTTACGCCGTCTGGAGCAACGAACTGTAACCTTTGAGCTAGTTTCTAAGTGGCCAATGATGAATATATTGATGATATATATATATGAAGATATCATGCGGCCGATTTTGACGGAGTCTATAAACTGAGCTGTAGACTGAGAAAGGTTTGTTTGTTTACCTTTATCGATGACGTTTGTGGCCAGTGTTTTCATTCCCAGAGTGGGTCAGCCAACCCACAAATTCTTGAAACATCCTATATGCGCTTCGTTGAAACTATCTCTTCCCATCGACTTCAAAAAGCATAGTTCCCAGCGTAGCAGGGATAATGCAATCTGTAGGAAACGTCTTAATGTTAGCTATCATGAAGAGTTTGTAGAAAACCCTGGCTTCGGATTTGCGCGCGTGATTATGGATTCCCCGGCTAACTCGAAAAGTCCCTCTTGATTGACGCGTTGAGCTTATAAATGTTAATTGTTAAGCGTTTTCAGTATTTTCCCCAACAGACAAAACGTTATGTCCTGGGAGGTCACCCAGGGACACCTGAAACGGCAACAGGGAGTACTGTCTTCTCGATAATCCGATTCGGCCAAATTGAAACAAGGGCAAGTTTGCATCAGGTCTCGAAGAGCAGACCTGCTGATATACCCGGTAATACTCAAGCACCACACTGCACACGACACAGATTCATCAATGAACAAGCAGAACGGCAATCAAAACCTGGCCCCGGATAGATAAGCCGCGTCTTTCAGGACAGGGTAGTAGGAAAATTCCGGCAACGCAGGTAATATCTCAAGCATGAGAAGACGGATCGCAATTGGTCCAGACGAAGCTAACTGAAAGACGAGAATTGGCATTATTCCATTTGAGCCGCACATCTGCTCGGGATGTAGTGTCAACCAGCACCATGTGTAGAATGGGAGACTTGTTAATTGAAATCGAGCAAGGTATAAATGGCAGCCTTGCAATCGGGAGAAGGGAAAAAAAGAACAGGTGCCCGTAGAACTCCAACCAATAAACCGCTGTTAGAAAGCGGAAGCAAAACGGAACTTGAAACGTAGTTTCAAGAAAATCTAGGGTAAATGCTTCAATGGTGCACACCAAATTCCTTTCACCTAGTATTCTAAGGACGGAAGAGCCGCTCAATTCCAGCTGGGGGCTGATGCTCTTCAGGGTAAATAACAGGGGAAACCTAGTCCCACCATAGGCAGATGACATTCATCGATATGGTGTAGCACGGAAACCTGATAAAAGAGAGAGTGGGATAGGTTGATGACCCTCAGCATGGGAGAGGCTGTGCATAGTTTTATGTCACGTGGTGCATGTCCCTTGATCAATCTAAAAATATCCCCGCTGCATGCAGGGTGTTGCCCGGCAGAGCGGTGTCAGAAACATGGTTTTCGGAAGACGAAGGAATCCCGAGAGAGGTAAGTACAGTGCAATGGCAACCGGACTTTTGTGAGGAATGCAAATTCGAATACATGATGCCTCTTGGTGCTTAGCTCAAATATCTGGGTTTTTATAGCAGCAGCATGCAGTTCGGGTCAAAATATATACCATCCCACCGTAGGGGAAACTAATGGTTTCTTCAACATTTTTTACTCTGAGAACTATTGGGTTCTGAAGCGGCAACATCCCTGGAAGGAAGGCTTGGGAAACAAAGTACTTATTTGTCTAGTCGACTGGCCGCTGAAGCGATAGATGGAAGGGAGCGATTGACAAGAAAACACTTGTTTAGATTTTACAACACAGGCAATAGCACCGCTTGATAAATTCTAGAAAAGAAAAAAGTTCTTCGTTACGCACCTGGGAGGCATTTGGAAGCAAATTTTGTATAAGAGCAGATACTAGAAAAGTCGTTGCAAATATGGAGAGTATACTCTTTGCATAAGAGGTAAAGGAGGAAAGGGGGAGGGGCGAGGGGGTGGTGTAAGATAAATGACAAATAATTTATCAAAACAATTCGAATATCAGCGGTCAACACCAGAACAAAGTGAAGCTAGAAAAGACGAAGCACCAACAGGCTAGTGAAGGGCCAAGTAAGAGAAGGGAATAGGAACCAAGATATGCACGTCCGCAATGTCTGGAGACGTGACCGCGCGAATAAGGATCGGGTGAAACGGACGGAAGAAGCTCGGCCAGACCGCATCACAACAGATATAAGTGGGATATGGCTTTTTACCACAGTCCCCAACCACTCGCTCGCCGTGGCGACTTCTTCCGTGTTCGAACCAAATACATTTCATCCCGATCCCGAACTCTGACACCCACTTGTGGCTGTGGGGGAGCGGGGGCAATCAGAAGTTTTTGCCCATGGCGTAGTGTTTTTGTGTGCTCGAAGAGCTCCTCCTGCTCATCGTCTGTAATCCAGCGTTTGATAAGAATGAATTCCTTGTCACGCTGTGATGTTTTCGGGAAAGAGGTCTAAGTTAGCGGGCCCTTCTTCATGTGCGGAACGAATTTAAAAAGGGGAAGCGAGGGAGCTGAGAAGCAATAAACAGGGGCACTCACGTCATCCCATTCCCATGGTATATGGAAAAAATCTAATGTTTCCGGTGAGATATGTAGGGAAGAGACCTAAAGGCAAATTGTGAGCCTGGGGTGAAATACAAAACAAGAACAAAGGGCAAAGAAAGGGGACCCGGCTCCTTCGTTGGAAAAACACGGAGGGATAGCGCACCTTGATAAACGTAGGCTTTATGGCTGGATGAGCATGAGACTTCGGCTTCTCTTCTCCCTTGAGTATGGCCGTGATTTGATCGTCGGTATAACCAGACTTTGCAAGCGTCGCCCTAGCACGTTCTTCGAACTCCCTGTCTGCTTTTTCTTTGTCCTTCTTTTCCTTTTGTTTCTTTTCCGCTTCAATCCTGTTGTATTCGTCGACTGCTTGCTTCTTTAATTTAGCTTCGTACTCTCGACGTTCGGCCTCTTCCGCCTCCTTCCGGGTTCGCTCAGTCTCTATCTTCTCGCGGATTCGCTTTTCATGCTCTTTTTCTGCTTCTTCCTCTTCTCTAGCCTGTGCACGTCTTACAATAAGTTGGTCGTCGATATATCTCTGGGCTTCTAGATCGTGCTGCATCTGGAGTAGTCTCTCTATCTGTAATTCGTTTTCGATATCCCGGCGAGACACGCTATGATCCCTGTGGCGGCCCCGCCGATCTCTACTCTCTCGATCTCTCACACGGTCTCTCTCACGGTCTAACTCCCGTTCCCTCTCCCGAATTCGCGTATCTCGCTCCCTCTGTAACTCTAGTAGTTGTTCGTCCAATTTTCTGTTCCGTTCCTCCATCGCGGCTTCTTCACGTCTTTCCAATAGTCTCAGCCTATCCAGCCGCAGGTGCTCCTCAATATCCAAACGTGGGGAATGGGAGGACCGGGATCGTGGCCTGCGATGGCGGCGCAGTTGTTCCATCTGTTCGTCTAGGTCTATAAGGGCTTCATCTTCCGCGAACAGTTTTGGTCTCGCACGGACATGGGAATGGGAGCGTTCGCGGCTTGGGGAGCGAGCTTCATTCACGATGAAAATGTTGCCATCTCTACCCTGGGGTCCTACCGACGAAGCACGAACACGACCACGTCTCGGAACTTCTAAGTTCTCTCTAACCACTCTTGGGCGAGAATGTCGGCGAACTCTGGAGTGTGAACGGACCACGAACGAGTCATCGTCCGAGGAAGAGTATGAAGAGACACCGCCACCGAAGACGATATGGGGTGGTGCCATGTTTGGAAGCCCTCCTCCTGGACTAGGCGTGCCAACTTCTGATCGATGGTCAAGTGACTACCCCCTCTGGCAGTTCCTCTCGTCCTCCAACGGTAACAAGGGACAGGAATGAAAATATTGACAAGAAGGCTCTAATTCACGGTGAAAAAAGGTAAAGTGGTAATCTGGACAATTTTCAAGCTGGTTGGATTTTGTAGGGTGAACAAAAATGATGAAGGAAAAACAAGCGCTTTCGTTGAAAGGCGGGGTAAAATTCCACTTCGTAACGGGACAGGTAGAGAGGATAGGCGCTTAGACAGAACTTGATCAAGAGGAATGGAAGTAAACGTGGTTGGCTACTTATGATTCTACCCTTGCCAGTAGCTTAACGGGATACTTTCTTTTATGGGTTTTGCATCGATGAATGAACCTGGTGGTTTGACAGGGGGTTCGTTATGTCCTGTTTCAAAACCAGAGCTTGAATTATATATGAACGGTGGTTTGTGAGTCGTCGCACGTTGACTTTTGAAGACCGAACGATCAGGTATGGACTATGATAGGAGTTGAATTAAATGCATGCCATCAAATAGGTCACACAATCCCAAGAGGCCCAACCAGAGGCGAAAAGTTTGTTTTTTGGAAGACGAAGAATAAGTTGCAAGGCGAGGTATAGAATTCTAGGTGAAGCAGATGGTAAGCTGTTTATGTCGGTGAGGAGGATTGGGCCAGCACCGGTAGCAGCCAGGCCAAATCAGCTGCTGATTTGTTTAAACCGACCAGGCTTCGAAGGGTATCACGTTCGCTCCACCTTTGGGCAAAAGTTGCATGGCGCCGATGAAGTGCAGCACTGCAGCGACAGTGACCAGTACGGGGGCTTAGTGGGGGTCTCTTGCAACTGATTTGTGGGCTGGTCGCCCAGAGAGGAATCATAACGCCGCCACTTAATATTCGTATCGAATACTTGGTGGAGAAGATGCCTTGGCTTTTCAGCCTCCAATCTGTCAAATAATTGATAACCTAGGCTGCCTGGGAATTCATATTGGCCAAGAGGCTGTCTCATGCTGGTGCGCCGTCCCTGCCCAGCAAATGCCGGGAGAGTCTTAGAAGCGGGAGTATCATTCATATTGGACGAGGAGCCTAGAAGCTGCCTGAGAATGGTGGTCAGTCATGCTTGAAAGAGGAACTAAAGCCTGTTTCTGTTGCTGGTGATTGGCAGATGCAACGGCTGGAAGGTCAGCCAGCCCGACTTTGGAAGCACCGGCAGCCTGTCCCGTCGGGATAGGAAGCTCTATTTTCTGCAGAATTTTTAGGTATTTCCCTGGCCCAAACTGGGAATATTCGGGCTCAGGCAGGGTTTTTTGATGGTTGACAATCCTCCCTTGCCTACTAAGCTTCGAAAGTTTGTTTTGCATGTTCCCATAAGTTACCCCAAATTCAACAACTGGGCGCTCCCCGTTTTACAGGTTGTCCAAGGCATCAGTTATCGACGGCAACTAGCTTACTTAACAAAAATGATTAACCGCCGCGTTGCCAATGCATAGTATCGATCAATGGGCCGCTGACAACAGATCATATCAGTTTTACTCATAACACCCCAGCCATTGGGCAGATATGCAGATGATTTGTTTTCAATGCATGATATTCTTAGATTAATGGCTATTTTTCATTACTTTCCAAGTCATTTTTGATGATGTGTCTGAATAGTTCAATCTGTGAATACGCGCGCTCCTATCTTCTTTTGTTCAGCTCTTAATATGGTTATTAGTTTATGGCCTGTTCACGCGTTTACGGGAGCAAAGAGCACCGAAACATACTTTCAATTCATCATATAACGTGATATTTCTGGAATTAAATACCACTACTATAAATGCGATCTAAATTGACGAATTCCCTGTCCATTTTGCGGAATCTCTTCCTGACATTGAATGGCATGTTGATGAGAATCTAGAGCCCAGCCTGTCAGTCTCCACCGTATATGGTGCCTGAGGGGGTTGCCAGATACCCACTGCTGGACATACGCTGTATGGGTTCTTACGATATCCCATTACTCTCAGCGGCGGTCTTGTTAAATTTCCTACTTGGGCCCTGACAGCACTTCAGCGTGGCTGCCGCGGAAATCAACTAGAAAACTCGTGTTTGGCATGGGATGATCATGCAAACAAACATTCGTTGTGAATACCTATTCCGCAAACATCCATATGTTTGATGGTGAGGCTGATTTGGGGTGACGAGAAAATTCATGTAGAACGTAATAGTAGCGCATTCTCACCCTCTACTCGACACATTCGTACAATGAATAACCCGGCCTGTAATCTCCCGCCCAACCATATCGCGACATTCACCGGTGCTAATATCTATCTTGGTTTTTGAAAATCTTAGACTATAACACGGTCCTGGAAATTCAACATGAGTGAGTCGATGGGGAGTCTGACTGTTTATAGAGGAGTAATATTTTAGCAGGCGTATTTATGAGAAGAAACAGGGGCATTTGCAATTTCTCTCGATTTAGTTAGGAATGCCAAATCCGGGAGTTATAGCAATAACGTTTCAATGACCAAGGATCAGATCAGATATTCGCGGTAGACGCCTGCATGTAACTCCAATGCCATTAGGCTTGGGGATTATTTTTCATTCCCCTAAGGTATTTGTATGTAGAAGATCATATCATACCACGAGCCGCGCTTGTCTTCCGTTCATGGTGCCATAACGTTTGCAGTAACATGGCCATTGAGTCATGTCAAAATGACCAAAAGAACAACAATCTCACACATATATGCGGTCGACCTGCGATGGCGTTTGTCCCAGATCCATAATTTGAAGGTATGAAAAACCGACAAGGACCGTTCTCATCGGCGCTCATCTGAGCTGGGTAGCTAGTCAAAATGCATTACCAACCTCCAACGGCCAGCGGACGATTCCGGGGTATACATTCGAACAAGTACAGCATATCTCAGCCTTAACCCCATTTTCACATTATCACTCATGCCTTGCCACCAGTCTTGAATATCTGGTCCATATGTTGCCGGCTATTTTTATGTGTCGTTTCCAAATAATGGAGCTTCTTTTCTAGATTGGATATTGCGGTTTTCAATTCTCCTTTTTCCGCCGATAGCCGTTTATTCACGTTCGTGATCGGGTTTGCGACAAACCTAGAAAAGCCCAAAAATGATAATGTCAGTAATATTTCTTTCTCTAATTCCGTTTCGTGTCTTATATTTAAGAGCGCAGGTCAAGGGGGAAGATCAAAGGGATGAAGATTTAAAAACGTGACCGCGGGGAATAAAACACATCACACATTTTCCCAACCCCCTCGTATACATTCGTTTCCTTGGGTAACTGGCTAATTTCGTTCGATGTGAGTTCTAACAGGCGCAATTCCCGCTGCTTCCCTGTAATTTGCGATCTGACAATATTGATCTGTTGCTGTGTTGCGATCGCGCGGGATTCAATTTCTTGTACGAGCTATGTTTTCAGGAAATCCATGACATGTCAGAATGGCAATCATGGTACGTAAATATTCGGAACGGTGAGCACCTTTTGAAGAGCTTCTGGAGGGATAGACATTTTGTTTTAAGGTGGGACGAATGGCGACGGACGAGCGCCCAGGGTGAGTTGAATGGATATTAATTGGATAAAATACGATGAACGTGAGGTTACCGATTCATCAGTGGAATCTTTTGCTTTGGAATAAGGCTCCAAATATGAAATACTTCACCTGGAAAAAGAAATGTCTTCGCGGGTCAGGATAGATCACATGACGAATCAATTCATATCACATGATTCAGACGCCCCCGACTTCGACGTCCTGCTCTATTTGATGAGTTCCGTGGTGTCAATCTTACAAATACCATAGATAGATGAGGGAATAAACATGAGGCACATTCGCCTTTATCCCTATGGTTCTCTGGTATCAGTGGAACCAGTCTATGTTGGAAATACTGTCACTAGATCCCGGGTTTTTATTGAAACTTCTGAAGGAGAAACCAGCCCTATGGGACACCTTCAAACCGGTTTTCCTCCGCTTTACATCCTTCAATAATCCTTATTGGAGCGACTGGACAACGTGGCTTTGATAGCAAGAACATAGCGAACTCTTAGATCGTATTGATGCCTCAGTTGGAAGCGATTGATTGACCCCGTCACCTCCACGCAACCCCGCGATACCTTAAACTTCGAAACCAAAAATTAGGGGCCGACGATATTTTTCTCGGGGAGTGGTTGGCCACTATGGAGTTTAGTAATGAAGAAGAGAATCCCGGTTCCCGAAGCCCTCGTTTCGCCTGACCCGCGGCCATGGACGAATAAAAAAACGTACCCAACATCGATGCCATCCGGTTCCCCAATCGGATTGAGGAGGGGCGCCCGGATATTTGGGTTTGCCTGGTGAAAGTCAATTCAGAATCTGTTGCAGATTTCTGTTTAGCATGCTAGAGGTTTAAAGAGCGGACAGCAATCGACACAATCCGCAATCAACTACCAACGTGAACCAAACGAAGCGGTCGACTGTTAAATTTATATTATGGGACGACACGCCAAAAGAGAGGCCATCAACATAACAATGATTTCCATATCCGCCTCCAATTTCTAAGAGTGCGTCCTTCTATGGCCTCAGCGTCCCGCCGTATTTCAAAGCGCCAACTTTTGCTACTGGTTAACTGAACACTTTGGCTTTTGTCCTTATACCGCCGTTGCCGAACCTCATCAAAACCCAGCGGTGCTGTTTACAAGACGGCATGTTTCGTGTTCCAACCCGCCTTGGAGGTGTCGTGGGTTTTAGTGAGCAGAGACCAGGAAATAAGTTTCATTTCAAACTGTCCATATCCACTAACGAAAATTGATTCTAGCACTTCCAGTGACCCGCCGCAGCTTGGGGGACTCTGATCCTGAAAGCATCACGTACACTAACCGACCAATTAACTTTGAACAAAAGCGGGAACTGCACGGCGCTCTCATGACCATATTATTCATGATCCCCTTCCCTATCGGTTCGTTGTCGATGCACCTCCGAACCAAAGTTTGCATCGCACCATACATCCATGCGCTTATTCAAACAATCGGCATAATCATGGCAATCATGGCCGTGGCGCTGGGCATCAATTTGACAAGCGATCTAGAATTCTGGAATCCGCTCCGCACCCATGTCATTGTGGGATTAGTTGCAACAGGAATAATCCTGTTCATTCAGCCTGCGCTGGGTATTGTACAGCACCATTACTTTGGAAGAGCTAGGGCTGGATATGTTAATAGCCGCATTTTTGGCGTTATGCATAGATGGCTAGGGAGGGTAGCTGTAGTTTTGGGCATGGCTAATTCTGGCCTCGGATTCCAGCTGGTTGGTGGCGAGGAAAATGTGCCTAAGAGATCTCTGGTGTGGAACTTTGTTCTTATGGGCGTCTTCATATTGTTATGGTTTTCGGCTGTCCTGATAGATTTCCTTGGACGGCGGAGGGAGAGGCCGGTGCAAACGGAGCGGGAAATAGCGGAAGCGTTATCTACCACAGCTGGGGAAAGCGGCGGTATCAGGAATACAACCTTTCAAATCCCCAACAATAGGCTTCCCCGATAAAAATTATCTCCTCCTCGTCCGTTGTGAGAGCCGATAAGAACCATCGAGGAGACTCTAGGGAAGTGAATTAGGGCTCTGCAAGGCTGCCCTAACCCTAATGCGGCTAGGGTTTGGGTCGTGGCTAGCCGAATTCGGAAGCCACAGGGCCCCAGGGCAGGAACTGGCCAGAAGCGGCGATTGATGACTAACCTTGGGAGGGCAGACCGGCGAAACACCTACAACCCTGCCTGAGACACCACGGCTATCCAGGTTGATAGTCTGCTGTTCTCCTGCTGCTCGTTTCAGTGCCAGTTACCAAGTCCACTGGTGTGTGAATTCGTCTCACCTGCTAGTTTCTCAATAACCCAATTACTACTACCCCTCGGGCACAAAGGCCGAATCCTTCGGAGCATACGTCACAAAGTACTCCTACTAGTTCAAGATCCAACCCACCACTTTCTCTGCTCCCTCAGCTTATTTTCTTTCTTTATTTTCTTCTTTAAAACAGCCATATATATATCGGAGTATATTCGTTGATAGAAATTATCGTATTCCTTCTACTTCCGTCACTCGCTGTGGAATGATCTGGGGTACTGGTCTCACTCACCACCTCCGGAACCCTGCGCATACTCGACTACACCAATCACCTTATTTATAGGTTGTTTTATAGTCATTTATGCGGCAGCATCCAATTTTTCCATATCCGCCTTCCCGGGCTGGGTACTGGGCCCCTATAACTTCAACACTGAACTGGTGCGAAGAGGTATGTCGTGTTCTTCCCCTTGGGTCACATGCCTCTGGAATGTTCGGCTTTTTAACTCCAGTCACCCTTCAGGATTACTATGCGAGCTTCTATCTCGCTGAGTTTGTGAATGCGCTCACGAATTGTTTATTCCTCTGGTTAGGCGTCAAAGGCCTTCTGAGTTGTAGAAGGAATGGCCACGACTCAATTTTCCAGATCGCCTTCCTTGGTTACCTCACAGTCGGATTGGGCAGCTTCCTCTTCCACGCTACCCTAAAATGTACGTCTCAAAAAATTTTACTCGTATATCATACATACCGCTGCGGGCATTTCGTCCCGAGTATCTATGTAATAAGATAACTAACAACACCATAGACCCCATGCAACTCGTCGACGAACTTTCTATGATCTACACAACCTGTTTAGTTTGCTATGCCACATTTTCCTACTCCAAACCTACGAAAACTCGAATACTCCTAGCCCTATTCCTCCTGGCCCTTGCTATTATCATAACTTTGTACTACCACTATATCCAAAACCCAATCTTTCACCAAAACGCCTATGCTCTTCTCACGGCTATTGTTCTCCTTCGCAGCATGTGGGTCATGGAGGCTGCGCTGCGGCCATCGTGGCGCAATAAAGGCCTGGAACGAAACCAACAGCTTCACTCCTACGAAGACATGCGTGACCTGAAGATCTTACATACTATGTGGGTTATGGTGGCTTACGGCCTCGCCACCTTCTTGGGCGGCTTCGCGATCTGGAATCTGGACAATGTGTTCTGCTCCCGCTTGCGTGGATGGCGAAGAAAGATCGGGCTGCCCTGGGGCATCCTACTGGAAGGTCACGGCTGGTGGTATGTACTAACTCCTGATTTACATATCTGCTTTTGTGAAAACGAAATATCCATGATCGCAAATATATGTCTCTACCTCTTTTGCAGTCACTAACGGGTAAAAACAGGCATCTTATGACTGGAATTGGCGCCTACATGTACATTGTCTGGGGAATATGGCTACGTCACTGTCTAAATGGACGCCAGGAAGAATATCAATTACAATGGCCCCGCATTTATAGTTTTCCGGACGTCGTTCGCGTTTCCAATCAGGGCAAGAGGAGCACAAATGGTTCGACCAAGTTACCAGCGGCGCATAAACCATATCAAAATGGTATGGCGAAGAAGATCAATTAGGCATTTTTTACCCACCTTATACTGACCGACCTATTTTCTAACTCTTCTGCTATATATATATATATGTATGTGTGTGTGTGTGTGTGTGTGTGTGTGTGTGTGTGTTTGTTTGTGGAGGCATGAAGGGGACTGCCCCACCTCTCAGCAACGGCATTACGTCGGCCCTATATAGACGCACGGTTCTGTGATATATGATGTATCTGTATTAGACAGGGTTTGTGTACTTGGTCTACCCGGCTATCGGTTTTGGTATCCCTTTTCATTTCTTTCTTTTCTCTTTCGTTTACGTGTTCATATTATTACACATTACTAGACTTTTCGCATGTACTGATGATAGCTTTGGCCTCGCGTCAGTTAGGGAGTATCTAAAATTATGGGCTTTACTCCTTAGCTAAGGATGGGAAATTGGAAATATTATGGATATTGGAATAAATGGCATATGAATTGTGCCAATAAGGGGTATCACATGCATACGTGCAGAGTCTTATGTGGTACAAAAATATATATTATGTGGAAAAATCCATCAAGGCCTCAACTGAGAAAAATCAACTATAAAAGCACTTTCAACGATGAAACCATATATATAAAAGAAGAAACCCCATCTATTGTGTCATAATTTTGCGTCAACCCTGGCCGCTCCACCAACCCCATTCGACTGATTACTCCTAACTGGTGGCTTAGCATGTCCTCTCCACTCCTCATCGATCGTAGCCTTCTCAATCTTAGATTTCTTCTCCCACTCCCGTCTAAACTCCCCTTCCTCCCTCCTCCACCTCTGCATCTCCTTCCCGATCCACTCGGCCGCGTGGTCCGCTGTCTCCACCACCGCCTCCATCGGAATCAAATGCCCCACATCCTTCAGCAAAACGGACTTGACACGACCCTCCGCCACCCCGCCGCTCCCTCCAACCCCAATGCCTGTGTTGTCCAGCTTAGCTTGGCAGTGATGGGGGAGACACATATCTGACTTGTCCGCAAAGACGTATAGGACTGAGGGGCGGAGATGAGGGAGTCGGGCGAAGGTTAGGGCAGCTTCGGGGCGGTAGAATGGGAATTCGTATGTGATGCCGGGAGCGAGATCGGGGTGCGTGAGCCTGTTTATGGGCCTCGTGTTGGGTGGGTCGAAGTTTGGGCGCGAGAATGTGAAGACTTCCTGGTGCCGGGTTGTGGTAAGGGTTACGGGATTTTCGCTGTGGATTGCTGGTGAAGTTGGCGACAATGATGATGATGATTGCGGTGAAGGGTAAATGGCGGTGGGGAGTTCGCGGAGGCCATATTGGATCCAAAGGGCGAGGACGCGAGGGTCCCAGTGTTGGTAGAATGGGCTTTTCTTGACAGCTTCAGCGGCCGCAGCGCGGGAAGGCCAGATATCACGTCGGTAGCTGGAGGCGACGGTTCTGGCGGGTGCTGTGCTGGATTCAAGTTTGTTATGAAAGATGTCGTCTTGCGGGGTTATTTCTGGGCGGTAGATGACAGGGTCCAGGAGGATGAGGGAGGTGAGGAGTCGAGGGTGTAAGAGGCTTAGGTTGACTCTAAGGATGGGGGATTTCGGTCAGTTATATATTTGAAGATGGTACCGCGTATAGCTGCGTAGAGGCGACGAACAGGTTGTTACCACCCACACTATGACCAATGCCGAAGATTGGACGGGGCATTTCCTCTCGCTTCAGGTTGATGAAATGTAGCAGGTCCCTGGGGTGATCAAACCATGAAGCTGTATTCCGGTTTCGGAATATTAATTATTCATTCCCACGACTGTGAAGCTGGAAGAGGTATGACTTGCAGAGCATACGGTCATTTCCCAGGACATTCTCGTTCAACACTCCGCTATTGCCCTGATGCGCTACATCTGCTATCCAAATTCCCCTAATAGCGAAACCATGGCGCTTTGCCCGGGAAAGGAGCTCCTCCCACAGGGGCTCATATAATTCCTGTGATTTTACACGGTCAGATGGGAAATACCTCATGCAAGGAGCGCAACACCGCGCTGCAAATACTAGTAGGCAGTGGTAACAGGGCCAAATGTCAACACGAACCTTTGGGAAGCCATTTGCATGAGCTCCTATAATGGTTATATCCCCAGGCTTCGGGTTAGGGTTATCGATAGGGACATACTGCTTGACAGATAGCCACAAGGTTTCTTCCTGTTCTGTAGCAATTGCGCGTGGATACTCCCTGATATGTTGGCAGGGAGAGAGATGCTCGATTACACAAAACGGCCCGGATATCATAGTTTCGATACCATGAAGCCGAAGAGACCAGTGTTCTGGATGTTGCGAATGGAATGTATTGTTTCCACCGTTGACAGCTTTTCCAGATGGATATTGATTATTATTTAATTCGCAGGAGCGGGAAATGTTTTCCTCCTGATCAAATCTAGCTGGGGCTGATGGAGAGGACTAGCTTAACTTGTTAACTAAATACTTACAGCTGGGTGCTAAAGGGGTTCATGCCTGTGGCACCTGAATAAACCACTACAACTTAACTAAAGATAGCCTAAATCTCAAGGTGCTTGGGAATGAAGATCCTTGAGAATGGTAACGATATTACAGCCTAAATTATTAGTGCTCATCAAAACTTTTGTCTTGGCATTTGCAAGGGTTACTGAATGACCCATAAGACACTTCCTCGCCGTTTCTCGTTCGGACCAGCGTATTTTTGGGATTTTTCAATTTGAGCGCAATGTTTGTGAGGAGAAGGTGCTCCCAGCCAATCTGCTCCTGTAAATCATGCAGAGGAGGCCCATGGAACAGTTGTGTGGGGTCTCACGTTTGGGAGAAACAGGCGTTAGAATATCAACGGAGCCTGGAGAACTAGCTTTGTACATACAATTGTTAGGGCTTCAATCTAGGTGCAGGAAGAATAATATCTCTTTGCGAACTAGGTAAGCTATAGAAACGAAATACTAAGGTGGTGAAGGAAAAGGTCTTTGGGAGGAGTGAGACTATATACAGTTGGTAGGCGATTTCCGCGGCCTTAACCTTGAGCACTAGATCCTATCAAACCGTCCGCCTTCCAGGTCCTGACAACAATAGATATATATATATTATAAAAGGAGTTATGCTAGAGGATCTCAACTCATGGTCATCCCCGGTCTTCACCGAGTCGCTCAAGTGCATGCTATATCAAAAGACAAACAAAAAGCAGATCAACGCGACAATACGCTATCAACATATACGCTGATGATAGCTTCGCGTTTCTAATTTCTGACAGTTTCGCTTGCAATGCGCTTGCGTTTATTCTGAGTGTCCGAGGGTCTAGCTCTATCACCTCTGAGTTTTCGATTACTCAACGCGGCGTTTTGCGAGCCAAGGAGTGAAGGATCGTCCTCTTCCGGAAGTGATGTAAAACTCGAGCCTAGATCTACTCCGAGATCTACTCCAAGATCTACTCCGCTGACTCCCTGAGAGAGCCCCGTCGATTCCGAAACACTCAGATCAGATGCTTCTAGCCGCTGGGATATCTCAAAGTTCACAAATGGGATCATATCAATTGCTGAACACAGCCTCTCAAAGTGGGAGGGTGCCCAGTCACTATAAACACTCATAGTAAACTTGTAGGATGTCCATTTCTCCCTACCATCCAATGCGGTGAAATCAAATTTGTGAATTGAATGCCGGTGGTAGGTAATTTTCTGCCCATTGATCACAGGATAGTGGCCGTAGATTCTCACTGAGCAATGGTCATGAGAGATTGAGAACCCTAGAATCTCTCGATGCAGCTCCTTCTCACGCTTGACAATTCGAAAAAGCTCAACAACACCCCTCACTGCAAGAGCCATGCTGTGTGCATTTTGCCGGTCTGCAATATCAAGTGCTGCCTTTCCTTTCACTTCAGATGTGAAAAATGGAAAGTGCATATTAGCAGTACCCATAAAGAATGAAGGATCACCAATGTCACCAAAAAAAGGTGCAAGCTTGTGGAGCTGATCTTCAGTGAAGGCTTCCATGGAGTAGCCTACTGCGTAGTCAGGTTGCGGTCGGGGTAGTTGAAATCGGGAAAGCTTTGCCCTTTGAGGGGGTGGGGGCGGCTGTAGTGGTTCTTGAGGTTGCAAAGAATGTGGATTTGCATCAAGAGACAATGAGTTGTCCCAGCCTTCATTCATACTGGTGACTAAGTGCTCAAATGAGATATGGCCTAGGTTGCTCGCACTTTCAGCAGATGGAACAATTAATTCGCCAATGATTCGAATGATTCCTGTCTCATTTTTTTTCCTTATTGTCGCGCAGGTTGATTTAAATGCGTGTCCATCAAACACTGTACCACTTGGAAGGTCATGATTCTTTTCTAGTAATTTCTGACAGAGAGTTCGGCTCTCACTGCTGATATCATTCTTATGGTCATCCAAGAATACGGCTTTTGTTTGGAGAAACAGTTCGCAATTCTTGTCTTCGTACTTGCTTTTGTTTTTTTGCGAACTGGTATCACTTGACGCCTTTAAACTAGTATTTGACTTCGTACGGCAAAGGGACGTAGCTTTTGGTGCAAACCAGTATTCCATAACGCCTTGCATTAAGGGTTCCTTGGATATCTGATATTTATGAGTAACCCAGTACTCGACGTACTCGTCTTTATTGATTCGTCGTCGCTTTGGAAAGGGTGCCGAGTTGTCAGACAAGCACTCGTCCCAGAGATATCTTTCACTTGTGGTGGAGCGCTTTTGTGGTAAAACCTATCGCATTTAAAATGATAAAGGCAGTCAGCTTTCGAGCCTCAGAAACAAGAGAGAGCTTATTTGCTCAAAGGGCCGCTCACGTCGTTTCCTCTGTTTACAATCCCACTGGACTGGGAAAGGCTGGTTCGCTGCCGCTTTTCAGAACGACCAGCTGAATGCCAAAATGACTCTTCCCCTTCAACTGTTCGTTTTCTTAGATTGGTCGGCCGCTGCTCTTGCTGGGACTATTGCCAAAGTTAGACTATTTACATCGCAACTCCATCATGCAGCAATGCCAGGTGGGTTGGTTACATTTGAGGACACTTCCTGCTTGAGGGCCTGATATTTCTCGATAAGACGTGCGCTCCTTCGACATCCAGAGATTCGCTGAATCTGTTTGGAATGCGTTCTCACTGATGGATGGTTAGTAGATGATGGACTGTTATGAATATGGTCTCCATCGCCGGTTTGTTTCCTCTTCCCATTGCCCATGAAGCGCGTCGGATGGCGAGAAGCCATATTGGAGAGGAGATAAGGGGTGGATTGGGTGTATTATATGATTGAGATGACCTGTCCGACAGATGATGAGGGGCTAATGCAGAACCTGTCACCTGCAGTTTCTTGGCAGGCAACAGTAAAATATGTTCTTGCTGGCACTTCATTGCCCGCAAGATTGTTGTCTCGCGAGTATGGCTTGGTGGATTGCAACTCCAGGCTTTCTAACAAGGTGAAGGCGGAATAAATTGAAAGCTTGGAGAAAACCCGAGAGCCTCGGCCACCAATTAGCTTCATTTTCAAAGCCTTTGGGTAAAGCGTTAAATCAGAAATTGAACTGTGTTTGTCTTGATTAGTAATAACTTCCCCCGCCATCCAGCCATCCTCTACTACCAGCATGGCGCTGGTGTGAGAGAGCTCTTTTGCCCCAGTGGCCTAACACAATCAACTAAGGTTAATAGGTACATGTTGGGGGGATTGGGTTGGGTGATTCGTACCCTCTATACTGTGGGACGTCTAAGTCAACATAATGAACAATATGACTTCACACTTTCGCTCCGTCCTGCCCAGCTGCATGTTTCATGGCTCCTGCTAGAGTGTTGTGGCAGATGAATTCGCGAAACTATCAGTCCAACCACGACCAATCCCACCATTTCAAGAGACTGGTTCTATCCCAGACAGAAAGATAGCCGCAGCAAACTGACACAAGAGTGGATGAAGGAATAGACATCGACTGAAAGAGATACCGCCTTCGCAACATCGACTCGACACTGCTGTTAACGCAGCCAAAGCTGACGCTGATTATATATGGTTGGTGTTGAGATATCAATAGCCGCTCAAGAAAAAAAGCAATGCGGTGTTTAGCCGGCGGCCGAATATGTCTTTCTTCCCTACTATTCTAATCTCCCATCCGTGGCATTTTTGACTCGAAACAGCCCAAGAGATCCAACCTACCTGGAGGGTTAGCCGCGTTATTGGCTTCATGACGGGTGGTGTGCAGACAACTGTTGAAGATTGCCCCACTGCCACATTACTAGCGAACAAGCTCCAAAGGCCAGAGCAAGGCTATCATTTGACTATTATCCTCGATGGAGGATGCCTTGTTCCTAGATCGCCAGCATAGCAACTATGAAGATTAGATGGCTATTGACCAGCACAGCGACTACACAGCTGCCAATTAGATATCGACATCTTGATATCTCTGATGTTGTCAATGCGCGGCATCCGCGCCCAGCTCGCAATTAGAAAGATGGGAATTGTTTACTCCGATGGGATCAGGCATTGAGAGCTCTTTGTGCTCCCAATATCTTCTGACAGACGGAACTTTGCATTCAAAAGTCGTGAATTATTATTTATTTACATGATTAGATATAACCGAAAATTAGAGCCATTGACGCATGATTAAGTTTTCATTTCAACACTCCCGAATCATGGGAAATTTTGCAAAATTCATAACCCCAGGGCCTTCAGAATCTCCGTCCCCACAGCGGTGGCACTAGCTGGGTTCTGTCCAGTGATCAAAGGAGCGCCAGTCGCAGCCACTTTGGCAACGACGACTTTCTCCCCCCAAGGCAAATCAGCCTTTACGTATCCACCATTTGATATTTTATTCATCTCGGTTTCAAGTGCATATGGCAGGTATTGGGACATTTTGACCTGATCCTCCTCCTCGTTCGAAAATCCGGTCGCCTGTGCTTCCGCAAGTACAGGCTTCCCACCAGCAGTTGCCTTTAGAAAGACAGCAGGGCCATGGCACACGGCGGATACAACTTTCCGCGCTTCCGCAAATTCCTTAATTAGGCGGAGGGAGTCTGCATCTTCATATAGATCAAATAGGGCTAAGTATTTGGGAAACCAATATTAGTTGGCCTATAGGTCGAGAATGAAACCAGACGAAACAGACAGGGAAAACGAAAGGAAGGCTGGGAAGGAAACATGGAAGACTTACGTCCATGACCACCAACATAGAAGATGGCATCGAAATCGCTGGATTTGACATCGGAGAGCTTCACAGTGTTGTGCCAGATACTCTCGTTTTCCTTCAGAAAAGCGGAAGATACAGCATCGCCGGCGAAGGCCGTGACAGAGGCAGGATCTAGAGGAGCTGGCCCTCCTTTTGGAGAGGCAATGACGAGATCGACCTTTCCCTTGAGAACCTCGTAGGGATGAGCTAATTCGGGCTGTTAAAAGAGGTCAGAATTGAATCATTGCATATCGAAAAGAGGGGCCCATACCAAGTACCAACCGGTAGGATTACCAGTGGCAGGAATTTTGTCCTGCGATGTGAGAACGAAGAGCACTTTTGGGGCCATTTTGAACAAGTTGTGTGCGGGTTTGCGGAGGGGACTGTTGATTGTAGAAGAATCGAGGTTTGAGAATACAAGAAGCTGTTGCCCGCAACGCCACTTATACAGGACGCACACTCGATGCCGCCCTGTAAGGCTTCCCAAGTACGATTCGACAATTGAATTTCATATTATATCATCTACGAGCATATGTGCAGATTTAATTTACTTAACTCCCAAATACCCCACCATTGATTGCTTGTCCCATTGTTTTCCCCTCTCGATCCCGATCTTGGTTCGCCTCCGAGACTCCGGCTGATGTCACGATGACATGGTTGTCTAGTTAGTTAATGTGATAGTCAGCCAATTGCATGGCAATTGCATGGCACTAACCTAGGCGAAGGAACTCCACACTTCACCCAGTGCTCTGGAGGAAATTTACCAACGGGAGATGCTCCAGCTTTTTGATGCTCCATCCAAACTCTTTTTCGTCAGCCAGAGATGTTGAAATAGCCTTCCCGCCAAGGCTGACTCACCCATTGTTACTGTGCATTGGTTAGTAATCGGCATTTGTGGATTTCCTCTTACCAATAGCAATGGCTTTTTTCCAGCAAAAGCCCACTTTTCTATAACGGAGTATCTCGTATCGCGCACCGGAAAATGGGATCCTCTGAGTTTAGACGGGCTGAGAAAGTGGGACGTTGCGAGATCTTTCTGCTCGACCCGACCATGTTTTTATGGTTGTCGTACCATATATATATATATATATGGGGAGGTAGAGCCTGGGCTTGAATGAAAGCTGTTCAGTGTAAAGGCTGCTATTTCGGTTTTCAATTCGATTGATCCTCCTCTCCTTCCCATATATTCATCTATAACGACGAAAACTTTGATCCTCAAGACCGTAAACGGCAATTTACTAAACATGAGCTTCACTTTCGACGTGCTCAAAGGCTCAAAGGACGGGAAACTTGTTGCAGCTAGGACAACTCGGGTTTTGCAGCCCAATGAGGTCTACGTTGAGATAACCCATACCGGAGTGTGCGGCACGGATGAGCATTACAGGCATGCAGACCAGGTTCTAGGTCATGAAGGTATCGGGATTGTGAGGCAGGCGGGGTCTGGCGTTACCAATGTGAAAGTCGGAGATAGAGTTGGTCTCGGATACTTCCGCAAGGTCTGCGGACTTTGCCCAAGCTGCTTGGAAGGTGAGATAAGCCTGTGAAGAGAAGTTCCCTAAGCTCGTACTGGCCGAAATGTCTAATGAGAGGACGATGTTCAGGTTGGGACCAGTATTGCGAGAAGAAAAGAGAATATGGCACCTCTGATTTCGATATTGGGACTTTCGCCCATGGGGCTGTGTGGAACTCTGACTGTGTCTTTCGTATACCTGATGGTATTGACTCAGTTGACGCCGCTCCCTTGATGTGCGCTGGCGGAACGGTATGGACCATCTTGTCAGAATATGGAGTGCGGCCAACAGATCGTGTTGGGATCCTTGGTGTCGGAGGCCTCGGACACATGGCCATCAAGCTCGCTGCCGCCATTGGTAGCCATGTGGTAGTTTTGTCGAGCAGTGAAGCAAAGAGGCAGGAAGCTATGGACTACGGTGCCAGCGAGTACCATGTATTCCGTGCGGGACAGCCCATGGAGGGATTGAAGCCCTTGAAGCACCTCCTGCTCTGTGGGAATGCTGGGGTTGATTTTAACTCGTATGGACTGCCTTTTAATATTCTTTCAGCTGCACTGATTTTGTTGAACGTTATCTGACGATCCTTCAATTAGGCTCATTCCTTTGATGGATAAACGAGGCACCATATACCCAATTACAGTCAACCTCAACCCATCCTCCATTCCACTGTTTCCTGTGCTTCAAAACGGAATTCGCATTCAAGGGTCGCTGGTTTCTTCACGCCGGAGTATGCATCAACTGCTCAAGCTTTGTGCAGCTAAGGGCATCGGACCTACCACAATGCAGTTCCCCTTGACTCTAGCTGGCGCGGAGGATGCAATGAAAAATCTCAGGGAAGGAAAGATCAGATACAGAGCTGTTCTTGTCCGCGAAGGCATTTGAGTTGAGAGGCACAAATGAAGTGGAATGGAATTGGCCATGCAACTTTGATTTTCTTAAAAAGCAATTACACTAGGAACGCTAATAATAGATACTATATCGAATTGCGAATCGCGGAATCCATGAATATAAATTCAAGATCTCAAATTGGTGTCCATTAAAATGTGATGAGAGAAGCTGACAAGGGGTGGAAAGGGGTTAGCTGTTGAACTGTCAAGTTGAAATGATCTGATATGATTCATCTATATTATACACATTTTTAGACATACACATCTCAATAGCCCATCTGGCTCTTTAAAAACACCATATCATCCTCCGAAGGAGGCCTCATCATCCATTCATCGAATATGAGCTCATACGAATTGGCCCTCACTTCCGGATCCCAAGTTAGTATTTTCCGTATGAACCTGAGAAACTGGTCTTTTTCCTCGCCAGGTGGGATTGAGGTGACAAAGTTCTCAAAAGAGGTTTCGGGGATGGGGGGTTCAGACACCCAGTCGCCTACATAGAGATCTTGAATAAGCTTAACTGTTTTTGTAGCGTAAATATCAAGGAAGGATTTACCAAATTCATCAAAATAGGCCGAAAAGAGTGGGCTTTTCCGAATCATCTCCAGCGGTGGAGGACCCAGAAATCCAATATACTGTGCCAGGGCTAATGGAAGAACATATTGGTTGTTAGCCGGGTCAATGGGGCTGAATAAATTCTTCCCTTCCATGAGTTCAAGTGTCTAGTTGTGTTTATAATTTAAGTTAGATATAGCTATGATGGAGTGTGATAGGTCCATGTCTACTGAGTACTGGTACTTACCATGACACCAATAGACCACACATCAACCGGATATTCCCAAGGCAGGCCCAAAAGGACCTCTGGGGCTCTATATAAATCGGGCATCCACCAATCCTGATTAATATGCCCTTCAGCAAGGCGCATTTGCCCAAAATCAGTAAGGACTGGGAGGCCTGAGAGCTCCAGCTTGGTAGATCGAGACCTGTAAACTGGAGCCACTCCATCAGTTGTAATTACAGGGATGCTTGGATCCAGCGCCTCTTGGTCCTCAATGTCCTTGAGGCTGCTATCATCCTCAAGTTGCATCAGGACATTCTGAGGTGAAATATCTGCTCAAAGTATCATCAGTCAAGTAGTGACAAAAGGCTCCACCACTACATTGAAAACCTACCGGTATGTATGACACCACAGGTTGAATGAAACCAATTGATAGAAAACCATAAGCGGTGTACGATGGATTTCACAAGAAGCTTAGGTAACATGGCATTTGGAAATGTCTCCTGTAACACGCGAATACTCTGGCCTTGGGGTTTTGAGGCGATGCAGTAGTGTCGTCGGCCACATGGGGCCCTATCGATTTCAAAGATATCATCTGCAAGACGAGTAAAGCCCACTCCGGGGAGGTCCCGCTGATCGGTCTCAGCGAATCGCTTCAAACGCTGCAGCATATTGATCTCATTAAGAATTGGGGAAGAGTCGGTATCTTGGCTGACACCCACTTTGAGTGAAGTGTACTGCTTTGCCCTAGAGAAGAAGTAAGCACCAGTAATCTCGTTCAGAAATGAATGGGATGGCAAACCTCTGGTCCCAGGCAAGCCAAACGGTGGAATACGCGCCGTATCCGAGTTTCGCAATAACCCGGTAACGGCCTTTGAATACCTCGCCAATTTTGACAGGATAATAATGCCTTTCGTGATATCGTGGTAAGTTCTGTTCTTCGATAGCTTCTCCAGCAGCCATGGTAAGGTTTTGTCGACAAAACGTCAGAGGTACTGGTTGGAAACGTGCTCGTGTGAGCCGCTGTAATGATCCAGTGAGAAGACGCATTTCGGAAAAGATTGATTGAGAGGTCTCCCTTGAAAATGAGAGTCGTCGTTGTTTTGTTTTGGCAGCGTTCAACCTGGTGCCAGCCGCCGCCAAGCCCCTTCGGGAGCCTCGCTTGTTCCCTTTCTACGGGAGTAGCCCCAAAAAAAAAGAAAAGAAAAGGGACCTTCCGCCGTAGTCTCCGGGATTTCAGAGGCCTTAGCCTTTTGCACTCTCGGTCTGCCTTGGGACCCTGCTCGTCCAAAATCAGAATGCTTTGCAATTCCCTTGGCTCGATGATAGTATTCTCGGGACTCTCCATTTGCCAGAACCCATGCAATGGTTGCCTCTGGCTGAACCCGGCTTCCTCAAGCCTGACAGTTTATCACTTGGTCCATCGCATCGTGATGCGTGCCTAACACGGTCTCGCGGCTCAGCGCTCGTGAGCTGACAGAATTAGCGATATATAATGGGGTGTGGCTTCCCTTCAATGTTTCAAAAATCATCTGTTCATTTTTATTCTACTTCTTACTTCTATAAAACATATCAAAGAGACTCCCTATGGCAGTTAGCAGGATCCAAAGTGCCACAGCAGAAGTGCTGATTGCAGTTCCCCTCCAGTTCCGAAACCTCATCTACCAAACCGCCGCCGGAAACAATCCCCATGTGAGTGATTTGTGCTCCTGTATTTTGATTCATAGCTGATGTTCTTTACAGGTTCAATTTCCATTCCAGGAGATTAGACTGATTCGGTAGGACATACGAGACTAAGCACCCATCTGTTCCGTTTATAATTAAAGTACTACAGAGGCACGCGCCCGCATCCACCCCACACTGATCTCGAAGAAGTCCGTAACTCGATCACGCTTCAGTTCAATGGTGCTCCCGAAGGTCCTATTGTAGCACACCTCTTCAATGACGGAACAATCAAAACTTCCCGCGAGATGCATGAGGAGAACAATCGAAGGGTGATTGCAGAAAATAGGTTGATTACCGAAGAAAATAAATTCCCTGCACTTCAACAGACAGCCGCACGAAAACAGGCTGTGACAAGAATGATGTCGAGAATCCAAGCTGCGAGGGTTGATTCCTCATTGAGTATCATTCAGAAACAGTTGGAGAAAGACAGTGCACAGCAAGAGTATAGGCTGTTTCTACAAAGCCAGGCTCAGGCAAGAGCGGCGACGGCCGTTGCGGCCAGTGAAAACTGAGGAATACATTTGGCGCAGCTTGTGTTTTACGTCTTTAATTGAAAAAAAAAAAACTCATGATATCATTTTTATCTGATTAAATCCGAGTTTACAGTTACATTTTATCTGGTTATAACTCTACCCAAGTACATCTTATATCCATTTCTTCAAGTGCTCCACGGACTTCAAAGCAGTAGCCAAATATTGCGCAGCCAATGAACTCAATCTCTTACTCCAGGCCACTGCTGTTCATGAAAATCAGGACACTTGCATACGTTTCACCAAAATAACTGCCATCTTGGCTTCTAGGCCCTGGCTACACGACATAGAGAGCCATTAAATAGAGGCTTGACAGGCTCAAGGCTATTGGGTCTTGGTATGGATCAGTGCAAGGGAGGATTACAGGTAAAAAAAGTTGCATACCTCACGCTAATGCCGGAAGTCTATCATCAGGGATGCTGTTATATTTTAAAAACTTGTTATTGGGAGTATGGGTTAAATGTGGAATCCTTGAAGCTGCAAGCTTTAGCAGGCACGAATTCTCAATTATTTGACACCCCAGTTTAGTTAGTTAGGCGTCCGTGTGATATACTTTAATACATCAATGGCACCCAGGAGACAATCGGCTTCTCCCAGACCAACTAACTTGACACCACTTTCTCATTCAAAACACACCCCCGTTGGCCTGTTCATGTAATAGTGATCAGATTACTGTTGGACATCTATCTACTGGAGTTATTATCCACTAGTCCGTACTAAGTTCATTGTGGTGCAAAAGTTCAACCACCATCAACACCACAATGAACTTTTGCACCATGCCATGATGCAATGCTAGCACCTCAGAGCTATTTTTCCAGCCCTGACGTATTTGACCACGGACTGGCGCACTAAGTCATGTGATATAAAACTCTATTTAATAGCCCCTTATGATTGGCTTGCTTAGCTTCACCATGTTACTAGACACCAACATAGAGGTGCAAGTTATGTCTAGATGTTGAACACAGGCTCTGTACAACTGGAGTAGAAAAGAAAGACGAGAAAAGAAAGAAAAGAAAAAAGATTGTACATATCAGAGAGAGCTATTCAAGAACTATAGAAGTAATAGGTGTTGAATCAGTTGTAAGCAGCTGCTGCCCAGAGGGACCCCATCCACCATTGAGTGTATGAGGTTGAAATTGCGCTTTTTTAATTGGCATTCTTCAAACTCGCTATATCACATGACTTAGTGCGCGAGGTCGTCATGTGCGCGAGTTCGTGGTGAAATGCGTTACGTACGCTACACACTTAACTGTTGGGGGGATTGGGTTGGGTGATTCGTGCCCTCTATGCCACCATGGCGCTGGTGGTGATTGAGCTCTTTTGCCCTAGTGGTCTAATATTAACTAACCAGTTAACTAACTAGTTACATATATTATCTAATACACTCTCATTCCTGCATCAGAGGATTAGATTAGATTAGGGGATTCGAATTAGGGTTAAGGATTAGAGCCTTGCAAAATAAGAAAAATCAGCATCATTGAGAGGGATCAAGAGATGTAGTGATGATGTGTGGATTTGTGTGGAGTATACACTAGTTCATAGAGTTTCAATGAAGTGAGGGTTTGTCAGCTTTTTTGCATCATGATGAACTTTTGCATTGACTTTGATATGGTGCAAGATTAGGACCTTACTAAGTGTATTGAATCTTCAGGCCACACCACCTGGGATTTGGGCTGTGAGTTAGTGGGCAGGGGCATTGGCTCCCTATCCTTTTCATTAAGAGATGGAACAGCAATACTTAATGCAAGTATCAGAATTTCAGCTTAAATTCTTAGCGCAAGTCAAAACTTTTTGCAGGAGCCTCTGTTCTCTGTGCACTACATGGATGTTGCTGTGATACAGTGGCCAATCAGATCATATTGTATTAGTGAATTTGTTCTATGTATGTGCAATAAAGGAGTGGAGTGTTGGAGGTCCTACACAAGCCCAATCCTTCCCTGATCCCCCACACACTAATATTCGCTTCGCTAGTTAGGCCACTGAGGCAAAAGAGCTCAATCACCACCAGCGCCATGCTGCTAGTAGAGGGGACGAACCAATCCAAACCCTCAACGATAGACAACAACCAACCAGGTTCAGCCTCACTTACTATGGACATGGAGGAACGTCATGTGATTTTGCGTCAGCCATGTCGCGTTCGGTAGTTAAGGGTTCGCGTTCAAACAACATCTTACATTCAAGTAATGTCGACACACGAAAAAGTGCCTTTGACCTGATGAATAGCCAATATGCCGGATACACAACTACAAGACGAGCAAAAGCTGTTCTCCCAGTGCAGGATTTGTATTATCTGTTCAAACATAAACGAACTTGAGAACACTGCCCAGGTAAAGGTCAGCATGTCACCCCTCGTCGCAAGTCGCTAACATCGGTTTAGCTATCAGCTGCCATCCAGAATCATGGGGGTGAGGTCACTCTCCACCGATTACCGGCATCGTTACCGTCCGTCCACGAATTTACTCATGTTGTGTCTTCCACCATTGATTTTCCTGGCCATGATGCAGCTTGCGACGCGTTGATCCCAGTAGTCAAACCCCAATGGGTGAATGCGTCAATTTCGAGAAACAAACTCGTAAACCCTCGAAATTATAACCCGGACCCAAGGCTCTTCCTAAATGATGTTGTTGTCTCTTGCGTGGATATTCCAGAGGGTGATCAGGATGCCATTTTTGGGGCGGTTTTGGCGATGGGAGGGCTTTCCAGCTACAAAATTACACGCACCACAACGCATCTGGTGGCTTTGTCCATGGACTCTGACAAATGCGCCAGTATTTTGAATAGAGGGCTAAATATCAAAATAGTTCTTCCCCATTGGTAAATACAATTTCCCCACCCAATTCTCAAGCTTAATGAATATTGTCCAACTTCCTACTTTAGGTTTGATGATTGTATTAAGTTAGGAAGGAGAATCGACGAGCGTCCCTATTTGTTGCCAGATCCAGAGATACTTCGTCTGCGCCATAGCGCTCCTGTGCGAATCACCGAAAATAAAAATATTATTGGCGCGTCAACACCTGAGCCAAAACTTCCCTCTCCTAAATCATTGCGCGAGGAAGTCCGGAGCGATCTAAACGTTTTCGAGGGAAAGACTGTAATGCTGTCGGAGGACCTAGAGATTGCTGCGCGCCTTCGCAATTGTCTTGAAGATTTGATTGTAGAGAGCGGTGGCCATGTTACAAACAATGTTCGACAGACCAACCTTTACATTTGTCGCTATCGTGAAGGGGAGGAGTACAGAGTGGCATCAAGACTTGGCAAAGACGTGGGAAATTTATCTTGGCTCTTTCATCTCATAACACATAATTCGTGGATCTCCCCGTTACGACGGCTCCTCCACTATCCACTCTCTAGGCATGGAATCCCAGGATTTGATGGCTTCAAGATCAGTCTGTCCAATTACGCTGGGGAGGCGCGGATATATCTGGAAAATTTAATCGCTGCTGCCGGTGCTGAGTGCACGAAAACACTAAAACAGGACAATACCCACTTGATCACGGCCCACGGCACAAGTGAAAAATGCACCGCAGCAAAGGAGTGGAATATTCACGTTATCAATCACCTCTGGCTCGAAGAGAGCTACGCTAAGTGGCAGCTCCAAACAGTTACAGACCCTCGCTACACACATTTCCCGCATCGGACCAACCTAGGAGAAATCGTTGGCCAAACTAAAATTGATCGGTTTGCCATTGAAGAACATTTCTTCCCCGAAGATATTGCGGTTCCGCATGGGAAAGCCCCATCCGCAGTCATGCGCCCGAAGGATAACAATCTTTCAAGCAATCGTGATTCAGAAGTCTTAGAACCTATCAAGGAAAATACAACCCATCCGGCTCGTACGAAAGGAACTCCCAGGGCATCCAAACGCAACCAATCTTTAATCGGGGTTCGGGGCGCCCATCTTCAGACCCCACGGGTTTCGAAATTCATTGCAGAAGGCAAGGAGAACGCTACCCCTTCAACGACGGGAAGTCGAAAATCCAAAGATGTAGCCGCGGCACGATTACAAGAAATTGCGCCAGATATCGCTCTATACGAGAAGGAAAAAAAACGTGCTGGTGGGGTTATTTATGGTGGTCGCAGGAGGAGCGATCCTAATGATAAAGTTATTTCTCGCAAGAGGTCCATAGATCCGCAAGATGAAACAGACGCCGAAGATACAAATGGTGTCAAAAAGCTGAAGCAGGCACCGGTTCCTATTGTTATGCATCTTTTGCTCACTGGCTATCGAAAATGGGTGGGGGATCTAAAATCGGAGGAGTCAGACAGAGTTTGTGGCATCCTTCCTTCGGGTGGTGTTAGGATGGTAACGAGTTATCAACGGGATCTGTTTCAGCTAACCACTCAAATTTACACAGCGTAAACTACGCAATCTAGGTATCCATATTGTTCAAGACGCGAGTAAATGTACACATCTAGCCGCCCCTTCTGTCTTGCGAACGCATAAATTTGTCAATGCCATTGCCTACGCACCCGTTATCCTCAATGCAGATTTCGTAGCCGCGTGCCTCGAGCAGAACCAATTATTGAACCCGAACGAATTCCTTCTACGGGACCCTAGGTCTGAGAAGAAATATAACTTCTCATTAGAGAAAGCTAGGCTTAAAGCGCTTGAAAACAAGAACCAACTGCTCGATGGCAGGATAATATACTGCGTTGAAACCATTCCTGGTGGCTTTGACGCATTCAAATCCATCATCGAAACCAATGGTGGCCAATGTTTTCTGTTCCGTGGTCGATCTGGTATCACTTTGCCAAATCGACGTCGCAGTGGTGAAAACAAGGAAAACGACGGGGCGCCAAGTTTTGATGAAATATATCTAATCAGCGGCACTGAAAAAAACCACGTGAGATTATGGCCCAAGTTCAGGAACATGGTGTTGAGTGCGAAGAAGATTCCCAAGATTGTTCGTCCGGATTGGTTATTGAATATTGCCATGGCGCAGGAATGGCGGATGGACGATTCTCTAGAACTGGTTGAAGATGTTCAGATGACCGACACTTAGTTTGCATGATTTCGATAATGTGTGGCACAATATATAGCGTATGCCCGTGTGAATAGTTTGGGCGTGGCAAGGCGTTATCTTTGTTTTTTGTTTCTGTGGTGGTTTCGCATGGAAAGCGATGTAGCATTTTTCAATTTCGTCAGGATTTCTGCAGCTTGTATTTTTTTGCTCTATATTCTTTTCCATAAGGCAAGCTTATGTTGGGCATTTCCAGCTCTCCTGTTCGTAGCTTTTGTAACGTTAAGCGGGGTCGAGATATATCTCCTTGCAACATGATGGATAACGGGCGCGCGTGTTGTTTCTACCTCACGACGCATGGCAACTCTCAGAAGAATTTAACGCCCTGTGAATCTTCGCTGCCAAATACTTGCGCTTTACCTCTCTTGACTAGAACATTAAGCGACTTCGATAGAACGTCGGGATCCATGCCATGGAATTCTAGAGAATTTCACTTGAAATGAGCATACTGATCAGACCTGATTCTAAGGCTCGAAGCGGTTTATAGAACAGGGAAAAGAAAATAACAGACCTTGCGAAACTGTGGCCTCCCCTTCCATCAGCTCATAAAGCGTAAGGACAGTATTTTTCTGGGCAGTTTCTTCCACCTATGAGTAACATCACGTAATTAGCGAACACCGAATCCCCAAACGGGTTCCAAAAAGGGAGAGGCTCAGGAGACAACAACGAGAGCATACCCAATCCGCCAAAACACTGGCCCATTCTTCAGGTGTCCTCCACCATATCCATGCCACCGCCTTTCCCCCAGACTCTCCACCAACCCATTCGGCCCTTCGACCACCTCCTTCTCCACGAACCATCCAATCAACAACAGTCCTTGCATCTGCCAGACTAAGCCGCCTATGTATATCCGCATTATGGAAAAGTGGAGAGTCAATGGTATCTATGAGTGAGAGGCGATAGAGGCGATGATGACGGCACCAGGACTGGATTAACGCCGACCATTTTTGGAACTGAGACAGGCGGGTTGTGGTGTTTGGTTGGAGGGTGAAGAAAGGCGGGAAAGAGTAGGTTGCAGGGAATTTGAAGGGCGGTGTTGTTGACGCTTCGGATGCATCTGCGGGTGCTGTTGATGGTACCGGGGTAGATGGCGATGAGGATGTGGTGATGAAGGGAGAGAGATGTTCTGTCGTTAAGTCGCCAGGAGTGGTTGGGAGGAGGATGGGGCTGGAGGGCTGGGGCGGGGAGGATGTGGACATGATCAAACTCCGCACATCGGGAACGACGGGGCGCAGATGCGTCTATCGCTTGTCGGACTTAGTTACAAAGGGACGGGACATATGCGGGGATGTAGATTCCAAAAGAGGTGAAGATGTAGATCCAATCAGATAAGAAACGCACCACGTGACAACTAACTACAAGATCAACACCCAAGATAAGATTTCATGATGACCACCGATGCTATATTCCGGATAGCCAAGCGGGATGCAGGGTCCGGGTTCAATTGGCCTGATTCCTAGGATTAGAATATATCAGAAGCTATATCCATATTTCAACGCTTCTATCTACCGAAAATCACCCATCTCCGCTGCGGGCTCCTCCTTCCATTGTTGCGGGGAGAAATCTTTTTTTTGGGCTATGCAAAAGCGCGGAGACAAATCGCAGAAATAACACTGGAAATGGCATCCATGCAACCTAGCAAGCGCCAGAAGCGCAGGGAGTACCGCGAAACTCAAGAACAACAGATTCGGAGTGGCGAGGTCCAGCTCCCCAAGAAAAGACTATACCGGCAGCGGGCTCATGCGAACCCGTTTTCAGATCATCGATTATCATAGTAAGTAGCCTACCAAAAATCTCACGAGGCGCAAAACTTCAATGCTGGGGGAGGCTGACCTATTTAATCTACCTATCCAGCCCAATCAGCCCAGCGCATATGGATTGGTCAACGCATTACCCTGCGTTTGTAGTCCCAAATCCGAATAATGTGAATTTGAGCGGCACACGGCGCCTAACAAAAGATGTGGAAATAGCGGATATTGGATGCGGGTTTGGAGGGCTGCTAGTCGCCCTGGCCCCCTTAATGCCTGATACATTGATGGTTGGTGAGTATCTCGCATTCGAATAAAACCAAGTTGCACACCGTTCAGTCCTAACAGTAATGGCACAGGTATGGAGCTCCGCGCTCAAGTCCTCGAGTACGTGACGGACCGCATTCGCGCGCTCCGCGCACAACGTCCCGCTCCTCCCTTGCCCACCGAGCACACACCATCAACGCCTCCAGCACAACTACCCTCAAATTCTCCACCAACAGCAGCTGTTCCTGCGGACCCATCGCCGCAATCCCAATCACAGCCACTCTCTCCGGACCCGCCCTCATTGTCGCCGTCGTCACAAGCGAGCTACCAAAATATCTCCGCGATACGCACAAACACCATGAAATTCCTGCCGAATTTCTTCACCCGCCACCAACTATCTGCTATTTTCATTTGCTTCCCAGATCCGCATTTTAAAACCCGCAAGCACAAGGCGCGGATTGTGTCGTCATCGCTAAACGCGGAGTACGCATATGTTCTCCGGCCGGGTGGGAAGCTGTATACAATCACCGATGTGGAGGAGTTGCATAGGTGGATGGTCAGCCATTTTGATGTTGGGGATGGGGACGAAGAGGGGGCGGGGGAGGAGGGGCAGATAAACACTGTGAAAGAGCTATTTGAGAGAGTTGGCGATGACGAGTTAGAGCAAGATCCGTGCGTTAGGATTATGATGGAGGAGACGGAGGAAGGGAAGAAAGTCACAAGAAATAACGGCAAGAAATATGTCGCAGTATGGAGGAGAATGGAGGATCCGCAATGGCCATGACGTGCCAAGACCATCATCGGCAGTTTTGCACATATTTGAAAAATGAAGATACCGTGTTTTAAGGCCATTTTGAAGAAAGATGGTGCAAGCTTCGATTTTGACTTAAATAGACACACTTAAGAACGGGTGGCTGCGACTGCAAACCCCGGAAAAAGGAGCCTCTTTGATAATTCAGTACCGTTGAAACAAGCAGCATCAAGGACGAATCCCGTTGATACTTGAAATTTCAGGCACGAACTCTTGGTGAATGAGCAATACAAGAACTGGCAACAATGATAGCTATATATAAAAAAAAAACATTGTCAAAATTCCCACAATTATATCCATCAAAATTAAATCTGTTCGCAGCCACCACCTCCTGTATCATATTCACATAGCGCCAAAGATTGGAGCTCAGCTTTAGAAAATGACAAACAAAACTAATGACAGCACGCGAAGAACACAAAGCAAACCCAGAAATCAAGAAGACCGAATACATCCCCTTCAAAAAACAACGCTCACGATGATAGTCATGCTAATTCATCAGAAGGACCCAAAATTCATACCGATTTGCGCTCAGCATGGCGCAGGGTTTCAGAGCAGAACAGAGCCAACAATCTTCCCCAAGCAGGGTGTCTGTCGACAAGGCTGCTTTAACCTTCGAACCAAGATTTTTGTATTCCGCAGCGGTTGTGTTGACCTAGAAAAAAAAAAGAAGAAGAAGAAGAAAAATTCATCAAAAGGTAATTAAGCCTTCAGTCTTCGGCCCTCGCAAGTTTCGCACACAGCTGCGTCGGTGGAGCCAATAATCGGTCGCCCGTTCTTCGTGAATCTCTGTTTCCCTTCCCTGACGAAAAAGCGCCCTTCAGGCCCGAAGCTGCCGCTACACTCGCTGCACACGAAACACTTCTCATGCCACTCCCCACCCAGAGCAGTGACCACAAGATCGTCGAGCACAAGCTGCTTGCACCCCTGACAGCGGGAGGCAGTTCGCTTAGAATGACAACGGACGCACCACGCATATCCAGCATGTTCCACGAACGGGGTAGTCGGTGTGAAGGGGTCACCGCATTCGGCACAAAAGAAGTGCCCGACATGCCACTCCGCCCCACATGCGACGACAACCTCGCCTTCTATAGGCGTCTTGCAGCTCTTGCACCGTGGGCTGAAAAGCTCGTGGAAATCTAGGTGGCAGTAGAATCTCAGAGCATTGGCTTCTTCGTCGTTGGAGTCGGCATCCGCGAGCCTTTCGGCTCGTTTACCTTCAGGTTCCTGGTAGAAGGCGACACACTCAAGTGGGGTGTGGCAATGATGACATGAAAAACATTCAGCATGGAAACGGGATCCACAGGCCGTTACGATGCGGCCGGCTATGGGTAGCCCGCAAGCGGAGCAGGAAGCGGTCGGAACGCCAGTTCGGGTATAAGGAGTATACCAGCGGTTTGTAGACGAACCTCTCGAATTCCTCTGGTTCTGCTTCCCATTTTGGCTCGCGCTGGGGTTTGGTAATGGTCGGGGCTTCTCCTCCGCAGCCTTCATCTCAGCAATTGTTGGGGCCCCGGAGGATGAGACGGTTAACGCCGCTGAATCGTCTCCGCAAACGTTGATGACTGGAGCTGGAGGATCATCCGAAACTTTGATAGCGGGTACCACATTCCCTGGAGGAGGTGTAACCTCTACGGCTGGTTCCTTTATGGATCCAACAAGGCTATTTCGGGGAGAGTCTCTGGGAGAATTGCTCTGCGATTTGATTCTCCAAGATGGGTCGAAGCTCACAATTGGACGGCCAGGACGATCACTAACAACGGTTGGCATAGGTAGTTTACTACTACGATCCTTGAGTCGCATGCTCGTTGCTGCGCGGATGTCGTCACCACGGATTTCTTTACCATCTTTAGTTTGGAGCGTGTCATCACCCTTTGGGTTACTATTGGCAGTGGGTGAGGGAGATGGATTTTCTGTATAAACAGGATTCCTCGCTTGTGACGGTGGGTTCTTATGAATGTCGAATACAGATTTCTTGCTCTCAGGAGGGTATTTCTTGGGAAATGGTCGAGTGCCTCGAGGCAACGAATTTCGAGGCTTAACTTTCAAAGCTGAGCTCGGTGGTGCAGTGTCCGTGGTCTCAACATTATTTGGTGCCCCGTCCTCCTGTGGTTCCTCGTATATTTGATCTTCTGGATTTCGGAAAATGCCCTTCGCTGAATCGTTACTGGCAATCCTCGTCCTCGGACTGGCTTTCCTCTGTACGACTGTCTTTGGGGAATTGGAATTATCCGTTTCCAAGGCAAAATTAACCCTCGGTTTTTGGGTCAGAGTTCCGTTTTTTGTGACCGAGATGGTTTCATTATCCTCTGGAACTTCGACTATCTTTGGCGAAAGATTGGACCCGGTTGGGTCCACACGCCTTTGGAACTCGGGGCTTTCTCTGCCTGTACGACCCCCGTTCGATGAGCTATCCGATGCAGATCTGTGGCTTCTTGACTGGGAAACACACTGACTCCGTTCTTCAGAGGTATTCATACTCTGACTTCGTGCATACGCGCCTTTTTTCAGATGCTGACGAAATTGATTGGTGGCAATTAGGTCAGGGTTCAGGTAGGGAGCATGTGGATTAAGCTTTGGAAAGCCGGAGGTCTGGTGACTGAATACCAATTGCGTAGCTTCCTCCTGGGCTGCAGCATGCAACCGCTTTTCATCATCTCGGAAGTCCATTTCTTCCAAAGCTTGCCGTAACGACCGTGCTTCCTCCCGTTCCATCCATCTCTGGCCCCGTACTCTGTATGTTCCCGTCGTCGACCTAACACTCGCTGCTGGAGAGAGACTTCTTGATAAATCATACGATTGTTCCGGCTCTTCTTCCAACGATTGTTCAGTAGATACACTTCCATTGGAAAGTGTTGAGTTTTTTCTGTGGTGTGATAGAGCACTCGCTGAGCGCTGATAGGGCTCGAGGGAGCAAACACGATGGTTTTCTGAGTCAATGTTCATGGAAAGTGCTGACGATGCACGGGGCGGTAGATCGCTCCTGAGTCTTTGGCTCGATGAGATGTCCTTGGTAGGAAAGGGTCGAGATCCATTGGGACGGGGGGGCCTATTGGTTCGTAGGTCCTTCAGATACGTCGCTATTTGGTAAGAAACAGGTTAGCATTCGTGGCTAGGTAGCTCCTTAACTGGAGCGTAGGGGACATGCGAAGATATAAACAACCGCTATCTCATGTGGATACAATGCCCATAGCTATGGTAAGCTGGGAGGGGAACGAGAATGAAGGACTACCGACCAATCTGTTCCTCATTCATGTAACTTGGCCCTGGAGGTGAGACTTTTCGGGTCCCGTGTTTGGACCTTGAGTGTATCATGGTTGCTGGTAGTCTTCACTGATAGTTGCCCTTAATAGGGTGAGACCAGATTATACTAAACAATGACGATATTGGGAACTATTGAAGGCGTAATGGTGGTTTATAATATATGGCTGGCTGACTGGGAGATGAAGAGAACAGCGCTTGGTTGGTAGAGTAAAGCTCCGCAGAGAGCAAATATATATAATTGTTGAATATGAAGGTTGTTGATGTAGGTAGCAATGTTTATGGATAACGCTATGGTAAGACAGCTGTAGGAACGCCAACCTGTATTTATGTGTTTCGTCTTCCGCCGTCCTCCTCGCCCTGTCTCCAATCCAATCTCACAATTTCCTTCTTGGGGCGTCGTATCAACAAACGCCATGTCATGTATCACGTGACCAGTCGCTTGGACAACGCAGAGCCCCATCACGGTCCAGGCTTGTTTGAAGAACTTCTGCAGTCGGCTTCGCAGGTAGCCAGATGTAGGATGCAAGACGGTAGTCATGATCGCGAAGCCGTTTGAGATGGCTCTCGTGGGGTCTTATCTTGCATTCAGTCGCCTTGTAGTCCCGGAGAGGACCAGCACGCTGCTGGTCCTCAGGCCCCTCGACAGACCTACAAGCTTCTCAAAACTGCATCTCAAAGAATCTCAGCGCCCAAATAGCAATCAAATCAGCTAACGAAGAATTTTTCTTCGCTGGGACTGAACGCCCGAGCAGGATCAGTACTAACTGATTATTTGCAGCGCATCAAGTATTACCACCCACACCCGCTCCCTCATCTTCATGAATCTCGGCCAGTAGACTTCTTATCAACTGAAGAACAAGCCCATTTCACGCCGATATGGTGACTGAGTGTGGGTTGAACAATACACATCCCAACGGCAACGATTGATTCTTAGACACTAACAAAACAACCTGCCGTCTAGTGCTCAACATCGAGTTGATGAAGGACAATGCTCTTCTTGTTCAAGGGATTGAGCAGCAGACAACCCATTGTTTAACATTCGGGGTATCGCCGTATCATTATTTTCTATATCATCATCCCACTCTAAAAATTGCTCCTCCGCAGTTGTTTTGGCTCAGCTTTCCCCGCAATCGGAAGTAACCCCAAACAATCACCAGATTCTTTACCGTTGGAATCGGCGTCGCTACTGGCCAGTGGCCAATGCGGGCAATCTTGCTTCGTATCATTTCATGGAGCCGGCTAACTTTGCCAATACCCCACATCACCAAACTTCCGTTCTCCGAAAAGCCGGTGCCGGAAATCCTCCGCATTGGCCTAGGCACGGAAAAAATTACTCATTACGGTAGCCGTCATGATGGGACTTGATCCCTTTGATATTTTCACGCTCCGCTCTTGCGCATTGCGTTGGAATTGTCTGGAACCAAGCCGGCTATTTTCTTACAATATCCACCAATATTTTCTGCTTCAAATGTCAATCCTCCGAGTTCAAACTAATTTTCTCCATACAGTGGTTGTTTTTGCCCACTGTTGGGTTTTTTTCACTTCCGAAAGACCCATATCTCACCTCATTGAATTCCGCATGAAACACTGTATTGGCGGGTTGGATTTAAGAATTTAGCATTCACTTTGACCAATCTACTGGGGATATGACCCAGTAGAGTAATGGCGAATCATTCTTCAAGAGAAATCGCGACTGAAGTTATTTCGCATCAAGCCGCTGCGGAGTCTCTGCCAAGTAAGAACGGATCGCCAGCAGAAAAGGTTCCTGAGAACGATATCAGCCAGCAATCCGAAGAATGGGTAGACGAGAAACCTCCAGAGGATGTGCCGCCAGATGGCGGCTATGGATGGGTGTGCGTAGCTTGTTCAGCATGGATTAACGGAAACACATGGGGTGTTAATAGCGTAAGTTGAAATATTGTTTCCCTTGCCAATATTTTCGTCTTGAAATTCTGTAGGTGAAATGATAAATCAAAGGACTCATTGGCTTCTCTAATTTCCTGAACTAGTCATATGCTGTCTTCTTATCATATTACTTGTCCAATGACATTTTCCCCGACGCCAGCGACATCACCTACGCTTTCACGGGCGGCCTAAGCATGTCATGTTGCCTCCTGATCGCTCCCTTAGTAACACACATGGTTCACCTTTTTGGCAATCGACTCATTCTCAACATAGGAGCTGTGCTCCAAACAATCTCGTTTATCAGTGCCTCCTTTGCTAAACAGCAATGGCAACTATTTCTGAGCCAGGGTGTCTGTTTCGGGTTCGGTATGGGCTTCCTGTTTATTGGATCCGTGGGCGTTACTTCGCAGTGGTTTCTCCGCAAACGAAGCATTGCGACGTCCATTGCAGCTGCAGGCTCCGGTGTTGGCGGATTAACCTATTCTCTCGCCACGGGCTCAATGATATCCCGTTTCGGACTTGGGTGGACATTTCGCATCCTCGGTATTATCACATTTGTGGTCAATATCATCGCAGCCAATCTGATCCGAGACCGAAACAAAGCTACTAGATCCCAATACAAAGCGTTTCATTTCCCTCTGCTCAAACGACCCGAATTCCTCCTATTACAGGCATGGGGTTTCTTAAGCTTGCTAGGATACGTCGTGATACTCTTCAGCCTCCCCAACTTTGCACTATCAATCGGACTCACCGCACACCAAGGGAGTATTGTTGGCGCCGTCCTTAACCTTGGACAAGGCCTTGGTCGCCCAATTGTTGGTTTGCTCAGTGATCGTTATGGTCGTCTCAACATAGCCACCATTATCTCACTTTTCTGTGGTGTATTCTGCGTAGCCGTCTGGACCCCAACTCAGAGCATGGGTCTGCTATGTTTCTTTGCAATCATCGTGGGGACTGTAGCAGGCACATTCTGGACCACGGTTGTTCCAGTGTGTGCTGAAGTTATCGGTCTCCAAATGCTCCCCAGCGGATTGAGCATTATCTGGGTGCTCATGGTTCCTCCCACGACTGTTTCGGAGCCAATCGTAGTTCTCTTGAAAGATGATTCGAAGGGCAACCGTGCTTATCTATACGCCCAGATTTTTGCAGGACTCGCATATATTGTTGGTGCCTTATGTTTGTCTGTCGTACGTAGCTGGAAAATTGGCGATAATTTCGTTGCTGCAGAGAGAAAAGCGGCCGCGGAAGCCGCCAATGCTGCGAAGGCGGTGAAAATTAATCCAAGCTCACATCATGCGACAGTTACTTCCACAGATGATAGAACCTGTATACCTGGAGAGAAGCCTCATCAATCAAGCCAGCCGGCGCTGCCACCACGAGAATCGTCCTCAGGCACTATCACTCCTGCCTCTGACACGAGTGCATGGAACCCTACCGTTCTTCTCTGCAGGATGGTCACATGGGAGCATGTGTGACAATCGAGTTTTAGAGATCCGCAAAGAGCAAGCCGCTAGACTCACGTTCCTTCAAATCTCTCCCAAGTTCTTACTTGTCGAGGAAACATAGACAGCATAGTATTTTTGCTATGAAGCGATTGATTTATGCCTAAATCACGTAGCATTGCAGTTTTGAAAAATTCCTACCTAATTTGGAAACCGGAATTCGACACAGAAGGATATATATACCGTAAATACACTTATTTCAAAAATAATTTTTTAAAAAATATTAGGACTTACAGAATTAGCGTAAAAGACATCAAAAAATGGGTTTAAATACTTTGCTTTCATTATTTTCAAAATTATCCGGTATGGCAATGCATACCTTGATTGGATAATTTGTCGACTCTTTCAGAGTAGATGGGAATGCAAGCTCTCTTAAGCGAAATTCCATTCTATCCGCCTTTCGACGTCACACGAACAATCTAAACTAAGCTTTGCCCAGAATTAATATTCGAACCCTCCTCTTTCCAGCCCCACGGCCCCCTTCCTCTTTCACGGAGCTCACATTAACTTTAACTTTGTCAAACAAGTCGACCACCACGCCATTCTTCGGATTCCAACCAGCTCCACTCTCACCGTCTCGTTCCCAAACCTTCAACGAATACTCCTCCGCATCGAACTCACTTTCCCGCCTAGGAGCAACCTGTTTCCCCTCACCCGGCTGAGTTCCAGAGATGATGAAATCCTCTAGCCTCACAACGCCCTCGATGCCAAATCGCGGTACGAAAACAACAACTCCGTTGTCAAACACGCGCATGACATACCCTTCTTCATCTATCCCCGCATTCGTCCCCACACCTGCCCCAAGCTTAGACGCCTCTTGTTCGCCGCGCGCTTTGAGCGCTTGTCCAACATAGTATTCTATACTTGCGCGGCCAGCAAGCTGTGCATTACGATGGCGATGGTTGATATTCTTGCAAATATCCTCTAGGCGGCTCCGGGCAGCCAGTCCTTCGGCTGGAGAGGCGCCGAGTCCTTCGTAGCCGATTGCAGCAGCTAATTGGCGGTGGACGACCAAATCTGCGTACCGCCGAATGGGGGAGGTGAAATGGGTGTAAATTGACGAGGCAAGGCCGTAGTGGCGGAATTCGGACTCCGCGTGAGCCCCTGCGCAGAAGTATTCTGCAGACGTCATACATCTGGTGGCAAGGATACGAACCAGGGTGTTGAAGAATGGATTGGCTGGGTCAACACAACGATCAAGGGACCTTGCCAGAGCAAGGGAGCTGGATACGTCGAGGGTCATGTTGCGCTTTTTCGAGAGTTGAGCGATCAATTCTTCAAAATTTGAGGGTGGTGGAGTGGCGTGGCGCCGAAGAAGTGCTGTTTGCGGGAAGGACTTGAAGATTTTGGAAGCGACCGTTGTATTAGCGTGAAGCATGAATTCCTCAACAAGGCTGTTTGTGTCCAAAAGGGCTTTGGTTTTCACATCTGCCACGGGGTCTGATAATTCCGAATCGGTTTCTATGCGGACTTCTGGGGATGCTAAGTTAAGCGCTCCCGCGTCCATCCGCTTTTGTTTGAGTAATTTGGAAAGTTTTAGAAGTAACCTCATACTCTCCGTTAATTCATCTGTTTTTGATTTATCATCAATACGTAATTGGGCTTGTTCGTAGCTGAAAGCTTCTCTGGATAAAATAACAGATTTTGTACAAATTGAGGACACAACCTCAGCAGAAGGAGTCATTTCCCAGATAGTGGAGAAGGCATATCGTTGGACATGGGGCTTTAGTGAGCAGAGATCGGTTCCCAAAAGCATAGGTAACATATCGATGCGTTTGTCTACGAGATATACTGTCGTGCCTCGCATGCTCGCTTCGGTATCCATAGGGGTATTTGGCTTGACAAAATGAGAGACATCGGCGATATGGACACCGACCTCAAAATTCCCGTTGGGGAGTGGCCGAGCATGGAGTGCATCATCTATATCCTGACAGCCTGGGGGGTCGATACTGCACACCAGTAAATCTCGTAGGTCTTTACGATCGCGCCAACCAGGATCATCCATATTTTGCGGAACCTTCCAGTTATGGCCCTCCGGGGGAAGGCAGTCAAGGACCACTTGTGGGAACGGTCTATATTGAACATCATACTCGAGAAGAAGAGCTTCTGTCTCGGCACCCTTAGTTTCCAACTCTCCTAAAGATCGTACAAAATGACCCGTTGGGTATCTGGAATCGCGATTCCACGCATCAACTGTAACGAGTATCCTTTGACCAAAAAGATCTTGTGCTTGTCTCGTGCGTATCCGAATTTTAGGTATCCGTTTATCCATGGGTATGACAAAAACGGTTTGTTGTCGTCTGCTAGATTGGACCTGGGACGCTGTGGATATCTTATCGATGTTTCCAACATACTGGCGCCAATTCCTCTTGACTATTCCTACCACACGAGCTGTTGGCTGGGGTCTTCCCTCCGAGGTCTTTCCGTGAGCTCTTCTAACTTCTTCCTGTAATGCTCTTCTCTCCTTTTCCGAAACCACAACTTCTTTCTCGTCATATTCAGCATTTTCATCTTTAGTGACTGTCTCCTCATCAATGATTTTTGTCGACGGAGCTTTCCATTGATCTTTCGGAAGGACTTCGACTACCACTATATCTCCTGCAATCGCCCGATTGCTGTTGTCCCGACCAAGTATTAGAAGGGACTTGTCAAATGCTGCTACCTGCACCGACCCCTCGAGATAATTGTAAGGGGAAACGTTGAAAATGCCCTGATGAAGGGTTCCCGCACGAAGACCAGTCATCACTTTTGACATAGAGTAATACTCGGGGTAGAACGTTTCACCCCTCGTCGGCCTCGAATCATGAACGGCCTTAGCTTCGTTGATCATGTCAAGCAACCTATCCGAATCCTCAAGTCCAGACACATAATCGGACAACGACACAGCCGTAACACCCTCTCGTTCTGCTTTGCGGAGATTATCTTTATCATCGGTAATCATGACTATGGCTGGAGCGGTCTGTCCCTTGCGGCCTCTCTTCACTACCTGAGTTAAGTGTTCCTGGTACCACTTTGCGGCGGTTCGAACCGCTCGATCATTTCGATCATTTATGCTTTCCTCCACTCCTCTCCTGACATGGGTCTCCAACCGAAATTCATTAAAAAAAAGATAATATCGCTTTTCTTCGCTCCGAATTAGGGATATCAGCCGGTTATATAAAGCGAGGGACTGGTTCTTTAGCTCCTCAAGCACTGTCTGCAAGATAATAACATCGTAGAATGAGCCAGTCTGTTCGAAAAGATCCATGCCATTGAGGAGCGCATTCGTATCCGGAAGTAAATAATGGCCTTGGGGGAATGACTTTGTACCAGCCGGCCGCTCAGATAGCACAAATGGAGTTACTTAGTATAATTAGCATTAAAGGTCAGAAGTCCCAGCCGTTGAGCGGTCTCTCACCATTTCCGTTGGCATCGGTTGGCGCATATGACAGACACACAGAACATATCTTCGAAGAGCATGGGATGTCCTGCCTCAGGTACAACTCTCTAACAATCTTCTGGACCTTGCCGCTCTTTGTCGATCTTACAAAGATTTTACTTGAAACATTAGAGGATAGCGGGTTCGAAGAGTGATCCCTCCGTAAGCTTTTCATCTTGAAATCGTAATGGAGCCCCCGGTCCCCACATAAGGTACAGTGAATCAGGAATTACGCTCTGGTCAAGTAATCGGGGCAATTTCGAATTTAATGTCGAGCTTCCCAGAGCTCCAATATTCAAGAGTACTAGTAGCGAGGTGCGACGACGTGAACAAAGGCAGCTCCTACTTGGTTCGTTAAGATTTTTCCAGTGGTTCTAAATTTCGGAACGAATACTTACGTCGATAAGCCTCTCAATCCAATTGAAAAACTGTCCACGGGTGGATTTTGCTTGTCACAAGAAATAAAGTCACCCACTAATTTTTTATTTCCCGCTCTGGAGGTTTATATCACGTGGTTTATCATTCGACGTCGGTGAATTGAAGGGCCGACATTTAGATGTAATCTCTGCATCTCTTTTACTTGAATATGATGATAAAGATATCATTTACCCGTGTTTGAAGGATACTATGTAATGATGGCATTTATAAATATTCTGTGAATATATGAATTTTGGATATTTTGGTACCCTGGAATTGCAAGCGGCACCAATGGCCCACCTGTTGTTGCTGCTGCTGCTACTGCTGTTGTTCTTCATGCTTGAACTAGAGATGTAAGAATCACAATATCTTAGACTCCCACATTATCAAATTCGTCTAGACCCTGCGTGGCAGTTACCGATAGAAATGGGATAAGAAAGGGTACCCCCGATATTCATCAAGATGTGATAATATCTTTTGGAGAGGGTGGGATTTCAACCCACCACCTTCTTGTCTCCGCAGTGATGGACCCAACACCAAGCGCCTACTTCGGAAAGCATTCCATGAACAGCGCTTGCCACTACGCCATCCACCCCCCCCATGGCCCACAAGAACAACAGCATATGCGACAGCTCACTCCCTAAGTGAACAGAGATGACTGGAAACTACGAACGCAAGAGGCAGGGCAGGGCTGTGTGTCCCAGAAATGTTGAAACTTGTTTATTATTATGGCACTGCTTATTCTTCGATCGTCGTCTCAAATGAAGGATTACGCGATTACCCCTTCGCTTGCATTATACAGCACCGTGCACGTTTTTGAATTTTCCTCATTTGACGTGAGACTCAGGGATGGTACCCCACTATGCTCTTCCATTCAACCGTTTTGAGTGGTCAAAGGAAGCGCGCAAGCCAGTGGTTGAGGCAACATCTATAAACGAACTCGACTTTCAAGTCCGGCTCTAAATTAGCACTGCGCATGATATGGAAGACGAAACGGGCTAATGAATTCAATCCTAATCGCTGGGGCTTAGATGTTGCCGATGCTCGAAGGCTCCTGGAAAATATTTCAGACTGGGTAGCCTATACCACAAAGGCTCAATCTGGCATGGGGGATATTCCTTCTTTTGGCAGATACGATTTACTGTGCGTTTTCCAAAAGCTAGATAAATGATATACAAAATCCGAGAGATGGCGCGAGTAAAATCCGCTCGCCAATCGTTCTGAGATACCGGGATCTGTCGAGCAGAACACAACATACGGAACCAGAACCTCCAACCCCTGCCAGCCGTACAATCCCACTAGAAGACTTTGATGAAAGATTTAGTAACTTCGACATCGGCAGCGAGGAGTCGGACCTAGTTCCGCAGTCATTCTCGAGCGAAGTATACATAGGCCCTCGCTCCCCAATGTCTGCAGGGAACAGCGACCAATTCCCTCCAGCGGATGATGAACAAACCGTTACTACTGCCCTTCTATTGCTTATCAAGGCAGTGTGCCTGAGCAATCCCACTCTAAACATGGCATGGACCATGGAGCGAAAGGCGTTCATCTTTAATCCCCGGGACAACGGAGAAAAAATTTACGAAGCAAGGACAGATGGCCATCTTCACTTCAATAATGAGTTTGGTGAAAAGTCCCTAGCGATTTTAGAGGTCAAGGCCGGTATGAGGAAAGACTCATAACCCCAATGGCAAGATATATGTATGTATGTATAAATTTAACGTCCCGGGGGGCATGAGGACGTGCTAATCTGGAGAGATCTCTATATATACATAGTGGGAAAGAAATAGGATCCAGATGGCAATTCTTGAAAAGACTCAGTTTGCAAAACTGCGCATTCACTTCTGGCCCGACTTATGGCTATTCATGGTGGGGCTATTGTGTGGTCTCTTAGAGGCCACCTCCCCCAATGGCAAGAGAGCGCTCAGATGGCTGCTTGGATTCGATCAGAACCAGACCAGCCAACACAGGATGGGAGATATCGGTACTGTATATCCATTCCTTCTTTTGAGATGTTAGAAATAAATATTCTAACATAATGGCGACTTAAGTCGATTGATGATAAGTCAGGACCGGCATGAGATCTTCCTTATCATTGCAGAGTATGGCGACAATTACATCAACTACATCACAGCGGGCGATCCAATAAAGAGTCCTCTCCTAATGATATGGCAGATTGGCCCATTCCAACCAACGGCAATGAACCATATTCGACTTTTAGGGGCATGTCTGCAGGCGTTTGCTTCGCGCCTGCTCACCTTGGCAAGTTAGGGCCAACCGTGTCGCTGGTAGGGGACCTTTTTGGTTTGGAATTCCGCTTTAGCTGATGACCCATCACCCGAATTATGATCTAGTTACAGCTGGAAAGGTAATTTCAATTATGCCGCCAAGAATAAGGAAAACAAAACAAAAGACGAAAAGAAATAGACATGGCAACAATGCCCGAAACATGCATCGTAAAGAGCTAATTCGAAACCAAGGGGGAAAAAACAATTTCACTCCCTCTCTCTCATTCTTCCCACAATACCGAATTTGTGTGCGAAATGTCCGACAATTGATATAGGGAACGGGATCTCCTTATCGCTTTCTTCTTTTTCACTTCCGCGTAGGATGAAAGCTCTATATACATCGGGATTAGAGTGCAGACAGTTGGGTTATTTCTTTTGGGCAACATCGGAGTCTTCAAGGATGCCTTCCCTCTCGAGTCGCCTTCTAGCTTCTTCGAGCGCCCACGTTTGTATCCTAACGGGAGATTAAACATGTATTAGCTAGCGCACTAATTTTGTACCATTGAAGCGTATGCATATCGATATGATTTGCAATGACAGTTTCCTATAATATCTGATAGCCAAAAGCGTGAAAATAAAGAAGCAGAAACACATACGAAGTATCAGGTTTGAAAGAATACACGACGCCAGCAAGAAGCAGGCTACCGACAAACCCATACGTCCATAGGCCTTCCCATCCCTCCTTGACGTATTTATGGCCGGGCTTTACTCCCCAAAGCCATCCGGTTGGAGGGTCGTAGTGGTCACCATGAGCGCTACGGAGCGAGCTCTGCGTCGAGAAGGGTTGGCGATGCTGTGGCGAGCGAAGAAGGCAGCGAGACCGCAGGGGAAGAGAAGGAGGTCGGGCGGGCATTATCGGGCTCTATAAATTAGATGCAACTGGCCGAGCGAGACGTTTCAGGAATACCGAGAAAGTAGGTAGAGTCCGGGCGACGATGATGCCGCCGAGAATTGCGAGGAGAAAGGGATAGACAATGACCCGCCTAGGATTCTGGGTAGAAGGAGCGGTAGCAAAGATGTAATTGACTGGTGTTGTGGTGAATCCGTGTTGGTATCGGGATGATGTTGACGAGTTCGAACCAGAAACCAAGTCAAATGTGACTGTGGTATGTTCTCTGCTTCGCGCGGCGCTGTGATTGGTTATATTAGCGTCAAGCAGCCATGCTAAGCGCGTTCCAGCCGCCGGCTAGCATGCATGCATTCATCCTTAAACGCCAAAAATATTTAAGATTATATTCTCTGATGTGACAAAGAATAGTATAGATAGGTCTAAGGACAGTTCTCTACTGAGTGCCGAGAATTGAAAATCCTACCTGGATGCTCCTGATCTAACTTTTTCAAGGATGGTGACCTGACTTCTCCTGCGCTGGGTTTAAGAAATCTGTCACCCTGTACGATCATTTCAAGTTGTTTCTGCACACTAGTAATACTGATGCTGAGATGTGAAATACATGTTACTGTCGCACAAGGAAAATGCGAACATTCTAACAAACCCCAGCCGATCACAAAGTCCAATTAGACCTACCTGTACATTTCAAACATCGCAAGCACAGGTGACATTCCGAGGCCACAGAATTGTATCTATGATGGAGTCAAGTGACCAATGTTCTATTCAGGGAGCTTGATATATGAAAGGCTAATGTCTGGGAGAATAAATAATGAATACAAAGCATGTGAGAGCCTCCTGTCAGTAGCGGTATCCATTTTCGAATCCCCGTGGACCGTCCGGATTCTGGGGATAAGGAAATGAGTTCAAAAAATATACACAAGAATATACAGTATGAAACATGTGAATATGTAGTAGGCGTCCGCTGACAATCCTTGAGGTTTTCTATCATCACAGGCTGTGAGGCTGGAGCAGCTGCAGAGAGCCAATTCTCAGATATTAATAGAAGATCCCAAGGTTTGTTTTTAGTGTGTTCTGTGAGCAGCTTAGCACGGCCCCAAGCAGGGAGATCATGTCAATCCGCGTGCCATGCAGGCTAGCACTTAGCCAAACGCACGAAAATGCCGATTCGACACTTCGGCTTCACAGGGCCGGAACAGTGCCTGTCTGTGTCCACCACCGTGCGCTTCCCCTGCTGTGACTCGTTACGACTAGTACATAACCTCCAGGCGCTGATTTTTGTTTTGTTCGAAGAAACTCCCCGACAGACCTCGGCACTTCCTCTTCGGGCAGGCTCCGAGTGGTTCCGCCACCACTGGGAGAGATGGAAGCATTTATATCATCCGCGGGCTCCTGGGACTGGCGGGTGTACTAGTATTCATCACCACCAACTTCTTCATTTTCTCCATCCCGCATTGCCGCCGCTCTCTGTCCTGTATCCCATTTGTTGTCGTCTGTGCAAGGGATTCCTATACTATCCCGGCTTCTAAAATGCCCCCTGTCCCCGAATGGGTGAAGGCTTTGAAGCCTACCAGCCCGCAGGGCTCAGAGCTTCTACAACAAGAGCGGGACAGCTCGAATGTCTCTGTTGACAAGCTGGCGGAGCTGATTCATACCAAGGATGTGCTCGACCGGCAGCAGAAAATTCTGGCCATCATGGAAAAGGAGAAAGTGTTTGACAAATCGCAAATTCTTTCTATGGGCCGTGTGGAACGGCTGACAGCGTCACTTGGGAAGGCCAAGCGCATCCAACATTTGAGGAAACAGCACAATTGGACAGACGACGAATTCATCATGGCTAATGACCTTCTCAGCGAACCCACCCCTTACGCACTCCATGCGAGCATGTTCTTAGTAAGATCTCTCTTTGCGATATGTCTCTGGGAGCGTATTCCGGTGTCATGGCTAATTAATTGTATTATAAATTGTTTAGGTGACCCTCAGAAATCAGTCCACGCCAGAACAAGCGAAACTTTTCCTAGAGCCCGCGGAACGCTATGAGATTATCGGTTGCTACGCCCAAACTGAATTGGGCCATGGATCCAATGTCCAAGGTCTCGAGACCACAGCAACCTGGGACCCTACAGACAGGACCTTCGTCATGCACTCCCCAAGCCTGACGGCTTCCAAATGGTGGATTGGCTCACTTGGGAAAACTGCAAATCATGCCGTTGTGATGGCACAACTGATTATTGAAGACAAAAGCTATGGTCCTCATCCATTTGTCGTACAAATCCGCGACATGAAGACTCATGAGGCTCTTGAAGGGGTCTATGTTGGCGATATTGGACCTAAGTTCGGTTACAAGTATGTTTTATCATTCCTAAAGGGTTTTATATTCGCGACGTAGCTAACCACCTCTTAGCACCATGGATAATGGGTTCCTTCTTTTGAACCATGTGAAAATTCCACATGTGAACATGCTGGCACGGTTCTCGCATGTTGATCCAGCTACAAACAAGTACGTGCGTTCTGCTGCAGCTACTTTGGTCTATGGTACAATGACTTGGGTTCGATCGACAATTGTGCTTCAATCGGGCAAGGTCCTAGCCCGAGGTGTAACAATAGCCACGAGATATTGCTCTATCCGAAGACAGTTCCAGGATCGTGACACTGCAGACAAATCCTCCGATGAAAATCAGGTTATCAATTATAAGATGGTTCAAATCCGACTCCTTCCCCTCCTAGCTGCTACCTTCGCTCTCCATTTCACTGGACGGCGAATGATGGAAATGTACGAGGAAAACCAGAAACAAATGGCTCGTGGTGGTTCGGCAAAGGGAGGGGTACTTCTCCTCGCCGATCTCCACGCTACCTCATGTGGTCTCAAAGCCCTTGGGAGTACCATAGCAGCTGAGGGATTAGAGGCATGTCGGCGCGCGTGTGGTGGTCACGGCTATAGGTAGGTTTTTAAGTTGGTTGTTTTACATCAAAGTTCATGGCTGCACAAATACTCATTCCCCAATAGTAGCTATAGCGGTATCGGCACGTGGTATGCCGATTATCTGCCAACCGTCACTTGGGAAGGCGACAATTACATGTTAACCCAACAAGTAGCACGATACGTGAGTCCAACCCTACTGAAAAAAGGAAAAAAATTCTACCGAATCAGAATTCACTAACAAATTTTTGTTCAGTTGCTCAAATCAGCTAGAGCTGTTTATTCCAACAATGCGCCTGATAACGACACCAGCCGCATTCTCAAGAACTATATCAGCCGCCGAGACATGGGAGCTGCATTCGACATTCTTGACAATGATGCTGATATCGTAAACGCCTTTGCCTGGCGTGCTGCTTACCTAACTTTCGAGGCCCTGAAGCACCGCGATGTAGCAAAACGCTCATGGAACAGCTTGCTTATTGATTTCTGGCGTCTCTCGACTGCCCACTCACAATACCTCGTCGTGAAGAACTTCTACGAAAGCGTCACTGCGCCTGCCACCGCCTCCGCCCTGGACTCTGAAACAACTGCTGTCCTCCACAAACTCTTCCGGCTCCATGCGCTGTATACATTGGAACGCGAGTCCGCTGATTTCTTCACGTCTGGTGCTGTGACTATTCGTCAAATCACTCTCGCACGGACCAAAGCAGTTGTCAAGCTCCTTGACGAAATCAGGCCCCATGCCGTCCGGCTTGTTGACGCATGGAAATTCCCGGATTGGCAGCTTGACAGCTCCTTGGGCCGTTATGATGGCAAAGTCTATGAGGACCTGTTTTATCGTGCCAGCGAACAGAACCCGGTCAACAACCTCACTTTCGACCCATCTCCAGTGAGTAACGTGTTGGTGAGGAAGAATGAGAAACTAAGCAAGCTCTAGTCATGCACCATATCAGATGGTGATTCGCCTTATCCTGTTTATGTTTGGTTACATTAGATTGTTTTCATTTTTCTCTGTTTTGTGCTAACTTTTTTTTGACATGGGACTAGCACCATTTTCTATCATATCTTTCTCACTGAACATATTCGTCTGTTATTGCCACTTTCTTTTTTGATTTTGTATTCCTCCTTTACATGTTGTTTTTCTTTATGGTGCAAGGAGGTGACAAATAAACCATATAGACATAGACGGGTGTATATAGACACATCAACAGAGGCATTGGGAAGAATATGTAATGATTACATGGATTCAATTTAACTCCGATTCTCCAGTTCGTAGAAACGATATCAACCTCAAAAAGATGATCAAAAATACATACATACTGGAGGACCCGGGTTGAAAGGTATTTAGAGACAGCTAGTCCGCTCAATGATGCTACAAATAGAGTAAGCCTGTTCCATCCCATAAAATCATTGAAGGGAAATGATAATGGTATACAAAAATGGCAAAGAAGAGGTCCGCCCATCAAACCATCAATGGAAATGCCAAAATGCTAAAAATAAAGTTATTTTTAAGATTTAATTACCCGCTCATGAACCACTGCATCATCGCCATCACCATCATCACCACCGTCAAATTAACCCAACCACCAACCACCACCACCACCTTCCCCGCACCGTTCACTGGCGCCATCTTCCCCACCACTGCCGTCCCCCGGCCTCCAGCTGAAAGTGTACAACTGATCTCCGCGCAAGCAAACCCATCCGGACAACAACCGCCGCCCGCACTAGCCGCACAACCCGTCCAACCGGCAGCACACCTCCGGCCTTCCCCACCAGGAGAGGACAGAGACACAGTAGGATCGATTCCTATAACAATCGTGGCGCCGTTGTCATCCACGATTGTGGTCGAGGAAATTGGGGGGCAGGAGGTGGGGTTTACATCGCGGCCGGTACGACAGCAGCCGCCGTGGTAGACAGCGCTG